CGTGAAAGACTGTTAGAGGCCAAAACTCTGAACACCAGAATCACTGAAGCATGCCAACATGTCTTGATAAGCGACTTGAAGGGCTTTTGCCGGTATTCTGAGTTCAAGTTCGAAATTTGTTTAAATAAAAATCCCCTCTAAAATAATTCGCACACACTGAGCAAAAAAGATTCCTGGAAGTGAGCAATTTTTTTTTTTTTTTTTTTTCAAAAAGTGAGCAAAAAAAAAAAAAAAAAAAAAAATGTTTGAGAAGTAAAATGGAAACAAAAGAAAAAAGCTCGCGTCTGACTATGTAACAGGGTATTGAGCAGGAAATTAAAATTATCACAGAACCCAAAGAAAAAAACTTTGGGGAAGGGTTTCATGAGCCTGAAAAAATAGTTTTAAATGATTTATCTCAACCGTGAATGACTGACACAATCCGACAGGCAGTACATGAGAAATTTGTATTTGGTATATTTCCAGTGCGTGTAACAGGGCCTCTTAAAAAGATCCGACTCTTTGGGACAGCCAGAAGGTACCCGATCCTAAGTGACCCAGAAATTTAAAAGTGGCTGTACCTGCGTCTATTATTGTGCTTTTTTAGTATTTCGGGTCTATGATGGACGGTCTGATGTAAATGACGTACTTATTTTGAAGGGAGAAATGAGCACTTTACCTTCATACAACTAGTCATGAAAAGAGTGTATACGCTAAAAAAGCTATTGGTGATCAAATAGTAATCATTATTTACTAAGAACGCATTTGTATACACATATAAAAAAACGTAAGTACTTATAAAATTGGTAACAAGCTCCAGAGATTTGTTCAACGAGTAAAGCCTTGCTTATTTAGGAGAAATTAGTTACGCAACCCAGCCTTTTCACGTTTGAAGATTGTACTCAGATCTTTTACTCTTTACTGCCCTACTTGTAATTGCAACCCAGCCTTTTTCTGCCCCCCTCAGATTTTTTTTTTTTACTCTTTACTACTGCCCTTCTTGTCATAGCAACTCAGCCTTTTTCCTCCCCTCAGATTTTTTTACTGTTCAATTTGAGAGTCGCTTTTTGCGCGATATTTTGCAGTTTTGGGTCCTCTTTGAGTGAAATGCAGCTTGCCCCGTGAGGTGGCTTGTCATGGCTTTTACGAATAGCCTCAGGCAGACAAAATCTGTTGTGTCTAATACTTACTTATGTGTTTGTTATTTACGTTTATCACTAACTTTCTGCATAATGTTGCTTTTGTTCAAAAGCATATTCAAGACATATTACATATTGTCGTAGCGAGTTAACTATTATTTATGGTTTTTAGGCATATACGTCCCTTTTCATGACTAGTCATAATGAAGGCAAAGTCACCAAAAATAAATCCAGCACAATCCACATTACCCGCATTTTTACACTTTGTCAAAAGGTGTTAATTTTTGTAACTGCCATGTGCTAAGTAAAGGGGGCCGAAATTATCAATATAAAATAATTATTCAACTTGCTTTATGTTATTTCTTTATTTTACTTCAAATATTGAACCACTGTCATAGACTTGGTATGTTTATAAAATGCCAGAACAGAATTCTTTAACAGAGTGTACTATAAATTGTTATTCTCAAGTATGATATTTGGATTTATATTTTTCAGATTGGGAGTAAGGCATGTGATGCCACTTAATTCTAAAAGCCTTTTTTAATGTCTGTGCAAAAGTGCATAAACTTTTGTTCGCGCCAATTGTGAAGCGTTGGTCTAAATAAATACGACTTTCACTTTTGATGCCTAATGCAAAAGACATCTTAAATGGGATCTGGGTATGTATCACTTATGAACATTAATCAAGTCTTTGTCTGAATACCTTTTTTTACGCCTTTCTAAAATATTTTTTACATTTGTCTGAATGAGAAATTCGAGAGTGACAATAGCGAATGAAGAATAAAATGGGAAAGTTAACAAAGTGAAATTATCAAACTGCAAAAATAAAATAAAGCTTTATCAAGCAAAAAAAAAGGGGGGTCTTTATATACACATAATTTCAGACATTAATAACAGTCAGGATGATGACGATCGTGGGCAGATTTATCCAGATAGTACTCGGATGTAATTATCCCGTACAGAAAGACCATAATGAGATGTCAATAACAATAACATTCATCCTTAAACTGTGTATATCGTGTAACACAATATTCAGGGGAAATTGTAGTTCTTAATAAAGGTAGCTGTGGCACCTCATTGTGGCTAATGTAACCTTCACATATTTTCATATTAATGTTATTTTTTAAATGGGTATGCCTTATACTTGTATGAAGGATGATATGAGATCAAGCCTGTACATAAAGTAAATGATCATTATGTGGTATTTGACAAAATTGTTACGATAGAAAAGTAATGAGATAAAAGTATACCTTTATTCGAGGTAAAAATAGACTAAAAGAACTCTGCTGCTATGAAATAATTGATCCTTTTTATATTGCACAACTCTCCTGAGTTTTAATGACGAGTCAACCTTTTTGGTTTGGGAATAGATCTATACTTTGTTTCCCGCCTTAGATTAAATGAATACTACTCGTTAGAATAATAGTTTCCAGTTAACGTTGTCCCATATCAGTGGATCGGGAACATGAGTATCCTAATAAATCTTTAGTATTACGAGACACTTATTTATCAGATCATGCAACGGTTACTGCAAGAGATGCATACTTTTTTGTCAAGTGTAATTGGTAATAGAACATAATAATTGATTATTTCTTCATTATCTTTGTAATGAATAAAATACGATCCCAAATATAAAATGTCTTATCGTTATTTATATATTTAGTTGTAGAAGATAGGTATCCATTAATTCATACACTATTTCTTTATGCTCTTTATCTGAGAGATAATTTAAATCCGTATATAAGTAAAGGAACCATTTATATTAATAGCTGTTCTATTCTATCTATGGGTATCAAACCCATTGAGAGAACTAATAATATTAAGTTTCTCTTTCTAAAATTCTTGATTTGATTTGAGAAGATTCTCTTCTCAATCGCCGATATCATAACTGAGGGGTATAGCATTACGTATGCAACTGTCATTCGTATATCGTATTTAGGCCAATCATGCAGCCTTTAATATACAAATATATACTTGTAGTAGGAGAAGTTGTACAGCAGTATACAAGCGTATACTAATATGCAACTTCAAAGGTTGTTTTAATTTCATAGTTTATTTATTTAAATGATTTGCTTAATTATTCTTAAGTGAATTGTACCCAAATACGACACATTATTTAATATAAGGTATCGATAAGAGTTATATTTAGGATTATCAAATGGAGTGTAGATAGAGTCATATATTATGCATATAGCCTCGATCACAACACTGAATACCTTTTTAATGCTGTCCAAAATATATTGCATCTGTCTGCAAACATTTTATAGTTTGTTCGAAAAAAAAAACCCCCCATTGTCTGAACTTACAGTGATAACACTGTAATTGAAGATGCAAAATGGTCTCCACTATATTTGATATGGTGCCCTATTAACATTATTGTCTTCATTGGTTGGCAGCTCACGCCCGTCAAAATTACTAAAAATTGCGAAAGAGTTATTAGAAAAGATCTGTCCATATATTACTTATTTTCATACCTAAACGAGGGATTCGGATTATTTCTTTATCGCACTCAGCCAATCACAGATCTTACACGTGGATATCACGTGACCTGTTAAAATTGTTATTATTTTGAGTTATACTTTTACATAAAATCAAAGTCGTCATCAGCAGTATCTTGGCCGAGTGGTCTAAGGCGGTGGACTTAAGATCCCCTCCTCGAAAGAGGGCGTGGGTTCAAACCCCACAGATACTAATATCTTTTTATTTTATTTTGCGTTTTGTGGTGTGTGTAGTTGTTTAGATGCTGTTGGAGCCGTTTATGTTTCTTTTTGTATGATTTCTTGTTTTATATCGTTGGAGCGTAATGGGAAGGTATATTTTCTTTTGTTCCATCAACGAGATAGTGAGTTAAAAAAAACCAACTTAAAAAAGCATATCTGTACTTGGTATCGCTAGATGTATTTACAGATTTATTTATTTGGAAAACACATTATTAGAAAAAAAAGATGATATGCTCAACAAGAGCATCCATGTGTGATGTTAATTGAGTAAATGATTTGTATCAGTTATGTAACAATATCGCATTAAGAGACGCTGTAATGGCAATCATAACAAGAAAAAAGGTTTTTATGATTTTTATTTCAAGACAAACAGAATTAAAACTAAAAGTTAATATTGCCAAAAAAAAACTTTGTTAACACTTATATGTCAATTATGGTAGAAACAGTGTTGTCTGGATAAGGACTTCTCCTGTTAGCTCTTAGACAAGCATCCATCATGTCAGCTGTTAGACAAGCATCTATCACTTTAACCTCAGCATCATGGATATTCTTTAAAAAGGTGGATGGCTCGTCTGGGTAAGGACTTCTTCTATTAGCTGTTAGATAAACATTCATTTCTTTATCCTTAGTGTCATTGGCATGTTTAAGAATAGCACCATACATATCCTCCTGATCTTCAATCAGAATTCTGGCTTCAGTAGCTCTGATAGCTTGTCCATTGAGGCTTGAATCCAGCTTATCATAAACCAGGGCTTTAAAAGATTCACATTTGGTGTCTTTGAACTCGTAGAACATACATCTTGTTTCGATTTGCTGCATAGTATCTTTTGGTTGATACTTGATATTTACAAATAAATATTCGGCATCAGCTAAGCGACCTTTTTTGATTTCCTGAAGACGATTATTCAGTAGAGTACATGAAAGCAAAAGATATTAGATATACGAGAGTAACTTACTTTGTGGAAGAGATTATAAATATCTTCATCCTTTCTTTTCTTGGTTAAGTCGTTCATTGACATACAAACTATTTTTTTTTTAAAATGAAAGAAAGATGGAAAAGACAGTTTCCTTTTTTTTTTTATATATGTGTTGCTATTTTAAAATAAACAGTGGATCACAGATTATAAAGCAAGAACGGTAAGATCAATTTCACACGAACTTATTTATCTAAAATACATGATTTATTATAAGATCCATTGAATAAGATGGAATAAAATTTATGGAGACAGGTCTACTTTTTTAGCGTATTCTTCAATGGGCGAAAGGATCCTTTCCGTCACGTTATGACCTAACCCAGAAACAATTTGCAACAAATCCAACTAGAAAACCAGTTAGTTTTTTTTTTTTTGATGAAAAAAAAAAAAGTCCAACTTACGGTCATTTCCCAATTGCCAAGAATATCAATATGATCACTCGCTTTATACCCACCACGCACATCTAATTTACTTGGACTCACTTCATTTTCATATTCACGAAGTACAACGGGGCTATGACCTGGATTGTATAAATCTGCATGTTTTCTCCATGGACCGGAGGGAGCACACATGTATCCTAAAGACAATAAAGGTACAGTACCATCACTTTTTTTTTTTAGGTAGTTGATTAGTTAATTTTTGGTTTTACAAAAAGAAAAAAAAGGAGCATTTTTTTTTTTACTTACCCGTCAGAAAATCGAATACCTGTTTCAACACGTTGAATAGGATCATTTACATTGGCATCAATGTACTAGAAAGGAAGTTAAGATGCAACGTTAAGAATCGGTACTTTTTTTTTTTTTTTTTTTTTTTTTTTTTCGCGTACCAGATTAGGATGCTTGATGGAATGTACGATTTTTTCAGCGGTGGATGATTTTGTTTGATGTTCACTTTGATGGATATGAGTACATCCTGTACCGTTGGTAACTCCAGGACAATCTTCCTCTATGCTTTCATCAGTCACGGCATAATAGTAACTACGTTCAGTAGGTGTACCGATGCCATAAAAGCAATAAATCTTCATATCAGGAGCTAAAATAAAGCTCGTGTTAAGTAAATGTTTGCATCAATAAATGAATGGGTAAGTATTTACCGTTGGGTAAACGTGATTCAAGAGGATTAGACCATTTTGTGGGATCATCATCATTTGCTTTCAACTGCTTCAAATTGGTTGTGACACCATACGAATAATTGGAATGCAAATGATTTGCAAATTGTTCATCCGCATTATTTAATAAAAGATCAATGGTGCCTGATACAGTATAGTTTCTGATCAAAGGATCCGTGGAGGAGTCACTGGGAGTCTCTGTTGAGTTCTCATTGATGCCTTCTGGATGCGGTACAAATGAAATCATATTACCAAACGATTCGTATTTTTCATCCTGTTGATCATCGGGTGCATGAAGTGCGTCGCCCCAAACTGCCTCACCCCCCTTTGGTAACATGGAAGCACCACCAAACCAATTACGCATGAGTTTAGTACGTTCACGACGTGAAAAGAATTTTTCAAGCACATAGGCACCAAAACTTCCCAAGGCCATGGTATCTCTTGTTTCACCACTTAATAAAGAAGTGACAGCTTTGGGGACACCGGTTAAGGGACCTGCGATATTGACAAAGGATTCGATATGATCATTCACCCAATGTTTACCGGCTTCCTTTTCCACCCATTTGAGAAAATAAGGAAACATGGAGCTGCCCATGGAGTGACTAACTACAACACTTTTGAGACCAGAGTGAGTTTTAGATAATTCAATGGTGGCTTTCAGATGTGAGAAATAGTTATCACGCACTTCAAGGTTGGAGAATGATAGTCTCCAATCATAAGAAGCAAAATGCATATTGTTGGTGTCGTAACCAATGGTTGCCAAGTTCTCAATGATTTTAGCCCATACCCAATAACCAGTGATGAAATAATCTGCTGCCTCCACGCCTGTTTTTTTTTTAAAAGAAGGTTTGGAAAATCAAAAAAGATAAGTAAATGCTTGTTATTGAGCTTACCATGCACTGCTCTAATTTTGTATCCTTCGGGATCTAAACCAGTTTCGGGGTCTAGCATGATGTGATCAATCCAATTTTCCTTGTCTAATAGAACAGAGCGAACCATGGCTTTTGAAGAAAAAGAGGGGGATGAGAAAGAGTGTGAAAAGAATATGCAATGGTATACTTACTCATTGTGCCCCACATGCGTTTACGGAAATATTTTCTAGAGCGTTCAGACGTTCCCCAACTTTCAAGACTAGATGAAACAATGCCTGGTATCATAACAACGGGAAAATGAGGTTTCAATCCCAACTCATCTCTTTTATGTAAAGGGGGTGTGTGAGTGAGATGGATTTAATAGTAAGTAGTTGATTGTTATTACTTGTATTCTGTAGCGGGCATAAAAGAGGCCTCGGTAGGAGGTGTAGGTTTGATCAAGTTTGTGAAATTTCCCAGTAATTCATCGACTAAATCGGATTGGGGCAAGATATTGTTGATATCGAGATCTGCCAATTGTAAATAAAGGAAATCCTGAAAGACCGTCAACTGATTTTGTGCAACGGGCGTGGTGGAGGCAGCATACATGGCCAATAAACCCACAGTTAAGCCGACAATAAAATTAAATCGCTTCCAGCGATAAAAAGGTCGTACTTCGACAAAAATCATGCCAGAGTCTGCCATGATATCCTCAGGAAGTTCTCGTCCATGACGACTGACATGGTCACTTTTCGAATGACGTCTTTTTCTAATGCTTACCATTGACGCAAAAAAAAACAAAAAAGAGAGAAAGGGATTTATATTTTCCACCCCCCTATCACAGCACCCTCTAGTTTTGAACGGATTTACAATTTATATTTTGGGGTTTAAAGGTCCAATGGACATTTAATTTTCGCGAAACACAAAGTACAAAATCAAATCCCACATTTGTATAATTTTTGTAAAACTCTTTAGGACCTTTTTCATTGGCTGCACGAATTAAACATGATGCCATTCGTTTATTTGTTAGTGATGGGGGCTTTTACAGGCGGAAAAGCAAAAAAAAAAAGATCTACAGCCACCGCTTGTGTAATCCCTTGCAGGAGACGGCCATTTAAAACATCCTCCATTGGTCTGAGTTGTGCACACACACAATAAAAAAAAAAAAAAAGGGGGGGGGGGAGTAAAAATAACCGGACAGTCAAAAAAAAAAAAAGTTGTCCTTCTTTCTTCTCTAATGTCATGCTTCCACATTCTGACGAAAAAGCCAAAGAGTCTCTTATAAACAAAAGGTCATTTTCCTTGATAAATAAGCGACATGAGCGTAGTCAGTCTTCCTCTAGTGCTTTGGCACCAACACAACAACCATCTACGTTTAATTTAGAAAACAAGAGAGGTTGGTTGGAATCCACGCCTGTACAAGTCACACCGTCTCGTTCTTTAGATAACAGAAGGTCTTACAACGTCACAAAGTCCTCGACAACAAATCACCACCACCACCACCACCAACAACAACAACAACAGCAACAGCAGCAACATACTCATAGAAAACCAACCAAAGACATAGGTAAAACCAATCCTATAGTAGTGTTATATGCGTGTACTTATCGCATAAAGCAGATTTATTGGGTGCAGTGTCTGATGAAGACATATTCAAGCTTACAGAACTAACCAGCCGATTACCCGAAGTGAATACAAACAAACATCACACTCGCAAACGCTCAGGTAACAAAAAAAAAATAGGAGAGAAAGGGATAATGGAAATAAATAATTTTATTAATAGATCATGACGAGAATATCACAAGAAAAAGAATGCAATCAGAAGATGACCCAGTGACACCCGAAAAGAAGATCACCAGTCCAGCAACGAGTTCTTCAGAAATGAATGAAAGTAAACGCCGTTCCTGGCTTTACAAATCCTTGATCAAACCCATCAAAAAGAACACGACCAAACGAGAGGATAACCAAAACGTCATGTCCGCTTCGGCTTCCATTGCTGAAGACTTTTACAATAATAACCCTTTACCCATCAACAATTTTGGAGGCCGTTCTGGACAGCTTAAAAGTGCCACAGGAGGTGGTGGTGGTGGAGGAGAACCTTCCACCGCCAATAACAGAAGAGATTCCTTTGATAGTTTTCAATCTTCGTTTTTAGATGAATCCGATACCGTATCCAAAGAAGACGAAGAGTTGATTGAGAACAAGGAATTCGTTGATTATCATGATGCCGTGCTTGATCGATGGGAACATGATCATCAGGTAATTTATTATCCTTATATTATGATTATTCCTTGTTAGTCCCACTTATTTTCATCATTGTTTTTTTTTTGGGTGGGGGTATGAAAAGCGTGCAGGTGTGGATCCTACGCATGAAGAACGACCTAATCTCCAATCGGCAGAAAACAACGAACCCATTGCAAAAAACGAACCAGAACCTGCTGTTGAAGAAGAGGATGTTTTACTCGAGTTAAAAAAGAATAGTTCACCTGCTGTCAATATAGACACTCTACAAGAAGCAGAAGAAACATTTTTGTTTGATTACGAATCCATTCCTTCCGAAGTACAAAAGTTAATTGACAAGTATGGAGATTTAGGAAAAGCTGAAATCAAGGAATTAACTGTAAAGCATAAACACGGGGAGAGTGACGATGATGATGATGATGATGAAGAAGAGGAGGGGGAGGAGGAAGAAGGAGAGGAGACGGTGGATGAGATAGATATCATTACGGGGAATCATACAGCCACCGAGAAAGGTCGGAGACATATTGCCATCGTTACAACTGCACGGTCTGATAATATCGAATTTACCAAATTGGTGCCGGTAGTGATGGAAGGGTCCGCCCATGAGGGTCCCTTTGTGGATTTGCATGTGTCATTGTTTGGTGAGGAAAATAGTGATGATGTCAATGCAGAAGAATTTCAAGATACCATTCAATCTATCGAGCAAAACCTCGAACGATTTCAATCTTTTAAGAGGAATGCCGACGTAAGTTATTTTATTAAAGTGTGCATAAAATGTGTTTAAAAAAAAAAGAAAAATCGTAGTCTTTTTTAGTGGATCATTTAGAGACGATGCAATCATTGAATCTATACTCTCACGCTGATCTTCCTCGTAATTCCTCCTTTCCCAGTCTACAGTCTGCAGCCATCCTGACAGAAGAGCCCGAACCCATGACACCTTCTTCTTCTTCATCCTTGACACGTCGAACGACATATGAAATCCGTAAAGAAAAATACAGTCGGAATGCACGATCCATGTATTCCAGTTCCAGCGAATATCCGTTCGATTGTCGACAAAAGGAAATCATGAGCCTTGTCAACAGTCTACAGAATGAATTGAATAGATTTAAACAGTCGTTGGAAAAGACTGAACATTTTGTGAATCATGTACAACTGGATATGGATGATACCCGTCTTAGAATGGAAACCTATATTAAAGACATTCCTGAAACTCATTATTCTTCTGTAAGTCATGAATGGAGGAGTGGGGGGGGGAAGACCACGTGTAATTATGCTTTTTTAACGATATGTTCTGTTTCTTTTGTAGCTCAAAAAGCTGGAAGTAGATATTGAATCCATTTTAACTAACCGTGCAAAGAATCCATGGCTGGATAGAGGGTATGCGCTGCTCTCGTATTTCCTTACACGTAATAGTTTCATTTATTTGAATAAAGGCAGTAAGACTCATACTCTCCTTTTTTTTTTTTTTTTTTTTTTTTTATAGTTTTTGCGCTTGGTGTTTGGATCGTAATTTATATCTTGAAACTAGGTAAAACAATACTCCTATTTCCGAAAAGACTCTGGTCAGCCTATTCAGATTATCTAATTGAAAGAAATAAACATGTGAAAAAAGCAAGCATGATGTCGGTAGCAGCAGGAGCAACCTCAGCGGACGATTCTATCTTTCAGAGATCTCATCGACACACACAACAAAATAATATATAGACATTTTTTTTATTTTTTTATTTTACCACTTAATTATATAAAAATCTTAATGAAAAAATCACTTTTATTTTTAGGTCTGTGCGCATAAATTTTTTTTTTTTATTGTTTGTCGTGAAATTTAAATGTCCGTTAATACGGGGATCGATAGGCTCCACCATTACGAGGATTTCGAGTAAACATCAAGTAGAATGCATGGATATGACCTGTTATTTTTTTTATATGAAATTGTTGAGTGTGATGATACTTATTGACAGTTATTTTTTTTGTGTTTTTATTTACCTGGAATGTAACCGAGACAAGTTAAACAGCTAGAAAAAAAAGAAAAAATTAGAAAAAAGATTTACTTTTTTGTAGAGTGAAAGGGAAATGTTACAGGTTGATACACAGTTCGGTTCCACAACCAAACATCATGAAGACACCCACAGGTGGACATAAAAGCGTGATTAAAATTAAACAACAATCTGTAGTAGACATTTTTTTTACTTGTACAAAGATAAAAGAAAAAAAAAGACAGGTGAGTTTCCACTAATGAATTTAATTTTTTTTTTATTGTGTTGTTTTCTTCCCGAGCTCATTTGTTTTGCTTTTTTTATTTTTTATTTTTAATTATGACTTTTGAGATGAAACAAATGGCACAATTTTTGTTATCCATGGCACCTCCTCTTGTTTTCATTTTTTTTCATTTAGACATTAAAAGGATTTCTGTTTCTGTTCACTGACGTTTCGTATTTTAAGAGAAAAAACCCAGAAAAATGCAGGTCTACGTGTAACAAACAATGCTGTCCGGAGAGTTTGTCGTCTGCTATATACAAGTAGAAAATAAACTGTCAATTCATGTTGTTATCATGCGCAAGGAGCATAAAACAGCATCCCATTGTATTATTGACATTTTTCCTTTTATAAATCCCCCCCATGCGTCTAAATTTCTTTTTTTTTTCAGGTACTCTCAACACTCAAAATTAAATCATTTAAGGAAATCGAGGGAGGGGGGAAAATACCCATTTTACACTGAAATGCAGATGATTTACGTCATTTCCGGTGTAACGTCGGGATTGCAATAGAGGGAGGCCTTTCTGCTTCACTAGGCCTTCTCATTAGAATTTGACATGGACTGCTAGGACTAGCAGAAATATGGAGAAGAAAAAAAGGTTGGATAAATAACTCAATTGTATGAAACATGTTTATTATTAAAAAGAGAGAAATAAGAGAGAGAGAGAGCAAAAAAAAAAACGGAAGAGCTAAAACGAGTAAAGTGTGGAAGCGGAGAGGCAACAAAAAGTTGTGTCACTTTTTCTTTTTTTTTTTGGAGGGATATATAATGCGGTTTTTTTTATTTGTTGGGTATATAAAAAAAAAAACCTTTTCCTCTTTTCTTTTTTAAAAATATTAAAAAAAAAAAATATGTCACATCGAATATACGGAGATGAAGAAGAAGATACAGCTTCAATTTCTTCCTCAGTGTCACTCACTGTGACAGAATCCACACCTCTTATCGGAGGCAAACATCACATTGAAGATCATTCTACTGTACGACAAGAATTGGTGTGGTTACTATGCAACAGTTTACCGATTATCGGAACTTACCTCTTACAAAACTCGTTTCAATTAGCCAGTATATTTACACTGGGCCATCTGGTAATATATATAAAAAGAGCCATTGAAACTCGTTACAGAAATATTCAATATTTTTTTTTATTCTTCTCTTTTTTTTACAAAAGGGCTCGGTAGAATTAGGCGCTTCAGCTTTGGCTTCCATGTTTGTCAACGTCTCAGCTTGGAGTATCGCTTATGGTACCACCACTGCACTCGACACTTTATGCTCTCAAGGTTGGACGGGTGCTAAAGATAAAACCATCATTGGCGTGCATCTACAACGAGCCTATCTTGTATTAGCTCTCCTCTTTATACCTATTGCATGTGTCTGGTGGAATGCCACTTCAATCATGTTGTCATTCGATCAAGATCCTGAACTAGCTGAATTTGCAGGTAAAAAATTAAAAATTAAAAAAAGTTAAAAAATTTCCTAAACTAAATTAAATTTTTTTTTCTTTCATTTTATAAAGGCTTGTTTTTAAGATATCTTTTACCTGGAGCACCAGCATATATTGCATTTGAAGCAACCAAACGATACCTTCAAGCACAAGGTATCATGCACGCATCGACCTATTCTATGCTCGTAACAGCTCCATTGAATTTCGTATTGAATTACACGTTTGTTTATACGTTTGGCATGGGCTTTATAGGAGCCCCTTTAGCCACAAGTTTCAGTTATTGGTTAATGTTTCTGTTACTCTTAGCGTATATCAAATACGTGAGAGGATCCGAAGGCTGGGGAGGATGGACTCGCGAATGTTTGACAGGATGGTGGCCATTTCTAAAGCTGGCTTTTAGTGGGATTATTATCATCTGTGCAGAATGGACGGCGTTTGAAGTATCGTCATTGGCAGCGAGTTATCTCGGTACCACGGATTTGGCAGCACAAAGTATATTATTAACATTGTCTTCTGCAACCTATACGGTTCCCATGGGGATTTCTGTGGCCGCTACCAACCGAGTTGGTAATTCGTTAGGCGGTGGAATCACAGGAGCCAAGGCACGTACGGCAGCCATCACTGCTGTCTTATTTGCAGTCTTGTTTGGATGTGTGAATTCAGGCTTCTTCTTGTTGACAAGGACACGGTTAGGATATTTGTTTTCATCAGATCCAGAAGTGATCAGGATGGTGGCACGTGTATTACCCATCTGTGCGATATTTCAAGTGGCGGATGGTATTGCCAGTGTGGGAGGGGGAGTGATACGTGGTTTAGGTCGACAAAGTGTAGCGGCGTGGATCAATTTGGTTGCGTACTATTTACTGGCTTTACCGTTTGGATTCTTTTTAACGTTCAAGATGAATTGGGCATTGTCTGGATTATGGACTGGATTAACAGTCGCATTATTCTTGGTGGCTTTTGCAGAAGTCTTGTTCTTGCTGACGATTGACTGGTTTAGTGAAGTCAAACGAGCTCAAGCAAGAGTGCGAACAGATGAAGATAAGATCATTCATCATCAAGTCTAACTTTTCCCCCCCTTTTTATACCTTTCTCTCACTTTCTCTTTTATAAATCAATCACATGTATCATACAAAACCTAACCCCCGACAACCCCCCGTCCCGTCCATAGACCCCCCCTTCTTTTTTCTTTTTTTTTTAAAATTACTGTACCACCTCATTTTATAACAATAGTAAAGTCTGAACTCCTGATTAGCTTGTTTTAATAAAGACCTTTTTATTATTCAATATCTTTTTTGTTTATTTCATAACTTTAGTAATATCCCTTAATTTTTTTTTTTTTAAGCGAAATAAAAAAGGTACTAACAGTGGGTGTGATATTTTATTCATTTACTTGTTTTAATAATAATAATAATTGTTGTATATATATATATATATAAAAAAAAAAAAGAAAGATACCTTAATATTCATGACAACAACTTTAGGTCAAATATCACTCCCAGATAAGGAAATCGAACATGTATTTAATTCTCATGATGCACTTTCACATTCAGAACTTGTTCATGTATTCGGGACGATTATAAATAAAATATCGCAAGCACTGGAGTCTATACATTTGGCCACGTTTACACTAGAACAACAAGTACTACAAGATGACTCCAACGGACAAGATCTGGAACCGCTTGAAAATTGCATGCTTCGCATGGAGCCTCTCATCCCTGTTCTCTCTGATCTAAGTGACATTATATTGGATAAAGGAGATCAGCCTCAGTTACAAGAACAACAGCAACAAATGAAAATCACTCGTATCCAGTCCGAATGGTCTAGTTTACAACACTTTTTAGCCTCCGTGAAAAAGCAATTGATCACCAGTAATAATCAAAAGGAATTGACAACAGCCGTTGAGCGACTCTTACTACAAATTGACGATATATCTACCATGATATTTGACTTTCAGGAGAGAAAACATGCATTACCCTTTCCTACCACTTCTACCTCTTCTTCAGATCACACGCTGGAAGAAGCAGAACCTACAAAATGGCTACAATCCAATAAGGACGATCAATTGATGCTGGATATCGATGCTGCCTTCGAACCTCTACTGCAGTCCATCGAACTCATCTACCATCGCATTACGGATGCCACTCCAGACTCCAACTTAAACAGACGCTTTGAAAAGGTCAAGGAAAAATGGGAATTATTGCAATATGAACGTGACGAATTAAAATTCGAGCACAAGGAAGATCGTTGGTTAGCCGTCTTTCGTCGAGTTGCTGACCAGGTCGATGTGATGATTGATGGTCTCGATAGATCCGTCGTTCAATGCTATACTCTCATCAATCAAACAAGAGAATGGCAAGCCTCTCAACCCACAAGTACTTTTGACAAATTTTCCAAATCTTTTTTACGTTCATTTCACCCTAATCCAACAAACTCTTTACCACCCGTCGATAAAGAAAAGTTCAAATCTATCGAAAAGAGCTTTGAAGCCAAGTACAAGTACTATACTCCCAGCATTGATCGCATGTTGGGTATGTTAGGAAATGGTATTGCTGCTCGTGCTTCCAGAGATAATTCAACAGCGCAGCGACATGATTCCATGATACAACGATGGAACCATCTTAAGGATGTGATGGATGAATTACGTATGCGAGATCTGGTAGAAACAGAACGCATCATTTCTTCAACTACATCCACTTCCTCTGCTGCTTCTTCTTCAACAAGTAGTCCGTCTTCAGATAGTCGTCACGGATGGAAAGGTATACGCTATAGAACACCTGAACCCTCCTACGATCGTAGTGTTAGAAGCATCACTCCCAATAGTGGCCTGGGGAGACATTCTCTAGGTCGATCTTCACCACGTAAAAGCAATGCTGATCATCAGTCTTTACTACGTGGCAGTTTATCCGACTCTTCGTCCGTGGGCTCATCCACTCCACCACCTCCTCATCACCAACAACAACAACAACAAACAAGAAATTCCGTAAGCAGACAAACCAAAACACCAAGACCGACTAGAAACGGAAGTAATACGATGAAACGTGAAGATTTCTATGATGAAGATGAACGATATTATGGTGTGGATCTAATGAAATTACAGAATACAAGGCCACCTTCCTCCAACACAATGCGAAGTAGTTCACGATCGCAGAGTGTGGAAAGGCCAGTACCTAACGCCAGGTCCAAGACACCGAATCCGCCTACGAGTCGAACGAATCGAACACAAACAATACGATCCAAGAGTAGTATGGGAGATTTAATGACGAACCGAGTGATGTCGCCTACAGGGATGAGACGATCTGTGACGCCTTCACTGATACCAAGGCCTAAAACGCCTAAAGAAGAATTGCCTTCACCCATGATACCCCGTCCAAGGTCACAAGTACGCCATCATAATAACACAACGAACAAAGCGCCACCACCTGTTCCGCCCATACCTAAATATGTGATCTCTCACGAGAGTGATTATGCATCGTACAGAGAACCCTTACGAAAGAAACAATCGATGCCTGCATTACGTCATAAACCATCGACTATGGAAATCTCCTTTCATGAGGACAGTGTCTATCACCCAGACCCAAAGGATCCCTTGGATGTGGAGGTGAGCCAGATTGTCAATGCCAGTCCTATCTCCATCAAATGTCAAAAGGCACAACCGGGCCGGTATTACTTTGGAAACGAGCTTAGTATGTCTTCTATGGGAGGTAAAAAAATGTACACCTGTAAATTAATGACTTATGGAGATCGAAGAGGAGGTCAATTTAAAAACAACAAGGTCTTGATACGTGTGGGTGGGGGTTGGCAAGATCTCGAGTTCTTCTTGTTAGAACATAGTTCGCTTATGGCAAGCGATGTGGTGGTCAGATCGTTTCAATCTTCCTAAGCTGGCCTTATTCATTGTTTTACGCTTCTAATCAGGCTTCCCCCAACTGGCTGAGATACGGGAAGGGGGGGGGAGTCACTTCCTTTCTCCTTCTTCCCTTTTTTTTTTTTTTTCTTTATTGTTTAAAACATTCCATTTTAGAGTAGGACAAAAATTCATGTTTAAATAAAACTTGTTTCATACAGTAAGAAAACAAAACGTGATGAAAGATAATTGTACCCTTTTGTTCAAACCTTGTTTATAATAAACAACATCATGTTTATCATTTAAAAAATAGAGTACTATGAAGAAGTTGGGTAACGTACAGACTTTATTTGGACATTTAAAGGCAAGCGTTATTTATTGAATGCGTGACAAGACTTTATACTACGAACCCGAAACAATAGTTGTCTATGATAGAGATGTGTATCGTCTGACAAAAGACGTAATTTGTTTTTTTTGACGTTATGTGTTACAGAAAGCAAGCGCATTAACGTATATTTTGTAGTATAAAAAAACAGCTTTTTAAACAGTTTTAAAACGAAAAAAAAAAAGAAAACACCTTTTCCTCTTCTTTACACGATTTACTTTTTTTATTAAAAAAAAAAAAAAAAATGTCACAAAATTTAAAACCGCCTGCACGCGAACACTCTGTAGAGACGATCCGTCGAAACAGTGAAGTGATGGGTAACTTGCGTAAATTGATGGTTGTGAACCGTGGTGTAAGTACTATTCCAATCGAGGGGCCACATTTCCCTTTCTATACTCAAAAGCGCTTTCTCTCACTCTCTCTTTTTTTCTATAGGAAATTGCTATTCGTTGTTTCCGTACTGCACATGAACTTTCCATGAGAACTGTCGCTATTTTTTCAAACGAAGATAGGTTATCTATGCATCGTTATAAAGTAAGACACCTTCCCCCAACAAAAAAAAAAAACAAACAAACACGGCTTTTTTTTATTATTATTTTTTTCGTATTAAAAAAATACATCTTTTATCTTTCTTAGGCGGATGAAGCGTATCAAATTGGTCATTTAGGTCAGTTCACACCCGTTGGTGCTTATTTGGCTCAAGATGAAATCATTCGTATCGCCAAAGAAAAAAACGTGTCCATGATTCATCCGGGTTATGGTTTCTTATCCGAAAATGCAGAGTTTGCTCGTAAAGTTGAGGCAGCCGGTATTACATTTATTGGACCCACGCATGAAGTGATTGACAGTTTAGGTGATAAAACAAAGGCTAGAACAATTGGTAAGCTTTTTTCGTTTTGGTAAAGTGTTTCAAAAAAAAAAAATAGTTATTTATTGTTTTTTTTTTTTGTTACAGCCATGCAATGTGATGTACCTGTTGTTCCTGGCACACCTGGACCCGTCAGTGCTTTCACAGATGGAAAAGAATTTATCGAGAAACATGGTTTCCCAGTTATTATTAAAGCTGCTATGGGAGGTGGTGGAAGAGGTATGCGAGTGGTACGAGATGCTGCTTCCTTTGAAGATTCCTTCAACCGTGCGAAATCCGAGGCATTGGCTGCATTTGGTGACGGTACTGTCTTTATCGAGCGCTTCCTGGATAAACCACGCCATATTGAAGTCCAACTTCTTGCAGATCGTGCAGGTAACGTTGTTCATTTGTTCGAACGTGATTGCTCTGTTCAGCGTCGTCATCAAAAGGTGGTGGAAATCGCACCAGCCAAAAACTTGGATAACAAGTGTCGTGAAGCCATTTTAGCCGATGCTATCAAGATTGCCAAAGCCGTCAAATACAAGAACGCAGGTACCGCTGAGTTTTTGGTGGATGCTCAAAATCGTCATTACTTTATCGAGATCAATCCTCGTATTCAAGTGGAACATACCATTACGGAGGAAATTACAGGCATTGATATTGTGGCTGCTCAGATTCAGATTGCGGCAGGTGCCTTGTTGCCTCAATTGGGCTTGACTCAACAACGTATCCGTCAACGGGGTTACGCTATCCAATGTCGTGTCACCACGGAGGATCCCGAAAAGAATTTCCAGCCTGATACAGGTAAGATCGAAGTCTACCGTTCTTCAGGCGGTAATGGTGTTCGTTTGGACGGTGGTGCAGGTTATGCTGGTGCCGTCATCACGCCTCATTATGATTCGCTTCTGGTCAAAGTCACCTGTACTGGCTCTACCTTTGAAGTCGCGCGTCGAAAAATTGTACGTGCTCTCGTCGAGTTCCGTATTCGTGGTGTCAAGACCAATATCCCCTTCTTGCAACGTCTCGTCACCTATGATACGTTCATGACCGGTAACTGCTGGACTACCTTTATTGATGATACACCCGATCTCTTTGAACTTGTACAATATCAGAACCGTGCTCAACGTATATTGGGTTATCTAGGTGATGTTGCTGTGAATGGATCTCAAATCAAGGGACAAGTAGGCGAATCCACCTACAAGGACGAGATCGAGATACCTATCTTGGAAGACGCCAATGGCCAAAGTGTCAATGTCAATCTGCCTGCTCCAGAAGGCTGGCGTAAGGTCTTACTGGATCAGGGTCCCGCTGGATTTGCAAAGGCTGTGCGTGCTCACCCCGGTGTCTTGATTATGGATACAACATGGCGTGATGCTCATCAAAGTTTATTGGCTACACGTGTGCGTACCATTGATTTACTTCGTATCGCCAATACAACAGCCCATGGTCTCTCCAACGCCTTTTCACTTGAATGTTGGGGTGGTGCCACCTTTGATGTGGCTATGCGATTCTTGCATGAAGACCCTTGGGATCGTTTAATGAAACTTCGTAAAGCCGTGCCCAACATTCCCTTCCAAATGTTGCTGCGTGGAGCCAATGCCGTTGGTTATACCTCATACCCCGATAACGTGGTTTATGAATTCTGTGACAAGGCTGTCAAGGCCGGTATGGACATTTTCCGTATCTTTGATTCATTGAATTACGTGGAGAACATGAAACTGGGTATTGACGCTGTGAAAAAAGCCGGTGGTGTGATTGAAGCCAGTATTTGTTACACTGGAGATGTATGTGATATCAAGAAGACCAAGTACAATCTTGATTACTATGTGAAGTTGACACAACAACTTGTGGACGAAGGTATTCACATTTTGGGCATCAAGGATATGGCGGGTCTTTTGAAGCCAGGTGCAGCCACCTTGTTAGTAGGTACCTTGCGTAAAATGTTCCCTGATTTACCCATCCATATGCATACGCACGATACAGCAGGTACAGGTGTTGCCTCTATGCTGGCTGCAGCAGCAGCAGGTGCAGATATTGTGGATGCGGCTATTGATTCCATGTCAGGTATGACTTCCCAACCTTCCATGGGCGCTATTGTAGCAGCCTTGGAACAGACCAACCTAGGTACCGGCATTAGCTTGGAAAACATTCATGCTTTGAATTCCTATTGGGAACAAGCGCGTCTCTTGTACTCTCCCTTTGAAGCTAATGTAAAGGCAGCTGATTCCGGTGTCTATGATCATGAGATGCCCGGTGGTCAATATACCAATTTGATGTTCCAAGCACAGCAATTAGGTCTTGGTTCCCAATGGATTCAGATCAAAAAAGCGTATACAGAGGCTAACAAGATCTGTGGTGATTTGGTAAAGGTCACACCTTCTTCCAAAGTGGTGGGTGATTTGGCTCAATTCATGGTCTCGAATTCATTAAGTGGAGAGGATGTAGTTGAAAAGGCCTCTACTTTATCATTCCCTACCTCGGTGGTTGAGTTCTTTCAAGGTTACCTTGGTCAACCTTATGGTGGTTTCCCTGAACCCTTGAGATCCAACATCATTCGAGACTTACCTCCCATCAATGGTCGTCCTGGTGCTACATTAGAGCCGTTGGATCTTGCTGGTTTGAAGACCGAATTGACAGCCAAATATGGTAGCAATATTCGTGACTATGATGTGATTTCAGCTGCATTATACCCTCGTGTCTTTGCAGATTATCGTGATACGGTGAACCAATACGGCGACCTTTCTGTTCTTCCTACACGTTATTTCCTCTGTAAACCCACCATCGGCGAAGAGTTCCAGGTTGAGATCGAGGAAGGAAAGACATTGATTATCAAGTTGATGGCGGTGGGACCCATTAATTCCAGTGGTAAACGTGATGTCTGGTTCGAGTTGAATGGTGAGATCCGTGCGGTGGGTATTACGGATAACAATGCCGAGGTGGAGAATATTACCCGCGAAAAGGCAAACTTGGCTGTCCCTGGCGATGTGGCTGCTCCCATGTCGGGTGTAGTGATTGAGGTCAAGGTCAAGCCGGGTCAGTTGCTTAAGGCCGGTGAACAAATTGCGGTATTGAGCGCCATGAAGATGGAAACGGTGGTCACTGCTCCTATTGCTGGTAGAGTGGATCGTGTCGTTGCACAAGTTGGAGATAATTTAAGTTCGGGTGATTTAGTCATTCAAATTCATGGAGAGTAATTTTTTTTTATATATATATATCATTTTAAAATAAAAGACAGTGTAAGGTCTTATTTTGTTACAAGCAAATTCAGTATTAAATAGTTTAGTGAAGTTGAACCATTCATGTCAAAAAAAAAAAGAGTGTTTTTTTTCCATTGGAAGTGTATTACTATAATGGATAATAGACTACTATATCAACAGTACTTTTATTAAAGAAACAAAAAACCGTCAACGTTGGCATACTAATATGTAGTTTTGACATTCCTTTTATTCTTCGAGAAAAAAAAAAAAATCAAACAAGTTTAGATATGAGTTCTAAAGAAAACATCTTCCAAGGCTTCACTGTAGTTGTAACATTATGAACAAAGGCTTGTAGATGTAAAGTATCACCCTCTTGCGTAGAGTTGACTCCTAGGTCAACCATCAAAAACTTCTGCCAAGTGAGTGGGTTTTAAGAACTAAAGTCAATGAAGCTACTAGAAGTGTTAGCAGAAAAACGCTTCATAGCATTGGTATTTGGAGAATGTGACGGCTGATTTCACATACAAGATTTAAGTATTTCGAAGGCCATACATGAAACCGTTATTTTAACAACGGAATGACCAGCACTTGTGTAGAATGTGGAAATTCTGTACAAAATTTATATACCCAATACAGTAAAGATAATATTCGATTGACAACTTGTGTAAGTTGACCACGGGATCCAAAGCAAATGCCCTTCCAAAGCTAATGTTAAATTTAGCATCGTTGTAATAAATTTGCAGACAAATATATTGAACATGATTTTATTATTATATTCATCGACATGTTATTGCATAAGCCGCAAGTATATAGACACCTTTTAATTAACAGAATAACCGAACAAGACGGCGTCGAAGTGAGTGAGATGGCTTGTTTTTATATGTAAAGTAACATACGTCTGATATATTTTGATAGCCGCATGTATTTAGGTTTGCAATACTGCTGATCCTTTTTGAGGTTTGTAAGTAAAGCAATACACGATCGGCTTTTGAAGTCCCCCCCCAAAAAAAAAAGATTAATTGTGCTTTATCTTTTAGACATCAAATGGTTTAGATTAGAGAGATATTACACAGAATATGATTCAAAATTCATTCAACAACCACTTTATTATCAATACCTTTACATTTTAGCACTTTGCATATTCGGTAAAAGTTAGGATCCTATCATTGGATATACGTTTCTAACATTGTCTATCGCATTAGAGTTCATTGTATTTCATTGCTGTATCAACGTTGCTATCAGATGGTACTTCCGAAACCAAGAGAAGAGGATAAGGTAAAATTGGGATAATAAAACGATGGCGAAGCTGATTGTAACTTCCTTTCCTTTTTTTGCAGGTACAACTACGTTTCGATGGCATTGATTATAATAAAACGATGGCGAAGCTGATTGTAACTTCCTTTCCTTTTTTTGCAGGTACAACTACGTTTCGATGGCATTGATTATATCCAGTTTTGGGAAAATGCTGTTAATCTTGATGGTTATCTGGGATTACAAGCAGTTAGAGTATTCATGGCTGGTCAGTATCATTGTCTTGGCTTCCAACACAGAAGCATTATCGGGTATGGAAGTAATACATAAATTGTGTGTTTTTTTTGACATTAACAATTGTCTCTAGTGTACATGGATATACCCTATTTTCAAACGTTAATGATAATTTCATTTGGTATACTCGGTAGAATTTGTGCGCAATTTTTATTTTTAAACCTGACGTATTTCGACGATACTATTGAAGGCGTCTCTTACCTTGCAAAGTCAAGATGGGTAAGCATATAAAAAATAAAGAAATCATTTGTCTATTGAGACGGGTTTTTATATTGGTAGCGCTACTTGGTTGTTGAATGTGGATAGATGACTACCGAATGTCATTTCTCTTTACCTATATTTTACCGCGTCATTATTTGTTACTTTGGTAGAGCTGTAAAAGTTGAGACATCATGTGTTTTATTTTTTAAACATTTGACTTTAATGACGGTAGAGAATTTAAAGCAACGCCGACTATCCAAGAATCTAATATGCTGCGGATATTGGCGGTTATGCAGTTGTCGAGAGACAAGATTTAGTTTACCGGTTAGTGCCTAACAAATACCAATATGAAAAATAATGAGGTTCAACTTATTTTATAATATGAAACTTCACTGAATTATGTAATATTTTACTTTTCACGCTGCTTTCGAAGAGATAACTACTTAATATTCACTCACACCTGGATAAAATGCATCTCATTTTGAAGGGTTACATGCACCTTTTTCTGACAGACTACTTAATTTTACTAATCTCCTCTGTCACCCCCCCTTTTTTTTATAAAAAAAAACTACAAAACTAACTATGACCGATCCATACGGAACACCCTACACTCATGATGCTACAGATCTCAAATACATGCAAGTTTGCATTGAAGAGGCTAATAAATCGATTCCTGCCCCCCAAGCTTATTGTGTAGGTGCTGCCATTGTTCGTCATGGGGAGTTACTTAGTGTTGGTTACTCACGCGAATTACCCGGTAATACACATGCGGAGGAATGTGCTTTAGCAAAACTTGAAGACAAAAATTTGGAAGACTGTACTATGTATACTACCATGGAGCCCTGCTCGGTCCGATTGTCAGGAAATAGACCATGCGTGAGCCGAATTATTGAGGCTAGAATAAAGCGTGTCGTGGTTGGCGTAAGAGAGCCTCCAAATTTGGTTAGCTGTGAAGGAATTAGCCTTTTAGAACGAGAAGGAATTCAAGTTCTGATTGTGCCCGATGTACAAGATGCATGTTTAGCGCCAAATCAACATATTTTGAAACAAAAATAAAAAGGAGAGGGGACGGGAAAACAAGAGTTTTTATTTATTGATACAATAGGAAAAGAGATGTGATTTATATACTATACAATTTTTCAAACTTTAATGCTAAACTCTTCCCCATCCGTAAACAAGAAGAAAAGAGAAATCCAGGGTGTATATAAAGTATTTTTGGTCTAATGAATTTTCCTTTTTTCTTGGTTACAATTGGATGGTTTGTTGGTTTAAGAATCAAGAGGATGAAAATTTTTTCTTTCTTATAGCTGTCTTAATTAGACAGCGTTAGAAGGATAAACAAAGTGTTCGATAGGAACAAAAGATTCCTTGATGGTACGAGTAGAGATGAAACGAGTCAAAAGAGACCAAGAACCAGCCTTATCATTAGTACCGGAAGCACGTCCACCACCGAAAGGTTGTTGACCAACCACAGCACCAGTACATTTATCATTGATATAGAAGTTACCTGCGGTATTACGCAACAAGTTGGAACCCTTTACAATGGAGTCACGATCCTTGGCAAAGAAAGCGCCAGTCAAACCATATTGAGTGGTTTCTCCAACAAGTTTGCAGGTTGCTTCGAAATCAGCATCCTCATAAACATAGATGGTAACAACAGGACCAAAGATTTCTTCGGTCAAGGTCTTGGCAAACTTGTTCTTGGTAACAATGATAGTGGGCTCGATGAAGTAACCGACAGAGTCATCACACTTACCACCAGCAATGATTTCAGAATCATCATCTACGGCAATATGATCAATGTAGGACTTGATCTTGTCAAAGGCAAACTTGTTGATAACAGGACCTGAGAAATGATGGAATTCGGTGACAGGGCCTTGAGAGATCTTGGCATGTTCCTCAACGATATCCTTCTTGAACTGAGCAAACTTGGAAGAGGGAATGTAAGCACGAGAACAAGCAGAGCATTTTTGACCTTGGTACTCAAAGGCACCACGAATGGTTTGAAGAGCAGCGTGACGAACACCATCTTCATCAAGAGAAGGATGCAACAAATGGTAGTTCTTACCACCAGTCTCACCAACAACACGAGGGTAACTCTTATAGTTATCAATATTGTTACCAATCTCTCTCCACAACTTACGGAAGACATGGGTGGAACCAGTGAAATGAAGAGAGGTAAAATCAGGAGAAGCAATAGCATGACCACAGATTTCTTCAGCAGGTCCAGGAACAAACTGAATAACACCAGCAGGCAAACCGGCCTCAACAAGGATTTCATAAACCAAGTAGTTAGAGTGAACAGCACCAGGAGAGGGCTTCCAGAGAACAACGTTACCCATCAAAGCAGGAGCAGCAGGTAAGTTACCACCAATGGCAGTAAAGTTGAAGGGAGAAACAGCCAAAACGAAACCTTCGAGACCACGGAATTCGGTACGGTTCCAAGTACCAGAAGCATTCTTGGGAGGTTGTTGAGAATAAATTTCTTCTGCATACTTGCAGTTGAAACGCAAGAAATCACAGAGCTCTGCAGCGGCATCAATTTCGGCTTGCCAGATATTCTTACCTTGACCAAGCATAGTAGCAGCCATGACCTTGTATCTAGAAAAAATAAAAAAAGTATTAGCTTTTCGGGTGACACAAGTTTCTCACGCTTTACTATGCGACGCTTGTTTCCTTACCTGTACTTAGTGGCTAATAAATCAGCGGCCTTCAAGAAGACAGCAACGCGATCATTGAAAGGAAGGGATTCCCACTTTTCTTTAGCAGCCAAAGCACCATCGATAGCTCTTTGGGTAAGAACAGCATCTGCCTCATGATACTTGGCGACAACAGACTTGTGGTTGGAAGGGTTTAATTGTTCAGAAACCTTACCGGTAAAGATCTTTTCACCATTGATGACAACAGGGATTTCGACTGTACCTTGAGCAACCATAGCCTTTACAGCTGCTTCAATCTTGACTCTTTCAGCAGAACCAGGAGCATAGTTGAGCTACAAAAAAAGATAGAAATGTCAGCGAACGCGATTACATTGTATGCATTGTTCCATTTCTTACCATAGGCTCGTTGTCGATTTGAGGTAACTTAAAGTGGGCAAGAGTAGGAGTGGCCATTATATTTTTATGATAGATAAAGATAAAAGAAGAAGAAAAAAGGGAGTTGATGTCAACACGGACAGCTTTTATAGTTTCATACTGTCAATCTATGATTGGCTCACCTAACGTCAAGTCTAAGTCCCCGCGTTTCCCTTTTTTACTGTTTTTAAGCCCGGCAATTCCCGGAAATGCGTTTGAAGCATGAAGTAAATTGTAGGCATTTAAAAGGCATCTGAAAAATGAAATACCGCTAAGTTTTTTTTTTTTTTTAAAAATAAAGATTACTGCTATCTTGTATGTTCATCTTCAAGCAAATGAACGATTGCAGTTCATCCTGTCAAATCAAACAGATAAATATACGCACAATATGGTTTCCAGGTAAATAGAGTTTTAGGGAGGGAGGAAGGGGTTTCTATGGTGGCATCGGCAACTCAAAGATTATTTTGAGATCATCTAAAGCAATTTAGACGTTGCATACAGAAAATGAGTTTAGCACTATAAACAAACAAGATTTAAAAACAACACTAATTCGAACGATAAGGAATAGATTTTTTATTTAATTTTTGATAAAAGATAAACAGACGTCAAAAAAAGGGAGGTACCAAGATGAGGCATCCGAAATTTTGTATAATCACGAAAGCTGATTGGTTTTACACTGTGGGAAAAAACACTACTTTAGGTAGTTGGATTATTACTCAAATCATAAAATTGATTTAATAAGCCCATCATGCCCTCTTTTTTATCAATCGCGTCTTCTTGTTGGTTCCATCTTTGGTTTGCTGCAAATGAATCACCTAAATTACTAGGTACAACATCAGGTATGCCATATTGATTTAGTCGCATTGGTTGCTTCTCGGGTCTCCTCCTTTCAACTTGTTCATCATCGGAATCTTCTTCTTGAATATGAACATGCCTTTTTTGATTCTTGAATTCCGTAAGTCGAGACAAGTACATTGACCCACCTAAATCTTGTGGTATCCACTTGGGATGATTGGCCTAGATTAATTCGTCAGTTTATGAAAAAAAAAAAGATGATTCATCTTTTGGTGTATTACCTTGAAGCTGATGAAGCTCTTTTCCATCTTTCCTTGCTTGCTAAGGTAATACTCGTCCTCCGTGGTAACGCCTTGCACTCCGTAATTTACGTTACCATGTCTCTCAAAATCAAACTGAGCAAAACTACATACATACCCCAATCCATCCACATGAATTGTAAATTCTCTAAAAAAGTCCACTATCTGTTCTGCACTGGTTGGTAAAGATAAGCACAATACAAGCGGAGCAAAGATTACACTAGTGAGCTCTTGCAAAAATACACCCACTTTATAATCAAATAGCAAGCAAAACTCCCCTCGCACCTATTAGGACATAAAAGTTAAAATCCGAATAAACTTTAGATTGACTTGTTCTTTTACTTGGTCCGTATGCAACTTGTGTTTCCATTCTGCGGGTAAATAATGTGTATGTTCCACAACTTGTCGTAACAATCTCTCGGGCTCGAACACTTGATTTTCATCAGGTATCATTCCTCGTGTAACAGCGAATATCGTTCCTGTGATGCCCAAGTAAAACAAAACTGTCCCATTCGGTGTGATTTCAAAATTGAGTAGTGCTTCAGAATCAAACAGAGTAAAAAGTGCTAAAACACCGGCAAAAGATCCTGCAAGAAAAGATACAAATCTAATCATTTTTCATGGGGTTAGTCTCTTCAATTTTACTCTTTCCCCCCACCCCCATTTCTTCTGTTGTTAAACCTTACTTTGCTGCAAGAATAGTTTTTTCTTTGGGAAATTGGTTGATGTAAAGATTAGCGAATTCATAACTTTGGCTGATACGATTACGAAACAAATGAGGTAGTTCGTTAAATTCACGAAACTTCCACTTGGCAAATGGCGTATATCCCCTTGACCCCATTTCTCCTGGATTTTTGTGATATTCCTATTATAAAATTTATCAGTGAATTAGGAAGGGGGTCTTTTGAGATCACTTTTTTACCTCAAAATAACGAAAGAAAAAGTGCAAAATCAAATAGGCGAGAATAAAGGGCGACAAGGCAAAGTTCAATAAGCCCATAAAAATAAATCTTCTTTTCAATCCAGCTACCAAAACATGCTTGTTCTTTTCCTTTAAAAATCGCTTTCTCATTTGGCCTCGATGATCGAATACAAACCCCAATAGACAGAAAGTTAAATTCCATTCTAGATCTCTTGTGAAAATGTGTTTCTTGTTTAAATACGGTAAAGGTATGGTGATATTCAATAGATCCTTGTTAAATAACGCAATCAAGTAATTCTCTTTTCGCATAATTCGACTTGCAACATCGTGTTCTGTGAGTCGAATATCGGACACATTGGGGTTGGTCTCTCGTATATCAATAATACGATCTAATACAGTTTGCCATGATACAGTTTGCATATCTTGCTATATAGATATAAATATATATAAAGGGAGTCAGTTTTTGGCGTTCATGTAGATCTTCAACAAAAGCTTACGTCTGGAATAAGTAAAAGATGGGTATAAAAATTATGCATTTCTTTCAGCATTGGTATGTCTGTTATAAATCGAATTCCTTGCCAGATCCACCATGCTACAAATATTGACAAGAATAAGAATTTTGTAGCGGAAAGCCTATATTAAAGTTAATCATACGCCCAACAACAAAGACTTAAAGAGGCTCACTTTGAAATGCACTGAGGCTCAACGACGTCAGATAGCTTGTGTCGAGATGTTATTTCAGAGTAGTTTATGCAACCGATTAGAAATGTTGAAAAGAGAATTATGAATGCCAAAGTTCTAGAAGAGAAAGGGGGTCAAGACAAGGTACCACTGTTTGTTTTAGAAACTTACAGCAGGTTCAACAGTCTAGCTAATAATATACAATAAATGCCTTTTCCCTGAAAATATTCATACACTCTATTAAAAAAATCGTCCATATTTTCTACATTAGCCCAACGCCACATGGTACGATCATAAGTAGTGACATGGTCTCTTGTTGAAGGTCTATGATGGGTCTGTATTGGAGATGCACGCTCCAGAATGAGAGATGGTGGAGCTTCCATGTCTTCATTGTCCGAAGAGTCAGTGGTTTGAAAATACGGTCGTTGCAGACTACCGTTTAGATATCTGCTGTTATCAGCAACCGTTTCATGGACTGGATTTAAAGTAAATTCTTCGTCGTCTGAATACTCTTGTAATAGTCTTGAATTGGACATGCCATGTATTTCGAGGGAAAAAGGTGAAAAAAAGATAAGGGCATACGTACTGCGGCTAGTGAATGTCTCCAATCGCCCCACACACAGGTGATGCTTCAGCTGTTCTGTCAATGGACAGTCACGGAAAAAGGGAAACTCCATTCATGCATTTCTGGTGATCTTTCAATGTTCAATCGGCGTCCAAAAGAAGCAATTAACGCATTCGCACTTTGAATTCGAATAAAAACTAATATTGTTTGAACGCATGTAAATTGTATTTTTCTTCATGACAATCAAGTTATTTTCGTATCGAGTTCTTTATTAAATATTTGTTTTCTTGAGAGGGGTTTCGGGGGGTAAAACCAAAACAAACTTTTATTAAAAAAAAAAAAAAAAATTGGGAATATAAAAGGCACATTGAATCTCTTTGTTTCTCTCTTCTCTACCACTCAACACATCCAATGTTTCAATATATCTTTCTGCTGTTCGTTCTAGTTCAAATCGTTTTATCTGACGATATTTATATTTACGGCCCTCCTCAAAACGGTATCTATCACCCAAAAGATGTCATGGACATCAGATATGCAGGTAAGAAAGGGAAAAAGCGTGAATTATTGAATACTCTATTTACACTAAATTGTCAGTGCATTCTATGGGTATGACAAGAATTTGGTCTGCTTCTGCTAAATTGACGAATGTCGAAACAAACACAACAATTGAAGGCTTTCCACTAACAAATTGGACAGCAAGTAATAACACTCAAAATTTCTCTCATGATATTTGGACAATTCCCGTTGATATGCCAAATGGAAATTACTCCATGTGTGTAAGCGGAAAGTAGGTTAAGAAATCATCTTTTTTTAAATATATATCTGTTCGCCAACAGTCTTATTAACAACTCGCTTTAGCACAACATTTATGTGTTCTAAAAACGGAAACGGTACTGGTAATGTAGATAAAGAATAGAAAAAAAAGGGGGTATGTTAATATTAATTAAAAAATCTCTTTTTTATGTAGCTCCTTTCGAGCAATGCCATTCAAATATCTATAAATATACCACTTTTATTATCAACAATGGCACACTTGAAGAACAAAATAAATAAACTGTATAATATGGGTCAAAATCGCCCACTGTTTCAAAGAGTTACTACATGCTGCGGTTGCCAATATTTATGAGTTTTAGTGTACCTTTACTTCAAAAAAAAAAAAAAAAAAAAAAACAGCATTCTGGCTGTTACAAGCACACCAAATTTTGGTCTTTTATTCTGTTTGCGCGTCTGTTCATATTCTAATACAGTTGTCATAGCAACTCTATCCAATGTATCTACCCACTGTTAACAATTAGCATGTAATATTTATGCCGTGTGTGTTGTCCCGTAACGTCGATCATTTTTTTTTAGATTCAATGAAACACCCCTTTATCATTTATTTATTTTTATACTTGGGTTTCTCTTTTATTGGCCTTGCCAAGACGTATTTTGAAATAAACTCCCTCGGTATAAAATGGACATGATTCCAAAGATTGTTAAATTTCAGTTTCCTTGCTAAAAAAAGGAAGGTTCCATTTACTGACAAGGGGAAATGATAAACCTACGCTAAAGGCAAAACAGCTTATTCATTAAGAGCTTTCTGATGGATTACATTTCCCACTTCGTATACATGTACTTTTTGACAAGCATGCTACAGAAATAACGTATTTTTAAAATTATGCGTATCACCTATAAAAAAAAAAGTCTACCAGCAATAGCTTTTAAGGAGGATTTTGTTTTATCTTAACATTCACTATCATTGTTTTTCAGGTTAGAGCTTAAAAATGCTATATCACCAAGAATGGTTTATCCCACTCATTTGCATGATCTTTTTGTACAGATTAAAAAATACATCACTCTGATAAATTTCATCCAAATGACAAACTATGGGCATGTAATGTCTTCAAATATATTTAATCCATAATTCCACATGCCTCTCTGGGCCACAGTTTTATTATTTGTGCAGCCAAAAGATTTGAGAAAAACAATGTCCAAGGCAAGGGCAGTTACGATTTTAAAACTATGTTGATGACAGTCTGAAAAAATAGCTGATATCAATTAAATACACTCCGCTTTTTATGTCTAGGAACAATTTAAAATTTACAGGAACATATTCTTAAAGTCATATATGCTTACGGATTTAGATACCTGTGCAGGGTAATATAAAGGTGACAGTATTTGGGTAACAAAAAATGCACGAAAGAAATTTTTTGATTATCATTGAGATATACTCAAAGCTTCAATCAGCGGAGCATATGACTAAATCAATTATTCTTCACACATAACCATAATGTACACTTCTTTTACGGCTAAAAGCTTCAGTGGTATTAAAACCACGCTAAAAATGAATGATATCATTGACAAATACACCAGACGTATCGCAACCCCGTATATCCCTTTGGTCAAAGAGGCTGGATGATATCAAAAATTTTGGAACATCCGAAATAGACCAATTTTTTAAAGCTTTGGAGACAGTAAACGGCTTTACAAATTGCATGAATAAAAGGTAAATAATAATTTGATATGATGACGGTCTGGATTGTAAGCCCAAATTCAACTTACGCTATTTAAAACTACTTTGTTGGGGAATGTTTGATTTCACAGCCCAAGCATAAAATAAACGGATTTCTTTCTGTCCTTTTTGTTATATCAACATATGATGTCAGGAAACACAACGTCACCCACGATAAGAAGCATGGAGCAAAAATTACCTACACCTGTAAATTGTCTCATGGATCAAACCGACATGTGTAATTAACATTTACCATTATATGAATTAGATGGCAGACATTGAATCAAGCGTTTCCAGATTGTTAATGACAACGAAAAAGCTTCTGGAAACCTTAACTGCATGGTCTGCAGGTCAAGTCAACGATACACAAGTGTATGACGAATATAATTTGCTGGAAACTCATTTTACAAGTGCGACACAAGCGTTTGAATCTGCATTGTTACCAATGGAGTATGTTATTTGTTTTATAATAAAATCAGAAAAATGCAATACTAATGTGAAAAAAAAAAAAAAAAAATTAGCGATATGCTCCATTTACCCGATGATTTACGAGCTTGTTTAAACGACGCTTTGTCTAAAGAGCCGTCTTCAGCCACATTAGAGCACTATCTACCCTCTATTCGAGATATAATATTACGTTTATTGCAAGGATTGAAAGAGAGACAATCGCTGATGAGGGAAAGGCTGGAGCCTACTGCCAAATTATCGCCAATTATTACAACACCGATGCCATTGCCTTCCCCTTCATCCTCCACAGAGCATCCACAGATACCCCAGTTACCCATATCTCCTGCGGAAGAATTCGATATGAATGATCCATCAACAAAAAATGCTGTAAACGCATTAAAATTACAGGAAGACTTAGCGGGAAGGTCATCAGTGCGTAAGACATCGAACTTGCACAAAAAAGGTCCGTACTTTTTTCATCGAATCATAAAAAAAAAAGAAACTAAACCCTTTATAGGATTCGTGATTGCATTATATTTAAAAATGGGCGACAGAATAAAGAAGGTCAATGTAGATGCATCCGGTCTTTATATGTCTGCATTGCAAGCGTTATTCCAAGATAAATTTGGCTGCACTGGGGATGTGATATGGATTCTGGATGGAGAATCGAATGTAGAATATGAGTTGGAAGATGTTTCTGACATCAAACCTTATTCGATACTATCCATCAAGGGTAAGTTCACAATAGAAAAAAATAGAACTTAATGGAATTTTATTAAAAAAATAGTTTAAAAAGTAGACAAGGATAGCACCCTGGATGATGAAATGAAAAGTTTATTTAAAGAAACTCTAAATCAAGTCAGACAGACCATTCAAACAAATAAAGCTCCAATTATACCCACAGCAGAAAAGATTAAGGAGCAGCAAGAGGAAATTAGCTCCTTACGTCATGATCTTGTTAGTGTTCGCACAGTCTACCAAGATTTTAAAAAAGACACTGAAATAATGATTCACGAATTGCGCGAAAAGAGTAAACAAGAATCTCTTCATACTGTCGTCATTATGGACCCTACAACACGTGCAGAAATGAACTCTAGTCGAGAGGTGACGCAAAAAGCGGCTACATTAATTACAAACAGACTAGAGACCTTACAAGACACCATTGACCAGATAAAAACTGACGTTACACAGAAACGGTGCAGGCCCTCAAAAGCCCAATTGGATTACTGTAAAAAAGAGTCTGAAACCGTACAAATAGAAATGAATGATTTGGTGAATAGAGTTAAATCGGTCAAACCCATCTGGAAAAAGACATGGGAAGTTGAATTACAGCAGATAGTAAAAGAGCAACAGTTCTTAAAAGAACAGGAAGCCCTTTTAAACGACTTGAGGGAAGACCATCAATCACTTGAGCAAGTCTTAAATCAATTATTAAAGATATCGGAAATTCAAGAAAGGAAAAAACAGTCAGGTGTCTCGTTGTTCAATGTAGCTCCAGCAGAAGAAGGGTTCGAAGGCATGACAAGCGTTATGAAGCAAGTCTCAACAATACAAGTGGATCATTCTAGAAGAGTCAAAGCATTAGCGGAAGCGGAGAAGTCAAGGTCTAAAGAACTGTCTCAAAGAATAGATGCGTTTGAAAGAGAGTTGACGGACTTTGTTGTTCTACGCAAATTGAAAAACACGGGTGGTGCTGAGGCTGTCGATAGGCAGAGGCAGGAAAAGGATAAGGATTTAATTAAACAAATATTTGTCGATTCAAATGCATCTCTGGCTGAAAAAAACTCTAATCATGATGATGAAACTCCCCTCTCGCAATGATGAAAATACACATGTTCACCCCTTTTGAAAGACAATAAAATGACAAAAGAATCGAGATACCCCATTGCGTGTGACAATAAGTCTGCAAATGGACATGAAATGACGTTGAGAATTAATTCCTCGATTTGTCATTTTCTTATATAAACCTTGTATCTTTTGATCTTTATTTATTTATTATCTCTCTCTCTTTCTTACTTTTTACAACAAATATGAATTTCTCAAATATCTTTACTTCAGCTCAAAGCTATACTATCACACTTCCTGTTGTCGATATTTCTTCCAGTTTTTGTGACTGTTGTGGCGTTGATGTTGTTCAATTTAGGTATGTAAAAAAAAAAATGATAATCCCTTATACCTTTAAACTAACATTTACACATTTGATAGCCATGAATTCTGGTGTCGCCACTCAAATTAATATCCAAGAAACAACCTACTCACACCTCCACACCTTGCTATATACATACATTTATTCTTATGGTCATCCTTTTAAAACTGTACATATTTCTCATATCCAACTCAGTGGAAATCACGAAATTTTCACTTTCTACATAACTATTTAGACAATCATATTTAAAATAAAAAAATTTTAAACAGAAATATATTACTGTTACCTAATAATGACGATATGTGAAAATGAAAGATCATCGACGTGTAACATTAACCTTTAGTACCTTCATCAAACTCGTATCACTTGACAAAATCTACACTTAAGTATCTGTCTTTAATAAACAGTTTGTATCGCAGCTAATGACTCATGCAATAAGTAGAAATAAATAGCTATCACCAATGTGCCTTAAAACCTTAATACCTTTCTTGTAATAACGACCAGCTTTGTATTACCTTATTGTTGGCTTTTAATATGGCTATATGGCTATAGGGGTTCAAAACAACTCTCACGTGTAATGCGTTACACACGATTCAATAAAAAAAAAAAAAATCTCTGGCCAATGGTACACACTTGCCCCCCGATGGGATCTCTGTAAAATGTCACCACCATCGAACTGATGACTAAAACTAGACCCAGTTCGGTGAGTTTACGTTCTTTTAATTATATAGGTGTCGATCACCTATCTACTGGGTATCTATAAATGGTTATTCTATAATCCGTTCCGGCTATGCGGTTCCCAAACATACACGGGTCAAAACTTTTTAATCCCCCCCCCCATTGGTATGCCAAGGCCACAGTTTACGCTCTCCTAAAAATGATCAGCCGTATTTATTTAAATTTCTTATGTTAGGAGTAGTATATGGAGATTCATGTTTGGGAAGCATCCGGACATAACGATTAAACTCCATATGACTAGTGCCGCATCCCTCTTTTTTAATAAAGAATGGATTATATCAATGCATCATATGCAAGTGATATAAACAGTTGGCTTTATGATCCAAATGGCTAAATATGCCTCTTTTAGTATTTAAACTAAAATGAATGGAATGCGTTGTTATAAAGACGCACAAATTGTTACTATCACAATTGTTATGGTCTGTTATAAAATAATGTGGAACAACTACCAAAGTAAGAAAGAACCGAAATGACAATATAGGCAATATGACCAGCTTAGCTCCAGGAGAGCAAGTCATAGTTCTATTCTGCGTCCAGGGGCATGCACTGTACACATATACTGTTTATGTAATCAGCATATTTAGTATTAGTGTTTCAAATGACGTAGGTGACCCATATAGTAGTCTTTCTCTCTTATGCGTAAGACGGAAGATACGCACTGTAAAATCACGTTTGCCTGGATAATTTAGAAGACGTGTTACAAGTTGGGAGGTACAATTTTTATGCCCCGGTTTCCAGAGTTTACGACCGCTTTATTAATTGTATCGCACTCAACTACTTAATTTACAATAATGTCGTGGAACATTTGCATAATGTGTCACGCTATTGTCTTTTTTTTATTTGTCATATATTTAATCCACATTTGGCGCGTAGATACTGGCCATTTATATGGTTGTAATATTGAGCAGTCAGCACATTTCTACATGTTTGGGATTTTCAAGATTGGTAGTGGGAGAAAACAACAAATGAGTCGAGCACGCTTCTATGTTTACGAGATCGTTACTCTATGCTTCATCATGTAGTGATTTCAGGTCATTTTAACCAAGTTGATATTATGGTTGTCATTATGCATATGTTCCCCTATCAGCAGATATGCTTCTTATTAGACTTTTTGTAGGATAGCTAAAGACTTACTAAATGTAGAGAAATCCCAGAATTGTTTTGATGGTATTTATAAACTTTTTTTTTACAATGCTTAAAACTAATCCGACTTTAGAAAATAGAATATAACAGCTTTGTCACGATAAACAAATTTGATTTAGAGACAATTTCTCTGAACCTGATTGGCAGATTTAATTAATGGCACATATGCTAAATACGTGCTATTACAACGTTCATTGAAGATTATCTACGATAGACCAATATTTTTTTTTTAAAAAAAAACAATCTCAAAGTACATATCGTCAAATACAGTCTTTTATATAACGAAGCATTATTGCGTTTAAAAAACGGAAGACTAGTCACTCTAACATAATGTTATAAGTTAACAAATGTTATAGTCTCTCTTCACTAAAGTCGAAAAGACTATAATACAATCTTTCTGTAGTGTAAATTTTCTAAGTTTTTTTTGGCACATTCCATTACCAGAGGGTTGTTAAGAATATGGTCAACTAATTGATACCTAAAAAAATTTTTAATTGTTAAAGCTATTATTAAGATATACAGTGCTTTTTTTTTTGAAATTTCTGAAGCAAAAAGATAGAAAACAGAAATCAGTCGTTTTTGGCTTCTTTATTCGAAACTTAAAATTTACTGCCTTTAAATTTACATAGATTTAGGAGCTTATATTTGTCTCAGCACCCTTCAGTAAATTGGTCTATTTTGAGCCAATCATCTGACAAAAAAAAAAAAAAAAAAAAAACGTAGTAACAACTTTAGTGATGTTCCTACTTCGCTTAATCAAAGGACCGGAATAATTTTCAGGATGTTTTTCCGTGTATTTTTTTACCTGAAAGACAAATACGATCGTGTAACATCGGACCAAGACTGTCTTATTGATAGTAAGCACTAAATAGCTCTGTCTTTAAGAACAACACAAGTGTTTTAGCTTCTGGCTTATTCCCACAGTAAATAAGAAGATGGATGCCTCTTTTGACTCGACTCAGCCGCCGACGCCAACAACCTGTTCATTTGTAATGAGGAGCCGACAAAATTTCCTTTTATATTATTTATTGGCCGTAGCGGTCCTATTTGGCTTGCCGTGGACATATTTCTTTTTCCGTCGTAAGCATATAAATACACGTCTTTTACCCTGTATAATTCCTTCCAACAAAGATTATTTACACTATGATTTTCGTTGCGTTAGCAGCGTCACCAATTTTGTACGTTATTTATAACTTGTACTCAAAATACAATAATGTCTACAAGAAATATCAAGATGTTTTCTCAGGCTATGAAATGAAGGACACTCCTGAAACAGAAGACCCCATTACTTTACAGTTAACCTCCGGAAGTTTCCCATCCTGGTTAAATGGTATTATGTATCGTGTTGGTCCTGGTAAGTTTAACATCAAGCAAGATGATGGGTCTACTCTGGTTATCAAGCATGCTTTTGATGGCTTATCTTTTATGCACCGTTTCCGCATTGATGGCACTACGCAAACCTTGAAATATAACTCGCGCTGTTTAGCCAAGTCTCTGGAAAAAGCTTTAGCTCAAAATTCGTTCAAGGGTCTTATTTTTTTCGGTTTTATCCCAGTCTTGTCTTTCTCTAGATGGCTGTATCATTTTTGGGCTCGTCTGGATCAATATGTTCTTCGCCCTAGGTCAAGAGCTTCAAACAAAGCAGATGGTCATAACGTCGGTGTCACTGTAACTCCTAATTTCCCTCTTCCTTCAAAATGGGAAAAGAATAATCAATCGGTTCTGGTCTCCAAAACAGATGCAAACATCCTTCAAAAAATTCATGCTGAAACTTTAGGTAAAACTATAAAAGTCAATTTTCAAAAAAAAAAGACCAGATAACTCAAACGTAATTAATTTATAGTTCCTGAAAAGGTTTTCACTTATACTACATATGATGCCAAGTTGAAGGGCCAACTTTCCGCTGCTCATCATCAATCTGATCCTGACACGAAAGAAATCTTCAATTTCACTTTAAGCTATAATCCCAAACCTCGTCTTATTGTCTTTAGTACTTCTGAAGCAGGAAAAGTTACCGTCTTGGCCGATTTTACTCAACGTACGGACAAATCTAATTTTCAAGCACCCTATATTCATTCCTTCTGGCTTACCAAAAACTACGTGATCATCCCCGAGTCTCCCTTAATTTACAAGGACAAAGGCATTAACATGTTGCTTAATGGTAACATTATTTCTAGCATGACTTGGGAAAAGAACTCGCCTACGTATTTCCATGTCATTAGCCGTAATGGTGATGGTCTTGTTGCTTCTATCCCTGGTCCTGCCTTCTTTACCTTCCATGTATCAAATGCTTTTGAAACAGCTGACCCTGCAACTGGTGACATTATTTTAACTTTGGATTGTGCCTCTTTCTCAGATGGCAATATTGTGAACCAGGTTCATAAATTTGGTGCTTCTCATTACAAAGGCCCTGACTATACTCCTAAACCAAGCTCGGAATTTAATGGCACAACCTATCCTCCTCCTCGTCATGTTGATTTTGGTGATCTCAACCGTTACAAACTGAACCTAACTCAATCCAAGCATATTTCTACAGACTTAATGTGTAAGAACTTGGAATTCCCTAGAATCAACCAATCCTTTGCCGGAAATGCCAACTATCGATTTGTTTATGGTTGTGAACTATTGGGCTTTACAGAAAAGAGAGACGAAACCAACAGAATTGTCAAGGTCGATATCGATACTGGGGCTATCACGTATTACGGCGATGAGGGGTTCTACTGCTCTGAACCCATCTTTGTACCAAACCCCGAGGGTACAAGAGAAGATGACGGTGTATTGTTAAGTTTGGTCAACAACTTTGACTGTTGCTATTTAATTATCTTGGATGCCACCACATTGACTGAATTGGCCCGCTTTAAGATTGGTCAATTTACTGCTGTAACATTCCATGGTTCTTACGTTGATCATGAATTTGAGTCTATCAATATCAACTAATTTTTTTTTAAATAAATAAATACTCTAATATCGTTAAATTTTAAAGACACAGTAACATCTCTCTTTGTGCGCAAAAAATAGAAGGGAAGTACAACCTTATTATGTTTGTGACACCCAACCCCCTAAAGAACAATGAAATGAAAAAAGCATAAAAAAATAGCGCTAGACATCGTATATTTTAACCTCTTTCTTTTTTTATAATCACAACAATGATTATTGCTGCTGCTCTGGTCCTGATACCTGGAATATCTGTATATTTTCTGTATCTGAATTATAACAATGTATACAAGAAGTACCAGGCGATCTTCCAATCATACCAATTGACAGATACTCCTGAAACAGAAGAGCCAATTATTTTGCAATTGACAAATGGTGAAGTCCCTTCGTGGTTAAATGGTATCATGTATCGCATTGGTCCTGGTAAATTCAACATCAAGCAAAATGATGGGTCCACTTTTTCAATCAAGCACGCTTTTGATGGGCTTCCATTTATGCATCGTTTCCAAATTGATGGGTCAGCACAGACTTTAAAGTATAACTCCCGCTGTTTGTCAAAATCAATTGAAAAGAAAATTGAGCAAAAGTCATATAAAGGTATCATCTTTTTTGGTCATGTCCCCGTTGTGTCATTTTTGCAATGGATCTATCATTTTCTGAATCGTTTGGACAGTTTTATCCTTCGTCCCAGACCAGACGAGTCACCGGATGCTCACTCGGTTGGTGTAACAGCCACCCCAAATTTTCCTCTCCCATCTCATTGGAAGTCGGCAGGCCGTCAACAACCAGTCTTAGTCTCTAAAACAGATGCCAATATCCTGCAAAAAATTAACGCCGAAACTTTAGGTAAACTATATTATTTTTACTAAGCATATAATTTAAAATGCTGACGTATTAAATCTAGTGCCTGAAAAAGTCTTCAATTACACCACCTTTGACAAAAGATTGAAAGGTGAATTTTCTGCTGCCCATCACCAGTATGACTCTGAAACCAAGGAGGCATTCAATTTCACATTATCTTTTGCCCCCAGACCTCGTATGATTGTCTTTAGTACTTCAGATTCTGGAAATGTGACAATTTTAGCTGATATCACGCACCGCATGGACAAATCTCGGATCGGAGCACCTTACATTCATTCTTTCTGGTTGACCAAAAACTACATCATCATCCCTGAATCTCCCTTAACGTATCATGATAAATGCCTCAATATGTTGCTCAACGGCTCTGTTCTTTCTAGTATGGCTTGGCAAGATGATACGCCTACTTATTTTCATATAGTAAGTCGTAAAGGAGGTCTTGTAGCTTCTATACCTGTACCCCCCTTTTACACTTTCCACGTAGCAAACAGCTTTGATTCAATTGATCCCGTCACTGGAGATACTATTTTGACTTTAGATAGCGCTTCTTTTTCGGATGGTGATATTTTAAATCAATTGCACACATTTGGTACTGGCCATCCTAAAAGTATCGCTCTCAAGCCTGAACCATTTACCCGCTTTCATGGCATGGCCTATCCTCCTGCTCGCCAAGCAAAGTTTGGGGATCTTCAACGTTACAAGCTTAATTTAACTAAATCCGAACACATTTCGACGAATCTTTTGTGCAAGAATGTAGAGTTCCCTCGATTCAATCAAAAATTTGCCTTACAATCTAACAGTCAATTTATTTTTGGATGTGAGCTATTTGCTTATACAGAGAAAACAGACGAGAGTAGCGGATTAATCAAGGTTGATATGCTCACAGGTGATAGACTTCGCTACGGACAAGAAGGATATTCGTGTTCTGAACCCATTTTTGTTCCAAATCCTCAATCTTCGAGCGAAGACGATGGCGTATTATTGACTTTGGCAAATAACGTTGATTGTTGTTATTTGATTATCGTAAATTCTGTGACAATGAAGGAGCTCTCTCGCTTCAAAATTGGACAGTTTACAGCAGTGACTTTTCACGGATCTTTTGTTGATCATGAGTTTGAATCGATTAATATTAATTAAATAAAACAAACAAATAAAAAAGTTAAAAAAAAAAAGAAACCCCTCATTCTTTTGTTTGATTGACAGTGACAGATACTTTATTATTACAACTCATCTACAGAGAACCAGTTGTCCGGACGTTTACGCTCAATATCAGGAATACGCTCACAAACCTTTGCAATCCGGCATAGCAAAGCTTCATTCCACCATGTAGCCATGAATTGCAAACCGATAGGCATCCCTTCGTGAAAACCAGCTGGTACACTAACCGCAGGAATACCCGTGAGGTTAGCAAGCAGACAATAATATACAGCATCAACCGTAAGTTTAGCATTAGACATGCCATATGAGTGTGCCTTCTCAGGAATTTTAGGTGCAAGAATTCCTGTAGAAGGGCACAAGATCAAATCAATTTTCTGGTCTTCAAAGAAACCACGCAAGTGATTCATCATGCGTGTACGTACTTGTTGGGCACGTATATAATCCCGAGGCTGTAATGCACTTGTGGTGCCTGCCATGAGCCTGGTATGAGCTAAAAACTTGCGATAATTTTGAGGATAACGCGAAGCATAATTCGCCATTTCACTACAGATGGTGACGGTGTGTGCTATTTAGAGAGTGTTGTTAATGAATATTTGTTTACGTGAAATTATTGTAACAAACCTGTAGTAGTAATGTCCAAGTCAGGGATATCAATTTCTACTATGTGTGCTCCCAATTTCTGCAGATGCGATTTGAAAAAATTCAACTTTTCAAGAATGGCAGGTTCAAGAATACCGTCGTTCCATTCAGGCGTAACAGCAATCGTCAAATCCGATAAGTCAAGATAACGATCATAATCCTTGAGATTGACAATAGGCTGTAATAAAGAGTTTATATCCTTGGAATCAGGACCAGCAATAATTGAATATGTTAACGCCATATCATCTGCAGTGGCAGCGAGAGGCCCATAGGCGCCTAAAGAAGGATCAATGGTTGCACCACCATAACCAGAAACACGTGCAAATGAGGTTTTCAAACCATACAAACCACAGAAGCTGGATGGAATACGAACTGATCCACCTCCATCAGCGCCAATGCTGACAGGTACCAGACCGCCAGCAACAGAACCACTTGATCCACCACTTGATCCACCACATGAATATGAGATTTGATAAGGGTTTTCAGGAATGCCTGTATTGGGGTTTACGGTAAAGGTGTCCCAACCCAATTCGTTCATGGCTGTTGCTCCAATAATAATAGCACCAGCTTTTCTCAACTTGGTTACCAATGTCGAATCTTCCGCGGCGGGTGTTCCATCGTTTATGAAACAAGTGCCGACTTTTGTTTCCAGCCCCTTGATGTCCAACTCTTCTTTGATCGTAACAAATACGCCTTCCATTTGACTACGTGCTGTATTTGACTTATATCTCTCAGTTGACTCCTCAGCTTGCTCAAGTATATCCTGACAGATAAAACGCATCCAATTCATTTGTTTGCTCTTGTCCAATTTAATCAATAGCTTTTGTGCAATTTCTGTTGGCGTAGTTTTAAACTGTGAGTAAGCTTCGTGATAATCCCAAAATGACAGAAAAGGTGATACGCTTTTGTGCTCGGGGTCCAATCGAAGAATGGGCTAAATGATTTTTAAGTCAGTTTTTTTTTATTTATATATGAGTTGTTTGCTATAATTACCTGATCGAAAACAGCATCCTTAGGTGCGTTGATATAATTGAATGGTATACCCATCGTGTTTGGATGATCCTCAATATCATTTCTTTCTCTCAAATTAAGAAGTTGAGCGTCACCAGCAACCTTTTGGTTCGCAAAAGGGATATAATCGATAGCATTTGCAGCGAGACATAATGACCACCCATATAACTCTGGTGCGCTGAAAGCAGGCTTTTCATTAACCTATAAATATTCAGTCAATATTAAACCAGGTTTCAGGGTGAAAAAATTAACTTACAGTGTTTATTAAATTTTTATCAGTCATTTTTTGTATAGAGAGAGAGAGAGAGAGAAGAAAAAAAGAAAGAAAATGGCAAAAAGGAAAAAGAGTTTGAATTATATTATAATTTGGTGAAACACTAAAAAAGTTGGTGTAAACAAAAAAGACACAAAAGTGGGATAGGCAGTCCCTATTACATAAGAAATCTCCTCTACTTCTCTGTAAATGAATCAACCTCGGGTATCGAAGCAAGGTATCCTATATTTGAATATTGTGGCGGTAGAGATAACTTCCTTGGTCGTGGCTCTTTTGGCTGCATGTCTGTAAATCCTAATGACGTTGTATCGGCTACAGACCATCGTTTGTTACTCAGGGCTGTCTCTATACATTGGGTCAATAGCTCTTGATTTTCTATAACTGTAACGTGTTCTTCTTTTTTGTGTTGCTTTTTTTGATATAATTGCTTCAACGAAAACCGTTTCTTCTTTTTATTAACTGTGCTAGTCGTCGATGCTATTGTGTCATTGTCCTTTTTCTTATTAAATAAAAATCGATCGAGTAATGCCATAAGTGAATGTGTGAATAAAAAAAGAAAAAAAGAGAAAAGAAAAAGCGAAATAAAAGAGGAGCTATATTGTCAATTATAGGAAATGCAGGAGGCCAAAGCCACATCAAGAATTGATGTTTTGTCAAACGTGTTGGCTCTCCCCTTAGAATTTAAGTGAAAATATCTTTACGCAGTGATGTCATGTTTAACAACCGCCCATTACTCAATCGAGTTACTCTTTAAGCTCTTGTATGATATAATCAATTATAGTTGATTAAAATTAAGTCCATCGCATTCTATCACTATTCAACTAGTATATTCTTTCTATTGTATTAATTAAGTTGTATGCAACAAATAACAAAAGAAAAAAAAATCGGATTAGTAAGAACGATCGTTCATTGGCCGACTTCAATTCGCCATCGCAATATTTTGTAAGGGTAAAACTCTGTTTTCCAGCTTTTCTTCTCCACAATAATACTACTAAAATGAACGTTCTCCGTACTGCCGCCACCAAGTCTACTAGACAATGTAAACCACCGATAACACGTTAAAACTTTACAATGGACTAACAGTAAATCTCCGTTTAGTTGCTCGCTCTTTCCACGTCGCTCAACCCCGTTTGACAGGAAAGACCATTGAAGCTACTAAAGAGACTTTTGATTCTCTTGTCACCAAGGCCGATCACCCTGTCATTGTTGACTTTTACGCCGAGTAAGTTGTAGTCTCCTTTATAAAAATTTGCTCTAAACCTTTACTTGTTTTAGTTGGTGTGGTCCTTGTAAGATGTTGGGTCCTTTGTTAACAAAGTCTGTTGCTGGTAATCCTAAAGTTACTTTGGTCAAGATCAACGTTGATGATAACCAAGAAATCGCCTCTAAATTCAAGGTAGTATTCACACCATTGATATCATTGTAAGCAAAGTTATTTATATTCTCCTCTGTAGATTGCTGCTTTACCTACCGTTTCTGCTTTTAACAACGGAGAAGTTGTTGATTCATTTGTTGGTATGCGTAGTGGACCCATGGTTGAGCAATTCGTTAAGAAGCATGCTGACCTTGCTTAAACTTTTTGTAACATATATAAAAAAAAAGGAAACTCTATAATGTAAATTATAAAGATATGGGTGTGATTTAAGATACGTGTGTAAACAAGGATGTTGATCTTTTCGAATGTGTGACACGTTTAAGTCCCAGCTACAGAATATAAAGACGCGAGAGGAAAAGTTTTTTTTAGTCCTTTATCCAACCTTTTGATTCATTTAATAACCAATGCTTTCTATTTTGGGCCTCTACCTCTTCTCTCATTGAAGATAAACGTGATAAAAACACAATGTTGAGGAATAGAACCGAATTCGTTTTTTATTTATAAAGATTGAATATTTATGAAGGATTTTAAATTTGAACAGACATCTGAGAAAGAAGGGTAAACAACGGAACGAAAGGGAAGTAATTGTGTTTTTAAACGGACCAAAAGGACTTGAAATGGCAAACCCTTGCTCTCATTTATCTAAACTTGTTGGAAATTCTCTTTTCGCTTATGACGACAATTTTTAATAGGCTTGAATTGATAAATGTAAGCCAAATCAATGTAGTTTTCAATCCGAAGCCAAAGAAAAGAGAACAGAAAACCAGCTTTTGTATACTTGGGAATGGTGTTAACTTTTCAAATTTAACACATGATGAATATTTATGAAAGGCGAATATGATTTAACAAGCTTTATGTTTGTTTAACTTGAATTCAACTCATGATTTAATACTTTCTGATGTTAACATTTGTAAACCGCAGGCTTGCTTTAATCATTGTTTTTTTAAAAAATAAAAGAGCAATGCATCACTGAATAAACTGTATTAACATACCTTCATTTACGTGTGATTGTTTTCTATTATTGTTGGTGCACAGCACCACTAGCTTTTGGATATATGTATGAAATGATAGTGATGGTTCTGGCGTACCAAGATATTTGGAGGTGTTTATTAGCGTGTTTGTGGATATAAAGAAGTGGGGTGGGGGAATTTACAAATCGAGAACTTTTAAACAATCGCGTTCGGGTTCAAGGAGAGCGGCTTTCGCATTGCCACCCATTACTAGTTCTTCGATAGTTACTGCTGTTTGTTTATAGATGCGTTCGATTGACGTATTACGATGTTGACCCAAAGATACTATATAATCATTACATGAATAAGAAAAACAGTTTTTTTCGACGTATATCAAATTTTACCTAAGATCACCGAATTTAATTCGGCAGCTACTTTTTTGATGTATGGTAATTCAAACAAATAAGCGACTGCTTCGTTTTTCAGGTCACTATATGCCAAAGTAGAAAATGTTGTCTATAGTGGTGTAAGTCGATAGTTTTCTTCATGTCTTTTATAAGTTACCAATAGTTCTGCCTTCATCAATGAATTTTGCTCTAAATCAGATGCGTATTTTTGTTTAAGGTTATTGCCAAATTCCATTACATCTTCGAGGGTAGGTAGCACATGCTCAGTAATTTTTTGCTTTTTCTTTTTGGAATTATAAGGCTCTAGATCAGATTCGCTGATTCTACGTTTCATGGAGTTATCATTGCGCTCAGATACTTGTAGGCTCTGCGCTTCGTATTCATCGCTGGATGATTGATCAATATTGGCTTGTACTCGGCGAACCATCTCCAAAAACTTTCGACATTGCAATTTAAAATCTACTATTGGATTCTTCTCTAAAACAGAAGGATAGTGTCTATTACATAGTAGGATAGCTTTGTCAATTTTGCCTTCGATTATGCACTCTCGAATCTCTAAGCCGTGAATGAGTAACGATACATTATCCTAACCTATAAATTATATTACCTTGTCTATTAATCATTTCGGTATCTACATCAGGCAACTCGTCGGATTTTAGCTTCATTTCACCTTCTAAAGCAGCGGCAGATTTTAAAAACCCATGATGTCTTAAATATTCCATGACTACTTTATCAGCATGATCACTCTCTACAAACGCATTGATGACGGGAAAACGAGACACTACCGGTTCAATAGATTGCTTTGTGACGTCCTTTAGCAACTCCCTTTTTTCATTTGCTCTGTGTTGTTTTATATCGTACAAAAATGGTTTTGTGCCAAAGTTGGCCTCGATTTTTTCGCCTGCGGTTTTGAAACCGACAAATGGGTAAATGTCGGTTTCATAAATATCGTCAAATGCAATTCCCAGATAGATACCATTTATTGTATAAAACGCGGACATGTCTCTGAAGTCTACACCGCATCCGATAATATCTCCTGTGCCATAGGATGGTCCATAAGACTTTTCGGTACCTGGTCCTGAGTAGACCTTTCCATTTTCTGCATGATATCCCCACGAGTGTTCTTCCCATCCTATTTACATATATATTAAAAGCATCAATATATGCTATAGCAGTGATTCAGATAGACAAGTATAATATATCGCTAACCTGGAAAACGGTTTAGGCTATTGATGTTTCTACAAAATCCAATCCCAATATGCCCATCAATCCCTTTTGAAATCACTTGGATTTCAAAGTAGTATATTCCACATTGTTTCTTCATGGCGTGATTTGCCCTAACCGAAGCTACTTCCGTCCCATCCTTTCCATCGCCTATTTGTGATACCAGTTTAGACTATGACCTTGATAAATATATGACCTCGATCATTTTACCTGTATATGTTAATTCAAGATTATCTGAATTGACTCCTATAAAATCGCACTTTGGTCGAACATCCCAAGCACTAGGTAAGCGCAAATCTTGAATAAGCAAATTAAAGTCGTAACTGTTCCGATTTAACAAAGCGCTCAGGGCTGCATATTCTTGAACAGTTGGGACCTTTTTCCCTGCATTATTATTACTTGATGTTGGAGTATGTTCATAAAACGACATTCCGCTTCTTTCATCTAATGAGTGCTGTCTCAAACTATTAAGTGGCATGTTTTTATGGGCTACATTAGTCGGTTCCACCAAATCTTTTCGAGCTTCGTATTTGTAGTCATTCTTTTTGTTGAACAGAACGTACTGTTTCTTGACTAGACGATCGTATACTGTATTTGTAAGATAATCAGGTATATGTGGAATGCCTTCAGACTGTCTTGCATAAAACAACAATATTTCCTCTTTTATCGTTTTCTGGCTTGACCAACGTTGAGGGTTGTTGTTGCGAGCAGCTGTACTTAGTCCACGCAAAGAAGGGCCTAGAGCTCTATTTCTCGATTGTGATGCAAAGTCTCCTAAGAAAAAAGGTGATGACATGAGGGTTCTGTTACAGAAACAACAAAAAAAGTTTTTTTAAGAGTCTTAATTAAGGAGGTGGGGTACCGTGACTGAATTTCATTTTTATCAGTTCACCGTAACCAGTCAGAGTTTATCTTTTAAAAAAACATCTAACATTTACTTTCTTGGTCATCTATGATTTAGAAAGTAGGGTACCGATAGTAGGAACGGGGAAGCTATCAACGATGAAAACCCAGCTTCATCGCCAATTGTAGCTTGTCTTACCAGCGCCTTTCTTTTTTTTTTTTCTTTATTTTAAAATACAGCGGCTCCCATTCCTTTCTAAGATTTGTTTTCCTTACCGCTTAATCTTAAAAGTAACGACTTTTCCAGCTCTCTGATATGACATGTTACTTTTAACAAAAAGATGGTACTGCAAAGGCTTGGTATAAATGAGTTACGAGGAAGAAGAAATGATACGCTGAACATAGTTTTTTGTAAAAAAAATAAAAGAGTGAACAAAAAAGACCGCTTTTAGTTTATACAGCGCCTTTGCTGCTTTTGTTGAGATACGGTCTTACGTTAAATACACACACAAACACACACTTATTAATTAGCTCTGATATGCCCCACATATGAATGGCATAGAAGTTAAGAGATCATGTATTATTGTTGGACAAAAGCAATTCGTATTTATATTAAATGTTTATTTTTATGTATAAAGTTATGTATTCAGACTATGTATAATTTTTTTTGAATTTTTTGTTTTGTACAGTTTGTTACTTTTAACCTCGATGGGTACCCATAACAAGGGCCAATAAGGCCATTCTAACATAGAGACCATATCTCATTTGACGGAAATAGGCAGCTCTTTGATCGAAATCAACCTCAGGTTCAATTTCATTAACACGGGGAAGAGGATGCATGATAATCATTTGACTCTTGGCCTTGCTCAATACGTTGTTATTCAAGATGTACGCATCCTTGACACGACGGTATTCTTCTTCGGTATCGAAACGCTCCTTTTGAACACGGGTCATGTAGAGAACATCAGTAATACCAATGACTTCGTCTAAAGAAGCATAAACGTTTTGAGTGATACCAGCAGCGGCAACTTCTTCCATAACATCCTTGGGCATAGCCAAACTATCGGGACAGACATAGTTGATTGTAACTTGATAGTAAGCCAAGATCTTAACCAAAGAATGAACAGTACGACCATTCTTAAGATCACCGACCATGGTAATGCTTAAGCCGTTGACTGTACCTAACTCTTCACGAATAGTAAACACATCTAAGAAGGCTTGGGTGGGGTGCTCTCCGATACCATCACCAGCATTGATAATAGGAACCTTGGAGTGTTTGGCAGCAATTTGGGCACTTCCAGGTTGAGGATGACGTAAGACAATGAGATCAGTATAACAACCAAGAGTACGAACAGTATCAGAAAGTGTTTCACCCTTTTGAACAGATGAGGTAGTGGCACTAACAGAAACAACCTTACCACCAAGACGATACATGGCAGCTTCAAAAGAACATGAAGTACGAGTAGAAGGTTCAAAGAACATGGTGCTCATAACACGACCTTGCAATAAGTTGATGGATCCATAAAGTTCAACCATGTTACGCATTTCGTGAGCAACACCGAATAACAAATGAAGATCACTACGATCGAATTGCTTGGATCTCAAGATATGCTTACGATAGAAAGGAGAACGACTAACGACACGAGCAAGAGAAGCAGAGATTTCATAGCTAGGAGTTGCGAAAGCGACCAATTGTTGATCACTGGCACCAGCCAACTTGATGGGATCAAAAGGTTGGATGGACTTTCTTTCGGGAGCTGTTTCAGGGACATCAGAAATATCAGCATCAGAGGGTGTGGAATCGGCCTTCTTCTTGGGGGCAGGAACAACGAGTTCGGCCGCCTTAGCTTGGACAGAAAGATCACGACCTAATGAACCAGCAACTCTCAAGACACCATCCATAAAGACAGTAGTACCGTTGACAACAACACGGCTAATAGAGCCCTGAGTCTTTTTGCCAGCAAGAGGACCAGTGGTCCAAACCTTGGAACGATCCAACTCAACGTCAATGTAAGTATCAGTTTGAGGAGAAAGACCAAAAATACGTCTAGGGTTATCATTCATGCGTTCAGAGATATCTTGAATGGTTAAGCGACCTTGAGCAACAGCGGTCAAGAGTAAAGGCAAAGCTTCAGCAATACCGGCGGCATTGGAGGTGCTATCTAACTTGGCAGGAGTTGAGCCAACGGAGAAACAATCAATAACATGCAACTTCTTCCATAAGCCTTCTTGATCAGCAACAGATGGTAACAACTTGGAATCGACATCAGATTTGTTAAGGAAAAGGGAATAGATAGAAACATCACAAGTGACCTTCAATCCCTTGTTCTTGGTCATTTCGATCAATGCTAAATCATCCTTGGTGGTGACGTTAGAAACATGAATAACACGGCTGTGAATAGAAGCAAGCAATAAGATAGAAGCAAGATCTGTGGCCTTGGCTTCAGTAATCATCACTTGATTGCTGGGCCATGAATCAAAGACGGAATCAAAGACAGAAACATTACCACTACCAATCTTATCAGTATCGATATAAACTGCGGCGGCTTCGGAAGCAACAGAATCAAGTTGATCGGCGTTTTCAGCGGTAGCTGTAATACTGAGTAAATAATCAACACTGGCATTCTTGTGAGCAGCACTACTCATGGTTTCAAGAGAGGCTTGATCCTTGACATCATCACAAACAGCAGAAATAGTAGTGAAACCTGACTTTAATGAAGTGTTGGTAACTGTAGCAAGATCTTCAGTAGAAGGCAAGAAAGCATTAATATTGAAAAGACCAGGAAGAGTAGCGGTGTTGCTGCTGCTCTTGAAATCAATACCCAAGATTTCGAAATCCTTCTTGCGAGCAAGGGCTTCAACGAACAATTTAGCACACTTGACATTGGTTAAAAGAGGAATATCATAATCAACAGCCATACGACGAGAACGGTAACCCTTGGACATGTAAGAGGCGGGTCTGCGGAATCTGTTACGAGAAGGCAGGTTGACATATAAATCGATCATGTTGTTGGATAAATGTTGTTGAAGAGAGTATTCAGCCTTGATTTGATCATCGGTATCGGCATCTAAAGTATCGAGATGCTTGACTGGAATGCCATGTTCAGAAATGAAATCAGCAGTACCAGTAGTAGCGAAGAGACTATAACCGAGTTCGTGCAATCTCTTGACAGAAGGTAACATCTCAATCTTCTCTTTATAAGAACCAATAGAGAATAAAATGTTCTTTTTGGGCAATGAGAAACCAGTAGCTAAAAGAGCCTTTAAGTAAGCTTGATACTTGTCTTTACCGAAACAAGCGACTTCACCAGTAGAGGCCATCTCGACACCCAAAATAGGATCAGCACCAGACAAACGGCTGAATGAGAATTGAGGGACCTTAATACCGACATAATCCTTAGGCATAGCAATCTTGGGGTAAGGTGTGACAGGAAGACCCAACATGGCAAGAGTAGCCATCTCAACCAAATCAATACCGGTGACCTTGGAGACGAAGGGGAAAGAACGAGCAGCACGAACATTACATTCGATGACCTTAATTTCATTATCCTTGGCAATGAATTGAATATTGAAAGGACCAGTAATGTTTAAGGCACGACCAATTTTGGCAGTAGCAACTTCAATCTTACGAACAGTCTCGGGATCCAAATCTTGAGGAGGCAAAATCAATGTAGCATCACCAGAATGAACACCAGCATTTTCAACATGTTCAGATACAACATGCATGATCATTTTACCATCTAATGCAACAGCATCCATCTCGATTTCCTTAGCATCTTCAATATACTTTGAGATAACAACAGGGTAGTCGCGAGAGACAGCAGCAGCTTCCTTAAGGTAAGACTCAAGATCATCTTTGGATGAAACAACGTTCATGGCAGCACCAGAAAGTACATAAGAAGGTCTGACCAAGACAGGATAACCAACCTTTTCACAGAAAACTTCGGCTTCTTCGTAACTAGTCAATTCTTTCCAAAGAGGTTGATCAACACCAATGTTGTCACACATACGGGAGAACTTGTAACGATTTTCAGCGTTATCAATCATTTCAGGAGAAGTACCAAGAACCTTGACGTTTTGACGATGGAGAGGCAAGGCGATGTTGTTAGGTGTTTGACCACCCATAGCCATCAAGACACCAGAAGATTTTTCAATCTCATAGATATCCAATACACGTTCCATGTTAATGTTTTCGAAATAAAGTCTATCGGCTTCGTCATAATCAGTGGAAACGGTTTCGGGGTTATAATTGACCATGACAGTCTTGATCTTTTGTTCACGAAGAGTACGAATAGCACGGACAGCACACCAATCGAATTCGACTGAAGAACCAATACGATAAACACCAGAACCAAGAACCATGACACCATTATCATCAAAAGTAATATCATGTTCAACTGCATTGTAGGTCATATACAAATAATTGGTAAAAGCAGGGAATTCAGCTGCAACTGTATCGATTTGCTTGACAAAGGGAGTAACTCCGAATTCTTGACGAAGACGACGAACAGCCAATTCGTTACTGTTAATTCTGTTGGCAATTTGACGATCAGAGAAACCCAATTGCTTGGCAGAACGGATCAAGTTACCGGGGAGGTTAGCCTTAGTAAAGCCAGTGAGACGATCACCGAGGTTATTAATTCGCATCAACTTGTTCAAGAACCACTTGTCAATCTTTGTGAGTTCCCAAATACGATCTACAGTGTAACCCTTTTCCATGGCATTTGCAATAGCAAACAAACGTTGATCAGAGGGATGAGTAAGCTCATATTCAATATCTTCATCCTTGATAATATCGGACTACAAAAAAATTTGATTTGAGTATATGGTACATATTAAAAAGTTGTTTTTTTTACTTACAGAGACAAAGCCATCGAGATTATAGTCAATAGCACGAATAGCCTTTTGCATAGTTTCTTCGAAGGTACGACCGATAGCCATCACTTCACCAACAGATTTCATGGAAGAAGAAAGGGCAGTGCTGACACGGTTGAATTTCTTGAGATCCCAACGAGGAATCTTGACAACGACATAATCAAGAGAAGGTTCGAAACAAGCACAAGTGACCTTTGTGACACTGTTCTTAATTTCATTTAAGGGAATACCCAAACCAAGCTTGGCAGCCACAAAGGCAAGAGGGTAACCAGTAGCCTTTGAGGCAAGAGCGGAAGAACGAGAAAGACGAGCATTGACCTCAATAATACAATATTCTTTGCTGAAGGGGTTCAAGGCATATTGAATGTTACATTCACCGACAACACCCAAATGACGGATCACATTAACAGCAGTAGTACGGAGCATATTGTAGTCTTCATCGGATAAAGTTTGAGAAGGAGCAACAACAATAGAATCACCAGTATGGATACCAAGAGGATCGAAATTCTCCATGTTACAAACAGTAATACAGTTATCTTGACAATCACGAACAACTTCGTATTCAATTTCCTTCCAACCCTTCATCGACTTCTCAATCAGAACTTGAGGAGAAGTAGCAAAAGCCTTGTTACAGAGAGCAATTAATTCCTTATCGTTATCAGCAAAACCTGAACCAAGACCACCAAGAGCATAAGCTGCACGTACAATGACAGGGTAACCAATGTTATTAGCAGCAGTAATAGATTCCTCAACAGTGACAGCAGAAGCGGAAGGAGCACACTTTTCGTCGATTTCGTAAAGTGCTTGAGCAAATAAATCACGATCTTCGGTAGTAATAATGGTATCAATTTGAGTACCAAGAACCTTGACACCAAGAGCTTCAAATTCATCCTTCAATGCAATACCAACACTAAGAGCAGTTTGGCCACCAAAGGTAACATAAATACCATCAGGCTTCTCGAACTCAATAACCTTGCGAACAAATTCGGGTGTAACGGGCAAGAAGTAAACCTTATCAGCCAAACCCTTGGATGTTTGGATAGTGGCGATATTAGGATTAATCAAGACAGTATAAATACCTTCTTCCTTCAAAGCCTTGATAGCTTGCGAACCAGAGTAATCAAATTCACCAGCTTGACCGATAGAAAGACCACCAGAACCAAGAACCAACACCTTTTCAACGTGAACACGAGGGTTCTTCTTAATATTTTCAGCCTTGGTACCACCGGGCATTTGAACAGGCACTAAAGATTTAGTATCAAGACACTCCTTGATGTTTTGAATAAAGACATCAAACAAGAATTCAGTATCGCGAGGACCAGGAGTAGATTCAGGATGGAATTGAACAGAGAAAATGGGTAATTTTTCATGAATCAAACCTTCATTGGAACCATCGTTGGCATTCACAAAGAGTTCGCTAAAATTCTCGGGAAGAGTAGAAGCATCTACAGCATAACCGTGATTTTGAGATGTAATGTAACAACGACCGGAAATCATGTTGGTACAAGGAATGTTGTGACCACGGTTACCATATTTCATCTTTATGGTTTTAGCACCAGAGGCAAGTGCCATAACTTGATGACCCAAACAAATACCAAAGATAGGCTTCTTGATATTTTGAATATATGTACGAACACGAGAGATAGTAAGTTCAATAGTAGTGGGATCACCAGGACCGTTAGAAAGGAAAAGACCGTCATATGAATCAACGGGCTCGGCATTGAAATCATAATCCCAAGGAACGACCTTGAGCTCAACACCACGATAGACAAAACAACGGATTTGATTATACTTCATACCAATATCCACAGCGATGACACGCATGGTACGACCGCTAGGGGTCTTAATGGCATTCTTGGGATCAGGATAATAGACCTTGGGTTCCTTAATAGAGACTTCGGCAACCAAGTTACGTTCATTAGGATCAACCCACTCGACAGTTTCGTAATCATTCATCCAACGCTCAAGACCATCATCCTGGATAGAAAGACCTAAGGCAGCGTGATCAAGACCATTACCAGCAGACTTCTTGGGGAATAAGATCTTGGCCAAAGTAACACCTTGATCTCTAATTTTCTTGGTCATGGCACGAGTATCGATACCATAGAGAGCAGGAACGTTGTTCTCCTTGAGCCAGGTAGCAAGGGATGACTCGGCAAGATAATGAGAGTAATCAGTGGCATAACTACCGACAATCAAACCAGCGACATGAATTTGGTTAGACTCGAATCTCTTGGGGAGATCTGTCAATAATTCATCCATCTCAGTACGAGAAGGTACACCATAATTACCAACCAATGGGAAGGTAACAACCAGAATTTGACCACGATAAGATGGATCCGTCAAAGATTCGGGATAACCAACCATACCTTTTTTTTTTAAACACACCATTAAACCCCGCTCCTTTGACTTACATTGTAATCCTTATCCCTTCCCACTTACCTGTTTGGAAAACACATTCACCAGAGATACTTTGAGTTTCGGAACCAAATGAGATACCTTGGAAACTTGTTCCGTCTTTCAACACAAAGGCAGCAGTTGTGACATCTTTGGGGTCTTCCAACGCAGCAGCGGGTCTATGAGGAGCTGTGGGAGATCTAGGAGAACGCGCAATAGGCGTAGCATTAGCAGCAGGAGCTGTGATATGGGCAGCAAGGACCATGGGTGCGATACCATTAATAGTAGGAACAGGAATATTGGAAACCATGATTAAACTGTTATGATATATTAGTTCATGTTTCTATATGTATACGTTATAGTATAGCATAATTATTTACTCTTTGTCTTGTCAAATACAATGGTAGTGGAATTTAAAATGTACGGTACACAAAAAGCGTCAATGAAGTGATGTTTAAAAAGTAAAGAAAGTGGGATTTTATTATAAAAAAAAGTGTATCTCGGAATTTGTCAGCCAAGGGAGCTGAGAAGTTCATGAGATATACAATAATGCTGCCCTTTTATACTTTTTCAGAATTTAATTTTCTGATTCCGACACGTAATTATAGATCTAGCTTCTTCCTAGTTTTCTTAGTTTGTTCCTGTTACTGTTACTTGATGAGTAAATTCAAAATAACTATATGCATACAAAATATAAAACTTTTATTTCAAGCATTCCTTTTTTTTTTTTCTATTTTTTTTTTTCATTTGCCTGGTATACATTTACACTTGTATGACTGTCAAAGAGGGTATGAGTAACATCTTTGATCTGCTAGTGACACTGTAAATAGCAGTCAAGCACATCACAAAAAAAAAAGATCGCGAGAGCCGGTCTTTTAAATTAAGATCTTGTAAATAGTCATTGGGACTGCATTTTAAACGAAAATTTAATCGTATTTTTTTTTGTGGAGGTAATCCTCATAATAGTCATATTATCAGATTTAAAAGTAAAAGTTCTCCATAAATATATTCTTATTATTATTACTTTACACCTGTTTGAATCCTTGGACTGATTCCCTTAGTTTTTCAGTCGTTCATTTTGTAAAGTCTAATTACATACAAACGGAGTTTTGTCGAAAGCATATATGCCTGCCATCAGTTGCCATAAACGGTTAGAGAATCTGTGATCTGAGCACGTTACACAGTGGTAAAGACCCTTTTTCATCAGATAAAAAACATGCATGGAACTTGATTTTTTCGGCGTTGATATACGCGCTCTTGCTCCCTCTATGTTTTTTGCCTCCGGAATATCAACTTAATCTTTCAAATGCAGAACAGAATGATCTTCCCTTACATATGCCTATTTTATCTTTTTTAAATATTTAGAAATATTTAAAGAAAAAAAAGTTAATACCACTCAATATTTGATTATCAATACAATACTCAATCATAAAAGATCCATTTGAACATGAGTGATTTGGGAAAATATAATACTACAAGGTTAAGTTGTTATTGATTGGTATAAAGGAAGATAGATAGACCAATGACGGTATTTCGTTTTTAGTACAAGTTGATGAAATAATAACTTGTCAAGAAATAGAATCTGCCTGTCAAATACGTAGAATAAAATGAGAGGATGCAATGCTGATAAAATATTAGTATGTCAAATACACATATATATATATATTACCATCTGTGTTATACTTGGTAGTTAGAGCATTTTGTTGTTGATACTGAATGAAAGACAACAAATATTTTTTCTAAAAAAAAAAAAAGAAAAAGAAAGGTTTTTTTTCAGAAGATTTTAGACATGTTAGCAAAGCTAATAATAATAACAATAATAATAATAACGAAAAAGAGGGTATCGTCAAATGATTCGAATCCAATTTACGCAAGATGTATGCCGGCTTACTTTGGCATTGTTTCAAAACCTTAACCTTGCAGAGTTATTAAAAGGGAATAGTTTGCATTACTATGCACGTTACATGCAAGTGCTTTTAGCGTGAAAAAATTAGCAGCACTTGCATGCGAGTGAAAAATAGAAAGAGAGAGAGGGTTGGCTCACAATTTTCATCCGCATTATATGAGTTGTTTATATTATGAACTCTTTTTGCAAAAAATAAAAATAGACATAATCATTGTTATTGTTTGTTTTAGTACGTGTAACGCCGAAATCGCCGTCCTATGTTTGGCTTTTATATAGATTATCAAGAAATCAACAAGTACTTGTTTCAGTTGATCAAGAGAGTCTTTTCAATAATAATAAAGAAGCACATCATTATATTATGTTGAGCACAAAAGTATCCAGGTATGACTTAATCCGATTGCCAGACAAATAAAGAAGAAAGGGAGAAGCCATTATAGCATTACAATCCATAATAGTACAAGGTCGGTATCATTGGTACCTAATTTATGTTGCAATAAACATAATGCCTATAAACCAAAAATTTGTACAAAAGATGTTTTGCTTGCTCTCTTATCTTGTTGAGAAAATTCGTTATTCTGTTTATTTTGTATATAATAGTATCAGTATAATAAAAAAGCCTTGTAGCTTTAAAAAGAGAAAAATAAACTTCGGAAACATGTTGGACTTGCAAGGTTACAGACACAGAGACATCAAAAGGAAGGAGAGGAATTCCCCAGATTTCAAATACATTAAATTTTCGGTTGTCTTAGTTCAAGATATGACGTTTTTTGTCATTCTACTGGAGTAAAATGTCACGTTACTTCGGTGCCAAATCAACAATATCGCAAACCACAATCTGGTCAGCAAACCGTGTTTACAGTGTTATATAATTGCTCTAGAATGGATGTAACGGTATGTTTTGCGATACTTTATTTTTTCCTGATGAAAAAGTGTTCTATGCCTTTTTGCTCCACACTTTTAAGATTATTGTGTCGTTTTTCCCACTCTTTTGTAAAAATAGTAACAAGATATTGAGCACGAAAAAAAAAAAAGAAAAAAAAACCTTCAATGAGTCATTTACACAGAACTTGTGGACGAAACACACGTTTAATCTTTTTTTGTTTTTAGTGCGCTTTGTTTCAAAATTAACCTTTGATGCTTAACGAAAACGACAGTAATTTGGGAACAACGAACAAATAAGGAAAATAAGAAGCTCTTTAAATTTTGCACTATATTTTTTGCGCTAAAATATAAACGGAAACAAAAAAAACATGTACAACGTGTTGATGTGCTACGTTGAGGAAGTTATAGGAAAAGGTTGTATACAGGCTTTACAAAACAAAAGTACGCAACAAAATTATTCTGATAATGTTACAATACTAGAAATTCATTCCTTCTACTACGTTCTGTAATTTGAGCGAAGTTCATATCTAAAAAGTTCTTCGCGTGCAGATAATAAAACAAAAAAGCTAGGCATTTGTATGAAATAAAGGCGGCGATCGTTGTCCACTGTTCCACATAAGCGGAATTAAAGGCGGAGAAAAGAAGCCACTGCAACTGTTCTTTTAGTCCCTATTAAGTAATTTAAAAAAAAAAATTGGTAGAACCACTTATTCTGTTGCTGTCTTCTAGGCCGGCCTACAACCAATCATTTTTTATTTCCATTATCAAGGAGCTGCTGTCCCTTCTATCATCCGATCTGTCAGAAAAGTAAGCCTTTTGCCAAAATGATGTCGCAAGAAAAAAATTTAAAGTGTCGTATGTTTTTAGAAAAGAGTGTCGCATATTTCAGGAAAATAGTGTCGTGCTTTTCAAAAAATAAATATGTCGCATATTGCATATAGCTGTTGATTGAATAGGGTGGCCTGCACCGAATAGCGTGCAAACATTTTAAAAGATGACTTGCCTTTGCAATTATTTGAGGAATAGTGCCTTTTCTACTTCTTAAATCGTATGAAAGTAACAGATAACGTAAAAAGGTTAGTTAGTAATGACTCTTGTTTCTTTCAAAAGACGCTAAATCGAAAAAGATATATTGCGATATTGCGGCTGCGGCTAGTCTTTGCTATAGGAGGGCGACCTCCTACGCAGGGCTCTTGAGTTTTGTTGGAACTCACAGGCTGTGAATAACAGTGGTTTGCACTGTCAATAACAGTGGTTTGCACTGTGAATAACAGTGTTTTCACTGTGAGTAACAGTTTTTCATTGTGAATAACAATTTTTCATTGTGAGTAACAGTTTTTCACTGTGGATAACAGTTTTGCACTGTGAATGGTTGTGCGTTTACTGGTCTGCTGTTATTGAACAGAATTGATGTAAGTGGTATAAAAAAAATACGTTTATTTTATCTTACTGAGGTAAAAAGTGACTAAACCGCTATTATTTAGGATACAAAACATCATGGGATGCAAGATTGATCTTTTGCTTTCGTCATCCCAAGTAAATATCTCTTCTTGCGAGTGGAAAGCAGAGAATGTGAGCCCTCCTGTTGCTAGAAGGCAAGAATGCAAAAACCTGGGAGTAAACGCATCCATTTTAGAAGCATTACTTAGGCTCCCCCATGAACAGAACGACAGCAATAGGAATCCTTTCATCTTAATGTATTCCGATTGAATTGGTAGTGACGGATGCATCAATGCCATGGTAAAAGAAGACAATGTCTTGGTGATGTGTTTATCCCGCAAAGTCTGCATGAGATCGATGAACAATTCAAGCTGACAATCAAGCTGTTATATACTTGGAAGGTGAGCTTGCTTCTAAAAATAAATCCAGTATTCGGTTTTTTATTAATTTTTTAAATAGAAAAACATGAATATATTGGTCGGACTGGTTTTACAAGGAATCAACAAGAAAAAAAGAGATTAAATAAAGCAAAAATGTCAGTCCCCAACAACATAAATGAAGAGCCCAGGTTTATAATTTTTACACCAAAAGGAAATAGGAGACGAGCTTCAGAATTTCAAGATCATCCTCCTCAAGATTGAAGTATCATATGACATCTTTTATAAATATCCAGTATCATATATAATCTTTTATAAATATCCAAATCAAGTTAAAATAAATATCTTATTAGCCATCTCACCAAATGTATAGTCTTTTTTTTTTTTTTTTTTTTTTTGTATAGGATCTGAAGATTTGGGGGTTAAAAGACTGTAGAATTACAGAAGAAAAGGATTTTGTTTGGGAAATATAAACAAAATGAAATAACTTTCGTTATGTGCCGTTACGATGCGGAATAATTATTTAGAGACAGAGTTGAGAATGAGGTGAGGAATAATAGGGACGGCGTCGAAAATAAAACGCCAGTAAGCTAACCAAATACTTTGAATAGTACAAGCAGTAATTTGATACGTAGGCAGCTCAGGATGAAGGAGGGACAATGGGCTATCTTTACTGAAGTTTTCCAGCAGTAATAGTGAAAGAATTTCGGATAGAAAGGAGGCGGTGGATTGGGAGTTCGCGGTGGGTGAGATATTTGAAGCGAAAGCTTAAGACTAAATTATCAACTTATAAGAACAACGAAATAAAAAATGATCGGATGTTTCGCCAGTAATGAATATTAAAGGACAAAAGAGGCAAGAGGGAGAGGGTGAGTAATGGTGATAAGACAGTGAAATATTGATTTGGTTGGAAGTTTATTATGTAAAGCGGGATACCTAATAGTACAAGCACAGAGAGAAATTTCGAGTTGCCAAAACTGATACCATTTGGAGGATGCAAGTGTTAAAGATGAGGAGCAGTATGATTAAAGTACCTGATGGTGGTGTTGGAGCCAAGTATAAGGCGCGAAGAGAAGACTAATATATTAAGATTGGGTGGTAATGGTGGTAATGGTGGTAACGGTGGTAACGGTGGTATATTGGGAGACACCACATTTTGAGCGATGAAAAATGGTTGGAGGTGCAGTTGACAAATGCGTACGAGGTTGATCACAAAACGAGAAATGTTTCGAAAACGTACTATGTAGGGAAAGGACTACGGAGTCGGATGGTTTGATGCCCATGATCATAATGAAATATATTGGAAGTTACCAGTTGTTTGGCACCAGGATAATTCTGAAGTAGTTCTTGAGGTGTGATAGAAGTAATGAAGGCTGGATGGTATTCTGAAAGAGAATAAACAATAATATTTGTAAAAGGGAGGATGAGACGAGTGGGAATTTTGATGCGACAGCGATCAAAAGATCGTGGAAACAAGTCAACTGTGCGAAAAAAGTTTGTAAATATTTTAGTGAATTGGAGACTACCGAACATCAAATGTATAGTCAATGCGATATCGCTGTGACAATAAAAGATTCGGAGCAAAATGGATTCATGTCTTACGTTGCTAAGAAAAATAAATAATTACAAGTGGTAACGATGAAGTTCGAAAAACATGTTACTTTACATATGAAAATGATGTGTAAAAAATCAGTTAAAAATTGTTTTATTCATTCTCAATTAAGCCCAATAGATTGTACATATTATGACAGAACGTAAGCGTTTCTCCGGTAATTTGTTAAAGTTTGCACAGACTAATAGTCAGATCATAAGATTGTGTTGTGTGATTTAATAAAATACTATGAAAATAACCGTACGAGTACAATATTTAAGAGTAAGACTATAACAATAAATACACACCAATGCTACGAATTGACGGTTTGATAATACGTGACAGAAAATAAAGAAATGGTGAAGAAAGAGAAGTAATTAAGAGAGTGGGAAGATGATGGAAATACTATATGACAAATGAAGGATGGTTATCCCCACATATAAGCCATCGAATGGGTATGAATTATAACTCTTGTTATATATTATGCCTATTTGAATTAATAAAGTATAGTTAGTAACGTAAAGAAAAAGGTAAGAAAAATGAGATAGACACTTATCTTTTATATCGTTGTCTGCAGTATCTACTACAAGCGTGCGCATTACACCAAGGGGTTATGAATATAACCACGGTCGAATGTAATATTTCCCACTCCCATATGGCTCTGGTGACTCAGTTTGTTCATCAAAGCGATGAGAAGTTCTCATCCAAGACCAATTACTCGATCAAAGAGGCAGGGCAGGATTATTTTAATCATTAGCACTAGTCTTTATTAAAACAACCAAAGTATTAAAAATAAAATTTCTCGCATACTTTTTATCGTCATCAACGGATAAATAAAAACCCGATTAATATATAATCTATTATTTTTTTGATGCGACACTATTTTCCTGAATTATGTGACACTCTTGATTTCTTTCTTGTGACATTATTTTGGCAAAAGGTGTATATGCATGCAGATAATTGATTTAGAAAATGAGTGAGAGCGTCATCTGACAATAGATCGGATGCCACGGCAAACATGTATTTCGTGTTACACTGACACTTTTCGTCATGGGGTTTTCAAAAAAAAAAATATCCATCACTGACAAAAGTGATATCATTGACAATATAGAAAACGGTAGTCTTTTTTAGATATTGATAGTCTTATATGAAATTTCTAAAATCTGTATTTTACTTTATAACTTTGTTTTTTTTTGTTTTTTATTTATTTGTGAACGGCTGGTGGCACGTGTTATTCAGCCTGTGTGTGTATGGTTTTTTTCTGCTTCTTCGTTGTAAGGAATCACTCTTTTGTACATGGGTTCTGTTTAGTATCATTCTTCTACTAGTCTTAAAAATGGGATGATGATGTGCGAAATATGGAGATCAATACATCATTTTTTTATATTTATCGTTGTTATGAAGTAATAACCTTTTAACCTATCCGATACAATGTGAAATCCCCGCCCCGGCTCTAAATGCATCAATTAGGCAATTGTGCTAAATAAGCTTTTTATGACATATCATTGGACGAGAAAAAAACCCACACTGCTTACCCAATTGTCAATTCACATTTCGTACAAGTAGCGTATTTAGCTGAAAAAAAAAAGCAGTAATATTAGGCTTAGCGTACCCTTCCCGATCGTACGTTTCTTTTTTTAATGTGGGAGTGGGTAAACTTTTGACTGAACCCCTTCAATGCGTCTAGATTTTTGTATAGCGTGTCACATATGGATTAGTTGTTTATTAAAGCCCTGTCTTAGTGTAAGTAAATTTTTGATAATTACGTCCTAAGGGGCTGTTTCCTTCCTTCTTCATGAAGACGATCAAATCAGAAAGATCGAGTGTGATTCAACTGAATAGCATGTTCATCTGAAAAATCATTACTAGATAATCAAGTAATGATTACATACATCCTTTAGCTATCTTTGTCAGTTTCTTATAATTTTTGCTAATGATACTATTGAGGGGAATGTCTTTAATACATGACATCAGCAAGACATATAATCTATTGTCTAATTAGATCAATGCGGGGGGGGGTTATAGTTTTAATTAAGTTTATTATGCAAACACTATATAGTGTATGCTTCAGTCTTATAACACAATAATATGAGCATGATTGTATTTACTTGACAAATAAAAAGTAAAGAATGAAGAATACAAAAAAAGTTGGGCAAACTCTCTCTTTCACTCCACATTGTTGGTACATTGGTACTTTTTGTATCATTACACCCGCCAGTGCGCATCATTATCAAAGGAGATTTCGAACAAAGTAAGCCGAGACTTGATTACATGGAGCCCAAAAAACATCATCCTCTTGAACGGTTATAAAGAAACATGGTTGTAATGGCTGGCTTCTTTTCTTAGGTTGAATGTGTTGTATGCCCCTTTAACTGTTCATCAATCTCTCTACGAAGGATCCGACATATCAAGACATACACATAACGCTTACAATTTGAACCATCCTTTAGTAGACGACAAATATAAAGCTGATTCTCTTGTCACATAAACACTGCCAATCCCAAGGGCATTTGTGTTTTGTAGAAAATCATTTAGAGAAACGTTTGGTTGGATCCATCAATTCACTGGATCGTGTGACGAGAATTAAGTCACTAAACTTTATTTCATGCTGTTATTGTTTGTACACCGAGTGTCCCAAAACAAGGCAAACACGTGACTTTGAAGGATCCCACCAATCTGAAGGAAAGATTTGATCAGTACCCGATAATAAGAATATTTAAAGACCAGTCGAAATAGCTAAGCAAAAAAAAAGCGTTTAAAAAATAACCTTATTTTGTTTAAACGTTTATGCTGTAACAGTGGAGCTTTAAAAAATAAAATAATGATTTTAAAATGAATTGGATTTTTTAGTAAAACCTTAAACAAGTGTGTGTTTTAGACTCCATTATGTAACCAACGTTACCAAGTCGGACAAAATGTAACAAGCTACAGTGACCAACAACAAATGTCAGGAAAGGGCATAAAATGCTTTTCTTGGCTTTGTTTGAAAAAAAAAAAATAGTGTGCGTGGAACATCAAGTATATTTAATGATTGGACTTGAGCGGGGAACCGAGGATTTGGGACACAGTTTTTTCCACGGTCATTTATTATTATTACAATCGCGGGTTTGCAAAACCAAAAAGATTTATATTTTATTAAGACTAGCGGAAAAAAGTTTAGAGCTCAATTCGATTAACATCAGTCCCACGAATGACAGCCTTTTCATATACGCCAATAGGTGAATTTAGTTGGTCTACTCTGAAGCGATTATTCTCACTGTCGGTACCACATAATTTGCCTTGCACGGTACAGTTTGAATGTAAATGAAATGTAGCGATTGGTTCTTGCCTAATCAGGTTGAGCCATAATTGTAAATAACGATCTCTTAGGTTAGCCTCAGACATTCTAAAAAAGAATATAGAAGAAAGGAAAAAAAGAAGAAAATAAGAGGGATGGAAAGAAAAAAAAAAAAATTGGAACTGCTGTGTATTTTATACGAGCAGTCACACAAACCCTATGCAAAAAGGGAAGTCGGCGATGTAACGTCAATAAAGGATTTGGAGGATAAACAAACAATCTATCTCAGAATGTTATGCATAATGATTTAATGAGACCTTGTTTGAAACAAGAAAAGGTGGCGCCAATACACTTCATAGTTTGTACTTTCTCGATATGGTGTTGCCGATCCAACACTCACTCTCTGTACTTGAGTATGGGAAAAAAGACTATATTTCATGTTTTTTCCTTTATATATCAGTGTAACAATAACGTCGGAACTTCGGTTTTTATGACAATAACAAATACGCCTGATTTACACTGAATAAGAGAGTAAGAGAGAGCAATGAAGAGACTTGAGTGTTAGTGTGGCAATGGCTTGTCTAAATGTTGTCAATATTTTCTATGTCTCTTTTCGATCATAGAGACCGGACTTTTTGTCGTTAGTTCAACAAGATTGTTTAGACCGGCGAATGAAGGAGAAAAAAGGGTTGCACAAGAGCGGGAATAAATAAATAAAAAAGAAAAAAAAATATAAAAGGACTTGATCATTTGAATTGTTAGTTTTGGCATATTTTTCCCTTTTTTTATTATTTCCTTGTATTATATTATAAATCATGCCTGTTCCAATTGAATATAACTCCATTCGTCGCATGAGTACAATTACAGTTCCCAAGCAAGACATTAACTTTGAGTAGGTATTTTGTAAATTTTTGTATTGAATTTAAACTAATAAACGCGCCCTTCTTTTTTAACAAATAGTACTTATGACTTTCAACTGTGTGTTCCACAAAACGACATCAAGAATTCATTTGAATCCAAAGATCTTGAAGCCTCATTCTGTCGTGACTTTGCCTGTTGTGGATTAGTGTTACAAGACCTCCACGATCTTTTACAACATTATGAAGAGTGTCATGTTCGTCTTGAAGATGATGAAAACAGTTTATTTGATGAGGAAGAATCTAATTCATGGTCTCCTTCTCTTTCATTTTCTTCTCTTTCATCCGTGGATGAATCAATGCCTAGCAGCCCTATTATGGATGATCATGAATCAAATATCGATACCTTAAAAAAGAGAGCCGCTGCCTATCTGTCTGATCTATATAACGCCACCTCTGCTTCTTCTTCATCTTCCTGTCCAGACTCTCCATTGTCTTTATCAGAGGATGATTTAAGTGAAGAGAGCATGTCAAAAAAGGGAAAGAAGAGATCCTATTCTCAGTATTCATCATCTAATCCTCCTAGCGCCTTGGATCTTTTAACTCAGTCTGCCGCTAAAAAATTAGCTTTAGCCTCTGGTGATTTACCTACACCCATGATGTCTGACGAAGATTTCCTTGCCCAAGCAGGTGCTCTGTTAGCTTCCGCCAACAACAGTATGTTTTTTCTCTTTCTGTCTATTATACTCTTTTGCTAACCTATTTTAGTTTTCCCTTCAGATGCCAACGCCGATAAACCATACAAGTGCCCTGTCTCTAGTTGTGATAAAGCATACAAGAACCCTAACGGACTCAAATACCATAACCAGCATGGTCATTGCAACTTATTGAATGATGACAATGACAACATTGTATCCAAACCTTATCAATGCACAATTGGCGAATGTGGTAAGAGATACAAGAACTTGAATGGCTTAAAATATCACATCGAGCATTCCCATATGACTGCATTGAATCAAACATTAGCTACCTTTGGTTCTACCTTATTTCCACCCACATCTCCCACCTTGTTTTAAATATATATATTCCAAACCCCCTGTCATCATAACTAACCCCCAAAAAATCATCAAAAGTTCTCTTCTTTCCCCAACCCACCCTTCTCTTTGTATACATCCACCTGTAAATATTACTATCAATAGTCCCAAAATAAAAAAATTTAGTCTTTGTTTTCCCCCTTTCATCCAACCTTTTTGTTTTTGGCAGGCTAGTTACTAATTAAGGTTCACCAATTGCATGAAATCAAAAGGTTACACAAACTGTACTAAGGCTTGGTTTTCTGGGCTGTCATTGTTTTTATTTTTTTCTCTTGTTTTACACAAAACTCCGTCTCTCGAGCACACTACAAATTCCATTTTTTTAGCAGCCCGCGAAACAACACCCTGATTTTGAAAGATTGGGTTAGTCCTTGTTGTTTCTTGTACACCCTTTTTTTCATTCTCATCCCCCCAAAGAATGGTTGACACCGATAGAAACCCTATTCAATGATTCAGGCTATTGCCGAGCATAATTAATACAAATAATTTGTCTCTCCTAAAAAGAGAAAAAAGAAACCCTTTCCATAATTTCAAACATCCTGTTATTTCAGACGTAATTTTTTAACCTGATGTTTCCAATGTATTTTAATCGTCTTTTTTGTACTCCCCAACATAGTCTGGACTTTAAAATTCTAAAAAGGTGATAAACACGTTACTGACAAAAAACCCACATTGACATTTGTCATTTTAATATTTTTTGCAATTACAAAAAAAATATCACCGCTTCATCATTTTGTCGATCAGGAATTCTCTATCCCTCATGTTACACGCCCTATTTTTATAACATGTAATCAACCTTATCCAATATTACTCGCTCTCTTTTTTATTTACTTTTTATTTTTTTTTATTTTTAAACCCGAAATGTTTTCAAGATTGACATTGTTGGTCATGGCATGCTCCACATCACAGGCCTTGTACCTCGAAAAGAGACAAGAGCCTGCAGAAGGTAAAGTGATATATTTTTTAAAGCCATTGAATGCTCACCTCCTATATAAAATTAGATAAAACTACAACTGTAAAACATTCGGCTACCGAGGCATCTACCAAGAAAGAAATAACAACAACCACAAGCAAAAAACCAGAACCTACCACCACCACTACAACTAATAATCCATTCAATAACCATGAATCCTCTACTCGTGCATCCTCTACTCATGCATCCTCCACTAAAGCATCTACTCCTGTATCTTCCAAAGCATCTTCCTCTAGCATTCATACATCTGCCACCCAAACCACTGGCACAACATCTGTCATACCCCTGTTGCCTACACTAACCCCATCTACTACATCCACCGCCTTGCCTGAACAAGTCAGCCCTGGCTCTTCTTCCTCTTCTGCACTATCAGGTGGTGCCATTGGCGGCATTGTAGCTGCTGTCATCGTACTTATCATTGCCGGAAGTGCCTTCATGTTAGTTCGTCGTAAGAAAGAACGTCACCGTTTAAGAGCAGAAAGAAACAGAGCTGACCCCTTCACAATGGGTTTTGGCAGCGACGACCCTAAGCCCTTTGAGCATTATGAAGTGACACCCATACCAGATGAAGAGTATTCTAAACAGCATTATGAACCACAATTATCTCCCCCACCTCATACCAATTCACCCACTGCTACCGCTGCTACTGCTACTGCTATTGGTGCTGGTGCTGGTGCTGGTGCTATGACAACAATTGCCACCGCAACCACAACCCCTACAAGCCCTAGTACTAAGACCGAATTACCCGTGAATGCAGTTACTGCTGCCACCTTATTAGCATCCCCTGTGTCTACCGTAGCCTCACCCATCCCCACCATTATTGAGCCAGTTCAGGAAGAGCATGCGATGGGATCCTTTACAGTGATTGCTACGTATATACCAACGCTGACGGATGAATTAGAAATCCAAGCAGGAGACCAGATTAATTTGATTGTGGAATATGACGATGGATGGTGTCAAGGTATCAATCTTTCCAGGGGACATACAAAGGGTGTATTCCCTAGACATTGTATCGATTACGCTACGGCTCCTTCTGACCATCATGTGCCTAATTTCGAGCCCGAAAAATCAAAACGTGTTAGTTCCATGTATGTCATGTAAAAACGACATGAAATTTTTATTTTTTTGGTCATTCTTTTTTATTTTTTATTTTTTTTTTCTTTCTACCTTTTTTTTTATATACACTATAATAAATATGTAACAATAGAACATTTTTCATGTATAAAAACAGAAATTTAACCTCACCCCCCATAAACACATTTTTACGCCATATTTGTCATTCTGCAAAAACAAATAATGATGGTTACTTTTTCTGGAATGAATCCCCACTCCCCCCTCCGCCGCCGCCTCCTCCCGCTGCTGCCGGCCATGTTTCATTCCTGTCGTAATAGGGTGCGTCAGTCTGATGTACGTCAGTGCCTGTAGACTGCCATCATCATCATGTGATGTCTTGGAAGGTACTCATTCTGACAGTTTCATTTCATTATATAAAGCCCGGGGGGTACAAACGCTTTTTTCTTCTTTTTTTCTCTCTCTCTTCATTATAACATTGAATTAAAATGGCCTGTCCCTGTAAGAAAGAAGATACCAACGTTTGCAAGTAAGTATGATGATTTCATCTTTTCAAGAAGAAGAAGGAAATAGTAAACAGTTTCTTCTTTTAGGTGCGAAACTACCGGTGAATGTAAGTGCGGTGAGACCTGCGCTTGTGAAAACTGTGCTGCCAAGCAAAAGAAGCAAGAAAATCCTGCTTGTGCCTGTGCTGGTAAGAATATATAAATATTAACCTCTTCTCTTTTGGTTACTAAACTTTGTTAACGCGTTTCTTTGTAGCTGCTGGCAAAGGTATGGCTCGTATTTAAAAAAAAAAAAACGCGCCCTTTTTTTTTTTTTTACTAACCGCCCTGGTTCTTATTTTTTTTTTAGCTTGTGAATGTGGTGAAAACTGCAAGTGCTAAATAGCAACTCACTTGAAATACCAAGCTCAAAGACTCTGTCTCTTCTCTTTGCTTTGACCTTTATCACGAAAATATATCAATAATCAATAAAAAAAAAATATATGATTTGCTAGCATTAAATAGTCACAGCGGCTTTTTTTTTTTGATATTTATCTTCTTTTTCTTTTTTTTGAAATGTCTCATTTACTACCTACTGCTTTGAAAGAATCACGATGTATTTTACACATTGATTTAGGTAAAAATGACCTTTTTGAAATTCCTTTCCTTCCATCGTTTTTTTTATGCAAACACCAACATCTAAACTTGTTGAAATCTAGATTGTTTTTATTCTCAAGTCGGTAGGTAAACTTTACGCCATTCTTTATATTACGACACTCATGTGAATTTTTCCTCTAGAGCAAGTACGATTAGGAATACCCTTTGACACTCCCGCTGCAGTTCAGCAATGGCGAGGATTAATTGCAGGTAAAGAAGTAAACACGCTTTAATATCACTCTTCTTTAATCACCGTGCCCTTTCTAGTCAATTACGCAGCAAGAAAAGCTGGCATTGCAAGACACTCCGATATCGCTGAAGCAAAACGGTTATGCCCTGACATCAAACTGCTTCATGTAGCCACTTACGGACCCAACGACAAAAAAGCACAATACCACGAAAATCCCGACCGCAACACGCATAAAGTTTGCTTGGATCCGTACCGAAATGCTTCACGAGAGATCTTCAAGATCTTTCATCAATACTGTGATACAATACAAAAGATTGGCACGGATGAAGGATTTATGGATGTCACCAATACCGTTAATCAACGTTTAATGGACCGATACCCTACACAATGTATTGATCGTGTGAATGAGGAAACATGCGGTGTGGATATCGATTGGAAGGGGATTGTATTGACGAATAAAGAGGAAGATGAGAAGGGCGAGTTAGATCCACCTACATGGCAAGATTTGCAATTGGCCATGGGAGCTGAACTTGCCAATGAAATTAGAACACACGTCTATGATAAATTACACTATACATGTTCGGCAGGCATTGCACATTATAAGGTCATTGCGAAATTATGCTCCAGTAAAAACAAACCCAACAAGCAGACTGTCCTGAGAGATTCGGCACGGATGGATTTCATGTGTGACGTACCCTTTCAAAAAATTCGAAACCTGGGAGGAAAATTAGGTTCTGAAGTAGGTGCTGATCTGGAAATTCAAAACTCCAATGAACTTTGGAAATACAGTAAGTCAGATCTCAAGTCAAAGTATGGGCCATCCACTGGACTGTATCTGTACCATATCTGTCGTGGCATTGATCATGAACCAGGTTAGCTAATTATTGAGAATAACGTGCTTGACATCATTTTATTAATAATTCCCTTTTAATATAGTTACTCCTTCAAAACCCCCTCAGTCTATTATGGCAGCAAAAGCATTTACACCAGCCATTGATCTACCGTCACAAATGGAAAACTGGTTTTCCATCTTATCTGTCGAATTACATTCCCGCATTTTACAGAATCACAAAGATCATGGTACTTGGCCTAAATCAATTTCAATAAGATACGCTCCCATGTTTGGCAATTACCGAACAAAAGCAATGGGTACATTACACAAGGACGACATGCAGACATGTGGTAGGACAGAAAATGCTATTGTGAATCATTTTTTTTTCTTTTCTCGGACTCATCCCTCCCCCATTAAAACTAGATTTATTAATGAAGAAATTTCAACAGACTTACAATGCGTTACCAGGTGCTTATCCTTGTCGTGGATTAGATCTGGTGGCCTCAGGATTCTCGGTATCAGAGTCATCCTCACGTAGTCTCACCAGCTTCTTCTCAAAAGCTCCCGTTGAACCCCGAGCAAAAAGTCCACCCAGAAAGGAAAAGGAAACAGATCTTCGATGGCAATGTGATAAATGTCAGGAGAGGGTCCATGTACGGGATATAGATGAACATACAGATTACCATTTTGCGCTAGAAATATCTCAACAGGAAGATTCTACTCCCAAACGGAAACCTACTGAAATGGCCTCGATCTTTGCCAAAAGACAAAAATAAGGAGTCTACTCCCTCCTCAAACTATAAAAAAAAACAAATAAAAATCTGGTTTTTGAGGCGTTTTTATTATGATTATTTTTTAGTGAGCGATTTTCTACTGCTTTGAGATTCTTGTAAAGAGGAAGGTCGACTAGATTTCAAATCCTCCTGTCGATACCCAAATCCATATTCCTCTTGTAAGATATCCTCATCCGCAAATGAATCTTCGGTTGTTTGATTATGTGTCCCCTTGTACGTGTCTAGCTCTTTTGAAGTTTTAGCTCCTTTGTTTGTTGTAACCTATTTAATTTTTGGTTTAAAAAAACTCTATTTTTTTTTAAATCTCCATTGTCCCTTACCCAGTGAATTGTCAACGCATTGATGGTCACATCCACAACACAGCATGTAAGACAAAGAACACCTCTTTCCTTCCCGTTCAATAATGTCAATGTCAAAATATTAGCAAACGAAACAACGAGCGACACAATCGACGCCACAAGCGTTCGCTTTGCGACATCATGAAGTCTCGACGCTTTCCAATTCACTCTTAATCCTTCACTTGTATTCATCAAGGGTTTCACGAATAAGACAGTCATGTACATGTTAAAAACCTAATCATAAAGTTGTTTGTGCCTATTCCTAAATAAATACACCGTAAAAAAAAAAAAAGAACTTACAAAATCATATACCTAACATAAAAAACGTTAACCGAAACCAGTCATTTTATGGGTTATGGGGGGTTGCTAGGAGACAAATAACTTACAAGTAAAGGGATAGTTGCTATGGGTTGTAATCCAATGATACAGACACCTTCCGCTTCAATATCCGCATAATGATAGACGATCTTTTTTTTTTTTTTTTTTTTTTTTTTTTTTTTTTTTTTAAAAAAAAAAGGGAGTGAGAATACAGAAAGTTTAAAAAGTGTCTCTAAAGAGACAAGACCATACCATGAGTGTAAAGATTGCAATATACGGTGTCAAAAAGATGATATGAAGCTGATATGATTTGGTCTTCCACCTTGACTGTCTTGCCGCAGACACCACCCAGACCTTTTCCACTAACCTGGATTCTTTTTATTTTAGTACTACGCAGAGTTAAATAACAAGTTTTTTTTCATTACCAGGCATAGATAATGATTTTTGTTCCAGAATAAAATGTATCGCAAGCTAATTCTGAAAGTTTACAAGACAGAAAATTTCCTATGAAAACGATCACCCTTTTCAGTAACAAATATAAAATAAAAAACCAAGTCTTTATTTACCATTGTTTGTAGAAACAAATATAGTGGAAGAAATTGTAAATGCCCAAGAAAAGAAGTATAAAAAGAGAATCAACCAGCGTGAATACGATAGGTACTTAAACTGTACATTAAACGTCTTCACACCAAAGATGTATGACATGATGGTGATGCCTATAAGTGATACAACTTGTGATGCAAGTTCCCAAATATCCGGCTGAGGTGAACTCATCAGAATAGTAACGTTGGGCATCGACATATATATATTTTTTTAGAATTAATTAGTTATTAAAAAGAAGAAAGACAGATAACAACAACAACAAAAAAAATTCGAGGGTAGAAATAGTGTAATTTAACGTGTAACGTTGTAAAAAAAAAAAAAGTTTTATGCTAAATAGTGAATGCTTCCCCCTTCTTTTTTTTGTGTCGCGCCACTATTTGACAAACAGGCAAGGTAATGCTTATTGTCCTAAATTACTGTCCCCCGTCTTTGTCAATCTATGCAAGTGTGATATCACCGGACCTTCTATTTTAGTCAAACATCTTCTCTTTCACACTCTCTAAAAGCATACATTTATGCTTACATCAATGACAATCGGAACATTTTTTTCTCACTCGCTTTGCTGAGTGATTTCAAACATGCATTTATACTGAAAGGGAAAGCGATTCATTCTCAAAAAAGAGATTAAAGGAGCAAGTAAATAAATAATCTCTTTCTTCTTTCCCTCTCTTTTTTTTTCTCACTCTCTTTTTATTTATCAAACAAAATGATTTATAGCCAAATTTCCTTGCTGTTTCCAAAACCACCTCAGGAACAAGCATATTCGATCTCACAGTTTGAGAGGCTACCGGATGAAATAGTGATCCAAATTCTTTCGCAGTCTATTATAGACCTAGAGACACTAGGAAGAGTAGTTGGAGTTTCATCAAGAATGTATCAATTAGGAGTTCACGTATTAAATCATTATCGGTTACCATCTATTCAAATATCACTTATGATTGATCAAGAAGGAAGAAATAAGATGGTCAGTCAATTTGAGGTGACACGTCTTGATCCCATCAATCTATCAGTGTATCTAACCTGTACCGATAAGAGGCCTAGACGTTACTATGCAAGTAAGGCATCTCCAGTGATCCGTACCCTGTCAATGACGGATCATTATTATTTGAATAACGCGTCCGTGAATTTCTTGGACACGGAGTCTATAAAAAGCAAAGATTTTCCCGTAGCAGTCGGTGGTGACACCAACAAAATCATTAACCGCAAAATACAAGTAAAACAAGAAGGTTTACATTGCTTCGAACCTAAAAGACGCTGGAAATACTCGTATGAAATCTCTCAAAAATCGCTCCACGAATACCATCTTTTACAGGTGGCCTTAGTCATGCCCTTATCTCGATTGATATCACTGGATAAAAAGCAAGAAAAGAAATGGAGTATGAAAATGCTAGATTGGGTCATGAGCAAGTGTCTCTAACTCACACACAAGCCTCCCCCTCTTTTTTTTTTTTGTGTAATCTGAAATAATAATAAAATAAATAATTGGTGCACCTTCTCTCTCTTCCTTTTTTCTTTTGTCCCATTCAGCAAAAACCAACATTTCATGAACACACTCATTGTTCAAGGCTCACAGTCAACACCTATACCCAGTCGTCGGAATAAACCATCTACACCTTCTCCCGGAAGACTTCCATCGAGGTTTGCATCCAGTCAATCAATACCTCGAACTAGTGGTGGCGGTGGAATACCTCGGCTTGACGTCCTGAGAGAATCTCGACTCCATCAGACATTTCAATATAAATCCGTTTCAGGTGCTCGACTAAAGTCTCACTGTGTTGGCTTTGCAGAGTATGGTCCCGAAGGTGGTCATCCCGTGATTGTTATTGGTGGCTATGGTTGTACCAGATTAGTTGGAATTATGTTTGAAGAACTCGCCTATAAACATCGTTTAAGAATGATTTGGCCTGAGCGTCCAGGGTAAAAAACCAAAGTAACAACCATCAGAAAAAATAGATATATACAACCCGAGAAGAAAGAGAAATTCATTGTCTACTTTTTTTTTTTTTTCTTAATTAGTTATGGCCTAAGTCAAGAATGTAATTCACAGAAAATGACAGCGCTGGAATGGGGAGATGTAGTAGTTCAATTATGTGATCATTTACATATCAGACAATTCAGTATCATTGCACAATCCGTAGGTACTGTATTTGCCTTAGCCATCGCACATCGTTACAAGAAACGCGTAGCTGGCCCCATTTACTTGATCTCTCCCTGGGTTTCAACACAAGCTGCAAACACCTTTAAATGGACTCGGCGATTGCCTGCACCCCTTGTGGCAAAAACAATATCTTTAGCTCTCGATGTCATCTGGGTATTTAATAAATCCAGCGGAGAAGAAGATGACAGTAGGAGATCAAATAGCAGCGATAAAAAATCAAGAAACACAATGCTTGCATTTGAAGAGGATGAATTACTAGCTTCTTTAGATGATGATGTCGTTCTTTTGACGGATTTTCCTCCCCATCGTCCTTTACGTCATTTCGTTCGCCCTAAGCACATGTCCTTGTATCTGGCCATGAATAAGCGTAGAATGTCAGAAACCTATAGTCAAGGTCAGTTATGTGATGTGATGGTCGCACTAGAAAAGTACCACATGTTTGGCTTTAATTATTCGGATATCAAAATACCCGTTTCCGCTGTCTGGGGTGATAAAGATGGTCTTATTCCCCAAAAGGCCATTGAAATCCTTGCCAATAGTTTACAAGATGTTCGCTTAAAGATTTTGGAAAGTGAAGGCCATGATTTGGTCTGGAAAGAAGGTGTCATGGAATGGGCTATAAGAGGAATAGCTGAAAAATACACTAAACCCATTTAAAAATCATAATTATACCCCCCTCTCCTCTCCTCTCAACCAATAAAACAATTTTTCTTTTGTATGAGTACTTTTCATGGTCGAATTAAAGAATACCCTACTCTATCCATCGATCATTTCATTACAACAGACACACCAAAGCATTACATTTTAAGTCATGTCCATAAAGGTACACACTCATCTTCCTTGATTTGCGTTTCCCTCCATTCACATGGTTCATAGACCACACACGAGGCCTTGAAAATATCAACTTCAACCAGAGCATTTACTGCACTGAACAAACAGCTTTGTTACTTCCACTCTTGGAGAACCGATCTACGAAACAGTTAATGTACAAGCATTTAAAACAATGCTTGATTCCTATACCTTATCATCAACCCATGACTATTACAGCCGACGCCACCATTAAGTTCACTTTTCTACCAGCGAACCATTGTCCAGGCGCAGCACTGTAAGCACAAAAAGAAATTGACGTTTAACTTGAAGCTAACGAGAAAATACAATCAGAATTTTGGTCGAGGGAAAAAACGGAACTGTATTATACACTGGTGATATGCGTGCTGAACCTGATTTTGTCAAGGCCGAATTAGATTGTCTACAATCCTACCGTATTAAAAACTTGTATATGGATACCACCTGCTGTTATCCCGATAAAAGGAACTTCATATCAAAGGTATAATATTTTTTTTTCTTTCTGTACACCAAGATCTTCTCCATCATTAATCCCTTGTTAAAGACTCAATCCATCAATATTTTGGTTAATTTGATAAAATCATATCCAGTTACGCATCACATGTATCTAGACTGCTGGACAGTTGGATACGAAGAAATGTGGATCTCCATCACCGAAAACTTTGGACAAAAAATACATGTATCCCAACAACGTTATAATATGTTTTGTCATGCCAACTCTCTATTTGACGATATACTGACCACAGATCCAAAAACTCGGTTTCATTCGTGTCACTGGGATCAAGAATGCTACATACACGAAGAATATACGATCAGTATACACCCTAAACCCAACAAAAATACAAAAGCTTTCCCACATTCACCATTGAGACGCCTATTAAACTCGGATCTTCCATGGGATTGTGAGCCCTTACAAAGGATGGTAATACACCTCCCCCTCTCTCCTTTTTTTCTATGAATATTCACCCATCTTGATTTAGATTTTGCCTTTTTCAACCCACTCTTCGCTATCTGAAATTGTCTTTTTTCATAAGTTCGTAAAGCCTAGTGAATTCACCCCTTGTGTGGTCCGTGGTGGATGGAAATCATTGGATCAAATGAGACTATTATTATCCCAAGAAGGATGTACCTTGGATACATCACCATCTTTGGATGTGGAACCCGTGTTGCACGATCAACAAGGATCCTGTCAACTGAGATCCTCCATGGATCAGCATAGTAGTAATCCAAGTAGCATTAATTACCTTTCATCATGTAATTCTTCATGTACAACCACCCCATACGCGCCCATCATCCTGTCCATACCTCCAACTCAAGATCATGTTCTTGTCACACCATCCATTCGCCAGCAACCATCTCTCTCAGAATCAGAGCCCGACAACGAGCCCTTTATCACAAAAGAGAACACATACAAGTTACTAAAGTCAATGAAGCGTCTACAAAAAAAACGAAGGTTAGGGTCCAAAAATAATCCAATTCCCCTGTAAGCATCCGAGACCAAAAAAAAAAAAAAAAAAAAAAAAAAAAAAAAGCTAAGCCAAACTATATCCTTTTTTTCCCACTTTTTTTTTAAAGAAAAGGTGCATGCTCCCCTAATTAAAAAAAAAAAAAAGTGCAGACTCCTTGTTTATTACATACGGCATAAAATAGAGGTTGCATGCTCAATTTAAGTTCAATCTGTAAACTTCTCGCAGCAAAAACTTTCACACCCTCCCCCTTTGAATCTTTCTCTTTTTTTTAAAAAAAAGTAATTCATAAACATGTATGCAAGAGTTGTTCCACGATTTATCAATTATAACCCCCCCCGGATTTAGCCGATTTGTCAAATAAACTTAAACTGAATACACTATATAAAAGAAAACCAGCTAATCCAACCTTAATAAGCAAATGTCAACTATTCAAAAATGTGGGGAGGGGGATAAACAAAAGTCAAGTCATAAACTTAATTTTATGTAGTAAAGCCAAAACAGACAACATATTTGATAGTATGCAACACTACGGCTATTAAAATAGGCCGCCTTAAAACATGAAAAAAAAAAAATATATATATTGAAATCTCGTGAACTGAAGTCTCGAAGGGAAGGTCGTTTCTCTTATTATTATTTCAGTAAATATGTTCGTTCTGTGGTGTTTGATAAAATAATATGGTAAAGTAATGCGATAGAATGGTTATTTTTATTTGGGTAAAATAGACTGCTGCGATGAGAAAATTGAACCTTTTTCATGTTCGACAACTGTCTCTGGTAGTTGTGTTGAGTCACTCTTCCTGGTCTTGTAACAAATCTAAATACAAAGTTTCCCGCCTTACATCAAATAAATTCTACTCGTTTGAATTGATTCAAAGTAACATCAAACCGGATCAACCGAGCTGGGACACTCTTATAGTTCTGTTCAAGTTACAGAAAATCAGAAACATAGCGCGTAACGGTAGCTGTCAAAAGATGCATAAGTTTTTTATATTTAGTTGGCTGTAGTAGAAAATACAGATATGTCTAATCATTTATTCATTCTGAGTAGATTATTCTTAAATAAGACATGGTTAAATAGATGATCCTAAATATAGAGCGTCTTGTCGACGTTTGTATACATCGAGACACCGGTATTCAAGATAGTTTAAGTTAGGATGTGTCTATGACATTAGGAACGGCAGATTAAATCATCACTTTTTAAAGGCCTCTTTAATTATGTAATTTGATCCATTTTAAGTGCTTGAACAAATATACATAAAAAAAGCTATTAGTTCTAGTATTATGTACACTGCTTGTTTGAGTCTTATTTTCGTATGAATCTTCGTCATTTTAACTGTTATAGATCTTTTTAATCTGCATTAGCTAATCGTTCATGCATCATGAAAAAGTTTTAATTTTTTAAAATCCGATGTTGCACGATTTTTTTTTCTCAAATGAGTGAAACGCAGTAGAAATTAACACACAAATAGAGACTATTTTTAACTAACTGCTGCGGATGCTCCGTCTAATATATCAGATACTCCAAATAAAAAACATTAAAAGGAGGATTTTTTTGATTTTTTCTCTTTTTCAACAGTAACTCTTTTTACAAGACACTACGACTGAAAGCAAGAGCTACAAGAGTCCTCACGCTGACCAAAGAATTTCCCATTAGCTATGTCTCATTCAATAGCTGGATTGAATTTGTAAAACTATGTCAAACTCATTACAACAACTGGAAAAACTTGCTGAGGAACGACAACTGCTTGGGACTCTTGCTGAGCGTCACCATGTTCAGCAGTTAACAGCTGCTCTTGAAGAAGTAAGTACTAACCCTTCCAAAAATATCCTTTACTAACGTTTTTTATAAATCTAAACCAAAGGACATGGAAACCAACGTAAGCAAAGCTTTGTATTCATATTTTTTCACGCCTTTGGTTAACTGACCTTATCATAACAGAACGCAAAAAGAGCACAGTCACGCAGCACATCATGACAAACAAAGGCACCCAGAGTATGTCTACTAGTTACTGTTTTTTTTTTACATAAGCACTAACATATTTTTTTTTGTAATTATAGCCATCGGCAAGGGATACTATTCGTATACCTGGTACCCATGGTACTTTAGGTGAAAACCTAGTACCAATGGTACCTTAGGTGAAAACCTGGTACCGATGGTACTTTAGGTGAAAACCTGGTACTGTTGGTACTTTAGGTGAAAACCTGGTACTGATGGTACTTAAGGTGAAAACCTGGTACTGATGGTACTTTAGGTGAAAACCTGGTACCGATGGTACTTTAGGTGAAAACCTGGTACTGATGGTATTTTAGGTGAAAATCTGGTACTGATGGTACTTTAGGTGAAAACCTAGTACCAATGTTACTTAAGGCCGTAAAATCGAAGTATTTCTCACAGTATGCTTATCTAATTACATGCACAAAATAATTTCCTCTAACATAAACCTTATTCCTCATTAAAAAAAGATTAAGTAAAAATGGAATAATTGATATGTCAATCAACACGGCATCCTCTCATGTCAAACTTCTTGGTGGTGCACGTGTTCAAAAGCATCTTAAAGCAAAGTATGGGTATCGATCACAACCAGTTGAAAGAGAATCTGTTGTTGATGAATATGAACATATCATGAAGAAAGTAAGCTAAACATTTGTTTATTTATTTATTTATTACTAATTTTTTCACTATTTATATTACTAATTTGCAGATATTTGGCGTTCTTCACGTAGTTTACAGAGTTAGAAAGCCTATGTAAAAAGGGTGAAAAATACTGTGTCGTCGAAAAACAATGCTTGAAAGTGTCATCATTTTAATGTTCACAGCCACAATAAAAATTGACAAATGAGTTTAATAAATTAGTTAGAGAGGGGCTGTCAGTTCTTAATGGCAAACAACATACACATTTTGTTAGCATTTAATGATTTAATGTACACTTGGGAGAGGGAGACTGTTAGTGCCGAACGGCAAAAAAAAAAAAAAAAAAAAAAAAAAAAAAAATCACACGAGAGGGCCGCAGGGGAGATGTCTAGAACTCCGTATTTTCTTCTTCAAACGTATATTTAAGAATCACGCGATGGTCTACACATAAGTCTTTACGTCGATTGACATGTCATCTCATCTAAAGTTCATAGGATGATCGATTTTCGCTTCACTGTCATTACAAGCTACTACTGGAACGCAGATAGACAACTATCAAGTTCTGACTTGCTTGGAGGGTTTTGCCAATGTTTCTATTTTAAGTAAAGGCCCAAACATTATGGATTATGAAACAAGCAATTAAATCATTCTGACATAAGCTCTTGTTTATCAGCCTACTAATAAAGCTGGTTCACACACTTTATTCCTCTCCTTTTCTTTTCCCTTAACATATTTTTCTATCGTATGAAAGTAGCAAATAACGTAAAAAGGTTAGTAAGTAATGACTCTTGTTTCTTTTAAAAGACGCTAAATCGAAAAAGATATATTGCGATATTGCGGCTGCGGCTAGTCTTTGCTATAGGAGGGCGACCTCCTAAGCAGGGATCTTGAGTTTTTGGAACTCAATGACTGTGAATAACAGTGTTTTCGCTGTGAATAACAGTGTTTTCGCTGTGAATAACAGTATTTTTACTGTGAATAGTTGTGTTTATACTGGCCTGCTGGTCTTGGCCAGTATTCTTGTAAGTGGTATAAAAATACGTTTAAAAAAAATACAGAGGTCTAAACATTTCTGGCCGCAGGTCCCGATCGGCAAGAACGCCTATAAAACCGGCTGGAGGTCGGTTTTTTATTTATTGTTATCACAGATACACAATATGAAGACCTTGGAAAAGTCCTGGACCTTGATTGAGGATAAGAAAGTCTCAAAAGAACATATCAGATTCAAACGAATCTACATCAACATGTAAGGATTAAACTTTTAACGTACTGGTGAAGACGAAAATTAATTTTTTTATATTCAAGACTTGAGAAACATGTTTTGACCCCGCACATGTTAATAGATAGTTATGTTGCCAAGTGTTCTGAGCTTTCCATGATCATCAAGTTTTGGTCATATCTATTTGAGCAATATTTCTCCCAGGCATCATTATTTTTACAATGGTAAGTCGCACAAAAGCCATAAATATTTTCTCTGATTTACTAATTTGGTTAGGGGAGATACCATCTCTGATGAATGCAAGCGTATGTCACTTGATTTCAAGCTTGATATACGTTTTTATTCAACAACGATACCAAAAAGCTGGATATTTGGAACGGCGAATTTGCGAACCAAAGGTAAATATTATCATGACAATGCCAAGGCAGTTTTGACTGACAAGTATCATTTGAATTACCTAGTTAAAACTTTGCCGCAAATTCCCGTCCGGTCTATCAAGGCTCTTGAAATCCCAATTGTAATGGTTATGGGTATCGACTGTCATGTGTTTATCTTGGCTTTAATTGATAAGAACGATTATCTTTTGGAAAAGAAAGTCTACCCATTGGGATACTTTTGGCGAGCGTTGTATATACGTTTCCTCCGTCCAAGGCACATTTGAGGATGTTCTGGTATGATGCTTGAGTTTTTACCATTCAGTATCTCCGTACATATCCCCAACTTGGTGGATATGTAATCGGAAAATTGCTTGATGGGTTTTCAATGATCGATGTACGTAACATACAGATAAAAAAGTAATCATTTATTCATATCTTTTTCCTCCCTATTTTTAGGACATAATTGATAACACTTTGGCCATTTACAATGATTACTCGCGTAACATATGTGATGCTATTAATAAAATTGACAAGCCTAAACACTCAGAAAAACAAAGTATAGTCTGTGAGTGGGTATCATCGGTAGTTTTAGATGAGGAAGGTTCCGTGTATGAAGATGATGATGAGGGAGAGACAGATGATGGAGAGTTTAATGATAAGGAAGAAGAAGATGAAGAAAATAATGACCAATAAATTCTTTACTTTTTTTTTTTTTTTTTCTAATTTGTATCCCTATGCCTTAGGTTATTTTCAAAGGGATGGGTTGTATAAGAAATAAAATAAGAAGTTTTTGGTGCCCTTTTTCAATCCCAAAGCATATTTCCAATATCCCGATGGAGCATAGAAGATAGCTAATAAAAATTTGAAATAAAGAAATTAATGCTAATACTACTTCACACTGCATGTGACTTGATTATGTCGTATGTATAAATAAAAAAAAAACGATTTCTGGTTTCCCACACTTCTTATCTTTTTTTTTTAAACCAACAATTTCTTCCTGACACATAAACTAGCGAGTTATAAAAGCACTGAATGAACCAAGAACCAACTTCAAACCTACCAATTTGGTTTAACAAACCAATGGTAAAGCATTTTCATCTAACTTGTTGTCTGTCGTATTAATTAAACAAGCAAATACTGAAGGTAATTATAAAACATTATCTGGACGACATTTCTTTTTTCTTATGTACATTAGTATTAGAAGAAGTGTGTATTGGAATAGATACAAGATACTGACTACCTTGACAAGTATCGTGCTGCATATTCAGTGAAAACATGTTCTCACACCGGCCAAAACTACTGTGTAGATACACCCAAATTAAACAACATTTCTGGACAGAGTCAATTGTTATTATAAACCTGATCTACCCACCTTCTCTGCGATTCCCATAAAAAAGAACACGCAACTGAAAAGTAAGTGATCATTATATCGATAACTCTTTAAAGCATCTGATAGACTGACATCAACCCAACAGTTAAGCCAACAGCAAACACGGAGGGTCTCTTTACGTAGCACATCCCGACAAACAAAAACACCAAGAGTATGTCTACCACTGTTTTTTTTTACATAAGCACTAACATATTTTTTTTTTTTTTTGTAATTATAGCCATCGGCAAGAGATACCCGGTACCCATGGTACTTTAGGCGAAAATTTGATCAAGTTAGCAAATAGTATTGTTGTTAAGGATGCAAAGTCGAAATATTTCTCACAGTATGCTTATCTAATTACATGCACAAAATAATTTCCTCTGACATAAACCTTATTCCTCATTAAAAAAAGGTTAAGTAAAAATGGAATAATTGATATGTCAATCAACACGGCATCCTCTCATGTCAAACTTCTTGGTGGTGCACGTATTCAAAACCAACTCAAAGCAAAGTATGGTCATCGATCACAACCAGTTGAAAGTGAATCTGTTGTTAAAGATTTCGAACATATCGTGAAGAAAGTAAGCTAATCATTTGTTTGTTTATTTATTTATTTCTAAATTTTTCACTATTTATATTACTAATTTGCAGATATTTGGCGTTCTTCACGTAGTTTACAGAGTTAGAAAGCCTATGTATAAAGGGTGAAAAATACTGTGTCGTCGAAAAACAATGCTTGAAAGTGTCATCATTTTAATGTTCACAGCCACAATAAAAATTGACAAATGAGTTTAATAAATTAGTTAGAGAGGGGCTGTCAGTTCTTAATGGCAAACAACATACACATTTTGTTAGCATTTAATGATTTAATGTACACTTGGGAGAGGGAGACTGTTAGTGCCGAACGGCAAAAAAAAAAAAAAAAAAAAAAAAAAAAAAAATCACACGAGAGGGCCGCAGGGGAGATGTCTAGAACTCCGTATTTTCTTCTTCGAACGTATATTTAAGAATCACGCGATGGTCTACACATAAGTCTTTACGTCGATTGACATGTCATCTCATCTAAAGTTCATAGGATGATCGATTTTCGCTTCACTGTCATTACAAGCTACTACTGGAACGCAGATAGACAACTATCAAGTTCTGACTTGCTTGGAGGGTTTTGCCAATGTTTCTATTTTAAGTAAAGGCCCCAACATTATGGATTATGAAACAAGCAATTAAATCATTCTGACATAAGCTCTTGTTTATCAGCCTAAAAATAAAGCTGGTTCACACACTTTATTCCTCTCCTTTTCTTTTCCCTTAACATATTTTTTCTATCGTATGAAAGTAGCAAATAACGTAAAAAGGTTAGTAAGTAATGACTCTTGTTTCTTTCAAAAGACGCTAAATCTAAAAAGATATATTGCGATATTGCGGCTGCGGCTAGTCTTTGCTATAGGAGGGCGACCTCCTAAGCAGGGATCTTGAGTTTTTGGAACTCAATGACTGTGAATAACAGTGTTTTCGCTGTGAATAACAGTGTTTTCGCTGTGAATAACAGTGTTTTCGCTGTGAATAACAGTGTTTTCGCTGTGAATAACAGTGTTTTCGCTGTGAATAACAGTCTTTTCGCTGTGAATAACAGTCTTTTCACTGTGAATAGTTGTGTTTATACTGGCCTGCTGGTCTTGGCCAGTATTCTTGTAAGTGGTATAAAAATACGTTTAAAAGAAATACAGAGGTCTAAACATTTCTGGCCGCAGGTCCCGATCGGCAAGGACGCCTATAAAGCCGGCTGGAGGTCGGTTTTTTATTTATTGTTATCACAGATACACACTATGAAGACATTGGAAAAGGCCTGGAGCTTGATTGACAGGATAAGAAAGTGTCAAAAGAACACATCAGATTCAAAAGAATCTATATCAACATGTAAGGATTAAACTTTTAACGTACTGGTGAAGATGAAAATTAATTTTTTTATATTCAGGAATTGAGAAACATGTTTTGACCCCACACATGTTAACCGACAGTTATGTTTCCAAGTGTTCTGAGCTTTCAATGATCATCAAGATTTGGTCATACTTATTTGAAAAAAATTTGACCTTCACTATGGTTCGGTACGCTGCGCTCTGAAAAGCCTCGTGCTTCCGCAGGCCTGATTCGCAAGCTATTTTTTAAAGAAGGTATTTTGAAATATAAATTTTTTTTTCGTGAAATATTACGTTTTTCCAAATTGAATCACCAAACTATAATCGTCCATAAAGACGATTAACAAGAGCTTCAATTTTTTATCAGTGTGAATTATTTTGACCGTTTCCAAATATAGAATTAAAATCTGATAGAAGGTTTTTGGACCCATCAGATTTTAATTCTATATTTGGAAACGATCAAAATTATTCACACTGATAAAAAATTGAAGCTCTTGTTAATCGTCTTTATGGACGATTATATTTTGATGATTCCATTTGAAAAAATGTAATATTTCACAAAAAAAAATCTATATTTAAAGAGACCTTAATAGGGTGCTTTAAAAAATAGTTTGGTGTGCTTGCGAGCGCACTCAAGTTACACTTTTTACGATGGTAAGTTGCATAAAAGCCATAAATGTTTTCTCTGATTTACTAATTTGGTTAGGGTATATACCATCTTTGATAAATGCAAGCGTATGTCACTTGATTTCAAGCTTGACATACGTTTTATTATCAGCAGCGACACCAAGAAACTTGATATTTCAAATGGTGAATTTGAAAAACAAAGAGCAGCAACCAAAGGTAAATATTATCATGACAATGCCAAGGCAGTTTTGACTGACAAGTATCATTTGAATTACCTAGCTAAAACTTTGCCCCAAATTCCCGTTCGATCTATAAAGGCTCTTAAGATTCCAATTGTCATGATCATGGGTATCGACTGTCATGTATTTGTCTTAAGCTTAATTGATAAAAACGATTATCTTTTGGAAAAGATTAATGCCATGCAGTACCCCCGAACATATCGCCAACTTTGTGGGGGCTTAATCGGAAAATTGCTTGATGGGTTTTCAATGATCGATGTACGTAACATACAGATAAAAAAGTAATCATTTATTCATATCTTTTTCCTCCCTATTTTTAGGAAATTATTGATAGCACTTCGGCAATTTATAACGATTACTCACGCAATACCAATGATGCCATTGATAAAATAGACAAGCCTAAGACCTCCGAAAAACAAAGTATCGTCCTTGAGTGGGTATCATCGGTGGTCATAGATGAAGACGATTTTATTTATGAGGATAATGATGAAGGAGAGACAGATAATAGAGAATCACAAAATAATGAAGAAGAAGATGAAGAAAGTAATGACTTACAAGTCCTTCACTTTTTTTTAGCCTCTTGTGAAGCTTTGTGTGGTGAAATTGGTGAAACTCTCGTTGTTAGTGGTGTTGGGGGTGAACCTCTCGGTTTTTTTGTATCTCTATGCTTTATATCTATCCCTATGCCCTTTATCTACTTTTATGCCTATTTTTATTCTTATCTCTATTTTTTATTTATACTATTCCTATTCCTATTCTTTCACTTATATTATGCCTATCCTATGCCTATCCTATGCCCATCCTATGCCCATTCCTTATGTAGTAATTGCAGCTAGAACCAGGAAGAGATTCTAGAATCCACCTCCAATTAACAGAATAAACTTTCCCATAAATCATATTACATAATAATCATAAGATTCGTAAACAAAAAATAAGATAGATAATCGTAGCAGGCATGGCGGATGCTCCTTAGTTAGTTTTTCGGTCTTAGTTTTGACTCGCTGTTTTTTCTTATCATTTTATTCAAATTTCCAAAAACCTATTTTACTACACCTTAAAGTATACAATATTTCTAATAAAAGATGAACAGCTACAATTTCGGTGACTATGCCTATTGAAAGTTGTAGTTGAACTATGAATATGATGATTAAAAATTGAATCGAGTGCTGATTTTTAACCAATCATGCACTTAATGATATGGAAGTGTGCACTCGTAGTGGGAGACGCTGTATAGAAGTGTACTCATGTGCATGATAATATGCAACATCAAGGGCTGTTTTTATTTCACAGTTTATTTATTTCAACGATTTGCTTATATAATCTTAGATAAGCGAATCGTACCTAAATACGACAATACATGCCATTTCTAATAAGTACGAACAAAGTTTGAATGATACGCAATCTACTCTAGTCTCAGGTTAAAGCATAGTGTGGTGGTCTGACATACTCGTTAATAAAATAGGAATAGCTCGGCATCTATACTTATAGAACAGATAGACTTTTTCATTCGGGTTCATCTTCAACTGAAATAGTGCAAGAAGACACTATGTACTTATATTAAATACAGTATTATAAATAATTCAAATGTCATCTTCAATATGATAGGACTCTCTGCTTTGTTTTCTTTTATTGAAATAAAACATTAATTTTTATTGTATCTTCCATAATTACTTCTACTTCGACACCACACCTGGAACACATCTTGTAGTCGTCATCATAAGTCTTACTACCCCTATATTATGAAGTTAGAGCGCAACTATTCATGTGCTCTTTAGGCTTCATAAAGTTTACTACTTAACTATATTGCTAAATTACCGATAAACAATTTTGCATGTATTTTTAGCATTACGTGCATGTATTATGGGAGGGAGATGATTTATTAATGAGCCTTCACAATATTTTGCAAGATTATAATATCCCAACTATTCCCTTTTCATGAAGAAATGATGATCCCATTGTGACAAAAACCAATTCTTGTTCATCATTTTTATTGTAAATAAAATCTAAACTACAGCTTTTTTTCATTTCCTTTTTTGTGGGTATAACTCAATCTTTGATGGAGCTGTTCCTTTTCTTGCATGATAAAGCACATGAATACATTGCAATGTCAAGCTTTGTTTAATTTTATATGAATTTTTTTTTTCTGATATGCTATGTATGTGATTCAGAAGTTGTGGATACAATGGAGCTGAAAAAAAAATGATTAGATTGTGTATCATGTTGAGAATGTAAATGCGATGAACCTTATTATGTATTTGTTTACAGTATGCTTGACATATTTTTTTTTCTTTTGAAAATAACGCTAACGAGCCCACATAAAATATCTGCCCTTGTACAGACCAGAAAAAGTGCAATCAATGGAATTCCAATTGACAAAGGAGAGAATAAACCAGTGATGTTTGATCATTCATATGAGATCATGTAAGGAGACAAAAAATTCATTTTGTGAGAAAAAAGCTTTCTCTCCCTTGAAAGGGGGATGAGTTCTCTTGTTTTTTTTAAAAAAAAAAAAGCGTGAAAATTCCTGGATCTATTTAATACATGGATGCTATTTGTTGTTGAAGGTTAATGCATTCAAAGGTAGTACTGACGGGTGATTTTGTTTTAGACCCCAGCCGGTTTTTTGAGTGGATGGCGTTGTCAATTCGTTATAAACAAGTAAACAAATTGATGGGGGCAGAGGGATAGAATTGTTGTTGTTTTGCCACAGTTTATACACAAAAAGAAGACGGGCATGCACGTGATGATACATGTAAAAAAAAAAAAAAAAAAAAAAAAAAAAAATAGGAGAGAGAAAGAGAGAAAGACAGAAAGAGAGAGAGAGAGATGGTATATATAGATTTTTTTAAAGGAATAAAAACGTACTTCTTTTCCCTTTCTTAATTTTTTACACTATTTAAAAAAAAAATGATGATACATAAGCTTAAAAAGATATTAAAAATGGAAAAGGGAGCGAGTACCGAAGAAAAGACAACGACGCAAAAGAAAAAAAAGCGGTTTTCGTTATTATTAAAAACCGCCATGATCGATCCAGATGATGATGGAGAGAAAATCCTGAAGAAACCCATGTCCAAATCGAGTTCGTTCTTACAGCTACAGTCTTTTACAGCAACGCCACTCAAACGAAGCCGATCCATGTTTGGACAGCTCTGTTCGAATGATAGTAAAAATGGGGTGAGTGTCACAACAGAAGAGGACAATACATCATCCGCCATTCTTGACTATTATGCAGCTTCTGAAAATATTTTACATACAGCAGCTGTCTCCATCTCATCCACCTATAATCCAAGTCATGACACTTTAGACCGTGACGACGGTGAAAGAGACCTGTTACTAGGCATTGCATCCTATGAAAAGGGTGAACTCGAACAAGCGTCTTACCATTGGAAAGTCGCCGCCGAGAGTGAATCTCCGCTGGGCATTTTCTTTTATGGCTTGACCCTGAGACATGGCTGGGTAACGTAGTCCGTTTGCTATTTATAAAGCTGGCAATTTTTTAACCCTTTCTTTCTCAAAAAACCAGGGCTGTCGAAAGAGTCCTGCACTAGCAGTAAGATTTCTTCAAAAAGCAGCTGAATATCCTGTATTTGATTTACAATCTGGTATCAACCGATTTATATCTGCAGTTAAAATAGAATCGTTAGTTTTATCTATTTATGAATTGGGAGAGTTCTTTTGGCATGGCTGGGAGGTACATATCATATAAATCTATATTTATTAAAAAAGAAGGGGGCTTCCGTCTGATCCTCTAAAAAAGAAAGAAAGTCATTAAAGCTGGTTTTAATTAATTAGGTACCCAAGAGTGTAGCAATAGCCACATATTACTTTCAGGTGGCTTCCACTATGGGCAACACAGATGCCATGAACGATTTGGCCTTTTGCTATAAACATGGTCATGGCGTCGAAAAAGATGATGTCAAAGCTGCACAGCTTTACAGACTAGCAGAAGAACAAGGAAACGGTCTAAAAGATAATTCATGGATCTGGCACGAACAATACAATGATGATATCGAACCCAACTAAATGTATACTAATTATAAATGAATTATGTATAAATATATATTAAAATCAAAAAATAAATAAAATCATCCTCTTCTTTCTCTCTTTTATCTTTCTTTTACTTTATTTTTTAAAACATGAAACTCTTGGCTTTGACAACACTGTTTACAATGATGACTGTTGTCATGACAGCAAGTTCAGTCACCCCATTGTCCAATCGGCTAGCGGCTAAAAAGATCAAGGTGAATACCATTGGCTGCAAGTGTATCATGTCTAAACCTAGTGCACAAAATACGGATTCAACATTATGTATGTGCTTTAACCGCAAAGATGGCACCTTGAATGATACCACGGTCTGTCGAGCTTACACAGGTAAATTTGGGATGAATACAGATTATTACACACAAAAAGACTAAATCATTATTATGAAAAACTAGATGGTGTGTTTTCATTTTGTTCGGATGTGACGGATGGAACAGAGTTGTGGCAAGAATGCGTAGAGCATTACTGCCCTTGCAACGGGGATATTGTTGAGCCACCCCGTAATAAAATCTATTTTTAAATTAATTGGATAGTAGAAGTAGTAAATGATGATAATAAAAAAAAAATTCTTTCTTCTTTTTTATTTTAAGCTTTTGCGCTGTAAATTTTAAGCTGTTTCTCTTCACCACCACTAAGAATTTTATCATTATCCCAATAGACAGATAAGACCTTATCCTTCTTTGTTTTATCCTCAGCTTCGACGGTATACAATGGTTCTTTACTACGGATATCCCAAACACGTACTGTAGAATCATAAGAACCTGAACATAAAGCGAATTCAGAAGTTTTTGACCAACAAACAGAGGAGACCCAAGCAGAGTGACCACGCAAACTCAACTTGACGTTGGTGCCATCCTCTGATCGAGGATCCCATAATCTGATAGTGTTATCGGAATGACCTGTAGCCAAAAGTTTGGAAGCGTTGGAATAATCCACATCAAGCACCACCTTTTCACAGTTCTTTGTTGTTAAATTAACTTGTTGTTCAACATCCCAACTTCTAATAGAATGATCCCAACCACCTGTATATACAGTGTTACTGCTGGCATCGTCGAAAGTAACAGCATTCACAGCACCCACGTGTCCCTCTAATGTAATACACTTTGTCTTGAGCTTTCTACCATCTGTCTTTTCTGTCTTTTTTCTCTTTTTATTTGTCTCTCCTGTCTCGACTGGTTCATCCTCAGTGGGTTCTGTGGTGGTCCATACTTTGACAAGGCCATCTGCTGAAGCACTTGCAACCTGATGGGATATAAGCGGTTAATGTCTATGTCAGGGTACATACAAGATGCAAAAAAAAAGAGAAAAACTTACGTATTTATTTTGAGCATCCAGGGCAACGGATTCGATAGGTCCCTTATGTCCTTTGCATTCATACATCAAACGATGAGATCCATCTTCAATTGAGTATTCCCAACCCAAAAGGGCATGATCAAGACCACCAGAGAAAACTTGTGCGGTTGAATCTGATAATAACCTGTTAGTTTACTCGTACGGAATATCAACATCAACTTTATATAATACCATTGACGCGACCAAAGGCAACGCTCTTGACGGAATCAGCGTGGCCCATAAATGTACCAACACATTCGCCGGTTGAGTTCCATAATCGAACCATGTTATCGTATGAACCGGTAGCGAATAATCCGTTGTGTCCCTTTACTGAACTGATCCAATCGTCGTGTTGATAGGCTGTAAGAGGGGTAGGAGGGAGCATGGATTCAACATATTCGATGGTGACAAGGTTTTCCTACATTGGGTGTTGAGTTTACATCGTGACATAATTTTTAGAAGGGAAAAGACTTACGGTGGAAAGTCTATTGGCATTTAAATATTCCACAATGCTACTTCTTAAAAGTTGACCATCGATTAAGAAATCAAAAGGAATGGGCTTGTCTATGTTACAAATTAAACAATGAGTACATGTTAAAAAGTAGATCTGCATGCTTTCTTACCGTTGTCAAGCAAGCTATTGACAATCTCGGAAAGACCGTCCTTTTTAATGTTGGAAGGTAACAAAATAGCAGCATCGCTGACTGCATATTCTGTTTGTTGAGTTGTGAATCGCACTTGCACTTGTTCTTGTTCTGAAGACATTTTTATAAATTCTGACACAATCAAAAGAAGAAAAAAAAAATGCTGGCAAAAAAAAAAAGAAAGTTGTCCTACTTTTAGGGTGGCTTATGTTTAAACATAGTGCGAATCTGGTGTGACCGGGGACATAAATTCCCCTTTTGACCATCGCTCAACTTTAATGAAGAAGCCTATACAAGACAACATTGCAGATCTAGAACGATTGGTTCAATTAGTGACAGAAACAGAAATTTCAGAGGTGGATCATGAAACCCAATTCAAGATTGACAGTTTTCTCGCCAAAGAAGAAAAACGCGTTCAAGCATTAGAGCAAGAAATTAACGGTATAGTTCTTCCTTTATTTGTAGAGTCTTTGTAACTGACTCAAGTGTCTAGAGCTGCAAGAACGCTGGGATAGTGGAAATAAAAAGGAAAGCACATTGAGACAAAGTTATGAAAACATTACACAGCGCATGGAGATTCGACAGCAAGAGGAAAAAGATGACGATGACAACTATAAAAAAGAAAGCATTCGAAGCGGACAATTAAAGAAACAATTACAAATTCTGACTGCCGAATTGAATGAAGAGGCAGAGAGTGCTAGCCTCAGTATGGGTGATACCCAAGAAATGTAAGCCCTTCAGACTCATAAAGACAGGAGGAAAGACTAATATTCTATCTAGGATCGAATTGGCTTTATATCATGGTATGGGTGTTCACATGTTTGTGGAAGAGGATATGAGTGTGCACAAGGCTACATTAAGTAAGTTTTAAAGAGAATGGTTGTGTATACGGTATTAACATGTATGTAAAGCATGCGAGAATACAGACGATGTGACGGTCCTTCCTATTACAAAGCAAAGTTCAGTCACGACCAAGAGAATCTGGGATTTTATCTCTCAAGGACTTTAAACTATACCCCCTCTCTCTATCTCTCCTTTTTTTTATTATTATTATTATTTGTTTTTGTTTATTTAATATACGTAAATATGGATAGTAAGTTTTTCATAAAGCTCTTCTTATTTTCATTTTCTAGCCTTGATAAATGTCGCTGTTGGTGATACGCAGAGAGCATAGGTTGTATAATGGTAAGGCGTTCAATTCGTATCACATAATCTGCCTGCAAATCATTCAATGTCATCTTCATGGTACACACCTCTTTTAATAGCGCTTCAATCACCATCACCAAGGGGAAAAAGTGGTTGTCTTTCTCGTCCACCCAATCGAATTGATCTTGGAAATCTTTGAGATCATTCGAGATATGACTAAGGATCGAATTACTCAGGTCGCTTAATTCAGACATGTCAAACACCCTTTTTAATCGACGGTTCAGGACTCGTGTATCGGTTGCATTAATTTTATCCAATGTTTGTTGTGTTACCGCATGGAGTGATTGGAAAGGATCCGTGACTGTCACATGCGGTTGTGGAATGACTTTGGATTGCATTATTTGTACTGGTGCTGCTGCTGCTGCTGCTGCTGGTGGTGCTTGTGGTGGTGGTGGGGAGGGTGATGGGGATATGAAAGGGGGTGGTGGTGTCTATTTGATATTGGGCGTAAGATTTCTTATTTTTTACCCTGTTTTTTGTATTACCTTAGATCTCTGTCTGAGCAAGAAACCATCATGTTCTTGTACAAGTGCCTCGTGTGTTAATTTAAGTGTTTCTATATTAATCAATTTAGAATGCATTCTGATGGTGTGTGTGTGTGTGCGGCGGCGGCGGATGATCTCGTGCATGCCTCTCTCTCTCTCTCTCTTTTTTCCCTTACCATGGCCCTGATGAAGTCGTTTATATTTGCTAGTCATGTTATTCTCTGCTTTTCTCAATTGAGATAATTCTTGCTTTAAATCCGAAATCTATCCATAAAAAAAAAATGAGTGATTTATTTCTTGTGTATAGAGATTTGCAATTACCTGTGTCTTGAGATTCTCTTCACTTTTGGTTTTGACTGATAATAATCGTTCACAAACTTTATTTTTCTCTTTGTATTCTTGCATCTGTTTTTTCAATTCCAGTGTATTCAACGTCAACATTTGAATCATCTAATTTTTTATTAAATTAAATTTAGGGTGGGGGCATAAATTTCAGACTTTCTTCTAACCTCATTTGATTGTTTATTTTCCCATCGTAATTGCTTTAATTCATGATAATTGTCCTTTACTAGATTGTATTGCTACCAAAAAAATTATCGATAAAAAGAAATTACCGCGTAATTAGAATTATACTTACTAACTCGCTGTCTTGTTCTTGTAAAAGTGCTTGTCCAAATTCTGGATTTTTTTTTTTTTTTTTTTTTTTTATTTTTGCATTAATATTAAAAGTGATACGTTTCTAAGTGATACTTTAGGGTATCTTTACCTGCTGCTAAACGTGCGTCGTTCTCCGTCTTTTTAAAACATTCGTTAAATTCCTGTAAACGAGCACACTCGCTCTGACCACAGCAACATGAAAAACCTGTATCATGCATTTTTCTTTTGTTTGTAAATAAATAAAAAAGAAGGGAATAAAAATAAAAAAGTAACCTCTTATTTTTTATATTCACATTAAAAATAATTGGATGACGTCTGATCTTTTTTTCATCAATCATCTTTTTTTTTTTTGTACACACCTATTTTTTTTATTTTTTTTCATTTTATTTCTTCCTTGTATAAATGAGTAATAGCAACAATAATAGACTAACCATCGGACAGTACAACATTATCAGCACCATTGGCACTGGTTCCTTTGGCAAAGTGAAATGTAACTATCCCCCATTTGTGTTCTTTTTTTTTTTTTAAAAAAAAAAGTCATTAATTCAGCATAAAACATAGTGGCAGTGCATGCTATCACGGGTCAAAAAGTCGCTCTTAAGTTTATCAACCGTAAAAAGATTGCCACGATGGAAATGGGAGGTCGAGTCAAGCGTGAAATTCAATACCTCAAGTTACTTCGTCATCCGCATATTATCAAACTGTAAAGTAGTCCTGCACTTTTGGTTCCCTATGTCTTACTCATTCTTATAATAGATACGAAGTGATTACAACACCTACCGATATTATCATGGTTATTGAATATGCCGGAAGAGAATTATTCAACTATATTGTGGAAAAAGGCAGAGTAAGTTTTCTTATTTTATCAGAAGCAGGATTGATTTTTTTTAAATATATATAATAGATGGCTGAAGATGATGCTCGTCGATTTTTCCAACAAATCATTTGTGCCGTAGAATATTGCCATCGACACAAGATTGTTCATCGAGATTTAAAGCCTGAAAAGTAAAGAGTACAACAAAAGATAGAGACAGTGAAAAAGGAAAATTATACTTATGCCTACAAAAAAAAGTTTATTGTTAGATGCGAATAACAATGTGAAAATTGCTGATTTCGGTCTATCCAATATCATGACAGATGGTGATTTCTTAAAAACCAGTTGTGGAAGTCCAAATTATGCTGCTGTAAGTGTCTTCCCTCTTTTTTTTTTATTTATGTGCATATACATACAATTACTGACATGTGAAAAATGAAAAACTTAGCCCGAAGTCATTTCTGGAAAGTAAGTTGATTTTATGTTTGTATACGAAAGTATCTAAAACGGCAAAAAAAAAAATAGATTATATGCCGGTCCAGAAGTTGATGTATGGAGTTGTGGTGTCATTTTATACGTCATGTTATGTGGAAGATTACCATTTGATGATGAATATATACCCACCCTATTTAAAAAGATCAATGGTAACGTGCTTTCTTTTCTTTTGTTTATGTGTTTGATGACTAAATCAGTCGCATTGCGATAGGCGGAATATACACCATGCCACCTTATTTAAGCTCAGACACAAAAGTCTTGTTGACTTCCATGCTGGTGGTCGATCCACTGAAACGTATCACAATACCAGAAATCAGGTAACAAAAAAAAAAGAAGAAATTGACTCCCTTTACTTATTGACTGATATATCCGAGTTAGAAAGAACGCTTGGTTCAATAAAAATTTGCCGGCGTATCTTCGCCCATTGCCTAATACGGAAGAGAGTGGAAATCTGTTGATTGATGAAGTATTAGTGGATGAACTATCAAAGGTAAAAGCTTTATAAAGAAGGGGGAGGGGCGGTTTGTTTGTGTGATAAAATAGGAGATAAGGCAGATCATACTTACGCCATGAATAATTTAGAAAATGGGCTATCCTACAGAGACGATCAAAAAAGCCCTTAGTGAAACAGAGAATAATCAATTTAAGGTGGCATATCAATTAGTCGTGGATCATAAACGCTTACTTCAAGACTGTAAGTCTGCACCCCCTTATTTTTTACCGTGTTTTTTTAAAAAAGAAAGGGAGTTGTCTAATGCATTTTGCACAACATTGTAGCTGAAAACAATAATATTCAAAGTTTCTTCGCTACTTCGCCACCTCCTTGGAATACGTCATTGGAAGACAGGTATAAGGCGTCGAAAGAAGAGGATGGCCAGTTGGATGTTGAATCTTCCATCTCGGTCCTAAGCTCAAGTTTACCAAAATCGGAGGCTTTTATGGGTAAGACAAACAACGCCAAGTTTTTTTTTTTCATTATTATTATTTAACTCACAACCATATAGAATCAAGAGCACGATCTGGTTCCAATGCATCTGCCAGAAGTGGAGCTTTACCTATTCTCCCTATCAGCGGTACACCACCTCCTGGCGCCATGACACCCACCCAAGGAGCTCAGCGCACGAGTACCCGTAAATTACCTATCGATACCGCGCCCAAAAAAGCACACAAGCCCAAATGTCGATGGCATTTTGGCATTCGTAGCAAGTGTCCTGCCTGGGAAGTGATGCTGGAGATTTATCGGTCATTAAAAAACGTGGGTATGGAATGGCGGACGATGGATGCGTATCACTTAAGATGTCGATATCAGTATCCTACGGTGGGACTTGTGGTCAAGTTTGATTTACAACTGTATAAGCTGGAGAACAATAGTTATTTGGTGGATTTCAAAAATGCAGGTACACAAAGGACACCGGATGGTACGGATCCTCTCAAAGCGTTTGAAGAAAATTTGGAAAAAAAGTTTTCAGAAGAAGTTGGTGATGATAAGGAGGATGTGTCGCCTTATTTAGCAAGATGGAGAGTAGATGATGATGTGGAGCATGTTCAAAGTGTCTATCCATTCTTGGATGTCTGTAGTAAATTAATCACAGACATTGTTTAAAAAATAAAATAAAGAAGTCACATCTTTGACTGCTAAAAGTTTTTTTTTTTTTTTTCTGGAATGGCACACACACAGCTTTAAAAAAATATTTTTTTTTTCTTCTTCTTTTAGCCTTTACAAATAGAAAAATATATAGAATGTCTAAACGTCAAGCTGATCATTCTGCTGCCAGGGACCAAAATAAGTCTAGTGCATTTGGTAACGGAGCCTCTCGTCATCCCGCCGAAGAAAAGAACGCCATGGGTGAATTCGAGGACGCTTGGGAGGATGATATTGAGCAAGACGAAGAAGTGATTGATGGTGATATGGAAACCAACGAAGAAGAGGATGGTAAACTCCAGCTACTGCAACAATAAAATATTTCCATACTCACATTTTTTTTTCTTCCCCTGTAGGCATGGATGTGGATGAAAAGGAAGAACCTGAGGAAGATGATAAGGAGTTAAAGTTATATTTGCCAGGTCAACCTTTGGCCGAGGGTGAAGTTTTGGAAGCTGATCAATCTGTCTATGTCATGCTTCATAACCTCGATGTTCGTCTTCCCTTCTTGAGTTTTGATGTTTTGGAAGACAAGTTGGGTGAAGAGAGAAAGAACGTAAGTCAGAGTTATGTAAAAGAAAAAAAAGGGATACATTTGAGATTAACATGTGTCCAAAAATTAGTATCCTGCTACTGCCTATGTTGCTGCTGGTACTTCTCTTCCCGGAGACCGTAACAACGAAGTTTTAGTAATGAAGATGTCTTCTTTGCACAAGACTCAGCAAGATGGTAAATTATAAGGATTGTTGTTACGAAAATCGAAAAAAAAACTAAGTATGTGTGTGTTATAGACTCTGATGATGAGGATGACCCAGATGCCTTGGATGAAGATCCCGTTCTTGAATATAGATCAATTCCTCACAACGGCTGTGTCAACCGTTTAAGAGTGATGCCTCAACAATCCGAGAGAAACATCGCCGCTACTTGGTCAGAGACCGGTAAGGTGCATATTTGGGATTTGACAACCGCTATGCAAAGCTTAGAAATTCCTGGTACACCTGCCAACACCACACAAAAGCCTTTACACACCATCAACAACCACGGACGTGAGGAAGGTTATGCTATGGATTGGTCTAGCCTCGAGGCTGGTCGGTAAGTGGCAGATAGACAATGTGTGTGTGTGCGTGTATAAAATATGATTTTTAATATATTATATAGTCTTTTAACTGGTGATAACAACGGTCGTATTTATCACTCTGTTTTGACCTCTACTGGTATGACAACCGACAATGTTGCATTTAGAGAACACAAGTCATCTGTTGAAGATCTTCAATGGTCCCCTACCGAGCAAAACGTGTTTGCATCTTGTTCGTCTGATCAAACCGTCAAAATTTGGGATACACGTAACAAGAAGCGATCTGCTGTTGGTATCCATGCCTCCAACTCGGATGTGAATGTGATTACTTGGAATAAAAAGGCATCTTATTTGTTGGCAAGTGGACACGACGATGGTATTTTCAGTGTCTGGGATCTCCGTACTTTCAAGGGCGGAGCACATCAACCTACGCCTGTTGCTACTTTCAAGTGGCACAACGGACCCATTACATCCATCGAATGGCACCCTACCGAAGAATCCGTGTTGGCTGTGGCTGGTGCGGATAACCAATTGACCCTCTGGGATTTGTCTGTTGAACCTGATACCGAACAAGAAGGACGTTTAACAAATGAAGGTGTTGAAGTTCCTCCTCAATTATTATTTGTTCATCAAGGTCAAGAAGATATCAAGGAATTACATTTCCATAGACAAATACCTGGTTGTGTTATCAGTACAGCAAGTACCGGTTTGAACATTTTCAAAACTATTAGCATTTAGATTTTTTTCTTTTCTTAATTTCGCCTCAACCATCACACTCTCACCTTACCTCTCTTGTTATTATGTACCTCTATTTTTTTTTTCTATTATTATATAATATGCCAAAATATATTATATTCTCTTATATCATCTCTCATCAAATTTGTGTATTTCTTTTCCTTTGTAGAATAGTAGCGCATAGAATAGGGTATGACGTGTTTTATTATCTATAAGGGTGCTTTATCGGATGGCAGAGAAAAGGGTTTCCATGTACCTGCATCAATCATTTCTTCGTCTTTGGCACGTTGAATATCAATTTGGATCGAATCCATGGCAACCTGATGCAGTGTTTTACTCAAGGCACTGATCCTGTTTGTCTCCCGAATACAACTGGTTTGGAAATCCCAATCATTACCCTGGGCGAAATGTGTGAAATTGAGATATTCCAATGGCTGCTTATGTTTGTCTCGATACAATCCGCCGTTCAACCATAAGGGAACTTGTTCCGTGTCCAAATGAAGTTGGTTACCACAAACCTGTGTAGGATCCCCATCTTCACCACCACGTCCCATATTTCCAATGACAGCACCAAATGATTTTATAAATGCGTAAGGTGTTTGCATCATTTCATGACCTATCCAAAAGGTCTGTTTTTGTGTGTGTTTGCCTTTTTTTTAGTTTGAAATACGAGGATTATGTATTGATACGCATACACATACCTCTTTATCACCATGAATATGTTTATAGACGACTTCGTCACGTTCAGTAATACCGTTCAACTTACAAGTAGCTAATAAACCTAAAAGAGATTTTTTCTTGTTCATCACAATCACACCCGACTCTTGCTCGTGAGAGGAAGTGCCTTTAAACCAACGCGTATTGGGCACAAAGGAAGTCATGGTGGACAAAAACGAACGTAACCAATCGGGTCCCTTTTCCCAATTAGCAAACAGTGTACGATCATAAAAGAACAGACTACCGGCTAAGGCATAGCCTTTGTCTTGAAAGAGTAGAGCAGGATCTTGAAAGAAAAAAGCGTCTGCATCCATCATGATGACCTCAGAGAAACGACTGGCTAAAAGAGCAAAAGGTTTCATAGCCCATCCACCAAACCTTGTATAATATTCCCCCACGTAGTCGTCTAATTTCACGAGGGAGACGTTTTTAAATTGGGTGGTAAAATAGGTTCGTTTGGCAGGGGAGAGATCGTTTTCGCGAATATAAAAGATTTCGATGGGGAGTTGAGAGTGGAGGACTTGACGGAGTGCGCGCACAGACGAGGCGGCGAATTTGAATTGGTTGTTTCCGACGCACATGACAATGCCTTGTCCGCTTGTTTGGTTATTGATATGGAATGCATTTTCCCAGTAAGGGTAAAGCCACGGATAGAGAGATCGTTCGAGACGGGTATAGAGTTCCCAGCTGGCTTTGTGCTGAGATGAGTTGGCGGGATGAAGGCTGGGATCGTTGGATAGGATTTTATCGAAATGGTTAAAAAGTGACTTGAACAATCTTTCTGCTGCGGTGATTTTGGTAAAATCAGGTGTTTCGTGGGCTTCTGGAATAATCGCCAGTTGGGAAAAAACAGTTTCTCCTGCTATCGATTGAAAAAACTCTAAATCTTTCTCTTATAAAGGAATCTTTGTTAAGGTGATGTGGAGACATCTCTTTTTTTTCTTTCTAAATACCTGACCATGGTTTAGGAGGGGGTGTAACAGCAAAATCGTATTGTTGTGATAATTGTTTAACTTTTGTTAAATTTAACTCTAAAAGTAAAAAAAAATTAGAGTGCTGTTTTTCTACAAGAAAGGAAAAATTTTCTGCTTTTTTACCAGGTTCACTGACATGTAATTCCACCTCAGCTTTGTAAATGGGACGTGGTCTGTCAAAAAGAGTGTTTCTATAGAAACTGGCAGAAAATGCAAGGATACATAAAACAAAAAATACAGCAATGGTGATCCGTATAGTTTTCGGCTTTGTCAACATAATAATAAAGACAGCTAAAAAAAATAAAAGAAACGAGGTAATTGCTTATCTTTTTATATATTAAATTGAGTTTTTATCTGAGAAAAATTTAAAGTTTAGGCTCTCTTTTCGCATTACACAAATGAAACCCAAGCCCTTTGTGTAAACAGAAAATGTTATTTGTATTTTTTGTTGAAGAAAATCTAATAAAATAAATGCCCGTCATTCGTGCTAGTAATTACTTTACATTGATCTACAAATATTCAAAGTTGTGTTAAAAAAAAAAAAAAAAAAAAAAAAAAAAAGTAGCTCAGCACCAACTTTATCCACATTGTTTTTGACAAACTTGATTTTTGGTAACCATTTGCTGACAATTGATTTTTTTTTTTTAGAAGTATATTGCCCAAACATTCACCAACGAGGTCTAACGTTGGTGAAGAATAATGCCATATGCCCGTGGTTACGATCCCCCCATGGGGTTCTTTGAGTGGTTTGTGGCTCCACTCAATTTATTCAACAAAAAGTGACTTGCGAGAGACTCCCTTTGTCCATTGGCTGTCACCATTGGAAGAATAAATGATATAAGTTAAGCTCTATTTATATGTATTAATTCAAACATAAAAAATAATGTTTTTGTAACGATAACTTCACTTAATTCATATCAAAGACGCTATAATGAATAAGGTCAACCGCGAGAAGGTGGAAGCTAGCATCTGGTAGCGAAGCAGAAGACCCCAACTCTATGCAGATTACAGGATTTTAGTCTTAATTGGTATGCTTGATTTTTTTTTTTGGTACGGGTTACTTAAGGAACTCGAAGTAAAATATTATTGGATAATAATATATATAAAACAATAAATTTGCATTCTATTGACAATCTTCATAACACTGAAGTCTACATCACCAGCGGCGATGCCTTTTCTCTGCAACAATTTGAGTATGAACACTTGCGCCTATGGTTTATGTATCCATGAAGTTTATGATAAACCTGTAGTAACAGAGATAAGATCGGTTGCTCATTTGGGTGCAAGTAAGCATTACAAGCTTTCTATTGACTAGGAGTTGATCAAATTTCTGGCCACGGGGAGCTATTACGCACACAAAGACGAGCCTGTCCAATTATTCATCGGATCGTCTTTATGTAACTGGACATCTGATGAAGACAAAACAGAAGAAATACACGTCTTAAAAGATGTGAAAAAAAAAAGATCTTTTAAGAACAACGTGACTCTTAAGTCAGTATCATCTTACAGTTGAAAAAAAATACTAAAACTTGCGCCATTTGATAGATAGGGCATTTGATTGATTTACGTAGGCTGTGGGGTTCTCATAGTCTCAAGTCTTTTGTTGCTGGGTATAGACTAATACCCCTCTTTGAAATTTAATTGACTACCATAGTCAAAAGAATACCCAGCCAAGTATGTACCATTTCGCACTGAAGTTCCTCTTCATGGTAACAACTCATCAATTAACAACAAGAAAAGAAATCGATACGTCTTTCTTGTTTTTCGTTAAACGGAAACTTTGCACTGAATTTTAGTCGAGAAATCAACGTCGTCAGCTTCCATGACTATTAAGAAGTTCTTAAAAGATTAAAGAAGTCACCCGTCTACTTGAGCTTTTTCGTTGATACTGCTGCTAATATGGTAATTATACTATACGAATATGAAGCCTGTTATATGTGCTGTTATCTTGAAAATGCAAAGGGTTTATCTCTCAAAATTGTTTAAGATGGACTTAAGGCCTACATCACCAGATGTACAAAGACTATCATTAAAGAACGCAAGTAAAATATATAAATGTAATCAATTATTAATCAGTGGCTGTGTGGTACTTAAACTAAGGGATCATTGTTTTACAACATCACTTATAACATGGCTTTTTTTATGATATCGTAAAGATAGGGAATGGTAGAACAACTGATGGATTTAACAACCATTGATGTTACACTTCTTATTATATCATGTTCATACCTTCATTTCATTGAGTATGAATATAAATGACCAAGCATGAATATAAACTTTAAATCTTTAAGTATACAACGTAAAAATGTTGATATGTAACTCAAGAGGACTTATATGTATGCTTAAAGCATCAACTACAAATATAGAGTGAAGAGAATTCTGCAGCTATTTAAAACGATTGTATGCTATTCCGCCTGAATAAAAATTGAAACGCCCTTCTTTTTTTTTTTTGTCCTCTTTTTATCTCTCTTATTTGTTTTCTTGTTAAAAATAATCCCACGATGACAAGCAGCATGATACAACAGGAACTTGTAAAGCTTTTGCTTGGAGCCAAAAAGGCATTTTCTCAAGGAAGAGACATGTGCAATCAAGCGAATATTCATCAACAGAGTGCAGAAAAGTATATTGAAACCATTGAGAAGCTGCATCCTAAATTAGTGTTTGTGGATAACCACATTGTGGTTCAGTTACATGTATTGGATAAAATGAGGGAATATTTGGAGTCTCAAACGGAAGCCTGTAAGAACAGAATTAAGGTATAGCTTATATTGTTATTGTTTTGTAGCAATAAGGACTGATACGATAACGAAAGGACCGTGAAAGCAAATTGCAGAGTTTGACGATAGAATTGACCACCATTTTCCAGCTGTTAAAGAATTGCGTGATCGATAAAGATATTTTAAAAGTAAATGCTGAAAGAGGAGGAAATCAGAATGAAGTGACGTTATTTGACTATATCTCTGATCAAGAGATTATTGAACTGCAACGGCAAGCTGATGATGAAATTGGTGAGATTGAGGTAAATAGATAATTAAGGGGGAATACCCTACTCTGTTTGCATGATTTTTTATTCTATATTAGACCATTCATAATTCGTTACAAAATCAAACAAGAAATCTGTCTTCTGTTATACAAGAATTACAGTTAGCCAGAGAAAACGCATTATCCATCTCTCTTGGTGAATCTATCTCGGGGTTCGCCAATGAGAAAATACAATTACAGGAAGAAGAGTCTTTAAAGATGGCTGATATATTGACGAGTTTAATGAAGCATTATGATCAAGTGCAAGAAGCAACCAGGTTTACAAAAAAGTTATCAGTTTTTAATATAAAGTAGTATTATTAACCCTTTCCCCCCGCCAGAATATCCCAATTGGGCCCTGAAGGATGTGAGCAATTGGATATTACAGTCTTAAAGACAGATGACGATCATTTGCCTAATATCACCGAGGAATTAAAGATTGGATTGGATGTGGTTATATCTATCAGGTAAAACATAGAATGTAAATATCCATTGGGAGTTTAGTGAGAGAAAAGGAGATAATTGACTATTGCTACTACAAAGTGAAGAGATTTACGACCGAATGCAAGTGTATTTACATGTGAAGGATGAATTAATAAAGGTTTTGAACCAATTGGAACATTTTGGCACGGGAGGACAAGCCGATGCAATGTATGATAAATTAGTGACGACCGAATTAGATATCAAGGAGAGAGAAGATGACTTGGACGAGTTCTTTGATCAGTTAAAATCATTGGCCGAGTGGTATCGTTGTTACGCTTCTTCTTATAATTTCTTGCTATTGGAAATAGACCGAAGAAAAAGATCCCAGGAGAAACAGGAGGCCTTGAAGACGGACTTGTTAAAATCATTTGAAACCGCGTATAACGATGAGCTGCAAGAACGGAGGTCGTGGTCTGCACAACACGGTCAATATTTGCCCGAGGCGTTATGTCCATTTATCAATGTAAATCATGTCTCTCCCCCCATGTAATTTCTAATCTAACCATCCATCGCTAATAGGATGCTCCTTCGGTCCTAACTGTCGAATTGCAAAGTGATCCTTCCGCAAGATTGCCTGATTTATCGCGTAGTAGTGTTGATAAGGCAAGTATTTATCAAATACAAATACTCATGCAATCCCCTAAAAAAAAAAAAAAACTTTAAATAGGCTTTGTCCGAGATTCATAATGACCATCCATAAAACTGAGTGTGTGTGTGTGTATGTGTATGTGTGTGTGTGTGTATGTGTATGTGTGTGTGTGTGTGTATACAAATGTATATACATATAAACCCTTGTTTAATTAAAGAATAATGAAAATGTTGTGTACAAAAAAAAAAAGAAAATTAAAGCTCTTTCACTTGTCCGGGTCTTCCTGCATCAGGGAAAGGTGTAGGTGTAGTGGATGTTTCAGCATGAAGACTTTTATTGCTGGCGGTTTGTGCCTCCAAAATATCATTGAGACGACCCTAACCCGCATTATATCAGTGATTAATGAAAAGGTAGATAACGTGTTATGAATACACTTACGAGTTCCTCATGAAGCTTGCCTTGCTTCTTTAACTCCATTCGACGGTTTACAAGCATACCCACATTGACCATGTAATAAACTATGAAAGTGTTAAGCCGTAGTATAAGAGTGTGTAGTGTTGGGGGAGGTACCTGTAGTTCCTGCGAGGAAAAGAACAGCAGACTTTTGTGCAATATCAGCCAAGCGACCCGTAACTGCCATTGTATGGAAAAAAGAATAAAAGGGAGGAAAAAAAGAAAATTTATTAAAAACAAGAGTCCTGGTGATTATCAAATATGGAGAGAGAGAGAGAGCTGACTTTTTCACATGACGTAGGAATAACAAAAATAATAAAAAAAAAAGAGAGAGAAGAAAAATCTGTCTTTCCTTTCTATCTTTTCTTTTCTATTAATCAAACATACCAACATGAACCTTTTTTTCGGTAAAGCAAAGTCGAAAACCACAGCTAAAGATGCCATCTACAAATTACGTGAAACATTGGGCATGCTGGAGAAGAGACAAACTTTTTTGGAAACCAAAGCCGAAAATGAATTAAAGATTGCAAGACTCAATGCCACCAAGAACAGAAGAGGTAAACATTAGGGAGAAAGAGAAAGAATAGTGTGCTCATAAGACCTAAATTTGTACATGCAGTTGCTTTAATGGCACTCAAGAGAAAGAAGGCGTATGAAAGCAATATCGAAAAAATCAACGGAGCTCGCATGACTATCGAAACACAAATGATGGCTATTGAAAACGCCAATGTTAATTTGGAAACCATGGGAGCCATGCGTGCAGGTGCAGAAGCCATGAAAAATATACACGGTTCCATGTATGCAGCCCTTCCACACATGACAACTTTAAACACACAACGGCTCATGTCTTTTTTTTTTTCTTTTATCTTTTTAGGGACATTGATAAGGTAGATGCCACCATGGACGATATTCGTGACCAGATGGATGTCGCCAATGAGATTTCAGAAGCAATCTCTCGACCTGTTGGTATGGGTGAGGACTTGGACGAGGTAAGAGAATAGACTACGCTTTATATATATATATATATATATGAAGGGTATTCATCACTTCTTATTGGCTCTAGGACGATTTATTGAACGAGTTGGAAGAATTGGAACAAGAAGAGTTGGATGCCAAGATGTTGGAAACTCCTTCACCGGTAGTCTCTGCACCCAATGTGCCCAATAATAAGCCAGGTAAAACTAATCGGGATAACAAAAAAAAACAGTTCTTTAACACTTACATTCTTGTTCCGTAGCATACAAACAACCAGTTGTTGAGGAAGATGATGAAGAGGCTGAACTTAGGGCACTTCAAGCTAGTATCGCCATGTAAACTTCTTTTTGTTTATTATTATTGTATGGATCTAATCAGTCACTTAAATATCTTTTGATGAATTTTTGTTGGTGCGTACCTGGAATTGATGTGACTGAAATGTGAATAAAATGGGCTTTGTTCATACTTTTAAGGGAAATTATAAGTTACTGTCACTCTAGAATGATCATTCCAGTGCTGATTTGGGGGTGGGGCTATTAGAAACACACCTTTGTCTAGTAAAATTATAGGTACCCCCAAAGATTGTGTTTTAGTCTCGTAATCTCTGATTGCAAAATATAGTAACTTTCATTAAAAAATCAAAAGCAAAATTTCTCGATAATAGTTTTACTACTGATACACAAACGAAAGGTACATGCGTCAACTTAAAAAAAAAGACATAACTGAGTAAACTGAAGTGATCTATAAATAATAGCTACAGCTAATGCCTGTTTAATATCTAAAGAAATCTTTCATTTTGGTACAGTGAGCTAGATACATGTCATACATCTAAAAAGAGCCATCCTTTCAAACATGTGTTTGCTTTAATGACATATGAAAAGCTTTCTGATTTTCGGGTAAAACAAAGACGAGGATGAGAGCATGATGACCTAATAAAGTAATTTGGCTGTTTTAATTTACTGTTACACTTTGTGAAAGCCCTTTTCAAGTCCGGTATATATTTCCCCAACTCATCCAAGAAAAGTCATATCCATACCCTTTCTTTCCTTCATCACTAACTAAAAGAATGAGTGCGATACATGTGGAAAAGCTGGGGAAAGCAGTTGTATTGACTTATGATGATCAAAGCCTTTTGATCGAAGGCGATCTGGATACGAAAAAAAGAGGTAAAAATGTATGTACACATTTGTGTTTTAAAAATAAACTTTTTTTTTTTAACATTTCCTCGACAATAAAAAAAAAAAAGCGAAATCATCTCGAACATGTGGTTGTGTTCCAACATTAGGTCTTACGCGAACAGAACCCACTCGTATTATTAACACACATATCTTGTATGCTCACTATAACGATAGAACAAATTTGATTCAAATTAACGCTGTCATTCCAGACCAACCTACGACTGCACTTTTAAATATCTATAAATTCATGTATACCGTCAAGGACAACGGAGCTAAAGAAGCCATTGAATTTTGTAAAACTATCATGGATTCAGTTTATAAAGGTAACCTTATCAACTAAAAAAAAAAAACGTGAAAGGAGTAGTAAGAAGCTCATGTGAAAATAAAAAAAAAGATTTGATTTCTGGAAAGCGACTGAAAATCTTGGTCAATCCTTTTGGTGGCCAATCAAAGGCAAAGGATATTTTCCAGCTTCAAGTCAAACCTATTTTAGAAGCAGCCAAATGCATATTAGATGTCCAACGTAAACTCTATTTAAAAAAACACATATACGTACAAATACATTAAACTTACTTTTTATTATTAGTGACAGAACATCAAAGCCATGCTTTAGAAATTGCCAGGGACTTGGATATCGACGCCTATGATGCCATTGTCACTGTCAGCGGTGATGGTATCATCCACGAAGTCATCAATGGATTTCTTCAAAGACCCGATGCTCGAGAAGCCATGAGAAAAATTCCCTTGGGTATCATCCCTGCAGGTACAAGTAATTCATTTTCCATCTCCATGCTTGGTGAGAAACAAGGCTTTGATCCGGTTTATACCACATTGCAAGTCATCAAAGGTCGACCTTTAGCCATCGATCTATGTTCGATTAATTATGGTGATGAACGCTTTTTTTCATTCTTGTCGCATAGTTTTGGTATCTCTGCTTATGCAGATCTAGGCACAGAACATATGCGATGGATGGGTGATACTAGGACAGTGGTAGGACTTTTGGGAGAGATCTTTAAGAACAAAAAATACAAAGTACAAGCATCACTCTGTATTGTCGAATCTGATAAAGCCAAATTAAAGAAGAATTATGATATTGCAAAGGGTGGATCAGCATGGATACCTGTGGATCCATCAACAGGAGCAGTTACGGATACGATGCCTCCGCTAAATGAACCTGTGCCAGATAATTGGACGACACTAGAGGAAGATATTTCTTTTTTCCTGACAAGCAAAGTGCCATTGTTAAATCGTGGTATGCTCAGTCATCCATACGCTTCTCCTAATGATGGACTGTTGGATTTATTAATGGTTCGTAGTGGTAAAAGTCTTGCAAAACAATTGAGTGTATTCACAAATATTGATACGGGAAAACACATTGACTTGGACATCGTAAGTGTTACATGGAAACAGATGCATAAAATTACAATCTCAGTCCCCTCATTTTTGTGTTTTAGGTGGAGTATTCCAAGATTAAAGCGTTTCGACTCACCCCAATTTTAAAGCCTGGAAAAACAGCTTATGTGTCTATTGATGGTGAGCACGCACCTGTCAAAACATTTCAGGTGGAAGTTCACCCATGTATTGGATCTGTCCTGAGTTTCTCTCCATCATTTTACCCTCATATTTAGTAATTAAACTACCGCGCATTAACACAACCTTTTTTGGACTGCCTTTTTTTTTTTTTTTTTTTTTCTGTTTTGAAATATTTTTTTATTGTTTGAAAATAGCTGTTCTTTCTTTTTACCATATATTAAACATGCCTAAATTAACAACAAAGACGACCAAAAAAATGGAGAGCGCCGAGGACATGAGAGCCTTTGGTCCTATTTTCAACAAAGATCTCGGTCAGCATATTTTGAAAAATCCTCTTGTTGCTCAAGGTATTGTTGACAAGGTAAGATCTACTTTTTTTTTCTTCTTTGCGATTGTACACCGACACCCTAACAGCGGTGTGGTTATTAGGCTAACCTCAAGGCATCAGATACAGTTTTGGAAATTGGTCCTGGTACGGGTAATTTGACAGTTAGAATTCTTCAAGCCTGTAAGAAAGTGGTTGCTGTAGAAATGGATCCCCGTCTTGCAGCCGAATTACAAAAGCGTGTGCACGGAACGTAAGTTCATACAAGAAATAAGAGAGAGAGAGTCATTTTTAATGATGGAATTATAATTATAGATCGGATCAAAAGAAGCTTCATATTTTACTGGGTGATTTCATGAAGACTGAATTACCCTACTTTGATGTCTGTATCAGTAATACCCCTTATCAAATTTCATCCGTACTTGTATTCAAGTTACTCGCACATCGTCCCATGTTCCGTACTGCTATTCTCATGTTCCAGCGTGAATTTGCTTTACGACTTGTGGCCAAACCTGGAGATGAATTGTACTGTCGTCTTTCCGTCAATGTTCAATTATTAGCTAAAGTCGATCATGTCATGAAGGTCGGTAAGAACAATTTCAGACCTCCTCCCAAGGTTGAATCTTCCGTCGTTCGTCTTGAACCCAAAAACCCTCCCCCACCTATCGATGTCAAGGAGTTTGATGGTTTATTACGTATTTTATTCACAAGAAAGCACAAGATTTTCCCTGCTAATTTCAAACAAACCACCGTCATGAATATGCTCGAACAAAATTACAAGACCTTTTGCTCTGCGCATGAAATGGTAACAAAAAATGTGTGATATAGAGAGAGAAAGAGAAATGGTTACTAAACATGTATTTCTGTAATAAATAGATGGTGGAAGCAGATTTTGATATCAAGACCAAGGTACTGGATATCATTGAATCTGTTGGTATGTCAGATATGCGTGCAGCAAGATGTGATTTAGATGATTTCCTCAAGTAAGCTTTCTTTTTTTTTTGCGTTAAATCTGAAAACAAAAACTAATCGGTTTTGTTTATATCTTTAGGCTTTTGCTCGCTTTCAATAACGCCAATATTCATTTCTCTTAATTCTCTTTTTCTGTTTTTGTATCTTTATTTTCAAGTTATGGCTCATTACCCCCCATCCATCCATTTTGTAGAAGGAAAAAAAATTATAAAGACTATCTCTTTTTTTTTCAAAATTTATGCGATAGACTTAAACTTATATGATAGACAATGGTGTCCAGAGGAATAGCGGGATGTTACAATGTGTATGTTTAACCATTTGTGCCATCTATTATTTGATAAAATGCATTAAACCGTGGTGAAAAATACAAACTTTTGTATCACAATTACGAATTGTACCTGAAAAAAATCATTCGGTCACGTGATTACTAAAAGGAAGTGCACGCCAAACATTTAAAGTTTCTTTATTATAGGTCATAATGTTCGACCACGCCCTCGTGTCTTTTCAGCTGTGTGTGTCAGATAAATTGGACATTGACCAAGTTTTTAGAGAGAATTTTTTTAGAACTGCAGTCTTTCTGTTTTCTAATTCAAAAATAATACCACCTTACTGAAGCATCGTTTGTATTAAAAGTATCTTGCCTGGTCAACTATGTTTTTTTTAAAAAAAAATTATGCAGTAGTAATAGATACGAAAAAATAAGTTGTCCGTCTTGAGTAATTAGGGAAGATGTGAAACCAACACTGGCAGTTCATTATTTTCAAACATGACAATAGTAGCCGAAACACGAACTACCCAATTCAGCCAACAAATATCCACCCTACTGATTGAAAATAACATTATTTTTATTCTTTATTTTCTATGCTAATCAAATCCTACCTTCATGGAAAGTACTAGATACAAAATTTATTAACTATCACTAGTTATCACCCTAAAAGATCTAAGAATTATCTTAAATACCTAAAATGACCATTAAACGCAGCTAAGAAATAGAGAAAAGCTAAGAAAAGTAATTGAAATGAATGCATTCAAAACGCAAATGAATAATACCGTATTCATGGATCTGTTTAAAGAACTTTCGGTAACCAAGCGAATATGGTGGGTTGGCATTTTCCACCAAAAAGATACGCCGGAATATAACACTCAAAATGCTATATATTTTGTAAATCCACTAACAACTTTCTTTTTAACTCAGTTATTTATAACAGAATTTTTATAACAAGTGTTTTAATTATTCAGGTAGATGAACGGAACAAATAAAACTACTAGTATTGCGTTGAGAAAGAGAGCAGTGGAATAACGTTTCATTTAAACTAGATATATACTCTAGAAATAAAGGCGTTGCTTATGTATCAGAGATAATGTGCGGTGCTTATTATGGGATTTTCAAAGTACTTGGTGCCGTAATCATGGTTAGCAGCTCCTTGTTGGTATGAAGGAAACTGTCAGGAGTCAGCTTCTAACCGAGCATGTTACACGGATTTCCCTCCACCGGCAACGATGTCCGGTAGAGGGTCACGTGATATAGTCCGGGCGCAAGAAATTGTGCAGCGGAGAGCGAAAATAACCGTTTTTGGTGCTTCGAACAGCATGTCTCAGGCTAGTCTTTCTCTTTCCCCCTCAACGGTAATACTCACGTACGTATCAATAATAAGAAAAAGCGAAACATCCAAAGGTTTAGAGAATCCATCAGATGAAGATAGAAAAGCGATATACACACTTGGATGGATCGCAAAAAAAGAAAAAAAAATCCAAAAAAAATAATACTAATTCAACCAAAATAGACCATGGTTTTGAAGCACAACAATCAATTGCCTAACCAGCATTTCCGCAAGCAATGGGACCGTCGCGTTAAGACTTGGTTCGATCAAGCCGGTCGCAAGAAGTCTAGAAGAATCGCGCGTGTCCAAAAGGCCGGTCGTATTGCTCCCAGACCCATTGACGGTCTTCTCCGTCCTGCTGTCCGTTGTCCCACTGTCCGTTACAACATGAAGTTGAGATCCGGTCGTGGTTTCACTCTTGAGGAACTCAAGGTAATAATAGGCGAAATGGAGATAAGCAGAAAAAAAAGTTAGACTAACACTTGGGTAAAATTAAAAAGGAAGCTGGTGTCCGTCGTAAGGAAGCTCGCTCCATCGGTATTGCTGTTGACCACCGTCGTCGCAACAAGTCCAACGAGTCTCTTGAACTTAACGTTCAACGCTTGAAGGCCTATAAGGCTAAGCTCATCGTTTTCCCCCGTAAGGCCGGTAAGGCCAAGAAGGGAGATTCCGAGGCTGCCGAAGTCGCTTCTGCCGTCCAATTCCGTGGTGCTCTCTTCCCTGTTGAGCAATCTCCTGCCGGTCCTGAAGCTCGTGCTATCACTGCCGAAGAGAAGAAGACCAGCTCTTACATGAAGCTCCGTTATGCTCGTTCCGCTGCTCGTACTCTCGGTGCCCGTGAGAAGCGTATTCGTGATAAGGCTGAGGAGGAGGCCAACAAGGTAACTTTACTTGACTTTTTTCGATTGTCGCATTTAACTAACATATTTTTTACCTTTTATAGAAGAAGTAAATTTCATCTCATAGCCAAAACCTGCAAAAACCCACTTTATTCGTATCCCCAGAAAATAAAAACAAATGAAGATTTCATTTCATATAAAAAAAAGACTTAGTAAAAGTTGACTTTAAGAGATTTGTGAAAAGTGTTGTGTGTTCCTTTTATATAATTTAAGTAATGATGCTGTTAAGAGCTACTTTTACCAACCAATCGCTTGACCGTCGCCTCTAGGATCACTACCAGCAGCAAGCACACGATGACCTGTTCGAGCATCGATTTTAGACCGAATGATTTGACCGCGACCAAACATGGAACGTGCATGATTCTGGAGTGGATAACAAATATGGCCCTTTGCTTCAAGTCCTGCGATCGCTTCTTGTGTCACACCTTCCTCCACATAAATCACAGAGTGCTCCACATCCGTAAAAGAATAAGCGCCTCCCGATCCGCTGCTCTTGGGTGGAGCGACACAAATACGAGCGAGATCAAGCGCATGTTGGGGGTTGGATCCGTAATGCTTCATGTTTAGAACCACTTGGACATGGCCCTGGGGTTGCATAAAGGCACCCATCACTTTAGAAAGGTTAATTTACACATGTTGCATAAATCAATTACTACTTACCACCAAAGCAGGCTTCGAGTTCATGTCCGTTGTTCACTTTGCGAGTCACCATGGATGGAATAATCGTATGATATGGTCTTTTACTAGGTCCGAGGCAGTTAGGATGATCCTCAATAAGTACGAAATTACAGCCGCGATTATGCAAAACTACACCCGTATTATCAGCAATAATATGGGACTAAATATAAAATAATTTCGTTAACCACAGCACACATCTATACATGCTTTTTGAGAAGAATACATACCCCAAAATGCATATAAGTGGAATTCTACACAAGATAAAAGGTTATGAATTTAATTTGGAATAGAAAAAAGAAGATGGACACTTACGATGAAACTACATGCGTTGCCCTGTTCATCCACGACAGAGAAATACACAGTGTTGCCGGCCTGTTCAGGATATCCTTTATGGATCTCATCATTTCTCTTTGTTAATTGCACAAGTTTTGCTCGCTCACGGAGATACGCCTTGTTTAACAAAGCTTCAGTAGGTACGGGTTCAACCTGAGGATCAGTCACATAATAACGTGTATCTGCAAACGCAATACGAAGTGCTTCTGTTACAATATGAATATAATCAGCAGAATTATGCTCAATCTTTGCAAAATCTACTTGGCCAGATTCTTCCAAGGCTTCAATGATACCCAATGCAATCAAGGCTGTAATACCTTGTCCGTTGGGGGGGATTTCCCAGACAGTCCAATCGTGGTAATCAATAGAGATGGGTTGGATAAGCTCACTACTATGAGACTTAAGATCTTCCAGTGTCATCAACCCACCACGTGATTGGATGGCTTGCACAATAGACTCACCAATACGACCTTCATAGAACCCTTTCTTTCCCTCAGCACCAAGTACTTTAAACGTTCTATTTCATACATGCAGAAGTAAAGTTAAATAATTTTTTCACAGTATGAAGTGTTCACTGCTTACTCGGCAAGGCTAGGTACTGTCATCACTTCGCCTTCAACTGGCGCACGTGAGTTATCAATTAACCATGCATTGTCGCCTCCATCAGGATTGGTCTCAGCTAATTGTTTGGCTTCGCGGTTCCACTATTTTTTTCAAGGAAAAGAAGTAAGTTATATGTATATAAAAAAGTGTTTCCTCAAACAAGACATTACACCATGAGCAGAAATATGGGATACAGGGAAACTATGAGTATTTGAAAAAAAAAGAAAAAAAAAAGACTGAATAAAGATTGTTTGGAAAAGGGAATTATCAAAACGAACTTACCCGTTTTCAGCTAAATCGATGGCCGGGAGAAGAATAGTAGCAAGATCAACATTTCCAGATCCGAATTGCTGGACGGTATCTACCCAAGCGGCAGCCGCGCCCGGAACAGTAATAGCGTGCACGCTGGTACTAGGTAGTTCCGAGCCAGAAATGTTGGCTTGATGGCGAATGTGATCCATGGTGAGGGCTGCTGGAGTTCTGATAGATTTTTTATTTTTTTTTAAGAAATTTATGTTCATCATCTAGTTGGAGTGTATTCATTTACCTTCCAGATCCATTTAAACCTTTGACTGTACGCGCTTTTGCGTCATAAAACAGACAAAATGCATCACCACCAATACCAGTTGACCCCGGTTCTGTCATTTAATTTTTTTTTAGATGAAAGTTTTTTTTAAAAAAAAATCACATTTTCTAATGTGTACCTGTAACGTTGAGTGCAGCCGCTAAATTAACAATTTGTGAGATCAGAAAACTTTCACAAATATAAAAAGAGCATATACTTACCAACAGCAACAGCAGCATCCTTTAATATAGTACATATAAAAAACGATAATAAATAAAGAGAGAATATTGCGATTAATAAATCACACTTACAGCAGCGTTACCACCTTTTTTTAAGATGTCAATTCCAGCTTGAGTGGCCAAAGGTTGACTAAAAAGAAGTTTAATTACCCTTCTTGGGAAAAAGCCCCCAAAATGACTTACGAACTAGATACCATGGCATGTGTGCCATAGATAGTAGAGCGACGAGAGATAAAGGGTAAATTCGCCATGATGAATATAAAGAGAAGAAAAAGCCCATCTCCGGCTTATCGGAAAAACCTCGCTCTTATATCCAACAGTAAACCTTAATGCATGGGAAAAAAAAAAAGAATGTCACGGTGGAAATGAATAATAATGTATCTATATTTTTAATTTTTTTATTATTTTCAAAAATGATGCGAAGTCTAAATATATGAATGGGTTTGTCTATAAAAAGGTCAAAAAATAAAAATGTTTTACAAGGAAAGGGGAGAGAGAGAAATTACATGGTTTGCAAAAATAAAAAAAGGGGATTTGCTTTTTTAAAGAGTTGTGAGTGAAATGAAAGAAAAAAGATGTGTGTATGAAAAAAGATGTGTATATATATATAATAGGGTTGAGGTGAAAAGGGATGAAGACTTAACACATAATGTCAATGTCTTCGTCGGTATCTTCACTGTCTTCAGTATCTGTGGTTGCTGTTGCTATTGCCACCACTTCGGTTTGTGTGGATATTAATTGTACTGGCACAGGCACTTGATGCATAATCGTACGATTATCCACCACTTGGAGATCCATTTGTTCATCACTATAGACAACTAGCACACTATCTTCACTATCTTCATCAGCTTCATTGTCTGAAGGTGCAAGCATTTCTTCCAGTAAACGACGCTTGTGGATGGCTGCACGTCGCTTGGGTCTTGAAGAAGCAATGCTATCGGGATCAGGAAACACATGGATAGAAGAAGCTACCATTGCATCGTCATCTGCTTTACGACGGTTTTGTTTCTTGCATGCTTTGCTGGTATTGCTACTATGGTGGCTACTGGATTTTTTGCTGCTAGCCATTGTACTGTGGCTAATATTATGACGGCCGTTTTTCAATTTCGTTGATGATGGTAACGCTGTGGAAGTGTTCTTTGAAAGTGAGGCCATAGACATGGGGCCATTCACAAAGGCAGATTTAGAGCTGGAGATGGTTTCATTGGCAGATTCAGAGGAGGATGAATCAGCATCAATATCTTCTGTCAATTCAGCACGTGATTTAGTACGCGTAGGTTTACAAGGTTTACGACTTCTCTGTTTGGCAGGACGACGTTTTGGTTCTTCCATAACGACAGCAGCTGGAGTGGCCGTAACAGAATGGTTCAAAGCGGGACGTGTACGAGGACCTTTCTTGGCAGGTTTCTTAGTAATGTAATTATCGACATTGACAGCGGGACCACCATTTTGTTCCAAAATGCAAGCATCGACATAAGACAAGACTTGAACCAATTGTTCGCGTGCCAGACACGATAAATCAATTTCAACTTCGTCCTCCTGTTGGTTACTAGCCTTTTCAGATGATAAAATAGGTAAAATACCAGGCAACTTTTCGGGGTTCAACTGGTTGGTGATACGATCCAACAAGGTTTCCTCAATCTGACGTTTATGCATGTACATGTAAGGACCAGCAGAGGGTGAAGAAGCACGAGAACGGTGATGGTGATGGATAGGTTCTGCATCCGATTCTGAATCATCGGATGAAGAATAACTTGCTCTACGACGGCTGTTCATGTTGGCTACGGTGGTAGGAATAATCTCATTTTCATCTTCAGAGTCGGATTCTTCCTCTGAAGAAGAGGAGCCATCACTGGACTCTTCGGAGCTGCTGGATCCTCTTCTACGCTTCAAAACATTTTCGACAACTCGTTCTTGAGGAATGTCAGTAGCAATATCAGCAACGTTAGCGGTAGCGACAGTAGGCATGGGAGAATCGACTTGAAGCACGACGTTGACTTCTTCTAATTCGCCTACACTTTCCTCATCCAATGTGTCAATCATAATATCTGTAACGGGTTGAACAATAGGACTGATGTGTGCACTACTATCAGATGGAGAGGAAGCTGAAGAAGTAGGTGCGCTAGTATCAAGAGAAGATTCCTCGTGAGCTAAAAGCAAAGGAGTTAACAACCAAAAGTAGCAGCAACATATGTTAAATTACCAAAAGTAAGCTCATCATAGAAAGAGGATTGTGTCATATCTTGAGTAAAGTTGAGTTGATCTTGACCAAACAAATCCTCGAGCTGAATAGATTGAGCATACATTTGAGTATCAAAATCGGTGAGACAGGCAGCATTTTCACCCATCCAAGGTTGAAGCCATGAATTCATTGATTCTCTGTTGTACAAGGAGGGAGGGGTTAATATTTCGAAAAGAAAATTTTTTTTTTGCAGGACAGTGAAAAAAAAATTTTTTTTTGTGTACCTCATCATTAAATCTTGCACTTCACCCGTTAAGTCTTCAACGGGCAAATCATTTGTAGGCCACTGACCAGAGGTGGCTAATAACTGATTAAATTGTTCTTGATCCACATTATTGGTGGAGTTCATATTAGCAGGGTAACTGCTAGCAAAACTTTCGTCGGTTGCGATTTCATGTTGGTGTGCAATAGTAACTCTAAAACAATAAAAAAAGTCAGTAAAAAAATAAAAACTTTAAAAGATCTCGGTTCTCCATTCCCCTTTGCACTTACCCTCCCATTGTTTCAAAGAGAGTATATTTCAAAAAGGGTTATAGTAAAGACGGAACGCGTGAAGGGTATTTGCGTTTTTTTATAAAATAAAAAAAAAATTTGCGAAAAAAGTCGTTTTGTTGCTGTGGCGTTCTTAAATTTTTGCTATGGTTGCGGGAAAAATGTCAAGCAGGCACGGTTTGCAGTGTGTGTTTCGTTATAGTTAAAAATGTACACAAAGCCGCTGGTTTGAACCGGTCAACTTTTATAAAAGAGGTGAGAAAAATAAAAAGGAAAAATATCTTTCTCTTTTCTTGTCAAATATAAGGTGGAAAAAAAACGAAAAAAAAAATTATTCGAGCCCAGATGAAAAAAGCTTGCAGTCACAAAAGCAGTACAAATGGAAACCCTTTTGTAATCTGAATAGGGCTCAAACTAAAGAGTGTATTTACCAAGAAAGTCAACCCCTTTATCTGCTACCATAATAACTCTATTATGATTGAATTGTATAGATACCCCTATATCGGTTATGGCTGATAGCATCCTCTAGGCCATTTGTCTGAACATGAACAAGAAAACCCAGCAAACAGTCCAACCTGTCACAAAACACTTCACAAAAAAAAAAAATTGATTGTTGCTTACTTTAATTTGATCAGACGCGCTCAAAAAAGGCTTGCAATTAATACTTCAACCATATAGATTCAATTAACCTTTAATCTGCTCGGTTAAGTCCAAAGAGTAGACCCTTTTCTTTCATAATTCAAAAAGTGGTTTTACTATCTTTGTAATAAAACTAAATAAAATCTGTGGAATATTTGTAGTATACATCAGCCTAGTTACGGTTGGTAAAAAACAAATTAAATTGCTTATTTAATTAAAGTTTGTGATGTTTATTAGTTTCCATGGGGTTGCACCCAGTTCCAAAAATGGCGATGTGATTATACGGGAGAAGATGTGCACACACACATACAAACATACAAATTGGGGCTTTTACCGAAATTTTTTATTTGGTACCGTTTTTTCATGCATATTTTTTTTTTCGCTTCGTCGACAATTTTTTTATTCTATAAATACCCCCAAGGGCAGATGTATTTTTACTCACAGAGCCATTAGTGGCTGTGGATGTTGAGTAACAAGGGACCACTCGCATGTTACATAAAGTTTATTCTCATTGTGCGTGGCGAATGCTGTAAAGAGAAATCTATAACAATATATATCCTTGTTTTATATAATTTTTTACACAACCCGGGTAAAATGACGCCTTTCCTCCAGCCTTGTGTGATCTATGACAAAATAGAAACAAAAATATAAAAATAAAATTAAAATTCAAAGTTGTCTTGTTCCTGAAAATTTAAAAGCCAGTCAGAGATCACTTTTTTATTTTATTCAGCTAATTCTTTTTAAATCATTATTTTGTTCGTGTAGGAAAAGAAATGAACAAAATTGACTGCAGGCTCATACATGTATCCCGTTTTTCTATCTTAACCCAAGGCGACTATACTCAGTTGTTGGTGAAACGTGAAACGTGTAAAAAAGGGCTGATAAAATAAAAATAGCGGAATATTCGGGAGCCCAAATTGAAATAGAAGACCTTTATGGATATCTTTAAACAACACTTCTCTTTTAGAGATAGGGAATTAAGTCTTTATTTCTAGATAATGTAATTTAGACAATTCACTGCAGTTTAATTGAATCTTCGCGTATATTTAAACGTGAACGGGACAGCAATAAAACGAAGAACTAAATATTTATGACAGATTATTATGTGGCTAAATCATATCATGAGGTGATTGCTAATAAAGAGACAAGTGGGAGAAAAAACCACGTATAAAAATAAAGTTTATAAAAAAAAATCGTCCCTTTTCTTTTCTTTCTTCTTTTTCTTTTCTTTTCTTCTTTCTTTCTTCATTCCATCCTCGCCATTAGAATCGAATAATAACCTAATCAATGTCTTCAGCCTATATGAACCGGGCAAGGGGACGCAGTCTCTCTCAACAACCCAGCGATGATGAGGTACCTATTTCATCTCAAATTTTTGTACTGTTTTGCACTGCCATTCCCTAACACACTTTTTTTTGTCTTTTTAGCTTTTAAGCATCGAAAGGCAGTCTGAATTTATCAACATGACGTTTAAATACACCATAAACGATCTGGAAAATGTCATTGCGATGCTCCGTGCACGGTATTGAAAAGAATTCATTACATGATGTATTATTCTTTCATCTAATGAAATCTATAATATATTGTTAGCTTCACAGCCGAAGAGGCATATTTAACATCCTTGTATAAAGTTCGAAAAATGGCTTATGCCAACGATGGAGAGAGAACCAATTTAAATCACGATGCTCGTGCCACCTTTCAGACCGCTGTCAAAGTCTACGAGGCAACAGTCATCGATATGATCAATAGCCGTCATCGCTTAAGAGACACCATTAAAGCTGAAATCGATAACCTGGTCAAACAAAAGGTTTTTTAAAATTATTTCCCTTCCTTCCTTTTTATGGATGTGCTGACATGAGGTTCTGTGTAACTTTTTTTTTAGGAGCAGGAAGAACTAAACAGAAAAAACCATAAAAGTAGGTTAGTGGATGCCAATTTAAATTACACTACTTTCCGAAATCGCGATATAATCAAGGTATAAAAGACTTTTTTAAACTCGTTCAGATCTTTTCTTTCATCTAATCAACATAATCCAAAAAAAAAAAAGCTTCATAAAGCTTATTTGCACAAATGCGAGGATTTAAAAATGTCCCAGGGAAATTGGCAACAACAACAGCAACAGCAACTAATTCAACAACAACAACAGGCCGCACAGCAACTGACTCAGCAACAAGCCTATAATACACAGGGTCAGTTTAAATATCCACAAGACGAAAATAACGATTATTATTATAAATCCAGTCGAAACTCGGCGGATCTATCCAGGTTATCAGGAGAGTATACCAGTAGAGACATGGACGGCGCTTCCGTCCTTTCCTATAACACTTCATCCGATCAACATAACAAAAAGGGCGTGGTAGGCTTGTTAACGCAAATGCGTACAAGAGCGAGTGGAAATACATACATGGCCCCTTTGGATCAGAACAAACAAAATACAAAAGTCGCCAAAATGAAGAAAGATATCGCCGATGCTGACAATGAATACCGAGAAGGCATTTTAGTACTGGAAAGCTTGAGGAAAAAGCAAACCAAAACAACAGATGAAGTGAACAGGGTAATTACGGGTTAAATAGCTTATAAAAGAAGTAATAATCTAAAAAAGAAAAAAAAATCCCTTAGCAACTCAAATGCACAATCAAACGAAAAACAGATGCTGTTCAAAACTCTTTGACGAATATCCTTCAATCTGAGCTGGAAACGTTAAAAGTCGAAATCGAGGTACGTAGTAAAGAGCCAAAATACATACATAGTGCTGTTTTATCAATTCGTCTTTCGCTCTTAAGATTGCCAGTGGATCGTATGCAGCAGCAGCTAATATTGACAGTATGAAGGACATCCAAATATTCTCAATGCATTATCAAGCCCAAGGCTATATTGCACCTACACCTGTTCGATACGAAAATTATTACCTGGAAGGAAAATGTAAAGGTAAAACAATAAAAGATATAGAAAGTAGAGAAACCGCACCGTAGATGACTATACTCACCGATATAAAATATAGAGGTGTTATTTGGAGGATCCTTGGAAAGCTATGCAATTGAGCATAACAAGACCGTCCCAATGATTGTGACAAAATGCATAGATGCTATCCTTCAGAAGGAAGGTTTATACCGAGTGTCAGGTCGACAATCGAATATTGAACAACTTAAGCATCAATTTGAATTGGACGAAGAAAAATTAGTGTTGGACTCAAAATACGATGTATTTACAATCGCTACTGTATTAAAAATGTATATTCGGGAGCTCAAAAGACCCTTATTCGACTTTAATGTGCAAAGCCGATCGTGTTATAGCAGTAAGTTCTCATCTAAACCGGCTGGTAGCAGTAGCAAGATTTTAATTTTAACTTTTTGGTAGAAAATATGCCACAAAATCAGAGATTTATCTTGTTGGAAAACAAATTGGCCAGTTTATCATTGGCTCATAGAAGTACTTTATGCAGTATCGTCCGCCATTTATCAAAGTAAGTTGAGCTCAGATTAATTATGGATACGTTCTAATTTTTTTTTTTTTTTTTTGTTCTGTTAGAGTCAATGCCAGTAGTGGCCTAAATAAAATGAATATTCAAAACCTAGCGTTGATTTTCACTCCAGTCATCTTTCACGATTTCAACCAAACCGATGATAGTTCGATAAGCGACTGGTCACCCGAGGATTTGTTCGAGGACTTAATCCTTCATTTTGAATATCTCTTCCCCATTGCTGAAGAAAATGCTAGAAAGAACAACGAACACAAGTTGAACCAAGCTATGAATGGTAAAAGCCCCTACAGCCAATTCTCTCAAAGCAATCTGCTGTATATCAGTAATCCCATCTTAGCCACATCCACACTGCCCAACACCAATAACATGCTGCTGACACAACCCATGAATCCTGCTATGCTTATGAATAATAATGGACCTGATTCTCCCGGTGGGCCTAATAGCAACAGTAATTTATCAGAACAACAACAGTACGTCAGTCCTTACCCACCCAATTTAACCACTATTATTGGGACTGCCCCACCCAATTTGGTCTCTCAGCAAGCCCCACAACGTCTCGCTTCTCAACCACAACCTTATAGCACCGGTCCAGCAATAAGGTCTGTGCATACCGCCACCGACTCAAATGCAAGAATTATCCCCCCTCGATATCAATCAGATACTACAAACCCTTCCTATCAACAACAGCAACAACAGATGGCCATGAAACGCTCGACATCGGAAACGACCGGGATGCAACGAGGTTCATCCATTACACATACAGCGGATAATGTAAATAATTATGGTTATCATGGACCTCTTTCCAGCAGCAACAGCAACAGCAGTAGTAACAACAGTCCTTTACCCGGTCGCATCAACCAAGATACACCACTACCCTTATTAACAAAACGAAATAGTAGCACACCCATTCAACAAAAGCCATATGCTCCGCCTCGACAAGATTCTCTGAGAAAGCTTTCGGCAGCAGGGATAGGTCGAAGTGAACAGCATATTGGAGAAAGTGCGTCATCCGAACAACAACAGCAACAGACAGAATCACCTACTTCAGCCACCCCTTCTAAAAAAGAAGTGCCTCATCCCATCATTACACAGCAACAACATCAATATTATCAGCCTGAACTAAATCAGGATTTTATGCTTCCTTCCGTGACAGAAGTCAATATGGATTCACTTCTTGATTATTATTCCCCAGTGACTAGTGAACTAAAAACACCAGCCAAATAAAAAGAAACACTACATATTCTTTGTATCTTGTAACTGTGCTTTTTCCTACCTTTAGACACAGAGCATTAGAAGTTATATGAGTACACACACGCAACCCTTTATTTAAAATTTGGAGGAATTACTTAGGTTCGATATATCACAAACATGGACATTTTTTTAAAAGCATTGTTACAATTACTATAATCGCACAAATTATTTAATCCATTAATCAGTGTTTTTTTTTTTTCTTTTTTATTCAGTAAGTCCACTTTTTCCTAATCTCATGAAAAATAAAAACAAAAGGGGTCTGATTGAATAGCGTCAATCTGTCAAATAATTTCACCTCATCGACTACCTCATCCCCGCCCCTGCTAATTTAGATATCAAATTTGCACATCTACCCCACAGTTGTCGAGTAGTTGCTCAATTATTTACCTGAAAAAAATAAAAACTATTTTTCTTTACTGGGCGAAGTGACTGGATTTTGATTCCTTTTCCCTTTTTCTTATAAACAGAACTACAATGACACCTAAAATTTCTAGGGCACATAAAAGACCAAAGAAAGAATTGTACGAGTACATTACTGATGATTACATCAAACAACAAGACGAAGAAGAACGCAGACAAAAGGAGACATTAATTTTTCAATTATATGGAAGGAACTGTTATCTCGAAGGACCCTTGCCCGTTACTGACGATGACAATGAACTTAACCACGAGAAAGCTTTTCGTCTCAATAATAACGATTGCGACTTGAATTCTGGGGGTGGTGGTGATGATGATCATGGTGGACGGAACAACGATGAAGAATCATCTTGGACTCAACCTGTACCTGTCAGTGAGGTTGCTACTACCCAGCCTGTCACTACCCGGCCTGTCAGCCCCCAACCTGTCACATCCCAGCCTGTCAGCATTGAGCCCGTTGTCAACTTGAATCAACACAGAAGCAAGTTACAGAAGCTTTCCGCAACCTGGAAGGACCTTATGAAGGTCTTTCCAAAAGCATATCTGGCTTTTTTGGGTCGTAATGGCGGCTTGCCCAACATGTTGGATGGCCAAGATAGTCTTATGGGTCCTTCTTGTGGGTGTCCCGATGACTATATTAAGTTAGCTAAAGTCAACTTCTTTTTTGTCTGGGGTAATGTAAAGTCATTATTCTAATACTTGTTATACTTATACGAAGTTTCAAAGGTGTAAAAGAGAGCGAAGGATTTTTTTACTGTAGCCATTGCAATACCTTGCCTGTTGCTTTGGTAGAATCTGGATTTTTTCCTTTGTCACCAAACAGACCAACAGGTGCTGTGCATTTCAGTCTCTGTGATTTTTTTCTCAGACTAAGAAATACATTTGCAGGTTCTGCTGAGAAGATATCAAGCTTTTATGACGCCTGGGCTACTGGCACCGAGAAGGTATAATATAAAAGAAAATGATGTTTTGTTTTATTTTCTTATATCCCATGTAGGCCACTATCTCGGAGGAAAAATGCTCAAGTACCATCCTTCTTTATCATAAGATGGTTGAGCTGTCGGAACAGATGGTACTGGGGGAAGTTTCCACGTCGTGACCTGCTTGTCCTGAGGTTTGCAAAGAAAAAGAAAAAGAAAAAGAAAACTTCTTTATTAACTTTTAAGTAATTTATACAACAGGTTGGATCAACCGATGTCAATGACAAGCAGTTCATAACGATGGATGGAAACTTCCGTCTGTGAGGCACAAGATCGCTGACGGAGGAAAGTGATCTTTCTACGGTCCCGGGCCTTGGTAAATTCAAAAACTTTTAGAAGAATGAAGACTTGATCCAGTCATTTGACAAGTCAGAGAAGGTAATTGGTAGTTATTAAAAATCATAATGCAATGTATTAAAATGTCTATATCCTTTTTATTCTCATATAGCCTGGGACTAAGGGTACCTCTATCACCGCCACCAAGGATGTCACCACTGCCAAGAGCCCTACCACCAAGAAGTCTACGGTGGAAGAACCCCGGATCTGTCAAGTTTTGGTGCACCAGAACCGCACCTCAGCCATCTATCCTGTCCGTGGTGTCTTAGGCAGTGGCTGCGCTAGACATGATACTGTGTTCCAACTTGCAGACATGAACGCCGGGGAAGGGTAACATTCGCTTTTCTCTGTTTTTTTTCAAACAAATCGATATTTATTAATCTATTACAGGTTTAAGTATCCCTTGGTTGCTATTTCTTTTGTTGAGAACCAGCTTGGTAGAAAGGTTCCTTTACATGTCATGTACGATATTGTATGCAAATTGGAGCCATCTATCAAGGTATGTTGTATTTACAATTAGCAATCATTTTTTTACTAATTTACAATTTCTAGCTAAACTTCCCCGGAAGCGTCGGTTCTGACCGCTTGGGTCTATCTGTCTTCCATGCCTACGCCCATGTAATGCACTGTCAGGTCAAGTACACCCTGAGGTATATCGAAAAATTTGGGTTGATTGACGGTGAAGACATGGAAAGACTTTGGTCTTACCTGGCCAAGTACATTACCTTAACCAAGCCCATGATGCCCGAGAACCGGCGGTATGTCCTGTATATGGCTGTCAAATACAAGGACACAGTAGTCAAATTCAATATGGGTACGTTGATCAGTTAAAGATAATATGTATAGCTACTTATTCCTATGATATATTATCTTTATTAGCCAAAGTATTGAGAGAAAACATATCAGCTTGAGGCTGAAAAGCTACAAGATTGGAAAGTGACCTATAAATTGTCTTGATGTCTTTTTGTATGATACACCCTTTTTGTTTCAGTTCTATACTTAAAATATAAACACTTGGCCCACATTTTTTTTTCCTTTCTTTTGTTCAGTGTTGCACTTGATTGCATTTGTTGTTTTATACTTTTGGTAGATAATTGCTTTATTGCATTTCATGTTTTAATCGAAATAAAACATTATTGGTGTTTTGGCTATTATAAATCAAATCATATATAGATTAGCGACTTTCCTATCGACAATCTTCCTCATGCAAACCGATATTTGATGGAAGACATACACTTTATCACAGATCCGAATAAAGACAGCTTAAATTTTGTTTAATTTATATCTTTTATCCGTTATTTATTTCCATGCTCAAAACTATAGATACCATTGTTTATTTCGAAATCATATTTTTAAACTAAATACATGAGGATTATTCATCTACTGAAGTAGTTTTGTGAGCAATTTTAAAAATTGCTAGATATTCTTTATTCAGAGGGGTTGAGTTGAATTGATTTTTTGGGCAGAGAAATAGTCTTTGGGTTTTCGCCATAACGAAAAATATGCAACCTGCTTGGTCTCTGTAGTAGAAAAGGGTCTTTCCCGCTTTAAGCGGCGGTCTAAAGTATATTATTTGTTACACGAAAGTTTAAATGGTTGTACAAGACAGTGCTTTTGACAAAAACGGGTAGAAATCTTTGCCTTATAATTTATGCATACAGGTTTCCTACTAAGGCACATGAAACAATATCACACAACCCCCAACTGATAGCATTTGTATTTACTGTGAAACGTTTTTATAGGTTATAAGTATCCTTTGTATATAACATGCCTCTCTTAGTAGGTCCCTCGGCTATAGTGACTTTCCATGTACAGGTATTATATCTTACAATTGAGTCATATATATCATATTGCAGGGATATCATTGATAGTAAACTTCCCTTGTATTCAAATAAAAAGTCCATCACGACTTTCCCGTGAGTTTAAAGACAAAATGCATGGCATAAGCTTTAATTTGCTCAGCTTCTCATTGTGTTTGCAAAAATTAAAAATAGTTTGTGGGTGGTGCTAAATAAAAACAAAATAATAAACAAGAAACCTGTTCCGTGAAGGACCATGCCACAGGTGATATTGTGTGAATTGTGCGCTGTAGAAATAATAACAATTACCAAAACAAAAAAAAAACAAAAAAAAAAAACAAAAAAAAAAACAAAAAAAATTGCAATGAGATGAGCTTTCATTTTTTTATGTGATCGATACCCTTTCATTTTACAGATATACCTGCTACCAGTGAAAGGTGAGAGTAAAACAGTTGTCTAGTGAGCACAGGTTTTGCTTTTTGCATCATGGACGAATAAGGTAATCAAGCAACAAGCTGGTCTAACAAAAAAATACACTTCCGCTCACGTTGCAATTTAATGAAAAAATCCCCATCGCACTAAACACGGAAGAATTCAAGATTCCCAAGCCCTTCCTGTATTTATCATTCACTTTGGTTACCTTTTATGGGTTCACCTTTCAGTGATTATTGCGAACTTTGATAAATGACGAGAATTGCCAAATTAAAAACAAATCCTTCTGAGGGGGGAGGGTGGGGGTGACATTTTCTTTTGTGATACTCGACGTTTTTATTTTAAGGTTCAATAAATCAAATATTTTTTTTTTAAGTTTTATTTTAAACATCAAAGTTTTTTTAATATCAACTTTAAAAACCTGTATCTTATGGTTTTCTTATCTCCCTCTCTAATTAAGAGTTGCAACAGTTATTTAGAAAAACGTGGTTCAAATAAGAAGTACTTGTTTATAATGATATTGAAAAAAATCTTTATAACAATCACCTGTACCTTTGTGTCACGTAATGCATAGATGCTTTTTGGGTCATACACAATCCGTCTAAATTTGTAATCAGTTACTAGTAAGGATTTGGCAATCCACCTGGCCTTCCCTTTGATACCGGAAAATAAACATAAACTACGTGTAGCTTGTAACAAGAAAAAAAACAAACAAGCGTTTTAAAGTTTGAATACAGCCTCTTTATATTGCTCGCAAAATGAGATCATTGGGGGAAGAGTATACATCTGTCAGCTATCGCTGTCAATTTTTTAGCGTCTTTTTTTTTTTTTTTAATAAAACGCCATCGAAACTTTATGATTAAAAGTCGATTGCTACTGCGCAAGAATAATTTTCCACGAGGGATCTGATTGATATGTCATCATAAGGATAGGTACCCTACTACCCAGGTTTTTTTAATATGAAGTTGCCCAGATACAGTTACAGCACGTCATTTTTAATAAACAGTTACATGGATTTTTCAATATACAGCCTATGATCAACGTAACGAACGAGTTTCGCGGACTTAGTGAGTAGACTAGAGTTTTACCTTTCATTCCTGGTATTCAAGATGGGCGAGTGTATTCATGCAATAATCGGCCTAGTTAGTCAGCTATTAAAAAAACGGAGTGACAACTACTCAATTTTTTGTTTGTAAGATGCACGATATTCTCAGGGACAACCTGGTCTTAAGGATAACCAAACATTGCAAAATGAGACAATACATACTTAAACTGCCATTAATCTAAAACACTTCATATCTTCTAGATCCAAAAACTATGCTACAATTTACGTCTCGGGACAGTTCAGGCTATATGTTAAACACTATTTTTGTAAAGAAATCCAATTTGTATTAGAACACAATATTCTCGGATGCACTTTAATAGCGGAAAAACTATGATTATAAATCTAAACTAAGCGGTAACTATATGGCATCTTATCAGAGTGTTTTTTAAAATAAAGAATGTGATAGTCAACGCGTACTGTTATCAAGAAAAATTTAATCTCTTTATTTTACCCTTTACTCCTGTCAAAATACATGTTTGCTACGAACGTAAGTATATTTCAATGACGTTGACGTTGACGTAGTTACTGCGCACTTTTGCAGGCGTAACCTGTGGTCAAATTAATACGTGTCCTTTACCAAGCCGAAACTTTTTGCAGGACAGACATTGTGAAACGTAGGCAAAAAAGAAAAATCTATTTTGAGAGAAGACATCGCACGAATGCCTCCATTAACGTATTTGGTAATTTTCTGTCAGGCTCGTTTTTTCTTTTTGTCCTTTACACTCAGATAAGATTTCCACCTGCGTTGTGTTCCTGCTTGGTAGCTCTAATTGGTTGTTCCCTATGGAAATGGAATATCCCTTTTATATACAATGGCGTTGGCAACCAGCCCCATTTAACTATTTAGAAGAAGGATGTAGTCCATTGATAAAAAAAATAGAAAATATGATAAACAACTTCAGAAAGATATATACCGCGCTTCTTAATAACCATATATTTACCACGTTTATAGTTTTGAACCTATCCCTTATTAATCTATTGTTGAATCCGCTTTTACCCTTTCGAGAATATTCGCAAATTCATAAAAATTTCTATAAATGATCATGTGACGCTACGATGAAGCCAATTATTAATTTCTCTGTAGATCTTGGATCAGCACTCTTTTACTGCTCAAATATCTGATCGATGTTGATAAAAAAAAATCTATTCGTCATTTCGATCAAAAAGCTGACTAAGTTTTCTTAACATACATCAAGATGACCTAATTGCACTTTTTGGGATGTTGCGTTTCAGCAAAGTGTAATCTTTCTATTGTTACCCTTTACTCGCACAAGAAAAAAAAAGGGGGGTGTGTGTGTGTGTGTGTGTGTGTGGGTTCAGTTTCCTTATACCCCAGTATCCGGAGATCAATCTTTTCTGGCAAGTATATTTTGGTAGATCCCAATAAAGATGACTTTGTCTATATTTGTACAGAGACGCATGCCATCTAATTTAAGACAATTCTCCTGTCCACCGTGCACCATTGCTCTTGCTTTTTCCGTGTTTGGGGGAGGACTCATTGTATAAAACTTCGCCATAGTCCTCCGTCGGCTTTCTAAAAAAAATATCTGAATTGGGTACACCTTTTTTCTATAATAGTCTGGGTGCTTGTGTATATTCGTGATTAGTGTTACCTAACTTGAACCAACGAATGACATGGGAAAAATCTGAAGTGTCTTGTTGTGAACGCCTCTCAATTTTAAAATTGTGTAACTGGAGTATTAAAAAAAAATATGGGGATATAAATTGAGTGGGAAAAATAAATATTTTTTATTTCATTTCCTTTCTTTAATTTTAATAATCTACGCTACTATATATGCCTTTTAGATCAACAGCACCAATTCCAAGTGTAAAAACTGCCAATAAATCGGCACCCCCCTCTACAATTCGACTCAAGGGTTGGCTGAATAAACAAAAGCATGGAAAATGTAAAGCCTGGCTCAAAAGATACTTTGTCTTATATGGCGAAGAGCTTCGATACTACAAAAACAAGGTACTTATTGTACAATAATCATCATACAAACATACACTAACAAATTTTTATAGAATGACACAAATGCCCTAGCAGTTATATCCCTTGATCACTATAGTCTTGTTGCCAATGCACAACCTTTGACATCAATGAATCAAAAACAATGGCGATACCACACATTTTGCTTAGTGTCGGATGATGATACTAAATTTGATTGGCCTGACTATTTCTTACAAGCCGAAAATGACTGCGAAAGAGCCGACTGGGTCGACAGCCTTCACGATCATGTTTCGCAATCCAAGAGTGTCTTGGAGAAATGGCTCGAAAGATTAGATATGCCAGCAGAAGAAATTACTGTCATGACTTCCATATACAGTCACGATGACATTGATCCATCTCAAGAAAAAGCTAGTGTATTATCAAGCGTAAACTTGCCGCCTCCACTCCATCATCAGAAATCAAATGAATCTTTCGGTACTCTTGCAACGCATTCCTCATTATCAGTAGATGGCGAAAGTAGTAAAAGACGTCCTTCAGATTTCACAGCATCTCGAAGCACAGAATTAATAACCGGCAAATTATTTTCAACAAAAATTTTTAATTGGTCTCGCACAAAATCTTCTGCTTCATCTGTTACTTCTTCTGCTCGATCCATCAGTACCAGCATCATTGAAAATCAAAGCAGTGAATTCTTATCTGCCCCACATACCCCTTTTAAACCTATAGAATCCCCCATCATTCATCCCAGTGAATATAATCACGACGACGACCCAATGGATCGTTTAAACGCATCACTTAAAAATAGCAAATCTACCACTAATGATCCTACTACTAATTATTACTATACACAAAAAATTATGCACGAAAAAGAGCCTACTACTGTTTGATACATTACTACCTTTCCTTTTTCTTTTAAATAAACACATATGCATATGCCCTTTTTTTTTAATAATAATAACAGTATATAAAATCTATGCTTTGGCAGCAGGTTGAGCAGGGGCCAATCCTTTTGCCTGCTTTGTGTTGAAGAATGTATAACTCAAAGTAATTGTATTCACATCCTTCATTAAAGGATCATCCAAGAAATCGGGATCAATAAAAAAGAAGACAGGCATATCGACATCCTCCCCGGGTTGTAATTTTTGTTCTTCAAAGCAGAAACACTGGATCTTGTTAAAATATGAGCCTGCACGATAAGGTGTGACATTATAAGTGGCAACACCAATGATGTCTTCCTTTGCTTTACTTTTGGCCTTGTAAAAGGTCAAGGCACTCTCACCAGGCACAACATATACTTCTCGTACTTCGGGTTTAAATGTCCACGGTAAAGAGTCAGATGTGTTGGATTCGAAAGTGATTCTGATTCTTTTACGATCACCCTTATCTTGAGGCACTAATCGTTCGGCTCCAAAACGAGAGGGATCAATCACTGGTGTACCACTAAACCCTGTATTGGCGCAGAATAAACGGTAAAGGGGTACAGCAGCATAGGTTACGCCTACCATGGCAATAAAAATGGAGGCTGCATACATACCTCCAGAAGTATTATCTCTCTGTTCTCCTTGTGTCTTTTGTTGATGACTGGCATAAAGTCTACGTTGTAAAGGGCTTTGTCCAGGGTTTCTTAAACACTTGCTCTCAATAGACATGTCAAATGTTGATTTAGAAATGTTTTTTCTACACACATTGGATCCAAGGTTTCCTCGGGTATACAAAGAACGTAATGAGGTTCTAAACATGACGAATTTACAAGAAGATTATAAAAAGGAACTCTACTTTTTTGAAGGGTCTGGGACATTCTCCAGGCATAAAAAGCAGGAACCGAATATTTTAAATGCCGGCGTGATGTCACGCCATAACTGTACTGTCAGCCCACCAAATTTGCGTTTTATTAAACTGTTTGTAAACACTTTCCATAAGTCTGGAAAATGCATGTAAGTAGAGAGGCAGTGAGTCGAGGTAAGCGAAAGCATTGCAGCTTAAAGTATATATTATTAATCCAAAAAAAAAAGTGTGACAAGCACAACTATTACCCGAAAAAAAAAAATTTAATGCGTTATCCCAAATGAAAACAATGCTTTCTTGTAACCGTAGACAGGCCAAGCGGCGTGCATCTTATGAGTAGAGCCAAAAAGGAGGAAGAACTAAGGCAATATACTTTAAGAATTCTTCGCCCGCTATCGATCGATCTTTCCCGCGATCGTGTCACTAATGGTATTCTGGAGTGTCTTTCAAGCTAATTTTAAAACAGAAATTGAACATATGCAACTTATTATTCTTCACAAACGCATCTGCCCCCAGCCCTAATTTATTTTTATTGACACAGCATTAATTAGGAATGACCAAGTCATAAGGTGTATTTCTCTCAAAGAGTAGTTTTAATCGCACAAAAAAGTTGAAGTGATAATATGGCAGCACTTTCAATCGAATATTTAAAGGTTTCATTGGCGATACAAAATTACTAGCTTCTAATAAACACAAACTAATTGATGAAGAAACGAATCTCCGGAATTGGCTGATTTATTTATTTTTCGCTGTGGAAATAATGCGCGGATTAATGAAGAATCAACACGTATAATTACTCTAAATTGATTATTGTCTAACCACAGTTTACAACAGACAAGGCAAAAGATATTGTGTAAAAAAAAATTCCATCGGATTTTAAGAATTGTCAATTAGAGCATATTAAAACATTGTAGTTTTTTATACCAATATACAATTTCTTTGATCATTATTATACTCACACCGTGCTGCATTCTAAGAGGCAATATATATAAAATGTGCCATAACAGATACTCTCTGCAGAGCTTCCTGAAATTTTACTCTTTTGAGCATGAAAGTGTTCGACCAGCTTATCGTTAATAATCCCGTGGGCTTTTATACATTCAAATCAAATCGCGGCTAAAAACAATTCAACTGCAGTTCATTGATTGCGCTATCGCTGTAAACGCGCTTCTGGCACTTAATTAAGTTTTACTATGAAGACAAGACGCACGGTACAGCTTTTTGGAAGTGGAAATTCAAGCTGAAAGCTAGTAGTAAATAAGATGAATGTTTGATTGTGCTTGGTGATAATTTGTTTCGATATACTACAATTATCACGTATTTCAAATTGTGGTTGGGGATCTTACTTTTAATTTCACCGATTTGCAAAAGAAAGGTGGAGACATGTATTTTGCAAAATTGAATTATTGTATCTATTGAATTGTGCTGCGGCCACGGGCCTTATATATATATCCTGGCCACTTTTTATGGATAGTAATTAGTTTTAAACGTATTATTTGCAAAAGGTGTCTTTATTATTAATAATATTATATGATGTAGTTAATGAATTATTTGAACTAGATATCAAACAAATGAACAAAAGAGATTTATTCCGCAATGATGCTCTCATCATTATTATCCAAATTTTTATTTTGTCGATCAATGCACTTAGTAACGCGACGCTCTTGCTCTTCAAGCTCTAATTCATCGACGCTATTTGTGTCATGTGAGCATTCTGAATACGGCAATTTTTGACGAAAGAAGAGATTACTTCAAACATGTTTCAAATACAATCTCGAGCTACAGTTTTTCACTAGTTTCTATATTTCCGTATGGTGTGTACAAAGGTTTTAAACACCTTCTAATCCTTTATGTAATTGTCTAGATACACCTTCTAAGTTTCAAAGAGCTCGGTGAGCCCCGCCAAATATAGTGTGAGTCCACTCAAGTCACCTTATATAATATTTTTAGAAACGTGTTTTTTAAAGATTTCCAACTAATTACTTACCGGCTTCAACATGTGAATTGAACTCAATTACACTGTCATTGAACACCATTTCTTGAAGGGTATTATATCAATGCAATAGAGAACAGAAAGTACCAGAAAAACCTGACCACGATTTTAATGCGTCATCTTTTTTTAAATTGTGCGACGACTTTAATGGTTTTGACGCCAAATTTTTTCAGTGCGACATCATTTTGGCAAAAGGTGTAGATTGAATATAAACCAAAGCATACTTACTTGCCAATGTCAAACAGGGGATATTAATCTTTCTAAGTATTAGTGGGTTTATTAAATAAGGCTTGTACTCCTAAATTTATAATGGCTTTTCAAATTTGCCTTGGACAAAAATTCTATCGATTCTCATTTCTAAACTTCGATTTGTTGTCTCACGGTATACATACAAGCATTCCTTTGTCTTGAATCCTTCAGCTTCAAATCTAGCTTGTAATTCTTCCTTGGAGAAAAAGTAACTCATTGTGCCGTCGTGTCGCACATAAAAGTTATTCTCTAAACGCTTATCCGAGGTTTTGCTGAATTTAATCTGCGCTTCATCGTAGATTCCATAATCACGAAAGATAACATGTCCTCCGGGCTTCAATACACTCATCACATTTCTAATGGCAATATCCATTTTCTCGGGGGGAATGGCTGAAAAGACAAAGATAGCCGAAACCTAATCTTGACATTTAGCAAAAACGGGTTTTGAGAGATCATGGTCAGATAAAACTAGGCTTACCAAATCAAGACTGTTTTCAGGGATATTATCTGTCAGTTTGTCAGCAGTGAGATCACATACAAAAGCTTTGCAGCGTGATTCATCGTAACTTTCATTTCCCTTAACCATATCAACCGCACGTTTAGAAAAATCACAAGCATACATGAAAAGTGATGGATTGTCGGCTAATAAGGGGAAAACAAAGTTACCCACACCACATCCTACTTCTAAACACTTTTGTTTTTTAGATTGATCTGCAAGTTCTGGGAATTCACGATCGGTCCAGTGGCGATCTGAAGTCGAAACATTAGTAAACATACTTGTTATACACAGATGTTAAATGAATGTCACCTTTGAAAAACTTTGTGGTGTTACGTTTGTAAAAGAGATCCCAATTTTTAGCAGCTTCTTTCTTATACTTGGTAGTCCAGAATGTTGGTACTTCGGTGTTATCTTTTGAAATGATTTCCTGGGCTCTTTCAAGTAATTGGTTTAAACGATCATCATCAATGAAGATTCTGGCACCATCATCTCTACTCTTTTGTAAATCACTCATTATGGTTGGCAAAAAAACAATTTTTTTTATTTGACAGAGGCTTGTCTAAGTTTGCTACTGATTCTAAACACCGAATACCAATGTACCGGTGCGCCGGGCATTCTGTTTCATTGACAACACTTCTAGATTCTACCTCTCTTAGGAATGGCATGATATTTGTTGTATTTCTGAAACAAAGTATTTTGATCATGACAAATCTTGCTTAAAAGGCTCGTGTCAGTAAAAGAATATCAAAGACTCTTTTTATAGTTTTTGATAACTCAACTTAGTCAGCGATCTGTACTACAGTGGTCAACGTTTTGAACAACGAATGCACTCCCAGTAGATTTTGATTTATGTCGAAAAAAAGAAAAGAGTTCGGATAATAAATGTGCATTACGGATGCATGACACAGCCTTCTGACATTTTAAACTTCGCTTTGTCCCCCATTATGTGATTACCTAATACACGGTGGCCAAAGAGTCAGTTGTTTATTGAACCGAAGTTATATACTATCAAGCCGAAAATATGATGGTTAATCTAAAGATCAGCCCAAGTCAAATGAAATAAATATGGTTAGTAAATAGAAACCAGGGACCTACGGACTTCAAAAGACAGGCACGATAACTTGGTAGAAGTGCGCGCATACAAACGACGCCTTTACTACAATCTTTGGAGTATAAAAATTTAAATGTATGGAGATTTCACTGAACCATCTTTTGTTATGATATGTTTAGAAGCTTAGTGAACAATCACGATTTAGCACTATGATGTAAAAGTATAATGTCGCTTATTTAAATGTGTTATTTAAAGCTGTCTGACCACGTACAAAACAAGAAAAAGTAGTGGAGAAGGTTTTGAGCGTGAGAGAAAAGTGTGTTTAGAATGAGGTGATATTTTTGTAACCCATATTCACAAATAATTTCCTATACGGCCCTTTTTTTTTTAGTAGCACATAGCAACTGAAAATCAGATACAGTTTACATCTGTTGATTTTGCCGATGTGAAAATCTAAAAAATCGACTTAGCCATCAGAAAAAGGGATGATTCCCACTTTAACCGGATAAAGATAGAGATCATCTCGTTCAAGTAACAAGAAAAAACTAAAACGTGAAAATTAGCAATAGGACCCTGTTTCTCCATAACAGGGCGAGTTTAATGAAATAGAAAATCGATTCACTTTTTTTCAACTCTCGCTTTTTTGCGCCGTCTAAAGTCACCCTGGTTTTATTTTCTTTACTTTTTGTTATTTTTTTCTTTGTAACGGACAATTTTTTACCGACTTTCCGAGCCTTAGGAGAATAAATGAGTGGGTCGTGAAGGGTCACAGGGCAAAGGAGAGTAGAAGGGTCAGGTAGTAAATGATTTTCACTAGGGATCTTAAAAAGGATGGCGGGTTAAAACGGAATTTTGAAATGAAAATAACTGTTTTAAGCAAGTCTCGCTTCGGCTATTTGGAACGAATCACTAAGAAGCGGAATCTGATGTGTAAAGTCAACAAGGCTAATAGTGTGGGGCAATTCTTTTTATTGGCTGTGTGCCAGTGTCTTTGAGGAACGCTGGGTTTTATTATGAACATAATCGAATCCCGCGTGATCCCACCTTGACTGGTTTCGTTTTCGAAATAAAAAGGGCGGGAATTCACAGAAAGGGGGGATTTTTTAATTTTTTTTCCCTTTAAAAACGACAAAAAAAGTATGAACGATTTCAGTTACCAGCAAGTGTCAAAAGACGATAGCTTTTTTTATTCGTCTGAACCTACACAGTTTTCTCGATCCGACTCTATTAATAAATCTAATTCATATACACAATCTCAAGAATATGATCAGTGGAAATCTAATTCTCTCCCCACAACAACCGAATCAATGGCTTTACCCACAACTAGTATGAATAACCCAGCAACAAACCCTATCTCTTGTGATTTACAAGAAGTCATAATATATTATCAATCACAGCCTGAACTATTACGACTTATTTTATTAAGTAAAGTCGAAGAGGATAAAAGAAGAACTGAAGAGGCTAAACTTCGAGCCAAAGAACTGGATTTGTTATTGGTGCAACAGCAACAGCAGTTTAACGCAATCTCACCTCAATCTCCCGACGCATCCATGATGCCTGCACCACAAGCTAATATGATGCCTAATAATAATCTATTAAATACAAATCAATTTTGTCAAACACCCAGAAGGCCTAGTGCTTTGGAAATACTAATGGAAGATACCGACTGTGATCGTCGTGATTCAGCGCTAGGTTCATCTTTTGATGGTAGCTCCAATTCTGATGAGCTTGAAGACGGTACATTCTCACCCAATTCAGCAGCAAGTTGTATGCTTTCCATGAGGTAATAATAGACCCCTCGCATTTGTATCTGGTCTTTTGGCTCAATTTTTATTTTAATTTATTTTAGTTTCCCTCATCAACCAATGATGTCTGTTACAGCTCCAAGAACATATCCTCATCCACTTTCCCCGCCTTATAATATCAGCCAATGTTTAGATGATACCTCTTTTACATCTCAGATTCAATTGGAGAGCGAAGAAACTGACCAACAAGGTCGTCGATTCGATTCTTCTCAACGTCCACGCCGTAGACGTGAGATGCAGGCCATCTCCAAAATCGTTGAAACTCGAGATTATCCTTACGTTGATGGTTTCTTTTGGAAGAACAACGGAAACACCATCCAAAAGAAGACCGGAAACAAGAGTGTTTATTACAAATGCTCAAACAGTAGCAAAGTACTTATAAAACCCCAATCTTTGACCAAAATTACCATGATACTAATCATACCACTCATTTTTTTTAGGGTTGTCCTGTTAATAAGACTGTCACTTGGAAAGATAATGGCGAATTTTTAATTAAGTATCGTGGTGAACATCTTGTTGAGTGTGGAAACGTTCAACGTATTGTTGACATGTAAAAAAAGAAAAATTCCAAAAAACATCATTTGAAAACCATAGACAAAATCTCTGCCCCCTTCCTTTTAATATCCTTTTCGACCATGTACATACAAGAAAAAGTCAAGCTCTTAAAAACATTCATCTATTGTATCAACACTTTTACGTTCTTTTATATATTTACCCTCATTTATTTCTAATATTAAAATTACCAGAAAGAACCAAAAGAATCCTTATCGTGGTTGCTGGTCAACCATGTATTCTTGAAAAAAAAAATAGGTGTTAACCAAATACAATTCGGATATCACGTTTGAATTAAACCCTTTAAAAAGTTTGATATGCTATTCTGTGGGTTTATCAATCATGGTGCTACTCAGAACTATAACTTAAAAGTACAACGTATGACAACAAAAAAATGGGGAAATGTAAAGCACAGAAGGTTTGCTGATTAAATCAGTGGTACAAAACAATCACAGCTACATATATGAGCTAGTGCAAACATTTCCTTTTTCTCGCTTCACCACCTGTCTGATTTCATATCTAATGACCATTTTTGGTTGCCAAGGCGTATGTGAATTTTATTAAATATTAAGTCAGGACATTTACCTAGAACAGGCAAATAAGAAGAAAAAAAAGCTTACTTTTAATTTAAATGAGAGCAATTGATCTAGAAGATATTGTTTCGTTGGATGTTATTTCTGTACTAAGTGCAGCTAACTCGGGTAACCATGACAATGCTTAGCACCGCTTTTCATTCAAAAAAAAAAAAAAAAAAAAAAAAAAAAGCAAGCCCACGCACTTAACATACACACGCTCGGTCCAAGAGACATAAACCGTGAAAATTCCGCGGCTACCCATCGTACCAGCCGAAGCTAAAACTTTAACAATGCTTCAGTTGTCTTAATACGTATTAGAAGATAATAGAGAGGGTGCATTTTACCTCCACACATTACCTTTTATATGTTTCAGGGTTTGCCTAATTATATCATCAATTGATTTTTCAAATAGACACCCCGATGCAGCCATGGTGATACCAGCTTCATCAAGCAAATAAGGCAAGATTAAAGGGAACTTTATTCTGCTAAGTAATACTTTAAACGTTTCAATACATTATCATATATTTGAGTATATAGGAGGTAGCTTTATTTTTCTCTTTTCCCCCTCTCTATGCCGCTCGCAAAGTAGTTTAGTTTGCTTTGATTGTTTGAAAGCTGTTTAACGGGAGCTCTGATTTAAACTCCATTTATAGAAAAAAAAAAAAAAAAAAAAAACTAGTTTGATCGTTGTTGTTCGCTAAACGATATTTGGTTTCTTGGTTTCAAACACTCGATACTATGTAAACTGTGTAAGCAATTCCGAGACGAAATCCATTGGGGACATTAGTAAAATATACAATTGGGAGCCATCTATGTTAGCAACATTTGATACTAGCCGTTTAGGGCATATTTGTACATGCTACATATTTGAATAAGAGATCCCACATATTGTCGAAAAGCTTGTTTATCTTCTCAACTTCAAATGATCTGTTTACTTTTTTTCAACGTAAACGCTAAGAGAGGCGACTCTGTCGCGGTTAATGAACTTGGAGCCCAGATGGGACGATTTTTTTTTTTTTTTTAGTTTTTGTATTCAATGCCAACTATTTCCCAACAAGGTTTTTAGAAGGGCATGGGCTAGCGATAAGTTTAGCTGTAGACAGTCTTGACATGAATTGAGGTATTTAAACTTTTGTTTGGATGTGCAAGAAAATAAATAAACAGTACTCATAATGAGAAACACTTCATTTCAGACATCCTCATCCAATGAATTTAAAATGGGGTAAAAAAGCAGTGTGTGACCAATAACTGAGATTTTTTAATTTTGGGTCTTTTGCGTTTGACTTGAACTTTACAAATTCGCAATTATACAAACTCCACACACCCCAATTCTTTCAATTTCCCCTATTTTTGTATTTTTCTCTTTAGAATATATTACAATTCTCTTAACGCTTTCTTTCTCTTTCCATACCCTTTTAATTAATGTTTGCTACACTTGAGTTGCCCCTAAGAGGTATACAAAAAAAAAACGAAGAATAACATTTATCCTGATTGGAATCTTTTATAACCAAATTTACAACATGTAGATGATAGTAGACATAAAAGGCTCAAAGTCGGAAGAGCATGTCATCCTTGTCGAATGAAGAAGATAAAGGTACTTCAATTTTCAAATTGTGATCAATGTCAGTTGATTTAGACCGAGATTTTCCTTTTACTAACTTGTTCTTGACCTGTAGTGTGATGGAAAGCAGCCATGTATGCAGGTACTGTTTTTCTATTATTATACACACACAAGGATTAACGTTTTATAATTTTTGTAGTGCAAAGGTAATTGAATCTTATGCAACCTCTGACAACAAAATAACAAATTTTTCTTAATACGTAGCTAGGAGACGGAAATGCATGTATTTAAAGAATCCCGATGAGACATACATTAGACTGGATCCCGTTGGTGAGACACCTACTGGCAGTTCGTCGATATCCGATTCATACTTACAAGATCTTGGCGAAAATCAATCCAGGCATAATCACAGTACAAGCAGTTTAAACAATAACATCAGCATCAGTAACATTACACCGGTCCGGGACGACAGTAAAATATATGCTCAAGATAAACCTGATAATTTATTCGCCAGTAGTACTAACGGCTCTGTATCATCACTCTCTTCCCAGCCTGCGGTTCAACCCGCCACACGTCCCGATAAAATGATTGAACAATTAACTGACGGGCTGGTTCGTTTAACGTTACATCATGATTCCTCAAAACTAGGAAACGAAAATGTCACTCCATGGCGTACATACGGTGAGTTTGTTCGATGGACTCCAGAGCCACACCTACCAGTATTTTATACAGCTCCAATTGATATGCCTTCAAGACCAACACAAGAACATCTTATTGGTGTGTTCTTTGATGAATGTCATCATATTTTACCCACTTTATCAAGATCTATGTTTTATGAACAGCTTAAAGTGAAAGGACCGCTAGTAACACCTCTCCTTTTAAATATTATTTACGCTCATGCTTCAAAGCGTATCAACAATCCTGCATTTCGATCAGAATCTTCAAATCCAGCTACGCAAGGCGATCTATTTTATAATAGAGCTAGAAGATTAGTGGACGATTTTCTGGACGTTCCGAGAATCAGTACTGTGATATCATTACTTTATATGGCTTTGTATGAGTGTGACCAAGTACCTCAAAGTGGGACAATCATCAGATCTAGTCGAGCATGGATGTATAGTGGCATGGCAATTCGTATGTGCTTTGAACTGGGCTTACATACTGCCAATTACAGCAGCCAAATGTCTCAATGCGACATCGAGTTACGTAAGCGTGTTTTATGGACTTGTTTCGTGATGGATAAATTGGAAAGTTGCTCGATGGAAAGACCTTGGATGCTGAAATCCAAAGATATTGCATTAGATTTCCCAACACCTTTACCAGAGGATTCATTACAAGAACGACTTGTACTGGAAGGATTTAACCAATTATGCAGACTGATGATTCTGATGGAAAAAGTGATACACTTCTTCACATACGATATGAAGAATCTAAGTCTTTGGACAATTAGTGAAGAAAATCAAATCCTACAATATTTGGACGCTATTAACCAATGGAGAGAGATGTTACCGAATGAATTACAATGGACAACACCAGCAAACAATCCTAGCATACAAAGATTTATACCAGCCGTTCCTTCCTCCGCCGTTGTTGCCAATTTACACTTAGTTTGTTATAATCTTGAATTATCGTTGATTATGTGCTGTAGATATCAAGACGAGCATCTTCATCGTGAAAGAAGAAGAACCTTGGCAAACACAATTACACATATTGTTTCATTGACAGTACAACACCAACATCTCATGTACACTTTCGCTGTCTCGACATTCTCCGGTATATTCGCAGCTCTCACACATGCTGTTGATTTCGATAATCAACGTTTGGATATATCCGAAGGATCAAAACTCCAATTTAGAAAAAGTTTAGAAGATGTCCGACTTATTGTGGAAAGACTTCCTATGCGTGATTTACGGAACTTTGCACGTCTTGTAGATTTAACCCTTCAACCCGGCAATAATACCAACAATGTGAATATGCACAACATGTCAATTCCGTCCTCTTATGCTTCGGCATTCTCCGCAATCACAGATTTGTGTCATAAAGAGGATTCGGGTAGCATGACACCTTCATCTATTGATTTGTATGGCCAACAACACGATGCTTTGGAAAGCGGATCTGTGTATGGGTCCGTATCGCCGGAAAGACGTAGATCACCTTTCCATAATAACCCCATGATTTCCGGACAGTTTGCATTTGACGCCTGTTATCAACAACCACACAGCACTCAATCCTCACCATCTGGTTCAGTGTCAGCGGCAGCTGTTGCAGCTGCTGCAGCGGCGGTGGGTGCGGTAGGTACACCTAGTGCTGCATCTGGTCCCACCAACAAGGATATTGAGCCGGCTGACTACACTTTTGAATTGATTTCTGTTGCTGATGAATGGGCAAGATCACTTATATATTAATATATCTCTAGACCAACCCCCTCGCCAAATTTTGTTTCTTCCGTCTTCCCTTCTTTTACCGTCTACCATCATAATTCGTCTTTCTTTACTTACTATATTATTCTCATGTAATTAGCATCATATAAAATAAAAAAATCAAAAAAGTGTAATATATTATTAACCCCTTTTGGATCATTTACAATGAACAAAGCTCATCAACACATGAATAACTATACCTTTTTTTTTTTCACAAAAAAGAAAGGAGAGTTTCCTATATGCAATGGTGGCTTCTTAACCCTATGTATATGTTTTCTTTTTCATGCAATGCTTCTCGCTAGAAGATATTTCAATTCGCTGCATATAAATACTAAAATAAAGGTTTATTTAGGAAACATATGACGATTGTAATCACAACGCCTAAAGCTTAATTCTAACAATGGCTTTGAACACAACAAATAATCTATTCGACTGTAATTAGCAAATATAATAATGTTGACAAGACTAAGCCATAAGCGGATTACAATGGACTGTTTTCTAGCGACTTGGCAGTAACTTATGCATTCAATTATAGGAGCACCAATAGATATTACTATTAACACCAATGCCCTGAGTTAATAAGATTTTATTATAAAAAAGCCTTACAAATTCGAGCTATTTCTGATGATCATCTCTTTCTTTTATTACATCGAAAAAAAAAATGTTGTTCAGCTTGAGTTCTTTAGCTTGCTTGCTTTTAGCAGCCAATGCAGTGAATGGAAATATCATTATTCCCGCCAAAAAAAGATACGGAGAGTTGTCCGGAAAGTTTATACATGTGACAGGTAAGATTGAGGATGTATTGAATCGAAATGTGTCCCATCTAATTCATGTATTTATATGTTTCTTTTTGAATAAAACGAAAACAAAAACAACTTAGATTTCCATCTTGATCCATACTATGTGGAAGGAACCGATGTCGCCCATTTTTGTCATACAAGCAAAGGAGATACCAAAAAGGGTGTAGCAGGCCGTTTTGGTACACTTGGCTCAAAATGTGATTCGCCTACTGCTTTGGTAGAAGCGGCATTCGATTTCATGAGTGCTCAAGCCCCCGATGCTGATTTTGTGATTTATACAGGGGATTCAGTGCGACATGATCGAGATAAAAAGCTCAAACGCACTAAGGCACAAGTGTTAGAGATTCAAAGAACCATTGTGAACTATTTTCAAAAATCTTTCGATAAAGTGGTACTAATTCGCACTCCTTATAAAAAAAAAGGTCTTCTAATTACTGTCTTAATTATTAGATCCCTGTACTCGGTAACAACGACGTGATGAAACACAACCACATCCAAGATTATGACCAGCAATATAATGAATTTAAAGCTACCTGGGAGCCTTATAATCTTGCTCTTGGAGATGATTTTGAACAAGGTGGTTTCTATGTTCAAGAGATCATACCAAAATTGCGTACTATCAACACAAATACCTTATCTTTTACCAAAAAGAACAAACTGATATCTGATTGTGATGTACCTGGTAGTCCAGGAAGAAACCAGTTGGACTGGCTTAAAAAGTCATTAGACGATACCCGGGCTGATGGATCCAAGGCCTATATTCTGTAAGAGGAGCGAGAAAGAAGTAGAAAAACATATTGTGTTTGTGTAGTCTAACATACATGTACATAGGGCCCATATTCCTCCTAACAGTAAAAAAGATAAACATTTCTTCCGAGACAAATGTTATAACGAGTATTACAGCATTTTAGGATCCTATTCGGACGTAATTGTTGGTCATTTTTCCGGGCATTTCAACTGTAAGTGAAAAAATAAGGAAAGAAAACGATTTTCAGTACATGCATATTGACACAGTTTCTTTTTTTTTATATAAAGATGATCAATTGACAGCCGTATTACAGAATAAGGAGGACGGAACTTACACACGAGTTGCAGCCCTTGGTGCAGAAGAAGTTCCGATGACAGCTGAAGAACTTGAGATTTATAAGGTGGTGGGCGTGCTCTTTAATGCACCTTCCATTATTCCTGAACACAACCCTGCTATTCGTATCTATACCTATGAAACTGAGGGTTATCGGTGAGTTCTGAAATTATTGCTGCTGGCATAATTGGAAATTCTAACTAATCATTATGCATTTTTTTTTCATGCAGTTATCCTGTTGGTACGATTCTTGATTGGGACCAATATTATGCTAATCTCGAGGAAGCCAACCAGAGCGGAAACTTGGAATTTAAGTTAGAGTATAAAGCCTCCACATTGTATAACGTAGATCATTTTGACGCCAGTGGATTACAAACTGTATTTGAAGCCATCTCTTTAAACGAGGAAATTAGACAACAATATAGCAACATTCGAAAAGTTATTGGCAACGAAGAAGCAGCATATTTATAAATTATAGTTTCTTTTTAATTTCACAATAACTTTTTATTTTTTTTTCAATTTGGATTATGTATTTTACAAAAATATGTGTGGGGTGCATTTAAGGGGAGTGGCGAGATATGTGGGAGTGTCTTGTTGTGTGTGTGTGTTTATATGTGTAAGTTGTTGTTGGGTGTATAAAGTCTACTCTTCATCCTCAACCTTTTGCTTTTTTGCTGAAGCCTCATCACCTTCTTCCTTATCCTCAGGGCCTCTCTTTCTCAAACCCTTCATCTTTCTAGTTTGGATCTTGTCAATTTCTTGCTTACCAAGATGGATACGACCATATTTATCACCCATCTCATCAACTTCGATATTCTTTGCCTTCTTGGGCTTAACTTCCTTAGGCACTCTAACTGCAGACTTCCACATATCAGGCTTAGGTACAGATGTACGCTTCATCTTAAGATCGTAGCTGGGACCCATTTCTTCTAATTCAACTCTAGGAGTCTTTAAACCACTCTTCTTCATTTGGATTGAGTAGGTACGGAAAAGGATACGATCATCGGGTGTAGCGGTTAAACTGATGACATGCTCAAGACCGGCCAAATTGATAGCGCTAGTCTCTTCACCATTGAAGAAATCTAAAAAGAAATTCTTGATATTTTTACACTTTTCATCAGATTCAAAACGATCACCGTTGAAAATCATCAAAGGCTTTAAACCTAAAGAACATTTTTGACCCTAATCATAATGTTAGTCTCTTCAATAAAAAAAAAAAAGCCTTTTGTTATACATACGGGAATAGAGTTCATAGATTTGGGGTTCTCGATACCGAATTCATACATATCCAACATTTGATGGTTGTACATACGGACAAAAGTCAAGTTGTGAGGTCTCTTCTTGGAATGAGTACCAACAACTAAATGTGCGGAATCGTTCTTGCGAGAGAAAAATTCGAGCTTCTCATCATCTTCAAAAGGCTTGATCTCGTTCTTCTTTGAGAAGTAAATAGCATTAGGGCGCTTTAAAGCATACTATAGACACAGAGAAAGTTAGATCTCGATGGGAAAAATAATCAAGCTTCAAGTAGTGTGATAGTTACCAAGTCTTTCAAGGCGTCACTGACGACTTGACTGGTAGAAGATCCCCGCACAACTAAAGTGTTCTTAGGGTTTTCATGGACCTTGGCTTCACGGTTCTTCAAGAAACGCTTGGCACGGGCATTCTTAGCTTTACTATTTATTTTTAAATCGTTATTAATATTCCAACTACTTTTCGATGATCGTGATCTGTAACTTACACTGTACGCAACATTTTATTTTTATGTATTTGATTAAAGTGAAGGGTCAAAAATTATCGCAGAAAAAAAAAAATGTTGAAATCTCCCCCAAAAAATTAAAATTGGCTCAGGAGAAATAATAGTCACAGTGGCTTAATTTGATTTTTGCATTGGTTCCCTATTAAGCCTTTAGACATTGTATGTGGTAAGTCCTTCCCATACCCTCAGATTCAACTATCCTTCCAGGGCAGTTCATGGATTGCTAACAAGAGTATTATTTAGTACTAAAGTTAATCCGATCATTCAGGTATTGTATCCGTACCTGGCTCTATCATGAACCTGCCATTGTGATTTGTACACTGAAGAGAAACTCGATTGTCTGAAACATGACCTGTCAACAAAATTGACTTAAATATGTCTGGATACACGTCTGTTGTCCAATATGAGATTTTCGATATCTTGGAAATATCGTCTCGTGGATATGTTGTTCCTTTCGACGAATCGTTTGAGTCCATCCTCATGATCATTTGGTAAACAGCATAAAGATCAACAAATAGACATGCTGTCAATGTCACATTCAATTAAGCTAATAGTATGTAACGTCTCTACATAAATTATGGTTATGCAAAAGAATTCTTTACTGGTGTCACCGAATCTAATGGATATCTCATCAGAATGTTTCACCTCACCCTCTAATTTAAAAAATTTGATCATTTTGACCTCCGTGCAGGCAGCATAATTTGTGATTTACCACCATCACTGGGCTCTGTAACAAGAATTTGTTTTTTTTGGAGTCGATCTTGTTCATATTTAGGTAATATTGAAACAATCACTAAACATGTCTCAATTTAACATGTCTATTTTATCACAGAATTAAAATGTATGAAAACTCTACCGGTACCAGTAATGCAGCCATAGCCAGGTTAAATGGTGTATTACCGGTATCGACCAGTGATGATAGTATCAAGGTAGCTGGGGAGACCTTCTTCGTGAAACAAATCAAAGACATCGAGAAAAAGCAGGAGAAGGTCCTTGATGAAATTAGGCAAACTATACCTAATTTCGTCTCCCACGCCTATGCCGACTTGTCCACTGAAACTGCCCAGCTCTCCATTGGATTGTGGGAGGATTTCGTTCAACGAAAAAAGCTGCTTTTCAAAGGATGTTATATATGGAAACCTACAAGCTTTCAAGTTAACCACCAACTTGGTGTTTAAATCTTGACATATTGGTAAGTCTTTATTATTTGTTTGTTGTAATACTTAAATTCTAAATACTGTAATACGTTATAAGGTACAAAGCTTGCAGGTCAACATAACAAGGCCCTTGGAAAGTAACGAAAACTCCTGGATGACCTCTTGGACATATACAACCAGGAATTTCGTAAGTACAAAATTGTTTATTGAAAGTTTAGGCCACTGAAATCTTTATCATAAAGGAAGGTATAACTACTGCTACCTTCCTGGATGGAAGAAGCCCATTCTCGGACATCGATCTCCATCCTATGACTGAACCATGGTTGTGCGGGAGGAACGATAACGAGAAAATTAAGCTCCTAAAGGTAAATAAACTTACAAGTTCTCTATATGTTTGAAATTTAATTCATCTCACATTAAAACAGCGTGAAGCGCAGGACCTACTCTCCAATATTGAGGTGAAGATCAAGGAACTGACAAGGGCAAAGCTTTGAGCAGCTGAAGATTCGGAGATAACGTAAAAACTTTATTGGAAAGACAGCTGAAACAGGGCAATAAATGGAGAAGTCACTCAATGCGATACTTAATGCTGATTGGAGTCAGCCCTCCTATCAATTTTGCTTCTGAACCCCAGTCTGACACCGCCAGCCTCCTTGATCCTATCGTTGCTTGTGAAGATGAAGATGTTGACGATGAAGAAGATGTGGCACTGGTGTTTAAAGTGAATAAGGTGAAGAGAAGGACGAATATGATGGAGAAGAAGACGCGGAAGAGGATGAAAGGAGAGATGAAAATGAAAACGAATAATAAAAAAAAATATTTAAATAATATACGTTTAAGCTTAAAAATTATGGTTTGTTTTCTTCATGGATCAATAAACGCCCATATTTTCAGACGTGCTCATGAAGGACCTCACGATAAGAGGCTGATTTATTGAATGCGGCCGGAAATTGATTTTTTAACCAGAAATTTAGTTTTTAAAGAAAAAGGCAAGCGTCCGATATTGTCTGAATTTAAAGTATGAATGCTATAAACACCCAATGTAGTACAAGCGACGATACAGCATAACGCATAATTAAAACCTTAGCATTATTTTAAAGTGTGCACATTACATAACATTATTTTGCTATAACAGCCGTGCCTAAGGTAACTTTAACGATTTTACCTTTATCATCCATAGAAGAGCTCATCATAGCATATAAAAATTGACACCGAATGACAGTTTTTTTTAAGAAGGGATTTTTTAATTGTTTTCAAATTTTTTTAAGTTCTTATTGTTATTTTCTTCCTGAGGTCAAGTCGGTAAAAGCCGAGTTGATACAGTTTTTGATTTCCTTGTAACTTACAATGAGGCAGGATTGCTCGTCTCTGGACATCAGCATGATTTTTTCATCGATACCTGCGTCCAGCTAATGATAAAAGAAAATTTATTAGAGAATTTGTTACCATTCATGGGCGTATCGGATGTTTACCTTATTTAGACATGTCAATACATGAACCATATCAACGACAGGATGGCCATTTTCATCCACTTGGTGAAATACATAATCACGAAAGAGTTTGATTAAATAGCGATCACCAGTTTCTGACCAACTAAGGTCCATATCGAATTCAGGTCTTTCATTGATGAATCCCATTTTACTCATAAGTCGCACAAGTCTACCATTTTCTAATTCTTTACCTAATTCTGCTTCTAATTCATCATTATATCTAAACCATAGAAGAAATAAAACAAAGTTAATCTATGCCAAGGGCACATTCATACAAACAGGGCTTACGATTGACTGCAGTTAATTTCATGAAGAATATGGGGACCAATCATAAGGATTACTTCATCTATATTCTTTGAAGGTAAGGGTTTACCAAGTAAATATAATATCAATTTTTTTAAATCCATTGAATAGTGTCTAGTAATATAATCAAATGACTGAGAGAGGTCTTGAAACGATTGTACTGAATTGCATGCCAGTGCAATAATAAGTTTACCGAACGCCAAAAGATCCTCTTGTTGATGTCTAGCTACGTTTAATCCTCCATCGTACTGTAAAACATCCAAGATACTGGCTCCATTCATTCTTAGTCTAGTAATATTTTACATATACGGTTAACATACTGCTTTCTCCTATGTCTTATTATGAAGCCAACGTACCTATTTTTTCCCGTTACTAAAATCTTACCGGGATCGATATTTCTAGCTGCTAATCCAGAACCATGGATCGCTTTTAACGCAGATGATATCTGCGTGATGTAACTCCATAATGTACTTTCAGGGATTAAACGTGTCGATGATCCATTGTACAAGGCTGCCTGTCCTTGCTGATTTTCAAAATATGTCGAAAATAGTGTAGTCGAACAAGGGTGATAGTCAAACACAAATATCAGTGCTTTAAAACAAACATTTAACTTTCCATCTTCAACTTTAACAATTTTACTAACAAAAAACTTACATGAATCACCGAATGCTCTTGTGGTAAATGCTTCACGGATAGATACAATATTACAGTGTCGTAATCTTCGCCAGGTTTCGATGGCTGACATGGCCGATTCGTTTACTAAGCGGTATCCCTCAATTCTGACAAGTGCATACGTACGACCATCCACACTACAGGTTGCTTTATATACGCTGGAAGGGTGTCCATAATAATGATGGTTCGATTTACCCTCTTGTTGAGAATCCAAAGGATAAAGCGAATGGTAAACGTGTACTTCAGAAGGTAAACCCAACTCACGAGCTTATGAAAAAAAATTAAAACCCTTCATTTGTGCAAGTACACAATGTTGCTAGTTAATTTACCTGGAGTGGTCATCAACTGCGCCTCGTTTCGCTCAGTCAATTGCTCTCGTAAATTCTCAGGTATAAAGAATGATTGTATAGTTCTCTGATTCGGCAAAAGGTTAGCAACATGTGGTGAAGGGCCAGAGTACAAATGATGTTGAAGCTTAAAAGTAGAAAAAGGGGTAAGTTATGATTATATTAAAAAAAAGGGTCTTTTTCAGTTCTTACGGGTTGTCTGGGATACACTGATTGTTGGTTCATGTAATAGTACGGATCTAATTGAGCAGGAGGCATACCATGCCCAGACATAATTTGTGAAGGTGATTGAGGCTGTTGTGTTTGTTTAGGTGTCTAAATTGAGGTTAAAACGAATTTTTGTTTTGTGTGTGTGTGTTTAAGCTTTACATCATTGGATACTCCAAACTGAGAAAAATTGTTCGTCATGGATGCAAGATTGGATGCTTCTGCCTGATAATTACTAATGAAAGATCGTTACTTTTTGAAACTCATAGTTTCTCTATAAAGTTCTTACTTGTTGGAATCTAATGTAAAGTCTATAGAATTCGTTTCTATTGGTAACAAATCAATATAAGTATAATAAAAGGATTTTTTCTATACCTTTACTAGGTGTTGCAGCATTCGAGTCTATTTTGAACATGTTAGAAGTGTTGGTTTTTTAGGAAATGTATGCGGTCTTACCCATTGAAAATCGGGGGACAAACTCGGGTGCATTGACACTATCTGCAGATACTGAGGAAACTGCTTGAAATATAGGTGATTGGGCTCGTAGTTTATTATTGCTATTTTAAAACGTCAATAGGCTGTACATTCTTTATCTATTCAATTTTTTGTTTACTTTTCTGGACTTGCTTGGGGAGAAGTGGGTTTGTTCTATTTAAAGTGGGTTAGCAAAAAAAAAGTGTAATCTAGGACAAGGAAGGAATAAAAAAAAAGTACCGTATCATGATTAAATTCACAACCTTTTCCTTCGTATTTACAATAGCCGTGAATGATAACATTCCGGCAAAGTCTTTTGCCATTGAGGCTTCCTATAGACGAATGAGGTTAATGAACGACTATGAGCAGATTGTTTTAGACAAACCTTTTAAGGGAGGTTTTAATACAACTTTTGTTGTCTTTTGTTCAACAGGTTCTCCATCAGAAGCAGGAGCTACAATGGGAATAACAGAAGGGGATTGTGGAGGAATGACTATTTGTCCACCGAGTGATTTTTGCATTTATTAATAATTATCTAGTTGGCATATAAAAAATAAAGGAAGAAAAAAAAAAAAAAAAAAAAAAAGAAGACCAATGAAGACTGCTTATAGAATCAGAGAATCATCTGATTTGATTGGATACCGATTCGGTGACGTTTTTAGCAGAGTGGAGTCGGACTTTTCATGATTTTTTTTTGTTTATTGTTTGGGCTGGGAAAGCAGCTCGAACAGCTACTCCTTCAAGAATAACCATTTTTTTTTTGTTTTTTTTTTGTCATTGTTGATTGGAATAGATGGGCAATAGCATAGGAATGCCCAATGAAAATGGAAGTTTGTCATCTACGAAAAGTTTGCGTAAAAAGGCATCTTCTTCAACGTTGTCGAGTTTAAAACTCTATCGCCAAGCTAATCGTTCAGAAACTTCATTATCTTCCAAAATGTCAAGATCTAGCAACTTCGAAAAGATACTTGATATTAGCAAGCCGACTAAATTCGAGCATGGTATTCATGTAGAGTACAATAGAGACAGTGGAAAATACATGGTAAAGAAAAATAAAATGTATCTAGAAGAAGAAAAAAAAATTTATCCTAAAAATAGGGTTTACCCGATGTATGGCAATCGAATTTACCAAGTGACGATGTTATGGATACGCACTATGTTACTCCCCATCTTGTGCCTTCACCCGTCAAACCAGAACGTAATTGTGTATAAACAAGTAACCCCTTTAAGCAAGGAGACTGAAAATACCCCTTTTATTTTTAATAGGTGATCCAAGTACATTACAAAAGACACCGACATTGATAGGAAAACCGTATAATGTGCAACACAACATACATGTTCAAGTGGGAAAATACGGATATAAGGGTTTACCGATCAAATGGCAAAAGATATTATTGGCATCGGGTGTACCTGAAGAAGTCGTAAAGAATAATCCTGCTACTGTTAAAAAATTATTGCATAATATCCGAATGCCAGATTCACTACAATCAAATAATATTAAATCACCTCTTTCATCTCCTACAAGATGTTCAACTACTTCTTCAATATCATTTGAACAAGAAGAGTTGCCAATAGGCTATGCTCCTCCATCTCGTGCAAGATCATCCAAACTTTTACACCTTTCCCTATTAAAATCATCTACAGATATACCAACACTTACAGAAAATACCGATGATGTTCCTGTCCCTCTTGTCGAATCCCATTTAGCTCTGAATTCTGATTTCATCGGTAAATTCCCATTTTTTATGTCTATATAAATTCATTGAACCAAATCTATTTAGATGACATTGCCGATTCTGCTGATCCAAACACAATTTATACCGACTTTATACTAATTGCAGAAGGTGAAGCAGGCCCAATGTATGCTGCTAAACACATCACTACAAAACGTATTGTCGCCATCAAAAAGATTCCCCACACAGCAAAAGAAAAACTTTGTAAAATTAGAAACGAATTAACCACAATGAAGATGAGTAGACATCCCAATGTGGTAGAATTCATTGCTTGTTATACCACAGACAAAGACATTTGGGTCGTCATGGAATGTATGGACGTCTCTTTAGCTGATATTATTTCTGTCGATCCTGAAGCTGGCCCTCGGATGCGCGAAGATCAAATAGGAAGAGTTGCTCGTGATATATTAAGAGCCTTGTGTAGAATTCATCGTCTAAATAGAATTCATCGTGATATTAGAAGTGATAACATCTTGTTGAACATGCGAGGAGAGATAAAGCTTGGTAGGTCTACACAGTCTATTCGCATATTTGTTTTCAATTTTATTCATATTTCTACTTAGCCGACTTTGGTCATTGTGCTCAATTATCAAAAAGTCAACCTGAAAGAAATTCCATTGTTGGTACACCTTATTGGATGGCTCCTGAAGTCATAAAAGGTTTAAAGTACAGCTCCAAAGTTGATATTTGGAGTTTGGGTGTAGTCTTATTGGAAATGGCCGAAGGAGATCCACCCTATGTCGAATATCCACCTTTAAGAGCACTTTTCCTGATTGTTTCCAACGGATTACCTGCTCTTAAGGAACCGGACCGTTGGTCAGAACAGTTTAAGGATTTCCTTTCACTTTGTACGACCACCGATCCAAATGATAGGCCAGACGCTGAAACCTTGTTAAAACATCCATTCCTTCGTTCAGTCGGTACAACAGAAGATACCATCGAGTTAATCGAAGACACCAGGCGATTGGAACTACTTCAGCAGCAGGAACAAGAAACAGAAGAGTTAGCTATTGGATCATAAATTTATCGTTTATAACCATTTTGTATATAAAAAACTAAATCATAATACACTTTTTCCGGTATAATTCGCTGGTTAAAGAACTAAAATACCGCTACCCCCAGAATTAAAATGTCGTTTGCCAAGTCATTGGGAAAATAAAATAAAAATGTCGATTGAGAAGGTGTGAACTACACAGAGATTTGCTTTGAAAAAAAAAATCTGATTTGGACAATCAAGATTATCTTGGAGTATTTAAGCTCTTTGCTAAACATATAATTTTTTACCGTCATGACACATATCGCTTTTTTTTTTTTTTTTTTTTTTTTTTCACAATCGGTATACCTAAGCTACTACTGAAATGTTGGTAAGCAATTATCATGTTCAGAGTTGCTTGTTTATAAATCTGGGGCTCCTTTTAGATGTTTCTAATATAGGCAAAGACTTCATTATGGATGATTAAATAAGCAATTATACCATCCTGCCATAAACCAGCTCTTGTTTATCAATATGTACAGAAGTTTGACGATAGAAAATTCGCCTAGTTCAGAATAGCTGTATGATACAAATACCAGCGACGATATGGAGCTTGATGAACAAGAACGTCACATAACAGATTACATGGATTGACAAATTAAAAATCTGGATAATAACAAAGAAGGCCTTTTGACTGCACCGACTAAAGATTGGGAGAGCTTCATTACCGAATAAAATTTCTTTTATGCATTTGTTTGACATTTAATTTAAATGATTTATCTATACCATATATAAAAATAAAGCTGGAACTGCAAGGTGGGTATTAAGTCCAAACAAATAGTGTCTTTCTCTTGTTATTCCTATTCCTATTCACATTCTCTGTTCTAGCTGAAAATGCCTTTGTATTACTCAGTAATATCTATTTTATCCGGAACTTTTGGTCTTTAAGCTATATCCTAAACTGTAGACTTAAAAATAAAGAATACTATTTTTAATTGCTAAGCAGTGTTTCATTGGAATCAGGCATTATGCTCCTTTTCAACGATATTTTATTCTCTCGTCGAGCGACTGATACTTGGTAAGGACACCCTACCCAAAATTAGCGGTAAAGTATAATGGAAAAAATGTAACACTTAAACTTGATAATCATCTTTTTTTTATTTTAGGGTGATGGGAAATTTATACACAAAGAGAGGGAGGAGATGGAAGGGGGGGGGGATATTTTTTCTTAATTGCTCACTTCAACACCACGCAAACTAGCGGTAGCTAAGCATTGATTAACAACTTCTAATAAATGATTGTTTTCCAAAGCAGCTGCTACTCTTTCCTTGTCATTCAACTGTTTATTAACAGCTCCTTCAGATTGATGAGTGCCCTTACGAACACGAATATCAACCTTTGCATTTTGCATTAGTCATAGAATCATTGTCACTATTTTATATTTTATCTTTACCTTAAATCGATCAGGTAAACTACGTAACAAACGAACTCGAATACATAAACCAATTAAAGTTGCCATCGAACAATGAGGAATAGTAGGTGTAAATTCAATCAAGATCTTGTTGATTTCATTGTCGACTACAATATGATCAAATTGAGTCACATTAAGTTGTTCAAGAGTCAAAGGATGTTCAGGGTCAGAAATGGACCGGATCAGGTCAAACACTTCTTGTGAATCAATAGCATCCTCTACATCATCGTCAAACTCGGCTTCTGTTTCTTTACGTACAAAAGTCTTTGTATTGTAAATAGTAGGATTAGCGTTAATAAGATTTTGTGACATTTTAGATATGAGAAAGAAATAAAGAAAAAAAATAACGAAATCAAGATGCCTTTTGCCCTCATTTGTCATAACTCAAACACCGTCACGAACCAACCAAAAAGTCGGTTACATGCAGGAGTTTTAAATTGTTGAGAATGTCTTTATTCAAGTATTCGCATATGAAACATTTAAAAGTGGCTGCTCATTTTTTGAAACGATAGTTTTCACTTTTTATTTGTACGAGTTCGTCCCGCAACGGCTAGATTTTGCATGTGCAATGAAATGCTGCAATCAAAGGAACAGCTCATTAAAATCAGACAAAAAAATTAAATTCTATATAAATTTTCGAAGGACAACAGGTATTTCTTCCTGCTGGCTATATTCACGAAAACTGTACCTTAGCTCATACACTTCTTTCATTAGAGAGAAGAAAGAATTATAAGCATAGCTCTTTAAGAGATAAAAAGACAGTAACGTTATAGCCCTACTTCTTCAAATTTAGTTATGCTACTGTTCAGCGTGTCGTAAGAAAACTTTTGGGTTTTCTTGCCTCACGTAAAGACCGGGATTATGAATTGCCGCCAATTTCACAGATTGAACCTATCATGAACCCTTAAGCCAATAGGAGTTTTTTTAATCCTTTTATACCACACGAGAAGTAACAAAGGTAATCTTATTCGGCTCTTCAATAGTGTGAGAGCTTTTCAATATTTTATTTCTCTCTCTCTTTTCTTTTTCGACAAAATGCCTTCCGAAAGTTATTTCATTGGAATTGATGTTGGAACAGGGTAAGCCGAATGAGCTATAAGTTACAAACTTCTTCTTAACACTGAAAGTTAGTTCCACCCGTGCAGCAATTATTGATGTCCAAGGTAAACTTATAAGCCTAGACGTTCAGCCTATAACAACTTTCAACCCCAAACACAATATCTATGAACAATCCACCAGCAATATTTGGTCCAGTATCATCACTTGCGTCCACAATATCTTGAAGCAAGCTAATTTAAAGCCTGAACAAATTAAGGGTATCGGTTTTGACGCCACATGTTCTCTGGTCGTATTGGACAAGCAAGGTTGTCCTCAGTCTGTAGATGAGCAATCCAACTATCAAGATAATAACCTTAACGTGATCTTGTGGGCAGATCATCGCGCTATTGAACAGGCAAATCGTATCAATGCCACACACCATGATGTTCTCCGGTATGTTGGTAATACCATCAGCCCTGAAATGGAGATTCCAAAAACATTATGGCTTAAGGAAAACTTGCCTAGTGAGAAATGGGATGGCATAGGACAGTTGATGGATTTACCGGATTTCTTGACTTACAGAGCTACTGGATCAACAGGCCGATCAACTTGCTCTTTGACTTGCAAATGCTCTTATTTGCCCAGACTAGTAGGTGAAGGTTGGGAGCCTAGTTATTTTAAAGCTATCGGATTGGAATGCTTAGTTCAAGAGAATTTTGCAAGATTGGGTGGAAATGATGTTGATGGGGATAATACAAAAAAAGTGTTAGAGGCGGGCGATCCTGTAGGATCTGGATTGACGGAAGCTGCTGCTAAAGAGCTTGGTTTATTACCTGGTACACCTGTTGGATCCGCTATCATTGATGCTTATGCCGGGGCAGTCGCTACTTTAGGTGCCAGCCCCTCTGAGAAAGAAAGAAGCGAAATGTTAAATTCATTAGATCAGAGTTTAAAAACAAATGGGCCTAGTCGTTTAGCTATTATTTGTGGTACATCAAGCTGTCATATTGCTATGTCACCTAGCCCTATATTTGTTCCAGGCGTCTGGGGCCCTTACCGGTCAGTCATGGTGAGCGGCATGTTTTGTGCGGAAGGTGGGCAATCATCCACTGGTCAACTCATCGATTTCATTGTAAACACCCATCCAGCACTGGAGACAGCACAAACTAAATCGGCTGAAGTTGGACAAAATATTTATTCATTCTTATCTCAACATTTGGTCACGCTTCAAAAGCAACAAGGTTTGAAACACTTGGAGGAACTCACAAGACATTTGCACATCTATCCAGATTTCCATGGAAACAGATCCCCTTTGGCAGATCCCACATTACGAGGTACCATTGTCGGTGTATCGCTGGATAAAAGTGTCGATGATTTAGCGTTGCGTTACCTAGCAACCTTGCAGGCAATAGCCTGCCAGACACGTCATATAATCGAAACTTTAAATGAACAAGGCTATACAATCGATACATTGTGTATGTCCGGTGGACTTTGTAAGAGCCCTTTGTTTGTTCAGATCTTGGTAGATGTTACACAATGCAGAGTCATCATGCCAGAGTCGATTGACGGTGCTGTCGTAATAGGTGCTGCGTTTCTAGGTGCAAAAGCTTCGGGTCTTTCCTCCGACTTGTGGGAGATTATGGTAAAATTAGGAAGAGCAGGTTCAACTGTCTTACCTAATAAGGACAAGGAGATACACGAAATTAACCGTCGACGCTATAAAGTGTTCCTTGCATTACTCGAAGACCAAAAAAAGTATCGCTCAATAATGGATGAAGGTTTTTAAAGTCCATCTGAGATTTTATTTATATTTATGTTTATCTGATTTTATGTTTGGTTTGAACGATGATATCAGTCATCGTGAATAAACATAGATAGTAAAATCTAAAGAATAAGCAAGCTAGCTATAGTACCATAGAAGTCATCTTTAATACCTTCCCATGTACAAAATGATTAAAAATATGCTTAAAAAGAGATTGTAAAACATCAGATAGACATGCGGATCCAATCAGATTAAATATTTTGACACACGCAAACCGTCATTTTAACCCCGGTTTTTTTTTTTTTTTTTTTTTTTTTTTTGCTAACCGTCATTTTTTTTTGTTTAACCATTTTTGTTTGTTTCTGAATTACATGATCACTCTTTCTTATCAAAATATATTTTTATTATTTTTTCAAAAAGGAAGGACTTTCAATGAGTGAGCAAACACCGTTATTGCAAAATGCTATACATTCATCTTGCAAAGGACAATTGCAAAAGACAGCCTGCTGTTCATTCAAAGTCGATCTAGGTCAAGCTGCTGCCCCTAAGAAAAGAAGCCGTTGCAACGAGCTCCCCATAGACAGGGACGACGATTTTTGCTACCTATCAGAGCAAAAATGGAAATATAAACTGATCGCTCTTGCCTGTGCTTTATTTTTAGCTGGTAAAACCATCGCACTCTCTATCATTAGAATTTCCCTTATTAATCGATTTATTAGTTGGTAGCCATTTCGCTGCTCATACTTTAGGCGCCATGAAAAATACGATAAAAAAAGTAAAGATTTGTTGGCATTTTTTCATGTAGTTGATATAGATCAGATCTAATATTTCTATTAGGAATTCGACATTACCAATTCTCAATACGGTGTCATTCAATCCAGTGTTGCTATTGTTAATACTGTACTACCTGTCATTGGCGGAATCTTCATTGATGCTTTTGGCACAATTCCTGGTGCATTAATAACAACTTTATTAATCACATCTGGTAACATTCTTGTTGCCATATCAGCCTCATCCAAAAGCCTTTATATCATGATTTTTGGTCGTATTTTATATGGTATCGGAAGCGGTACAGTTGTTATAGTACAGGAAACCATACTAAGTCAATGGTTTAGAGGAAGGAGTCTTGCTGCTGTTATTGCGCTCATGTTGACTGTCAGTAGATTGGTAAGATGTCTGCTGTATAAAATTAAATTTCAATTTAACTAATTTGAGGTTTAGGCTTCCTTTTGTGCCCAAGCAACAGTCGTTCCTATCGCCAATTGGACTGGCTGGTATGGATACGGATTATGGGTAAGAAATTTGATATCTACTACTGAAATGACTGTTAATAGCGTTTTTGAAGTTTTCTGCCTTGTTATGCGTGTTTTCCATGGTGATCACATTGATCTATATTGCGCTTCTTAAAGCCGTGTCAAAAAATACTGTCCAATGTCGTAAACAAACCGAAGTGATCAAACGTAAAAAGTCTTTTAGTTGGCATAAGTTGATGTATCTGCCCCACTCATTTTGGCTAATCGCATCCATGGAGTTTCTACTGGGTGGTGGATGGGGTTGTTTTTTGCATATCAACAGGTAGATCTAACGGACGTGCTATAAAATATAATATTGACTATCTTACTCATCAATCTATTATTAACAGTGAATATGTCAAATTTAAATTCTCGTATAACGATTCTAAAGCTGCTGCAACTGCCAGTGTTGCCCAGATTTTACCTGTCGTCTTAATGCCATTTTTAGGCGTTTTCGTTGATCGCCATGGGAAGCGCACTTGGTTAAGTTAGTTTAGATCCATTATTGAAAGCCAAAATGATACTGACATGTTTTATGTAGTGATCGGTAGCGGGTTATCCATGCTATTTTCTATGATCCTTTTAGAATTCACACAGGTTCTTCCCATTTTTGGAATGCTTTTGTTCAGTATCAGTTTATCTCTTGGACCAGTCGCACTTGTTTCATCTGTTCCTTTAATCTTGCCACTGTCGCTTGTCGGAACTGGAATGGGGTTAATTAAATCCGGCACTAATATTGGGGCTGCTCTATTTGATATTGCTACGGGATTGTTACAGGATGCAGATCCTCATAAAGGATATGACGGCGTGATTGTTTTCTTTATAATGGTATCGTGTGTGGCCATTTTCTCTGGTGTGGTTCTCAATATACTTGACTATTCAATTTACAATGGTATACTTGATGCCGGAGGTCGCAAAAAGATTCGACCATGTGAAAGCAAGCTAAACAACCGAGTTTCTTTAAACCCGTTGAAAGCAAACTACTTTTATGGATCAATTTATTTCTTGCTGGCTTGCACCAGTTGGATCATGTTCTTTCGATTTATTATGGCTTAACATCTTATACCTTCCCAATACTGTAAATTTATACACCCCATCCCCCCCCCATTTTCTTCTTTTTAACCAAACGTTAAAAGACACCCTGTACATAACTTACCTCTTTACCCGCTACGTATATCACTGCAATAATGTACTACAATCACTAAATTTTCAAAATTAAAATGCCTATTTTTAAAAATTAACTCTTTTTTCCATAATTATTATTGAGCATTATGTGTAGGCGAACTCTAATAAGAATGAACATCCCATAATAACGATATATATGTATATATGTATATAATTTAAACAGTTGACTTTGATTAGTTGCAAGAACACAAAAAGTGATGCCCAAACCAATAGTACGAGAGATTATTTTTATTTAGCTACAGAAATGCAAATTTCAAGAATGACAACTGGAATATACTGAGCAGTAGAAAAACAACATGAATAATAAAAATTGAGCTACCTTATATGAGGTCTTACTCATCATCGATGGTAAGCCACTTCCTGTTTCTTTTTAAAAAAAGGTAGCAGTTTGTAAAAATTCGTCAATACTTTTTGACTAACTTTTGAGTTGAAGGGGAGGGGGGCTGTAAGTCTCGAACGCCAAAAAAAGAAAAACTAAATTACACGAGAGGCCGCAGGGGAAATGTCTAGAACGTATTTTTTAGAATCACGTGATGGTCTACACCTAAGTCTACAAGTCAATTGACATGCTATATCGTCTAAAGTTCATAGGATGATTGATTTCTGTTTGTCATAAAATCTGCTTCACTGTCATTACAAGCTACTACTGGAACGCATATAGACAATTACCAAGTTCTGGCTTGCTTGGGGGGTTTTGCCAATGTTTCTATTTTAAGTAAAGGCCCAAACATTATGGATGATGAAACAAGCAATTAAATCATTCTGACATAAGCTCTTGTTTATCAGCCTACAAATAAAGCTGGTTCACACACTTTATTCTTCTCCTTTTCTTTTCCCTCAACATATTTTTTCTATCGTATGTAAGTAATCGATAACGTAAAAAGGTTAGTTAGTAATGACTCTTGTTTCTTTCAAAAGACGCTAAATCGAAAAAGAAATATTGCGGCTGCGGCTAGTCTTTGCTATAGGAGGGCGACCTCCTAAGCAGGGATCATGAGTTTTTGGAATTCAATGACTGTGAATAACAGTGTTTTTACTGTGAATAACAGTTTTTTCGCTGTGAATAACAGTTTTTTCACTGTGAATGACAGTTTTTCACTGTGAATGACAGTTTTTCACTGTGAATGGTTGTGCTTATACTGGCCTGTTGGTCTTGGCCAGTATTCTTGTAAGTGGTATAAAAATATGTTTAAAAAAAATACAGAGGTCTAAAGATTTCTGGCCGCAGGTCCCGTTCGGCAGTCTAGAAAACCGACCCCGGCAAGTTTCTTTTTTTTTATATTCTTAAAGGTCCTTGTCAAAATGGACGTTCATGCTGTCTTTGGTGTTGAACCAAACCACAACTTAACAGAAGCCGAAGTGACAAAGTATGACTTGCCGGACCTTTTCATTTCTTTGAAAGCCTTTGACTGGCTGAGCGAAGAAAAAGTCGCGTCAAAGTTTGTAGCCTCCGTTTTTGGGAAGATAGACTCCAGTGCTCCTGCACTAAGCTCCATCAACCAGGCGCTTCTAAAAATAAACGCGATAGCTGATATACCTACACCAATCAGAGAGCTATCTGATTATGTAAGAAAACATTACCGTAAAAAGAAGATAATTGTACGATTCGATCATTATCTCAGTACATCAAAAAAGGCCTATCAGTTAGATAAAGCAAAGGTAAGCTATGCGTAGCAAAACTAAAACGATTTTGCTTTGTTCTCAAGTTATCCTCACACTTATATTTTTATAATAGGGAGATGCGGCTCATATTTTGCTGGAGGAAAACTACAGGATACACGGAAGCTTGGCTGGAAAGACGGTGGATGAGATTTTAGAGGTTGTAGGCGCGTCAGGCATTAACAAAAATGATGCAAATGACTCCGATGACAGTTGCACCTCTCAAAAATACCATCCGAAGAGATCAAGGAAGTACAGTGTCAGTGTTCCAAAAGATGATTACGAAGGATTGGTAATTATATTTTACTATATATTTAAAGTATTAGAAGTCGATGGTAATTTGTTTTGTTATTATTTTAAAGCCTGCCAGTGAAGGCTCTGAAATGATAGATGAGCTTAAAGAAGTTAGATGTCGTTCCATCGAATTAACAGAGACTAACGCCAATCAAGTTTCTGATCTACGGCTATTGTAATATGATGTTTAAATAATAATATAAACATACTCTAATTATTTCTTAATTATGGAATAGATCATTGGATTGCATATATCTTTTTTCAGAAGATATAAAGCAAGTACCTAGGAACAGATTGGCATAACAATTTGATCTCCAGTTTCATCGATCATAAGGATTGCTCTTTGAATCTTATCGTATACTCCTGGTGTATGAAGCTGGAAAATGTAATGTATTAAGTTGTCTTGGAACAGTATTAAACATCACCATAAAGTAACACTCTTATTCTAGTTCAAATTTAATGATAATAGTAACAAGTGGAATCCTTTATATTTGAGACCTTATCTTACCCATGTAAAAAAAACATGATTCGTGATTCAAGTACGGTGGTGATTATTTGTGTTGATTCAAGTACGGTGGTGATTCTTTGTGTTGATTCAATGCTTGGTGGTGGTGTTTCTGGGCACTTCAAGCAGCAACAATTGGCATGTTGGCTGAAGCCATTAACACAAACGACAAAGCCACTGTTGTATAAAATACGAGACAGAAAAAAGATGGACTTTATTAAAATAGGATAAAACCTGATATATATACCAGTCTCGGAACTTCAAATAAAGAAGACCCAAGTATATGTCAACTACAACAGTCCATTCGGTTTTTTCATATGCTATCAAGTTGATTTTTGGGATTGAGAACCTGCTTAAGCACCAATGGTAAAAAAACGATAAAAAAAAATGTGTATTGGGCAAACAAGGTTAGACTAAGATTTTTTGTAGGGCTAATTCAAGACTAAATCAGCAGCATGAAAACGACCAAGGAAAGTTCAACCCCGATTATATTGCATATGTCAAAGTAAGATCGATCAGGCACGATGTTACAATCGCAGAAGTAAAGCCAACAAATGCTGGTTCAGGAAGGCCCCCGTCAGACCTCGTAAAGCTCGGACAGCAGATGAAGGTCATGCTCAATAATTTGGTAATCTATCGTATCGACCCTCCTACCGTATGCGGTATTCTAGTTGAAGGTAGATAGAAAACTGTTTATCTATTAAAACTGTTATTTACTCGTTTTTTATAAATAGGAAGTCATTGCTCATTGTACAAAATGAATCGATGGGCAATCATTTCTATCCTATGCACCAGGGTCAGTAAGTTGTATGCTTGACGATTTGCAAACATAGGTTGTTGCGTTTAAATGCAAAAAAAAAACAGACGCGAAAGGGAGTAAAAAATAAGGCATCCCTCAATGAAAACTTCTGGAATTCAAAACTTCTATTATGGTATGTTATAATAAAAAAAACCAGCAAGACCGTTTAAATATAAATAAACGGTGATACAAATTGCAATAATGTTGACTCATGATTTTTTTCATCTATTTTTCAAGAAGAAGAAAATAGGACGGTTAATTTAAGCGTCAATGCGAACTCTCGCGGGAAGAGGCTTTTATTAACATATTTTATAACGAAAAATATTCCGAATTTATGGATTCATGCATTTGTGCTACCAAAAAAGATAAATGCTATAAACAAATATTGCATTTGCCCACAGCATTTTTTATTTTTACAACTAAATGGTGTTGCTCTCTTCGTTCTGACTTTGCAGTTCCATTACGGAAGTCTCTTAGATCCCGAGTATGTTCGAATGTCTCAATAATTTAAAGGTAATATTGAAGTATGCATATATATATATATATATTATATCATAAGTCTAAAAACCATATTCCGTAAAGACTATCGCTCTAGATAGAGCCAAGAAACGCGAGTCTAATGAACTTACAAGGGCAAAAGGAAAGCGTAGATTTGAAGAAGCGGTACCTATGTCCTGGGTGCACGAAGATACCTGTACATTTTCCATGGTGAAAGAATCGAACGATTAATAATGATTACGTTTCAAATTCATTACTGTGTACCTCTTGAATCTGTACAGACCATGAATCATCCTATTATTAGTCAGTGACACCAAACAGGGCTAGAATTTCTCGGCTGATCCGTCCATCTGGACGGATTTTTAGTAAGTGTTTCCCCATTTACTCAAGAAAAAAAAGATTGGGTAAATTTACCCATCTACTTGTTTGGAAGGATTTTTAGTAAGCATTCACCCATTTACCTGTTGAAACGGATTAAATGAATAATTGCAGTGGTGAATACTTTAAAATTAGCTCTCCCTTTCGGCCTTCAACCAAATAAAAAACTTCCATTTATACACATTCAATCATTAAATATGTTCATTCGTTAGAAAAATTGGTTTGCAGTTTTTAAAGTTGATTATTTAAATATATCTTGATACTTGAAGATAAATTGCTACGTATGAAGACTAAAGCTTAAATGATTCAGATAGTAAAAGATGTTTTTATCATTTGTTAATGCAAATGTTGCATGTAAGTGAGGTGACACAAAATAGCCTTTTTAAGTTTCTTCGCTAAAGTAACTCACAAAACAGTGTTTGCATACACGAAGAGATTTTTGTGTATACAACACTGAGAAGTGACTCTTGCTAAAGCAGGTTTAACGGCTGAGTTTGCATGTATTCCGATCAGTTATGCAGTAGTAAAGTTGTAAAGGAGATTTAAAGGATATTTTTTAATTGTAACGTTTTGAGCTGACTATTGATAGCTGCGAAACTTCTTTTAAAGTATCCTAATACAAATATTAATTTTATAAATAATACGATAATATGCATTTAAATACCATTGGGAGTGGTCTTCTCCTGTTTACTCGCTTTGATCTACTAGGCATAGGCTTTAACTGATATTTAAGGTGAAGGTACTATGTATTATTTTGTAACAGAAGAAGAACTGGAACCAGGTCTAAAATGTTTTTTCCTGCCCATCACTTTTTAGAGAATTATTTATACACAACAAAAATGTTGTTGGATATTTACGATTTAAAGAAAAAGGGATTGAACTAATTAAAGAAGTTTGCTCAACCCCAAATGGGCAAAAAGATATACATATTGCAAAGCCCAAACGAGAATAATTTATACATATCTGTATGAACAAAACCTCATTATTTTCCTTCATTGGTAGTAGCTCGCATGCAGATCTTGAAGCCAAAGCCACCATTCTCACGTTATCTACCAGATCCTGTATTACCTTTTGAAATAAATATAAGGCTTGTGAAAAATAAAGTTGAGGCCAAAAACTTTATTAATCACTATATCTCGGAATGATAAAACGAATGAATTAGTCTCTGGATATCCTTGAATATCATGCATATAACGATAATACGTAATTAAAAGTCGACGCTTATTTTGATTGAGAGAGTGTTTCGATAATCTTTGTTGGTCATGGTTAAGAGGGCGTAAGTTAAACGTTTTATCAACCACGGAGTTATCGTGAAATGCCTCTGTGTAGAAACAAAATTATAAATACACAAAAAAAATTTTTTTTTGATAACTACATCGATTCTCCGGTAAATCCAGATTGTTTAATTGAATGTGCGCACCAGTATATATGTGTGTGGGTGTGGGTGTGGGGGGAGGGACAGGTAATGCTTCTCTTGATGACACAAGTCTGTATCACATGTAACACCGCGAATTCACACACCTCACCAGCATAGTAATTATAGTTACTTATTTTTGCTTTAAATTACTTATAAATATCATGGCAATATATCAGTATCGTTTATGTGAATAAGGATACAGGCGTGAGCAATTGACATACGCCTCTGATTCGAAATCCCCGTTTTTTGACAAAACAGCAATTATTCCGGATAATATATTATACGTTGGAACAGCTGCACAATGTATGTAAAGGCAACCTTTTCAAGAGTATACCATATGGACCCAAATCATTTCCTTTTATTTTTTATTTTAACAAACATGGAAGCGAGGCGCTGGTAAATCTCACTTGATTTGAGACTACAAATATACCAGCCACTCCCAGAGAGCTATAGGTAGACGAAGGTGGCTTTATTTATAGCCTGTGTATCCTTTAAATGGTGACTCACTGTATGGCTATTGTTACACAAACAGACATCCTTACAGAAAGCAATGTAAGTAAGCAAAAGTCAAGGCGGGGAGATAACAATTAATTCGGTGCAAGCCTCATAAATTTATATAACACTCGTATGAACTATTTAAATAGCAGGAACTATATTCAGTACTGTCCAGGAGTTTAATCAATCAGATCAAGAGCTGGCAATTTCGCAAAAGGATAGTATTTGGTGACTTCTGTTGATTTCTGTTAACCGTCTTACTAAGCTCCCGGGTAATAGGACAGTGTCACCGTTTTTTATTCAAAAAATTTATTCGGTTAAAAGTTGCAAACCCATCAGCGTAAAGAAGATTATTGTTGTTAAAATTTGTTATATAAACAGTTAACTAGGAATGCAATTGTAAAAAGACGTCATTTGCCTGGGTTCTTTACGACTAAGTTCTGCTGTTATATTACTTAATGCAATTGTACCCGTCCCCCCCCCCCCTCTCTGGTCGTCTATCATAAGTACCCGAGAACACAGCTTTTTAATTAAGGTCATACAACTTCTTTATAATACTTGACAAACGCTTATTAATTTTCTTTTTTTTAAAAAATGATGCGTTTTTTTTTTTATTTAGTATCTAAGATCACTTGTGTCACTGGAAGTCACTTAACAATCGCATCAAGCATTATACTATTGTAAAGATAAATTAATGATTGGTAGAAAAAGTACAGCTAAAAACACGGATTGGAATATATAATTTGTGCGTCATCAGTATTGACGTTTTTTTTTTTTTCTACTACAGAATGCAAATGCTTTTTTTATACATATTTATTTTAAAGTTTCACTAATTTTAAATCCTAATAATTAATATCCGTCCATCACTCCTCCCCCAGGTAATTAAAAATAGTAAGAATTTCAATGATAGCTTCAAGATAATCTTACCTGGCCGCTGGATTGAGATTTCCGACAGAAACGCCGAATGAGGCTTGAATAAGATTAGGGGTTTAGCGCGCTTTGGTTAGAATTCCGATAGCTATCGTGTGCTTTATTTAGAAATGTTCTTTTTTGCGCCACCATCATACAAATGCGTGTTGCACAACTCAAGCAGACAATATATAAAAAGAACAGAATCATTTTTATTTTAACGATATTTTATAAACCTTTTTCCACTTAATATATATATCCTGATGGAATTCATTATCAGTACTGATACAGCTGGCGACGAAGAGTTCGAAATGGCTGCTGGAGTATGCCCAATAAAAAATATTGTGGCCGTAAATGGTGTTGATTTACAATATACTATTGCATGCGTAGATAATGCCAGTAAACTAAATCAAGTTAGGGTAGAATGTCCGTATATTGAACCAAGAATGTTTACATCTGCCATTGATAATTGCCAAACTCTCGAGACCTTTATGGTGGCCCAAGCTAGTAGCTTTCCTTTTTCCACTTCAAACCGTTGCCTTGTTCAGTGTGGTCCTTATACACCTATGATTAGTCAAGCAAATACAACAGCGAACACGGGATTTCCTCTTATCATTGGTTTTTTACTGTTTCTCGTATTTTTGTCTCTTAAAAAGTAGACACTATAATATACCAATAAAACTTAACTTCACTTTGTCTATACCTCACAAAATATATTACGATATTACACTGTTACATCTTTACATACAATTGTGTTATGTATTCCAGAAAGCAACCCTTGATAAAAATTCACAAATGCATGTTAGCATAAAAAATAATCGATATATTAGTTGTGATATTCGTCATTCACCATAAAGTTATACATAAGAGAAACATCAGAATCAAATAAGAAATAAGACTCATAAAGTGAACCGCTTTACTTAAAAACAGAAATGACTCAAAACAAGTATACATGTTATCACTTGCAAAATATTGCAGACCAAATACCTTGTGTATCTTGGTTCAGATTTTTTTTTTTTCACGAAATATACTTTTCCAAATTTGATTTAGTCTTGTGTTGACTGTGGGGAGCGATGGGGATACATCTGCATAGCCGTCCCTTTTAATTTAGAAATATTTTTACACAATTCATTTGATCTTTTATCTTAAGGTATTTGAGAATCACCACATTTACAATCATGCTATTTGCAATAGACAGTTAGAATAATTGGAGCAGATTCAATAGATTATTGTAAGTTTTTTTTTAAACTTAATGATCCATGATCAATAAATGTGGTGGTAACGCTTGGACGCAATTTAGGCAATGTCGTCGTCTAACCATAATGTTCCAAAAAAAAAAAAAAAAAAAAAAAAAAAAAAAAAATACATAAAACGAACTTACAAATCTAAAAAAAATCGATGGGATCGTGTTAGCTCATCTCTCTTATTAAATGACCTTGGCATGTATTACCTCTTGTTTACATGCTACAGATCATATAGCTAAATAGAACTAGGCACCAAAAACGTATGCTTATACGTAGATACTCTCAAACCCGACCATTTTTCATGGGTTTACAGAAAAATAAAGTTATAAACTTTTTATAAGTGACCATCGTATTAGTTCTGGTATCAAATGAATGATCGTGTATAAATACCTGTTTAGTCATTCTGCCAAATTTTTAATAATTATACCAATTGTTTTTATTGCTCTCGTTGGATATCGTTGCTTTACAAATGAAAACCGGTACGGTTTTTTTATTTCGCTTCCCGTTATACTTGCATCGCTCTTCGCATAAGATAGTATTATATGTTAAAGTTGTCAGCCCTCGCTCTTGTATTTTAAGCCCAAGAATTTTATAGGTACATTATGTGGACATCAATACACATCAATTTTTATTGATTATTACTCTCTGCTAAATAGACTTTGGTTTGACTTGGAATCTCAGTTTTTATCGGCAATGACACATTGCGGAGTTCTCGTTTACATGATATATTACTATTTTCAACCATACTCATGTTGACGCTATGCATTCTAATTACTAAACATGTATGGTTATCTGTTGTGAAAAATATACAGAAGGGCATTGAGATGAGATTCGAATGGCTGAATATCGAAGAGTAGCGCTATCTAAAATAAGAACAAGTGCAAATTTGATCTCAATTTACATGTCGCCACATTAAAAAGAAAACAGCTTCATCACTCCAGAACTTTGTGCGAAATTCATCGATGCCGGTATTGGAGGAAAGAAGCGTTCCGCATGGAAAGGCTTAAAAGACACAAGAGAAGTAATTTAGAGTTATGATACTAACCATATCGCATGAAGCGACAGCTGATTGCTCTTCTTAGTCAAGAGTTCACGACGAAAACTAAGAACGGATTTTATTAACATGAAGAGAATGCTGATAAACTTAATATTGCTTAAAATTGAGCATGCTTGAAGATCAGAACAAATTTGGATCAGAGGAAAGCGAAAACTACTGTGTTCTTTTTAGCTCTCTGCATTGAGCAACTGCGGATTTCTAGAATCTCTTTTTTTTTTGTTTTGTTTATAATTTTTCCAAATTAACAAGGAAAGGTCGATGGTGTAACGTTTATACTGAATTGCCTTTGTTATTTTTAGAATCATTAGTCCTGTCACTGCATGTGGGACCCAATCAAATCCACAACGCCGAATATTTGTTTATCGCACAAATCTAGGGTCATTTTCTGACAATCGAGTCAAAGCAAAACACTTATATTAAACCAAATAATCGTAATGTAAATTTGCTGCAAAATAAAATAAAATAAGAAACATTATGCATACGGGTTCCATACAGTAAACTAGCATGATGTGGGTGCATGGCATCATACGACACAATACATGAATTGACTCAATCATGTATTTGTGACCTTAAAATAAAGCTAGTGAAATTACATTCAAATAATGTTTGTTGTGAAACAACATCGTGTGAGATGGCAACTTTCTGGTTCATACAGATTTTTATGTCCGGTACATTTGTTACACAAACGGAGATCCCAATCCATCAAACGACATCACATGTTGGACGTGCAACATAGCTATGTGTTATTTTATGCTCCCGAATCACTTCTACCTCCTCTCATGAACATGTTTTGTGGTTGCTCTCAGTTGAGTTCCCTTTATTTTAATAATAAACACTGTCAGTTTGTGAAATAATTTAAATTCTGTGCAAAAAAAAAAAAAAAAAAAATTACCCATGGCAGCCAACATACGGCCAATGTTACTAGGCGAAATTGTACAGAGTCCGAAACGATTAATTTTCCACGGTTCCGATTAACTCGCATCACTCCAGGATTACTTCCATCATGCTACCTTGTGAACAGAAAAGGCTTAGTTTTCACTACATAATTGCTCATATTTTAAAGTACTCTTTATAGGATAGTGGTATACAGGTTTTTGATACCTTTCGAAGTATAATGTTCCTGTAAAAATAGGAGTAATAGCGTCGATATGTTCATTACTCGTTCTCCCCTTTACATACTTTCTGTTTCAACCTGAATGCGAGGACTGCAATTGAAATAAGTTTGCCATTTTTGGTATAACCATGTTACGACCAAGGTATGCGAGGTTCAAAAACTCATATAGGTTTGTATATGGTCTCTTATAATAAACTCGTGTGATATTCTAAAATAAGATAAGTTGGCATTTCTTGTTAATTTATTTTCTTCAAGCTCAACATTATTGATCCAAAAAATCGTTCTTATCCTGCCTAGATGTCTCCTTTTCTCCTTCTTTCGTAACTTGAATTTCCGTTGCGTTTTAGTCTGTTTCTTAAAGCGGCTTCTTTCCTGTTGCATAATCCCTCTGAAATTGTCCTTCAAAATTTCTGGTACATTTTCCAATACATCGAAGTATATGATAAGCCCACGCAATATATAATATTTCACATAAACACTGAGAGCCCATTTCATATATTTCATCCATGGTGGTACCTTGCAATATAACGTTCACTACATATTATCCGGAGCTAACTTGTATCTCTGTGTGAGATTATTGAATTGTAATAGATCATTTTTTCCCAAGTATGAAAGATGTCCCATTTTTTGATTGATGCTGCTAATTGACAATGCAACATCCTTCAAAAAGCATAGCAACCATCTTCATTATCATTGCCGCCATCATACTCATCTTTATTTTTGTCATCACCATCATTATCGTCATGACCATCTTCTATATCTAGATGGTAGATTTATCTGGACGATGTTCCACTTTATTTTGCTGGTCGTTGGATATATCAATTATTCCTTCAAAATGGTCAAGAATATTTCAGGCTCGATGACATTATCTGCAGGTGTCGAATCAAAAAAGAAGCCAGGGGTTTCTTCTTGTTTAGGATCAGCAACATGTCCCGCAGTGATACTAGTGACAGAAACCGTCGAAAGTTGGTTAAAAATAGTTAATCGGTGTGTCCCTTCAAGTATAGACCTACCAGAAAGAATATACGTTAGACAATTAACGTCAGTTGGCCATTACAGGTAAATGAAATTGATAAAATAAAAAAAGTCACCTTCTTCTTCTACATTACCATCAATTTTGTCATATGTAACTGGGAAATACTTGAGTTGATCTTTAAGCGATCCCTTCAATGGCATTGATTTCATTGAATCCAAACCCACCCTTTCGTGGAAGAAGATTTTTCACCCTTATTTCTTCTTTCTGGCTTTCTTTTGGAATTGGACCCTCTTGATTTATTTGCATATTTTTTAAAAGGCTTGTAAGCGAAAATTAAAAAAGATCTGGATGATCAGCGGGCACAGAGTTACCATAGAGTGGTCATTATTGTTTAAAAGTCAACATTGTTGAAAGCAAATAATATTGGTTTTATCGATTAATTGACTGGTAATCGTATGGGGCTTTTTGGTTTTTATCACATAGTTTACAGCCTTATGAATCCGTTGAGGAATGAAAAGTTCTTAGCATTTATCGCGTACAATTGTATCTTTAACATAATTGACATGCAGGTGAACAATAGTAAGATAAATTATACCATCCAATTTTTAAAGGGACCTGGAGTTCGAATATGGAAATTTCTAGAGCTGTCGACAATCTGCATATATTAGAATGTCCATGCCCTTTTCTTGTTCGAGAGGTGGAAACGCTGTTTCTAGGTTGAATGGAGTATTGCGTATCATTTCATTTAGGCATGATAGTCAAATTGAGTAGATCATCACTTCTAAAGAGGGCTCCCCATACCAAAACTGGGCTGAAAGATTGTTGATTAAGATACACTTTGACATACAATCAAGGCAAAGTAGTTCTCATTGTTTGAGAGATGTAACTTTTTTGTCGGCTCACCACTTATTGAAGCAAGAGAGTGTTGCATGCTAGAAGCTGAAGTCTTCAAAGAAGAGCACATTGATAAGACATACTGATTATACTCCATCATATATTGGATTATTGAGAGCACTGTCTGTCGCTTAAACCATTACCAAGCCCAAATTAAAGTTTTGAATAAAGCAGGGTTCGTTGTTGTGGGATATACCCGAAAATCAACAAGAATTGAATTCGATTTCTTCAATTGATGGTAGATCGTTTAAAAGAGCGATCGTTGTTAGAGAGGGGATTTGTGTCAACGAACGTAAGCCCTGCAAACGACATAATAAAGAATCTGAGAAATATTGATAGAAGTATGCAAGATGGTACGACATACTCTTGATTACAATTTTACGTTTCTTGTTAAAAAGCGACGTCTTTTTATAGATTTTTTGCAGTTTGCTAATGATACTACCAAGATCTGCTTGGTTACGCTTGACTCCGCGGGACTTTCCTCCGATCTTGCAGACTTAAAGTAAAAATCATTATGGAGAAATTTAGCCTTTTCTTTTAATTCCAGGCACAGCCCCCTTAGCCAAGAAGATTGTCATTGACAATTTACCACACGTCAACACCATCAACATATTTGAACGTGTTGAAGCTTACACAAAAGATGGTTGTGATAAAAAAATAAAAAAATCAATCAATCACGAAAAGACCCTGATGTTTGATTATTCTTTCTCGCTCGAAATGATTCTAAAAAGAAAAATGTTATGTGTTGCCACTGCTTTTCTCAAATACAGCCGGATATCGATTGTATTTCGATGGTTAAAGTTCCATTAACGTTAAAGAACATAGAAAAGGCTTTGTAGGATCCTCATCGTAACAAATGTCGACATTTTGTAGATCGTCAATAATTCTGCTATATTTTTTAACGTTCTCCTCATTGTAATTCTTGTAATAGAAAATGAATCTAACTCGTTCTCTGCTAATTTATACCATGTTTCGGAAATGTGAAATAAAGATAAAAAGTAGTACAAATTAAAGTTTAGAAAGCTGGTAGGATGAGCTCAACGAATTACGTTTGCTAAAAAGGCTAGGATGAAGTCATTTATGCTGGAGTTTTTGTGTGCGCTATTAGAACACTCCCAAACTGCTTGATTGGCCAAAAAAAATTCTTGATCACTTTAAAAAATTCGAGAGCACATAATCAGGGCCTAGGTTTGATCGCTTCCAAAAAACGAATTTCAATCATAAATTGCGTTTAGGTAACAGTTTTAGCTATTTTAAAAAAAGATATATTTATTTTTGTTTTAAGTGAGCGTAAATGGAAAGAAAACAAACCAAAATAATTATCTGCTCAATCTTAAAAGTTTTTTTTTTTTTCTTAAAAGCTATTAAAAGACTTATTTATTCTTAAATTATCTGGTAATCCAATTCTATTGGGCTGATTTGTTTAAAAACATGGCGTCTACTTACTATATTGGTCCTTCCGAGCTACTCCTCTTTTATAACGGTTCCCGAAATAAAATAAAAAAAGTATAAAAACCAAGGAAAAGTTTTATTTTTAAATCTTTCATTCCCAATACCACCTTTTACACAAAACAAAATAAAAATGAAGTTTATTTTTGCTGCTATTTACGCTGTCGCTGCAGTTGCTGTTTCTGGTCAACAATACACTGGTCCTGTCTTCATTACATCTCCCTTAACTGGTACAGTGTATAATGCTGGTAAGCCTGCTGTCATCAACTGGTAATATTATATACTTAATTATATGTAATCGTTTTACTTACATTTATGACTTTTTAGGATTAATCCTGTATCTGATGTCATTACCAAGATCGTTTTAGCTCAAGGCATCTCCACAAATATCCAACCTTTGATCACCATTGCAGAAAACGTTGATTCTAAACTCGGTACTTACTCATGGGATGTTCCTACCGACATTTTACCTGGTGACAACTACGCTTTTGTTTTGGGCGTGTCGCCTAATGTATCTTATACCGGCCAATTTACTATTAAAAATGGAAACGCTCCAGTCTCATCTGGTGCTGCTTCTTCTAGTGCTGCCGCTTCTGGTGCTGCTGCCTCTGGTGCTGCGGCCTCTGGAGCTGCCTCATCTGGAGCTGCCGTTACTCCTGCTGCACCCTCGGTTGCCGCTCCTTCAGCTGCTGCTTCTAGTGCTCCTTCTAAAGCTGCTCCTTCTGGTGCTTCTCAATCAGCACATGGTTCTTCTTCTGCTACCCCCGCTGCTTCTTCATCCACCTCTGCAGGTAGTTCAAATAAGGTTGCTTTTGGAGCTGTTGCTGTTGCTGGTGCCGCTGTCATGGCTTTAATTTAATTTATACACATTTAATATACGCTTTTACATAATCGGTTGACTTTGTATTACTTAAACTTTATCATAAATGCTTATCAAAGATATGATTTACGGTGACTGGTATTCTCCCCATTTGTTTTTATAGTTACAAAAGTGGGAGAACTTTTTCATGTTAAGGGCTATCAGTTTTATTTTCAACGCGGGGCAATTTTTTTTTCTAAATCTGGTCGATATGCTTTTGATTGACGAAGATCAATATGGAGGTTAAGCATTAATGTTTGTTCAATAGAACAAACTGCATTGTTTTCTCTTTTTTTCCTCTCTCTCTCTCTTTGTAACCACAACACTGAAAAGGGCCGTCGATCGCAATTTCTTTTTTAATACCAACTTAGATTAGTTATAAATAGGCATATTCCAGAACTGACAGGATAATGACGGGCTTGAATGATCTCAATGTTGTACCAATAACTTGATTATCATTTAGTAAAAAAATTAGCGTTTGTTGAAATTGATAGACTTTTATAAAACGAGGTGTTAGTATATTCTGGTACGATGCGCCTATTTATCTAGAAAACGTTAGTTGCTAACAACTATGTTCCTGAAGAGGGTTGAGTACGAAAGTATCGTGTTAAACTTGACAAATCAAGTTAGTAAAAAAAAACAAGGAGTGCACAGATGGTTACAAGTTTACATAAATTGGTTACACACACTGTATTATTTTGTCATTTAGTTTATTGCAATTTGATTGTATCGCTTTTCTCTAATATAAATACCTGATTTCTTTCTTTATTGAAGAAAAAAGACGGTTCTTTAAGTTATGGTTTTATAAAAGCTCATAATCTAACCTTAAATATTTTATTACAACAGGTTTACTGTTCATTCACAAAGCGTCTTCTTCCATGATTTTCTTGTAAAACAGCTTTGAATGTCTTTTATGCCTTTCGGTGGTAAGATCAAGTAAACAGCATAATTTAAAAACTAAGTCAAGCAGAAAAAAACATGTCTAGAGTATTATTAGCAATAGCGGTTATAGAATTAGATGATAACCCTTGATACAATACAAGACATTCGACGACAGACTTCTTAACATCTTTTTATGTAATTATCTCGTAGACTAGTGCTTCCACTGATCAATTCCGGTAAAATGTTTATAAGTCAAACAAATGAAATGGTTGCAGATGATGTTTCAAAAGTTCATTATAATAGTTCTTATAACACATGCACTTACAAGGACTTTAGCGAAATTTATCAGCCTATTTTTTTTTTTTTTTTTTTTTTACAATCAGGTTTATGTCCCTGAAATTATTAGGTTTCTGCCAATATTTCAAGTACCTCACAAATATTTGAATATTTTGCTTGAAAGTCGTTAACAGATAATTGTTTGTGAACCACTTTACACAGCAGGTACCAAAAGCCTTACTGCAAAAAGTTGTTTGGAAGATTCTGGGGATATTCCACAGTGTAGTACTTGATAAAGATTTGAACCTTGGGACACCTGCTTTTCTCAAGGACAATTAACGGTACGTGTAGCCTTAGTATAGGGTCGGATATTGGCGGATGGTTGACTCGCTCAAATCTGACTGTATGCTTTGCTAAATAGATCTTCATTTGTCTGAAAATAAAACTTATTGGTCCGAAATTAAAGTACAGAACGAAGTGCTATCAGGCCACGTCCGCTGGGGTGATACAGTTTCTTTAAAGTAAAAACTTTCAGGTACGACTGGTCGCAAACACTTCATGTCAAGCAGCGTTAAGAGGGTAAGAAGGTATCATTTTATACTAAAAAGAGGCTGCAAATATTTTTTTCAAATGAGCATGTATTTGTGTTGAAATTTATGGTTTGCTTCCGTTCATGTAAAAATATTCATTGTAAAATTGAAGTCTTTGGTGACTGGTTATTGGCTACTGTCATTTTGACTACAAAAAGAAGGAGGTTTCCGGGGTGAGCACAAAGTCCAGGCGTCTTTTTTCTTTCGTTATTCTCTAAAAGACGATGCCAGACATAAATGATGGCGACTGGGTTCAGTATCTGCAACAACATGAAGTCATTGAAAATGAGGAAGAGGGAATAAAAAGGTTCATATTCACGAAATAACACGAGTTGCGAGATGCATAAATTAAAATTCTTATACGTCTATCAGGAAACAAGTATTGAAATTGCTACATAATTTAATTGCAAGTTTCCAAAGAAAAGTACAATATAATAACGATTACAAACGAGGGGAAATTGAATGTCTTCTATCACCATTTGGCTCATATGCATTAGGTGGTTATACAAAAGGAGCAGACATTGACCTTGTATTAATTTGTCCATGGATTGTAAAGCGTAACGATTTCTTTAAAATTGTTCCAGAGTTACTGAAATTCCAACCCACAGTTCGAGATGTCGAAGTAAGTGTAAGCATTCAAAATTATGGAGTGAGCTATTGACTTTGATATAGATTATCAAAAAAACAGCCGTCCCGATTATAAAATGCGTTATCGACTCCATATCTGTAAGTAATGGAATATAGCCAAAATTACGTTCTACTTAAACTTTTTTTTTTACAATATACAAGATTGACATATCCTTTGTGAGGCTAAGAGGCGAAAGATTAAAGGATAATCTGGATTTACTAGACGATACACTGCTGAACAGAATCGATCCTGTTTGTCTTGCTAGTATGGATGGGCCCAGAGTCAATAAATTTATCAAGGAACAAATTCGACGGGACCATGTGTACATATTTCAGAAATCACTACAGTGTATAAAACATTGGGCCACAGTACGAGATATATACAGTAAACCTGCTGGCTACTTGAATGGAAGCTCCTGGACATTGCTACTTCTGAAAACTTATTTGATCGAAAGTGTCAAGTTTAAAGATCTGTCTATCACGCATTTACTATATTCGTTCTTCGAAACTTGGGCTACGTGGCCATGGCAAACACCCGTATTATTTACGGATTTTATACCTGGGGAAAATGGAACACGGGTGTCTTATAATGAGCTCACTTGTTTTCATAACGCAACCATGCCCATTGTTTCTCCCTGCTACCCAGTTTCCAGTGTCGCTCCTTTTGTAACAAAATCGACCTTGAAGATAATGACCCGAGAATTCCAAAGAGCGCAAGTCATCCTTAATACCAATACCAATAAGCAATCCATAATGGGAAAGCTATTCAACCCTCTTAATTATTTTAAACGGTATGATAATTTTATATGTATCACCACAACCTCAACCACATTCAAAAGTCATGATATCTGGTAAAGTTTACAACAATCAAGCTTCTTTATTCTGTTATTAATCACAATTTGACAGGACACGAAAAATGCAATATTCACTTCCACAATTTCTATCATTTATCGAAACATGTCCTAGGGTGAAGCAAATTCAAGGCATGGTAGATCCTACGATCGTATCAAGCCAGTACAGAACAACACAGGAATATTTAGCATTACAAAATGGTGCATCACTTAACGAAGCGAAAGAAATAGGTGCGATGGGGGACCTGAATCCTGGTGTGATCAATATAATCTACCAATTTATTGGTGTTCAGTTAATCGAACCAGGTAAAATAAACCCTCTGTCGAAACGAACTTAGGAAAATAATAACCAAATTTTGTAGATACAACAGTTGATTTAACGGAAGAGACAAAGTCTTGTCTTGCTTTGCTTGAAAGTAAAAGAAATCGACATGATGAGGATGTAAAATGGGCAATTACCGCTCTGAAAAAAGAGGGCGTTGCAAAAATTATGGGTATTGATACCAGCCAATAAATTGATTTTATTGTGATCTCAACATTGTTTTGTTGGCTCTTTTATCCTTATCGATAGTATCTTTAGTATCAATAAAAGCCACTAAAATGTACCTCGATCCTTTTGTGATATCAATACCACTGTGCATAACGCGAGCATCATGATAAGCAACATCACCTTGATTTAAATGTAAGACTTTATCAATGCTTTGATAATAAGTTCCACCGCCCTCGAAATCAGTAGGGTCACTGATGAGCAAAGTCAAAGAAAACAAACAGCCATCTGTATGCATTTTCAGCCCTTTTTGTGCTTTTGCACTATATTTAACTAAAAATATATCTCGAAAGTCTAAATCAGCTACCTTGAATCCGTAAAAATGGGCCAATTCGGGAAAAAGCCTCTGTTTGACAAGGGACTCCAAATATGCCAAGCGGGGATCGCTGCGAATGGGTATATCAGTTGTAGCAAAGGCTGAATGACGAGCCGTAGTCCATTCAGTTCGTTTGTTGCAAATATTTAAAATGTCCCGGCATTCCTCCTTTGACAGTAAATTGCAATGGATTCCAGGCTTTCCAAATAATGCTTGACGTTTATGGGTGAACACCATGCGATTATCTGCCATGGTACGATCTAAAGGATCCTGTGGTAAAGCCTTCAGCTTTTCCTGTACATTTTGTCTGAGTTGTGTTTGACGTTTTTCCAATTCATTTTGTTCTTCCGATGACAGTTCACCGAATAGATCAAATGAAGCCATGCTAAAAAAGACAGAATAAAAAAATTGTTTTGGGTCAGGTAACACGAATTTATTAAAAAAAAGATCTCCATCTATAATTATTTTTTATATTAGTACATACATTCCTCTTTTATTTTTTATAATTTTGAAATGAGAAACTCTTTCTCTTCTCATGAGCCTATGTTGGCAAGTGCTGAAGAAGGCCAAACAAAGAAACCCAATTACAGTTTTGACCGTGTCTTCGCAAAAAGATTTTTTCGTTTATTAAAAGTCTTGTTTAGCTCAAATAGGCCAAATAAAGTTTGGTCAACATCAAAAGAAGCACGCAAATATAGTATATTTTGGCTATATATGACTTTTATTGTATTGGGTGTGAGTTATGAAGCCTTGGCCTACTTTGTTGGTATGACACCAAGCCGATTTTACACCATTTTGACCTCAAGGGATAGCGTTGGCTTCAGGAACTTTATCGTGCCATGTTTGTTATTGGTGTTTAGTACCGCTACAGTAAGTAAGATCATTCCCCATACAATTACGATCTAATCCTCTTTCTTATCAGTGCAAAAGTCTTTTAAATTTTATGGGTGGTTTATTTGCCATCAAAGCACGACGATTATTAACTACCCACTTACAAGAGCGTTACATCAAACCAAAATCAATGTATACCCTTGTTATGAATCATGAGCACATTGATAACCCGTAAGAAAATACCTGCGCGTGTAACCATGGGATCAAAGTAAACAAAATATTCTCTTTATTAGTGACCAGCGGATTACACAAGATGTTGACAAATTTTCAGAAACTTTACGCGAAATCGTAACTAAATTGATTATTGCTCCTATCATGGTAGTTTATTATACCTACAAGTGTTGGATTGTCTCTGGTTTTGCGGGTCCTCTTTTTATTTTTGGATATTTTGTTATCGGTTCATTTATATCCAAGATCTTTATTCAACCCATCGTCAATGCTGTCTTTTTTAAAGAGCTCCAAGAGGGTAACTTCCGGTAAATACACTCCGCTTGCAATTTAAATTATGCCAGCTAAAGATTTTTCTGAAAATATAAAGTTATCTACATGTCCGTCTTCGCCAGTATGCAGAATCAATTGCTTTTTGTGATGGCGAAGTGGAAGAAAAGCACAGGGCAGGGAAAAGCTTGGATACCCTGCTAACATATCAACGCAACATTGTAAACAAGGAACTTCCACTTAAATGTAATCTGGCGAAAAACACGATATAAAAGGATTTTAGCTAACCTGAACATAGTGACCAATGAAAGTTTTTCTTATCTTGGTGCAATTCTTAGTTACATTATTATTGCCATTCCCATTTTTACTGGTATTTTAGACGACAAAGACGCAAGTGAGCTTAGTGCTATTATCAGTGCCGTAAGTCCCCTCGCTGTTTCTTAGCATGGTTACTAACAGTATTTCTTTTCAGAACTCATTTGTAGCCATGTATTTAATTTATTTATTCTCCACCATCATTGAGGAATCCAGCAAATTATCGGATCTTGCGGGTTATACTGCTCGTATTGGCGAGTTTTTGGAAGCTTTGGATCGAGTAGCTGATGATATCAAAGTCATGGAAATCGATCATCCCCATCACTTCCAAGATGACCAGACGAATGCTATCGAATTTGAAGATGTCACTCTGTTTTCTCCTCGCTCAAAATTGATTGTGAGTGACTTGAACTTGAAGATCAGTCAAGGAAATCATGTTGCTTTTGTTGGTCCTAATGGCAGTGGAAAAACCTCCGTTCTTCGTGCTTTGGCTGGATTATGGCCTTGTACGGAAGGAACAATCCGTATACCAAAAGTCAGATTAGGAAAAGATCTAATTTTTCTGCCACAATTACCTTATTTGATTGACGGCTCGTTAAGAGAGCAAATCGTATATCCCAACACCACTCCAGCAATCAAAAGTATTTTATTGTTTTATTTTGTGCAATGGGAATTATAGCTAATTGAGATCATGTTCTAGTTACCGATCAAGATATTATTCAGCTTTTAGAAAAAGTGCGTCTCAGCCATCTCTCTGGCCTAATTCAATCTTATGATACAAGTTACAGTCAAGAATGGAACAAATTTTTGTCTCCTGGTGAGCAACAACGTCTTGTGTTTGCACGTATTCTTTATTGGAAACCTCGGTTTGCCGTGTTAGATGAAGCAACTAGCTCGATGGACGAAGAGACCGAAGAGTATTTATACAGAACTTTAATTGATCTTGGTATTACTGTAATTAGTATAAGCCATCGTTCTAGTATTATCGAGCTGCACGATACACTCGTGCGATTAGATGGAGAAGGTGGCTACACTATAGAAGAAGAAAATACCATGCAATCATCACTAGTAGCCATATAATATTATTATCATTATTACTAAACTTACTATGAAACTATGAACCCATGTGTTTTCAATCATGTATCTTGATGATTCTAAAATAAATTTTAATGATACGTTTACCCAAGCTTTGCATTGGAAAACAACCCACGAGAAGAAAGTATCCGATGTTTGATGCACGTTAATAGCTTTTGACATGTATGCTGCAACCTGTTTTTGATTTTCTGGATTTTCTTTCTTATTCAAGTAGCCGTTGGATTTGTAAGACACGAAAAAGCGCATAGTATAGTAAGTCGACCTCGATGAATCTAGATATTTTAGTTCCATCCAGATTCGTAAAGGCAGGAAAAGGGTCTGATAAAGAATTCTGGGTCTAGATGCAAGAGTAAGAGAAATTTCTATATTGTTCGTAAGTTTCTCCACTCATTAAACAGTATAAGAATAATCTTCATTTTAACGCACATAATACCGGAAAGCAGGATGGTCTATGATGAAATCGAAAGCTGACTGCAGTAATGGCATGAGCGGGATGAACAATTTCAAGGAGAATATGTCAAAAAAGATATGGCCCTTAAGGTATCATGTGATCAGATCTCCTTTTTGTAAGCTTTTGATTATATGTCAAACAGATTTGCATGACAGACTTGCAGCAAATAGAACCTTTGATCCGATCGAAGTGATGAATCATTTGACAACATATTATGTATACCTTGCACATGCAAAAATCCAGATAAGAATGGTATTGTTAGAAAGTTTTATTTACAGTTTATATTTATTTTACACAACAATAATACAGAAGAAAAAAAAAAGGTGCATCCATTATTGTATAGTACAGATGTTGTTGTTCTGTCCACGGGTATTATTTTTATTATTGATGATATCGTCATCGTCGTCATCGTCATCACGTTTGACAATAGGGTCCGACACCACGATTGTCAGATAATTTTCCTTATTCTCTGCCGCATTCTTTTTTAATCTTCTACGTGTACCATCCGCCAAAGGTCTATTTAATTTCTCATTGGCAGGCTGATAGCCTTTGGAGGCAGCCTTGCCAAAGTATTCTAAAGCAAGCGGGAAATCTGGTGTCACACCGATGCCATCTTCGTAATATTTTCTATTAATAATTGTTAAACTCTAATTATTCTACCTCAAAAAATAGTTCTATTTACCCCAATACATATTCGGCTTGGTCAAACCCCAGATCGGCGGACCTCTTACACCACTTGAATGCCATATCCTTTTGTGCGGCTAATAAACCCGAAATACCCTGAGAATATATACGAGATAAATCAAGCATGGCTCCAGCATGTTTTACTTCGGCTGCCTTCATGTAATGTTGATAGGCTTGCCATGAATCACAGAGCTGGCCGAGCATACCCGTTTCCGAGACTTGACCCATAAAATAGATTGCATCGGGGTAACCACGTTCAGCAGATTTCTTTAAATACTTGAGCGCAAGGCTATAATTAACTGGACTTTCATCTATGGCAACGCTCACATTTCTATTGGTTCATTTAACATCTTCTGTCTTAGAAATATGTGTGTGCTACATACCTTTGAATACCAATACGATCGAATTCATTCGCATGGATACATCCAAGCACAAATGCAGGTTCAGCACTGGCATCATCATCCATGTCAGCCGCTTGCTTAAGAAATGCGAGACCTTTTGGAATATCTCGCTTTTTTTGAAGTTGTCCCCGTAACAAAATTTTGGCCATTTTCTATAGATACAAAAGTTTAATTTTTTTTTCTTCCTTAATGATCGATGTGTGTACACTACTTACATATATAGACAATGTATGTTTTTCTCTAGCCCCTCTTTCGTAGCACTGAATTGCTTTTGTGTTATTCCCACGTCTTTTCCATAAATGAGCCAGTTCATAATGAGCATCCACCCAACCAGCTTTCGAGGCAGCAAGAAAGCATTTAAATGCTTTTGCTTCTTGCACCTTTTCATATCCTTGGATTGTACAGTCTTCCGCCGAGGGACCTAATACATGCCATCTTCCTTTAATAAACAACGCCTCAGGGTGTCCAGCTTTAGCCAGTCGTTCAATCCAGTATCCGGCTTCCGAGAGCAACCGATGTCTTGTTTCGGCAGGACTTTCAGCAACATTTTTCTTTAAACTAGGTAAGGATACAGAGGACGAAGAGGGAACTGGCACCACGGTGGTATTGTCCTTGGCATAAAGCTTGGATATCTGAAGTAAATATCTAGCATATGTCATTTGTGTTTCCTTATTACGTGTTTTGATAGCCATACGACGGTACAGTTTTGTATTGGAACGAATGTTAATGAGACTACATGATGCTATACTAAGTGAGTATTTGCCTCGCTTATCTTCTTCATTGAAATATTGTTCTGCTTTGTTGATGGGAGTAATTTCATCGGGTACTTGTACAGTTTGAACAGACATCAAGTTGGGGATGGATCCCGTAGAAATACGATGGTTTGGCTTGATGGTTGCAGAACGTGAAGTACCCCAAGGGGAAGGAATTCTGGAGGTAGAAGATACAGGTGAAATATCATTTGGCTGAAAGTAGCGTTCTGCGGCTGAAAATGACGTATCCTCGTGTTGTGTATGTAACATTGGCATCGAATGACGATGCTGGGCGTTTCCTAAAAGCCGAGGGGGAGATGAAAAAGATGAAACAGAGTCTTGTGGTGTAGAAGCGTTACTACTGCTACTGCTACTGCTATAATGATAAAGTTGACCTGATTGATCTAATTTTTGCAGTAAAACAGATTTAGGAACGTCAAAATTAAACAATTGTTCTTTGGAAACTTTTCGGTGTAACAGATCATCAGAAGTAGGCTCATATGGCTTTTCAAGGTGGGTTTCCAAAGGAAGATGACCCGCTTTGGAAAAAGGTACAGGAACAGTGGTTTCTATTTTAAGACTATCCGATCTAGTTATATTTTTAGATGATGTTTTCCATTCTTGATTAGTAGTAACTGAAACGTTGGAAGAATCTTGAGAGTTTGGTTGCTGCTGAGTATAAACAGGATGGTGACGAGAATAATAAGGATCAGCATTGATACTGTAATATTCATTGTGAGCTTGTGTCAAAAGTAAACTATGGCTGTATCGTTTGTTTAATGACTGTTGTGGAACAGTACCGTTGACAGGAGATTCTGTAAAATAAACTTCTTGATTGTTTTCATTGTTCGTTATATGCTGTGCTATTGCTGTTGTCGTTGTTGTATTGTTCGTTGTCCAAGAAGGTCCCACGGACACAAATCCGTTATTATTTATTGATATCGTCTCCCCTTCCGGGATAATTAAATTAGTTAAACTAGTCTTCATTAATGGAATCTTTGGTAAGGGCTTTTTCTTGTGAATTGTTCCAGTCTCATTGTTTAGATCTATGTATATATAAAAATAAAAGGTTGGAATTGTAAGTACAGGATTTTTTTCAAAAAAAAAGGTGATAGAGATTTACCTTTATTAAAGATAGTCAGCGGTTGATCATGTTGAATGTCAGCTATGATATTCTGGGAGACAACGGGCATTTTATGACAATAAATAAGAGACAAAAAGAAAAAAAGGGCTTTAAACATGATTGTATATCAAAAAGGGGAGTTATATATGCAAATGGAATCATAATAAAAGTCCAAATTTGTAAATTGATGTTTTGCTGTTTTGAGTTTGAGGAAGGTTGCGCAGACAGGCTACATTTAGTCAACAGCAATAAAAATCAGTTGCTTACGTCATTCATACAAGGTAATTTGATTGTTTTAATTGAAAAAAAAAAAAAGGGTGTTGCTAAAAAAAGAGGGGGTGGGTCATACAAAGATAGTGAGTGGTTGAGGGATATAGAAAAATAGAAAAGACAAAGGATGGGGTATACATATTATAGTGGCGGGAAAAGGGAAGGGGATTTTTTTTTAATTGTGCTCTTGTTGGAAATAGCACTTTTCACATACACGTTGTTGTTGAGAAGCTAGTACAGTCAAAGATTCCAAAGTACCCTCAGGGTCTTGAAGAATATCTGAACTATTCAAAAATACCTTCCAAGGCGAGCATTTGTCACACACGACCAAACCACACTTTCGGCAATGATGCCGTCTCGATAAAAAGCCAAACTTTCTAACGCATACTCTACATGTTTTTGCTGCAGTATCTGATTCCCATACATTTTTACGCCCATCTTCACTGGATGTATGACTTTCATAGTGATCATTCGATCTCTGATTCGATGACCATTGATCTTGATTCGAAGTAGCCCAAGGATTGTTATCATGCGCTTCTGGATTTGGATGGACATATTCAAGTTCCCTTGTTAAACCTTGATGCTGTTGTACAACAGCCAGGGATTCATTAGAAGGTACCATGCTAGCAACCTTATTATTTAGTTTATCAATACGTCCCATATAAGATCTAAACAATGTCGAGGCCTGATGCTTTCTAAATTCATTTTCATCCGCTATAAACAAACAAGATGTGTTAATTTTCTTGGTGTGCATTTTCATGCAAACAAATAAAAAATAAGCTTACTCTTCATTGATTCAGTTAAGATTTCAATAGCCTGATTATATTTTTGCAAATCCTCAGTTAAAGTTTGTAAATCAGTGTTACCATCTGACTCGGTGTTGGCATCCGATTTGACAGTCTGAATGATGATATCAGCCTCCATTAAATAATCGTTGGCTTGTTCAACTTCTTCATCATCTTCTTCCTCAATATTTGCAATTGTAACATTCTCACCGCGATGACTACCTTTGGTTAGATCCATTCTCCTCTTCATTACACGCACCCATCTTCTGCGTCGTACCCAATTGTAACCACTTGTCGGCGCAACAGGAGTCCAATCAGCGTCCTTCTCACTAAAGGATCTGGCGTATTGCCAACCAGAAGTAGGATCGACACGAGGATCACTGTAATCAATTTGCCAGTCAGTAAGCCAGAACCAGTTAGACAAGTTGGAAATACGATGATTGTTTGTACTGGTGGCAGGCAATGATACCATGTCTTTTGACATGGGAGCACCAGTTGAATGATGTGACCAAGGACCTCTTGTATCTGACTTTGTAAGATAAGCTTCGTTAAATTGAGGACGAGACAAACCTAATAAAGAGGTCGATCTCTGATTTTCGTGTAAAATAACAATCACCGTAACATGGAACTCTAACAAGTCATAAGTTGCACCAAACATAGAAGCACGTTTGTTACCAGGATTTAAGACGCCTATATGAAAGGTTAGATTTTTGTTTTGTTATTTTAATGGATTGGTATATATACTACACTATACCTTCAGTGTGTTGAAGATGCCACCATTTACGTCCTGCCTTCTCCAACATTTCACAAATGTAGGATTCACCAGCAGCAGCACTTACGTCATAAGCAGCCTCACCAAAATTGTTCTTGATCAAGGGATTAGCATGGGCTTCGTCCAATAAATATTCAACAATAGACATGTAACCTTTAGAAGCCGCATTAACTGTGAACAAGGGAATATTAGTATGTGATAAAGAGAGGTCGATCTACTCTACTCCAACTTACTTAAGGGAGTATGACCCATTTTGCTTCTAACATCGACCTTTGCTTTTCGATCTACTAATAATCTGACTATTCTAAAATAGCCTCGGGAACAGGCATTATGCAATGCCGTCCAACCGTCCTTATCCTTTTGATGAATATTAGCCATACTTTCCAACAAGTACTCAACCACTTGATAATGACCGTTATAAGCAGCTTTCAACAAGGCTGTCTATAAGTTTTACATATATGAGAAACACACACACTTTTTTTTTTATGGATAACGCGTGAGGGTTATCATCTACTTTACCTCGCCCTCTTTATCGGTAGAATCGACTCTTACAGCATATTCGTCCACTAAACAAGTGACAATTTTCAAGTGACCTCTTGAAGCGGCGAAATGTAAACAAGTGAGACCTGTTGCAGGATGAGGATCATTGACTGCTTTTAATTGATCAGGCACCATTTGTAAAAACTGTCTCAACAATGCCAGGTTGCCAGACAAAGCTACTGATCGCAGGGTCTTGTGTTCCTTGGACTTGTTCTGCTGTTTTAATGTAGGTGATGTATGTATGGTTGGAATGGCGTTAATCTGTGGCAATTTGATGTACTTATTATGTGAATAACCATAGTACTTGTGAGTTTCTCCAGGTACAGCAGGTGTACAGAAGTCCAGTACAGCAGCCATTTATAGAATTCTATTAGAGAAAAGAATAAAAAGAAAGAAAAGGAAAAAAAAAGGAGAGAAAATAAAAAATATTGATGTCTGTGTAACTGTTCTGTATACAGGCACACAGTAAAAATCAGAGAACAGTCCTGTATGACTGACTGACACCATATTTAGGGTGATGCTAACTGTTGTCAAAGTAGTTGCCCCTACCAACAATCAGGTGTGAAACAAGGCGCCATAAAAGGAGAAGCTTTGTGTACGGAGACAAATAAAGGGATGGAGAAGATATTTGCCCTTTAACACATGTTGTAATCGCATTTGAACTTGTTGTTGCCAGACACAATACAAATTGTTGTAAACACATGGCCATTTTATATCCCGACAATAATTCAAAGTCAGTTTCGCGCTGTGTAGATTGGTAACTGGATGCCTCTTTTTTTTTTTTTTTTTTTTTTTTTTGGATTCTCTCTTTTCTTTTTTTAATAACCTTTTTTTAATATATTTATAATGACGAATGAAATCACCAATGAATCATTATGTACCCCACCACCTGAGCAAGAAGAAGGAGAAGAACTTCGAAAGCAATATGAAAACATGTCGTATGATGAAATGTCTTCAAGATTAGCAGAGAATTACAAACAACTTTCGGAAATTCTTGGAAACAGAATCAGCCTACCAACAACCGAGTCTTCAAGTGATGATGAAGAAGAGGAACAAGATGACAACAAACTCTTGGACAAGAATGACTTGAACTCTGAGCTTAAAAAGTCCAAGCTTAACAAAGCTTTTTTGAAATGTGTTTCCAGTGGAGATCTCGAAAAGGTTTCTGGCTATCTTTCAAATGATGCCACCAAGGAATTTATTGATATCAATGAGAAAGACGAAGATGGTACCACACCTTTGATCTACGCTGCGTGCTTTGGAAAATTCGAAATTGCTCAAGCATTATTAGCAGCGGGCGCAAACATTGATGATCAAGACTCACGTAAGGAGTCTTAAGGAGTTATTCTCCTTTTATATATATAAAAAAAATTCATTATAGTAACCCACTCTTTTTTCTTATCGATCTAGATGGTTGGTCAGCCTTGATGTGGGCCACTACAAATAATAATGAGAAAATCGTCAAATTACTACTTGAAAATGGTGCTTCTTCACAAACAAAATCTTCTAAAGGCAGAACAGTATTTGATTTCGTAAAGAATGATACACATAAAATCGCAGATATGGTATTAGCATCTACTACTTCAAATCGTGATAGTATTTCATCTACATCTAGTATCACCGGTTATACTGCAGCTGATAGTACCTCTTCTACTTCCTCAAATGCTGGTGATAATGATCGTTACTATGGATACTCGACTGATGAACATTATGATTCATTCATCAAACATGATAATGAATGTAAACCTGAATTAATTGAAGAATTCCTGAGAAACCAAAATGAGGACGACGATGACGATGAATATGATGAGGATTATGATGAAGATGATGAGTTCTCATTTGAAGAACGAACAGAGAGAATGAAGCCATTCGATTGGGATAGGTGTATGCCTGATCAGATGTTTGTGTTCGGTGCAGAAAGACTTCCTCACATTCTTGATAGTATTATAACCCCCAATACACCACCCGGGAAACCAGATACATTTACGCCTGCCAATGTCATCTTTCTCAGTGCTAGATTTGCTCATTATTTCTCAAGTGCTGAGTTGGCCGAAGATGTAATGGAAGGCGCTTTACAAAGAATAAGCGCTGAATTGAAGGTAACCTAAAATTAAAATTACAATATGAACTCAACTTACACAAAATGTTTAATTATAGGGTAATACTCAAAATGTGCATATTTTATCTTATTGGATGGCAAATATTACAAGATTATTGTATTATCTTAAAAAGGATGCTGAACTTATGGTTGCAACTGCAGAATATCAATTAAGATTATCAGAATTAATATCAGAAACATACAACTACATCGTCAATGATATTGGTAAACGTATCACTTATATACTGGAATTATCCATGTTAGAATTTGATCCATTTTCTGGTATGATGGGCGAGGTCAATTTTGTTGATGATTGGCAAAGATTCTTCAGAAGAAGCTCTACAAGTATGCAACGCAATAATAGCAGTCAGTTATCGTCGACAAAGAGTGATGTTATAATCCCATCACCTAATACAATTATTCACCTCTTCTCGACAACGTATAGTGTATTTCAGTTATATGAAGTTCATTCGACCATCATTATTCAAGCATTAGCTCAGTTCCTTCACTTTTTATCATGCGAATTATTTAATCATATCTTATCCAAGAAAAAGTACTTATGTAGATCCAAAGCTGTTCAAGTTCGTATGAATCTATCATATATTGAAGAATGGATTAGAGATGAAAAATTACCTTCAAGTTTAATCTCATATCTTAACCCTTCTATCCAACTTGTTCAATTCTTACAATGCCTGTCTCAATTGGATACTGTTGAAAGTTTCCAATCCACCATCAAAATGTTTGATTCCATCAATACTCTTCAAATAAGACGATGCGTTTTTAATTATCGATATGAAACAAACGAACAAAGAATTCCTGAAGAAATTGAGAGATTTGTTCAACAAACTGTCGACGAAACAATCAGAGCAAAACAAGCAAGACAATCAAGATCTTTTGAAAGAAGACGTAGAAGCGGTCCACCCATGTTAAACAAACAACAAAGCCAATCACTGAGAAGATCCTTGTCTGGCCGTGGTGATAACATGAATCAAATCATCGCTTCTATTTTGACCAGATCATCAATCACACTCGAAGAAAAGCCATTAAGCAGTAGTGATGATGATGAAGATGAGCATGACAAAGAAACAAACGAAACAAAAGATTCAAGATTTATGTTACCATTCTTTATTCCAACCACAGCTCAATTATCTGTTACAAATGATCACTTTTCATTAGTACCAGTTATACCTGATGATTGGCTCCAAGAGCTTGACAACTCGGAAACAAAATAATTTATATGTCCTTATACCCCACCCTCCGCCCCCTTCTTATTCTGGCTTTTCTCTTATGACTATGTATTTTATATGCCCTCATATCCCACCCCTTAATTTTCTTTTTTCTTTTTGATATGATTTATTTCTTCTTTTCTATATCTGCTTTCTTATTACGCTTTTGACGTTTTGCTCTCTTTTTTGCTGTGCGTTCTTCATCCGCTTCACGTAAACGTGCTAATTTCTCACTATATTCTCTTTCATCTTTTTCCTAATTATCTCTTATTAAAAATTACTAAACTTAATAAATTATTTTTTCTTTATTTACCTTAAACTCCTGATCATCCATGTTTTTCATTCTGGCATATTCTCTTCTTCTCTGTGCTCTGTACACATGAAAATCTCCACTACCTGCACCAGCACTTGATCCTATATATACATATTTTAGATTAGCTTTTTTTAATTCATTTAATAACACGAATGACTTTTTCATTACCAGAAACATTGCGAATAAAGTCTTTAGGTGCTTGGAGTGTATTTCGTTCCTTGGGAGGCTCTGGAATGAAGACCGGTTTGTCAATCTTTTCAAACAATTTTTCTAATTTTTCTTGTTGTAATTCCAAGGGTGTAAGAATGTGTTTATTCTTTCTAGGTAATGAGTCTATATCCTGCTTTGACATGATTTCGTTTATTTCTTTTCAAAAATTTGATTGAACAGGAAAGAAATAATTTGGAGAGAAAAAGGATAAATCAAGTCTACTCTGAATAGGTGTGTATGTGAGCCCTCAGTTTTTTTTTTTTTTCGTTCGGGATTTGAAATTTCACCTATTATCAACTACTTTGTTGCAACTCGAGCCAATTCGATAAAACACATTCAAACACCTAATTTCAGCTGCAAGTATGTGATACTTTGCGAACGAGGTTGGAAGATTTTAAATAATAAATGATGGTTTGAAATAATTGTCTTGTTAACTTAGCGGCTTAAACCAAGTAGAACATATCCAGCTCTTATCTTCTTCCACTACATTTACATGCTCAACAAAAAAGACAATAATGCTGACCCCAGCTAGAGCCACTCAAGAAAAAATTAAATTGAAGGCTAAATACAGCTATTTTCAGCTTGATTTTTTAATATGCACATTGAATTATTTAAACAACAACTTTCCCCTTTTACTGCGGTATTATGACGCGAAACTTGACAAAAAAAAAAAAAAAAAAAAAAAAAAAAAAACGCGTTTAAAAAGAATGCTCTCATTCAATAGTAAATTGGTAATTATATTAAGTAGATATGTGTACATAGTCTTCAAATAACTTGAGACAAAGTTTTAATTTCCACATCGAAAGGAAAGTTCAAACGGATTGGTAACTGCTTTGATTCCAAGTTTAATGAAAAATAGTTGTATGCATGACAACTTGTATGCTATTTATGAGTTCTAGCTTCGGTATATTCAGGTATCTATCTTTACAACGAGTATCGAGCACCAACATCAGGTTTTTGTACCCTGTGGTTTTTAGTACCATAAATACCGGTTTTATCCATCGCATTTGGACGCTGAAACCGTATCGGCATTGGGTTAATAATTGTATCGTCAGTCATACCGGGAGTAAGCGACCTTTTTTGGCGGCTTAAAGAATTAGACTGCTCGACGTATTTCTTTTCAATTTCATCCCAATTTACTTCCATGATGGGCTCTACAATCTGTTGCTGCCTTTCATATTCTTCTAATTCTTGTCGCTTTTTTTCCTCTTTGGCCCTTTTCTTTTTTATAAACGATAAGACGATTACACCCACTATGATCAAAACCTGTATTTGAATATGTTGAGCCAAGGAAGAAAACATAAACTTGGAAGCATCAGATATTTACCCCTACGACTGATCCTATGATTATACCGATCACAGCCTCTGTGCTTACTTTCCTGTGAGGCTCTGTCAAAAATACACTTGCATTGTTTATGTCGATGTACTTATCTACTAGAGTGATATTTGATGGTGTTGTTGTGTTTAATATCAGTATAGTGTTGGTGATTTCATAGTAGCTAACTAAACCAAAAATAATAAATACTGTATTATTATTTACAGGAATAGCTAAGTATTGACTGATTTAGTACTCTAATATACACGACGGCTATCACATAGTCACTTGACGTCACTTTACCTGAATGACCGATCCTTGCCATTGATGTATTTGGTTTAGATTTGATATCTTGTAGCTGCCATATGTAAGTATCAAGATTAAGAGTAAAAGCATAATCCGAACAAGCTATTATAAACACGTTAAAATAACTCACTTACACTAAAAATTTGATCTTACGTTCACTGTGATTTTTCAAGTCTTCGCCCCCAAATAGTAAAACATCTCTTTCCATAGGACCCACTAGATGTTTTCGGTAAACAAGCTTAATGATTACAATTTTGAGAAAATATTATCATTATTACCCAATGTAGTTGTATGCTCTGTTCTTGGTGTTGGTATTTGGCTTCCTGTTGACAACTGTGTGGTCCAGTTACTTGCTAACATATCAAATACTATTATATTATCAAATGGAATTTCAACTGAATCATTAACTGATTTTCCTAATGATCGGCCCCCAAAGAAAAGAATACGACTGTTTTTAATGTCATAAATTGATGTTTGAAACGATGTGAAAGCAGATGGTAAATTATTTTGAGGTTGATGAATAAACCAAGGCTATCATAATTAGGTATTTAATTAGATAACCTGCTAATAAAAGCTTTTAACTGAGACCATTGACTTACGTCGGCTGGTTTTTTTGAATTCAAAAATGTGAGGCTAGTATAACCAATATGCCTAACCGTGCCTTTCGCGGTATGTTCTTCGTATGCACTCATGTTTTGGCCGTTGTATGTCCAGCTGCTATTTACAAAACTACAAGATAAAAAGGTTTGCTTTTTTAAGAAAACACATTTAACTTCATTCAAATAGACTTACATTTCTAATCCTCCATAAAATCCGATTCCATAATTTGGGACAAAGACTGATGATGCATGATATCTGTCAAGAAACAATTATTATCTTATTATTTAAAAAATTTAGGCTCATTTTACATCCTCCTTCTTCCAAAATCCAGTTCTTTGTATTCAGGGAACGTGCTCCAAGAATTGCTTTCTGAATGGTAAACCCGCGTCATTGGAGCTAAAGGGTTATCAACAAGACTTTCTCCGCCAGATAAAAGCATGCTTTTTTCGTCGGGAAGAACCATTCTTTGAGAATAATCCGACATTTGCGTGTTGGGAGAATACACAATTGACGATATATGATGCCATTTATCTTTCAATTCGTCCGCTGTGCTTCCACTAAAAGCTGCAAGGTCGAGTATGCCTATTGAATTGTCCGATCCCCCGTCTCGTTCCGTCATACCACCAAGGCAATATATTTTAGCAGAAAGTAAACCACAAGCTATATATTAACTTGTGAGTCTCATGTTTTTTCTTTTGGCTGTTTTTATGGTAAAAACCTACCAGCGTCATATCTTGGGATTTCCTGTCCAACTATGTGATTTACGCCGGCTAAAGTCAGAAAGGTGGCAAGAAATATGTTTCTCATTTCAATCTGGATATTTTTGAACATTCGTTCTGAATAAAAATGAGAAGGGGGAGGGGGGTATTTATATCAAACTGAGTATGCCGAAGGGATGTGTAAGTGCTGTCTATTTCTTCACTTTTTTGGCTTTCAAAAATATAGATGCTCTTATTACACTTCTTTTTATGAATGATTACATACTATCTCAAAGGTCAAGCACAATGAGTGGCTTTTCATTTATAAATTTATCATATAATGTGAATACAATCATTTTGGCTTTTAAGTAAACGCACTCAAGTAGGGAAAAAGATGCAATGCGAGCTTAGCCACGTTTTTTTGATGTCCGGTAGATTTTTTGGGAAAGCATTTGACAACACTCGTAATAATGGTTCTTGAAACGCTGGATCGTATGTAGATTGGTCATTAAAAATAAGACCTATATACACCTTGAATACTCTTCAGTAAGCCATTACGCCCTTATTTTTTTTTGTTTCTGGCATCACTTGCTGATTAAGCTTGGTCCTAACTACTTGCATAATTGGTAGAATTGGGAAAATCAACAAACAAATAAAGCCCTGATTAAGAACTTTTAGCTATTATGCCAATATATAAGTGAGAGTATTCTGTTAGGGTGATCTGTAATTTTTTTTTCGTAAGTGGGAACTTGAATTTAGAGTATGAAACATGATGATACTTGTATAATTTAGAAAGCGATGAATATGCAATAGCTTACCCGATTTTCATATTCCATGCAATATTATCTTAAATTATTGATGTCAAGCATTATAGAATTAAGGTCCTCCGAGATATTGAATGCACTTTATTATTTCTCCAAGGGGCCACATACCTTTTTGTATGCAAGGATTATCAACTTATCAAAACACATATTAAAGGATAAATAAATATAGTTACAAATAGCCTCAGATGATAAATGCCGCTCAAAGTAATGTTATCAATTCCAATTATAAAAGTGTTAAAGTCCATAATTTGAATTGTAAGTATAGTCATATATTGTTAAATATAAACATTGACACCTCGTGCCATAGGTCTTTGTATTCCTGCATCTTTGCACAATACGATTTCTTTTTTTATCGTTTTTTTTTTTTGGCGTATTAGGAGGCGTATGTACTACTTAGTAAAGAAGCTTAAGAACTAGACGGAATAAAATAAAAAAAGGTCAATAAGGCTACCATATATAGATTAAGTTAGACCTCAATATACAATCATTACGTTAAGTGAAACCTGTCTTTTAAGAAACATTTTGAGTCGTAATGTTAAAAAGGAAAAAAATCAGAACAGTGAAAAGACAAGTTCATAATGCCGATCTCAATTAGAAAGGAGAATCCTTTAAAACTATTGCTCAAAATTCTGGTAGTTGAGAACCAATAATAAGGCAAATATTTACGGTAGGTCCATAAAAAAATGGGATCAGCATCCCGCAGAGACGCTTTTTTTTCAGCTCTACAAAAGATTAAATTACTTTATGAATATTCGGGTTTTCACCGGCAAGAATGTTCTTTGCTTGTATACCTATTGATAAAAAAAAAGGGAACTCCGATGTCTTAAGCCAAAGTACTCTTGAAAAAACACTATATGACATCGATAATTCAACTTAGTACGATATAAACCTTTGATGTTATTTACTTATAAAAGCAAAGTTTTGATTAATATAATGAATATTTGAAAGTTATATTATTTATTGCATTGTACATTACTTACATTATTTATATATATTTTTTATGTCTGCAAGTCTATATAAAATCGTACTTCATATCAACTGATTTCTCCTTTTTCAACTTACCTTTCCTATTATTTGTATATAATGTCAACAAAGATCCAACCTTATTCTCCTATTCCTGTTACTGTAACAGGTCCTATCGAGATCTACAAAACTGTAATTCGAAAATCCGTTTCCAAATATGGTGTAAAATGGAATTTCAACAAACATCAAGATGCCCCAACTGGAAGCTTAAATGGTATGCAAAGACAGCCAACCTATGTCTTCAGAGAATACTTTTGTACGTCAATATTCAAGATCTAAAAGAGAACATGTTGGTGTTGTCCGAGGTGGGGCTTCCGGCCAGGTATGCCGTTTGCAGAAGAGAAGCAAGAAGATCGAATGCCCAGTCACTCTGAAAGTCGTCTGTCTGCCAGGTAGTCCATCAGTAGTTACTGCAAGCTCGTAGTGTATGTCTTAACGCTACCCACGGCACTATCAGTTTTTCCAACGGGATCCTGTACGCAATTGTCACGCGCCATCCATTGACTGGCACTGGTTGTCCTGTTGCTTTCTTCTTCACAATCGATCAATCAATGGGTACATTGGCCAACTTCTTAGGGTTCTTGAGGAATACTGTTGGGATCTTGAACATCTATAAGATCACCATCGATGTCAGTGGTAGATACCGAGTTGGGTGCGATCCAAGAAGTATACCCTTCGGCAAGTGTACAATGGTGCTTGTCCCACGTGGCAGGAGCCTGGACAGGGAAAATCCGACAATTGGTCAAGCTTGGTGATACCCACAACAACAACACCAACCAGAACAAGCCTCTACCATTGCTCTAAGCAATTCTTTAAAAGAATTTGATACTCTGCTTTCTAACACCCATAAATTAAAATGCCAGCAATATGCTTATAATGAAACTGAGCTCGAAGAATTGGCCAGCTTCAATCATTGGTTCTCTCTCGTATAAATTCTACAGACATTCCTTCCAATCCAAATTTTATAACACCAAGATAACCGAAAAAAGAAAATTAATGATAATACGCATGTCCCCTTCCCTCTGCCTAAAAATCAAAAGCAAAGCAGCCCTCTACTTTTAAAAACCGCTCAATAATTCGGGTATAGGTATAAGTAAATCGGAATTCGGGTACTCTCACGTCACTGTCGGGGGTTAACCATCTTATAAAGGTGAGAGACAGCCGATTTTTTTTTGCTCCCTGGTTCTCATACTATTATCTTTTCACTCACTTGATTGTACATTATCCCAATTTTAACCCTAACCCTAATGTTGGAAGCTGTTGATAACCTCAATATCTTCTTCCCGTTCTTAGTGAGGGACAGGTTTTGTTTTGTTCTGACAATTCTTGTTGCTGTTCGACAATTCCTTATCAGGCCAACGTTCGTGCAAACTCACTGATTACGGGGTCTTTATTACTGGCTACTTCATACTTCCTTCGACAATTCCTTATCAGGCCAACGTTCGTTGGGAGTCACTGTTTAGTTGGATCCAGCCGTTCTTTGTCACTATTCTTGCTGCAGGTCCTCAGATCAGAGATGTAAAAGTCTCAGGACGAGAGATGAAAGTGAAGATAATTGCATTCATTAAAGTCCGGAAAAGCAGGGCTGAGTGTTGGGATGTAGAAATTGAACCCGCGTTATCCTGTCGATGATACGTATTTGTTGTATTTGCTGGTTCCTTGTTGATCACGTTTGATTTGGGCATAGGGTATAAAATCGCTAGAGTGCTTTGGCGCGCGCCTTTTTCTGTGAGGTAAAACATGGTTCACAACATGCTATCCCCTGGGTAGTTCAACTCTATGTATAGGAGGGGTAGGGTCCTTTACGCCGCCAAATCAGGTCTTCGCCCTGTAAAGGATGGATCTAAAAGATTTCTTTTAGTGAACTAAGAATTTGGCATCCTCATGTATATTGAGGCAAACTATTGTTTTTATTGGGTATGGTAACGGGCACTGTGATTGTATGTATTGTGCTCTTGAATAATAGTAAGTAAACCTAGAATAGTACAGTTTTTACGATACCAATATAAACAGATATTTTTTTTTTCATATGTGTAGCAGTAGGTTGCTTTGTTAGGATACAACTTGGAGGGTTTTGATTTCGTGTTTCTTCTCTTTTCAACTTTATAATTAATAAATTTGTAACTAGCTTTATGAAAAATAAATTTGGGATATCGTATCTTGTTTATGTCAGAGATTTTATTCACTTTAAAAAAATTGGTGTTCTATTGTCTATCGGTGGCTTTTATTCTCCTGAAAGGGCCATTCGGTACGACAATACTACCCCTGATACTTAACAGAAAAAATCATGCAAGATACTGTTAATCAGAGTGCTCGACTGGAACAATGAAATTACGTTGACGACTTTTATGTCTTACAACCTGAAGTCTATGACTCAATTGCATGGATTTCTCTGCCGTATATTATCGATGTTTAATATCCACAAATTCAGTCAACGGGCAGTTACATTATCGTTTTGATTTTTACAAGAGAAAAACCAAAAGGGTTGCATTTCATTGTGCTCGTATATAAAACACATCCCCCGTTATTTTATTGCTCGTTTCCCCCTTTCTTCTTTTCTTTTATTATTTTAACATGTCTGTAGATAATTTGGATTATGATTCTATATGGTGTGATGAAACTGTGCGCGATATATTAACCCGACAACATCAGGATTCTATATCTGTCCAGAATAGTATAGCTGACTTGAGGCAGAATTTAATGACAAATCCATGTCCAGCAGAGGTAACCAAAGCAACCGAATACAAAAAAAAAGGCTCTTAATCAATGGAAAAGACTATAACACAAAAAAATACAGTTAAGAGGTCTTGTATGGAAAATACTTCTAGGTGTTTATCAAACATCCTGGGAAGATTATGCTGGTTTACTCAAAGATGGCCCAACCACGCTTGCTGGTAATATAAAAAATGATACGTTTAGGACGTTCTCGACAGATACAAAGTTTACTGGAAATGTGACAGAAGATATGTTGATTAGAATGTTAAATGCATTTGTTAGGGTGAATGATGGTAATTTTTCATGATACAAACTGTATTTAGTGTTTAACCAGCTTTAATCTCTGCTGTAGAAAACAATTCTCGTGCTACCATTGTTCGCAATCAACTAAATTTTCATCGGATAGAGAGTCTGACATACGTTCAAGGTATGAATGTTTTGGCAGGACCTTTTTTGCTAGCCTTGTCTGAAGTGGAAGCATTTTACAGCTTTTCCACTTTTATCTTTAAATGGTGCCCTCTTTATGTTCAACCAACCATGAGAGGCGTTCATTGTGGGCTAAGGGTAATTTTAAAAATACTGATTGGTAGATATGAGTACATTGAATTTTTCTTTAGCTTTTAGATATATGTTTGCGTGCATTAGATCCTACTTTGTATGGATATTTACGTGGAAAAAACATGTCTGCCAATACATATGCCTTTGCATGTAAGTTCATAAAGAAAAAAAAGAGAATCCTTTTAACTGTGATTAAACAATTATTACAGCGGTTATGACATTTTCTGCTTGTACACCACCATTATCTGAGCTTTTGCAGTTATGGGACTACATGTTTGCTCGCGGCCGTCACATGAATATTTTATTTATCATTGCACAGCTTGCTTTGATTCGTACCGAATTACTCCAAAGCCCAAGCCCCATTAATTTATTACGAGTTTTACCTCCGTTGCGGGCAAAGGCCATTATAAATCTTACCAACTCATTATGTAAGAATCTATCCCCTGAATTACATGATAAGCTGGCACGGCATGCTTACGATGAAGAGATCTCGAATGAGCTAGGAATCCAAACCACTACGGATTCAAATTATACCGAACAGGATGATACTACAACGGATTTACCAGCCTTCATGGTAGACGCCATCGATAATGTGATGATACAGTAACTATAATTACACTAGGGGTGTTTTATCAACTAATAAATTCGACTATATCTGAACCTAAAACCTTGTAAATCATTAAATCTGAGTATGAAGAGCTGCCAGTTTCCATTGGGGTTAAATGGAAGTGATTGGGAATCAGTTTGGGTCATGGGCACCAGAAATTGTATCCGTAACACAAGCCGTTTACCGATCACAAACATAGGTGATAGGATATTTCAAAACAGGCTGGTATTTGTCGAGCTACAAGCATGGTAGATACGCGACAGATAAAGTGTGTATTGGAAGTTGTGTATTTATATAAACAACAAAGAGAAAGACATAGAAGGAACTGTCCAGCTGAAAAATCAATTATGACTTTTATATTAAAATGCTTGATGCTCACAATAATGATGATCGTTGTGACAGATAGATATGTCACCAAGAAATGTTCAACCGACAGCAAGTGATTGGTAGTAGATTAAGGGGATATTAAGCTCATATGTTTTTTGTTTGTATAGTTGTGTCAATTTTTTTTTACCAGCTTCACGATAACAGAAACATAATCACGTAGTATTTGTAGCTATTACAGATATTGCATTAAAATCAATCTTTGGCCATGTCATATAAATAGGAGAAATGTTTTGACATTCTTTTTGCTTTTTTTCTTTTATCAAATTATCTTCTTAATATACATATATACCATGCGCACCTTCTCTATCTTAGCTTCTATTTTCACTATGACTCTCTCTGGTACGTCAGACACAATATTGTATGATATAAATTACTTACCGGTATTGCATGCGTAGTCAGTGCTGCCTCCTATAACAAGCGTGTCATAAGCGATGATGTTCAAAGCTGTATCAATGGCCTAAATACCGCTAATTCTAATCTTTTGGGACTTACCGATGCTGTAAAATTGACCTCGCATATAACTATTGAAAACGTCAGTGCTTAGTTTATTTTTCTTTGTAGGTTAAAGGGTTCACTAGTGCCGCTGGTTATGGCGGTGCTATTGCTCTCCATAAGCCTGTGGAGGCTCTTGAGACTCTTCTTAAATCCATCAACACGGCTTGCTGTTCTATCACTACTACTGTCTCTCATGAAGAAGCTACTACTGTATTTGATCTTGTAGCCGATTTCGTCCCTAATGTTACCGGTTCTCTTGACGTTATTATTTCCAAAAAGCCCGAATTTGCTGCAGTCCTTTTTGCTGACATTATTATCAAAAACGACGTTAAGGTGTTGGCCGATCTCGTCAAGAAGTTGGATAGTTGTCTAATTTCCGCTGCTCCTGAAGATCTTCTTGATAGTGCTCAAGCCTACATTGATGTCATTGATGCTAAGCTTGATAGTGCATTCACTGCCTACGGTATCACCGCTTGATTTCTCTTTCCCTAATTCATTTTTATAATAAATATATAACCAACTTTAATTGATTTAACATATTGAGTAATGACTCGCAGTTTGTAACTTAAACAACTGATCTGTGTAAGATTCAACGAAACTGTAAAAATATTCTTCTCTGAATAGAAGGGTGCAGCTTTGTTATTCCGCCAACCTCCCCTCTATAGTGTATTGCTTTGAACAGAAACATACAAGACGTTTCTACCAAAATCAAATTGTGAAATTTCTGTAATTCAAAAGTTTAATGGAATTTTTATTTGGTCGTTAAAGTTTGGTGCATGTTGTAACCAAATGTTTATTTCTTTAATTTTAAAAATGCTAGTTGTACTGATAAGCTCATTCCACTAGGTCGGAATTTGATCTGCATGACAACCATATTTCATACATTAAATGCAACACTCACGCCACAGTTTCAGTTGGGATGAACTTACCTGTTACAAATAGCAAAGAGCAACAATCAGGTGCGCCGAGTTTCTCAAAGCCACAAGTGGATTTCACATGTAATAATAAAACTGGGCTGCGCCCGGGAGACCTTTTTTTTAAAAAAAGTGGTTATTATACCTATATGGTTTATGGAATTTTATAAATTAAAAGCTTGCTTAAGACTCGGAAAGCTTTTATTTTAGTTATTAGCTTTTACTGGGCTTTTTGACGGGCCATTATACATATTATCAAGTAGGTAAATGATGAGTTAAGATCATAAGGTTTACCTAAGTTTTTTTGTGATTGGTCCTGAAATAAAAACCGATTGACTTGAAATTAATAGAAACTATATCAATATCTTTTTAAAATCTAATCGCGTTGTTTTATGCTTACACCTGATGGTGGGGAAATAATATTAGGTCAACGCCAAGGCAAATTGCTATTCAAAAGCGGAGTAAGAAAATGTCCGAGAAGTGCCATTCCAGACGACAGCTGCGGTTCCTTATCAATTTTATAAAAACAGACAAAAAAGTCTTACGCTGTCTAAATTAAAAGGATTGCTGATCATGTATTAAGAATAAAAGAAGCATCGCATGCAGTAGCACTACCAGAAGATGGTGTAACATTAAGGGGTCAAATATGTTAAAAAATATAAACTGACTGCCTCGACCGAGAGGATGTTCTTCTCCGAGATTCGATTTGTACTCTTTTGGAATTACTCCAAAGACAGGCGTATATTTTTTGCCGCTTTTATTTGTTTCTCAGGTAGCCAAAATGCTCACTTACTTGTAATATTTGAAATTATTAAAGAACCATACAATACCATAAAATACAATTTTTACTAAAATTTGTTATATCCAAGGAATTTACTGTATAACCATTTTTTTTTTTTTTCAAATAGATATATATTTCGTGCGATGTATCACTTTTTGGTGTTCATGATTAAAATTAGCAATTAAGAAAAAAAAAGAATGGTTTGCGAACGTTGTGACTTTTACTCATGGACAAACCACAATAATTTGAGACGTCTTTCTCCCACAAGGTACAAACATATACGATTCTTAAATGTCATAAAACTTAAAACATTCTGCGATTGTAAAAACGTGGCTCAAAGTATTATTTGATAATATGGGAGATAAAGTATATACAAAACAACCATTGCAACATACAGCAGTATTTTCAACCCAATGAATTTGAACTCTTGTGGTCTTGTGTATAAGCACTACCTATCACAAAGAGAAATTTACCTCACACAAACAAATTATGGGGTCGTTGACCAGGCTGCCATAATATGGGTAAAGGAAGCATGAAGTACATATGTTTGTCATTTTTTCCCATGCACACAACTTGAGAGGAATCAGTTATTAGGAATAAGTGCCTTGGTATTACAATTTAAATCCACACATTTGGTGTGCAAAAGGAGTTCTAGCTATTTCATATAAATAGGAAAAAGACAACCTTTTTTTATGTTATTCATCAAATTATCTTCTTCTGAACAGTTATCAATATGCGTGCTTTCTCTATCTTAGCTACTATTACTGCTTTTGCACTTTCTGGTAAGTCCGGCATAATATTACAAGTGAAATAAGCTGCTTACCAGCATTGATTACATAGTCAATGCTGCTTCTTATAACAAGCGTGCCATCAGCGAGAATGTCCAAAGCTGTATCAGTGGTATAAATACTATTGATTCCAAGGTTTTGGAGTTTAACATTGCTGTAAGTATTTTCTCGCCCGTTAAAATAATTGAAACTTTTTAATGTTTACCATTTGTTTTGTTACTGTCTCTGTCGTAGCTTAATAACTTCACTCGTGCTGATGAGTTTATCGGTGGTGCTCGCCTCCATACCGCTGAACAAGCTATTGAGTCTCTCTACAATACCACCAACATAGCTTGTTGTGCTACCACCACCACTGTCTCTGATGAAGAAGCTATGGGTCTCTTGGATGCTTTTGGTAAAATAACCCCTGACATTACCAATACTTTTGGTGGTTTCATCATTAAGAAGCCGGAATTTAGTGCTGTTCCGGTACTCCGTGTTGTTTACAAATCCAATACTCAGACTTTGTCTGTTGTCGTTAAGAAATTGGATAGTTGTTTAATTGCTGTCACCCCTGAACCACTCCAAGCTAGAGCTCAAGCCTATGCCGCTACTATCGATGCTAAGATAGTTGAAGCTTTCGCTGTTTACAATATTACCTCTTAATTATGTTTTTTTCAAACAAATTTAAACATCTAGCCCAAAATAAATAAAAATAAATTTAGGTTATCCTATCTTTCTATCGAAACCTGATATCTTTTTATTTACAACGAAACTAATTCAAGCAAAGAACATGCTGATTTCTGAGTATGTGTTACAAATATTTCTTTTAAATGGGATTCCTAAGGCAAATGCATATATGGGTTATAAAATTTGATGAAATGACGAAAGAAGAATAACAGAATCCACTAGGATGGTCACAGCATTATTAGAAGATGATTTCTTTTAATGTGCAAGTATATGACTTGAATTTACGATATCCCAACAGGATTCTCCTTGATTTAGTTAATTGAAATCAGGATTGTAAATACATCTTACGACATAATGAAAGAAAGTGGGGGCGAGAAGTAAATAAATACAAGAGCTACAATTGTACCCCCAATGTTAAAAACAATTATTGAAAGCTGCCCAGATTAATTTAGCTTGAGTTCAACTTTTTAGAAGACAAGGAATAGTTGTACTGTCTAAATTTAAGGTACTGTTGTCCATGTATAAAGTATAAAGTATAAAGGGCATCGCGTGAAGTTACACTGACAGAATATGGTGTAACACCATCAGGTCAAATACGTTCAAGCAAATATGTTAATTGCCTCGACTGAATGGATTTTTTCTCCGAGACTCGATATGTACTCGTTTTGAGTAACCACAAAGATATTCATAGGAATATTTTTGTTTAATGCTTCTAATACTTCTTTTATAAGTCACCAACATATTCACTCACATGTATCGTAATAAATAAATATTTGTAGGTAACTATCATCTGGAAATTCAAGAATCCTTTATGTGTGAAACTAAAATTAAAAAACACCAAATAGAACTACTTCAAATTTGTCATATCTAACCATTTTCCAAATGGATAATTATTTTGTGCAATGTATCACTTTTTGGTGTCCACAATTAAAATTGGCAATTGAGAAAAAAAAAGAATGGTCTGCGAACGTTTTGACTTTTACTCACGGACAAACCACATTAAATTGAGTCGTCTGTCTCCTGAAAGGTACAAAAATTCACAAATCTTAAGTGTTATAAAACTTAAATAACATTCTACGATTATGAAAACGTGGCTCAAAATATGTTTTGGTAGGAGGTCAAGTATATACAAAATAACACTGTTACAACATGCAGCAGTATTTTTAACCCAATAAATGTGAGTTTTTGTAGTCTTGTGTACAAACCCTGCCTACTATAAAGAGTATAAATCCTTTTACCTCGCACAGAAAAAGTACAGGTCGTTGACCAGGCTGCCATAAAATGGGTGGGCCAAGCATGAAGTACATATGCTTTTCTTTTTTCCCATGCACGCAAATTGAGAAAAATGGTTATTAGAAATATGACCTAGAGTGCATCTTCATTGTAATATACCAAAACGTAATCTGTGACATTTTTGAGCATTCATCTCCGACTAGTACAAGTAATATAAAAGGAAATTTATTTATAGCCAGATTTTTTTAATGTGGGGAGAATTTTTTTTTTTTTTTAAGAAAATTTTTCAGGGAAATATATTTTATTTGGGGGGAGTCTAAATTGTTTTTTTTTTTTTTTTTTTTTTTTTTTTTTTTTAGATTGAAAGTCATCAAGGAGCAACTAAACAGCACGTCTGTGGGATCGATATTCTTTGGAAAACTTACTGATAATATCTTCAGCTTCCAAGACATCGTTACCCTTGCTGTAAGCGTCAATATATCTATAGGCACGATTATAATATCGTCTATTGATTTTAGGACCGAAAACAGCCTCATCATGGTCAAGAAACTCTTCGATTCTTGACTTCAGAGTGTCAAACGAGTAATCACATTCTATTCGTGCAAATCGTTTAGCCGCACCCCAATGTCTTTCAATCCAATTGCACTCACAATGGTACTTAGGGTATAGGGTAAAAAGGTGACCAGCCTTGGATGTTTGGGTCTCCAGCATATTCTTCTGGGCCTTGAAATCAGGTTGTTGTGACAACAAGTATTCGGCACAACAGCCAGGTTTAGCCTGAGGGTCGTGTGGAGTACCTCTCACACAAACCCTTCGCAGAGGCTCATTTCTGCCGAGCAGGCCACGTTCTCTCAACAGACGGAGAGTTCCCTTGAACTTCTCACGTTTCTACAGAGATAATGATAATAAAGATGTCAGTTCTTTATATATTAATGTTATATTATTAAATTTACTTGTGCGTGTTGGTACTTTTCGACAAGTGCATTGGTATCAAACGCCTGTCCTTTGGCACGCCGTCTGTTTATCTCCTTCATGGCGGCATCCACGTTCATGGATTCCATGGTATACATACTTTGAGGCTTGATGATGCCGTTTCTATCTACATAAGTGGTATCCCGAAACCTATACAGGGTAGAAGACTTTACTTCGCTAGTCCCGGAAGTCATCCTCGAGGCAACAAGAGCATCGTCCGCAAAGGCTTTATGGTTCGAGCTCTGGTCAAAGGCAAAGATACCAACACAATTAGGATGTAATTCATTGAAAAGATGAATTACATCATATAATTGACACGTCAGATCTCTGTTTGTCCAATAACCATCGCCGTTACTGTTGCCAGGGAAGAAGATGACTCTTGATATCAAATTGACACCATTGACGGTACCTCTCATTGTTCCGTGGCAGGGACACATGAATGAACTGATCATAATAGATCTTCCTTGACCTTTAGGAAGAATCATGGTTTCGTTCTTCTCACACCAACGAGTGACTTTACAATCATTTGAATAAAAGATTGATTCGTCGTGAGTAACTAAAACCATCTTTTTTTCATTATCCTTTAGGCTAGGTTGAACTGGATCAGCATTCTCATTATCCAAGGGATAGGTTTCCATACGCTTATGCCATTCCATCATTTGTTGGGCCCACTTAATTCGATATCTGACAACATCATCCCGCTCATGGCCATCAAAGTATGTTCGATCCTTTCCTACACACATATGCCCAAAAATATAATCAAGCTAAAGCATTAGTATATATGCTAAGTTTTTACATATTGTATTTACCTGTTTTATAGTCAAAACCCCAAGCCTTCAGGTAGGTTGCCAGAGCAACGTTCGACAATGGATGCTCTGGCTGAGAGGAAATGACATCGGCACCGGCCTCGACATCATTCTCCAACTCAAGTAACTCAGGGAGCACTTCTTGTCGTATATGCTGACGAAGAGCAGGGATACTTCTACGGACAGGGTCTTGACTCCTGAGCCAGGTGATGCATCTTTCCTTCACATCAGGATCACTGAGAATTGATTTTCTCTTCGCATGTTTTCCTTGCTGATGACATGGAATGTCACCAGTGTTTAGCCAGGCTTCAAACCACTTTCTGGCAGCACGATGACGATAGGATTTCGAAGCTTGGATCCAGTGCATGTTTACCGCAAGCTTCGTTGCTTCCACAAAAGTTTTACCGTCTAATAGCTGCAACATTACATGCTTTACAACCACGTACTTCAGAAATTGTTTAACACCGTTGTGGTGTTGGTCGCTGGTGGTATTACCAGAGATACGGATTTTCGATTCCAAAAGGGGCAAAGACTCGCGAATCTTTACCAAACTTGCTTCGTCGGGTCTTCTGGGTTTCTCCTTCTTCTCTACTTGAGGTGGTGTAGGAACCTGTTGAACCACGGGGAAAAAATCATTAATCGAATGACAGCCTACAGCTGCCTTGGCTGCAGCAGATCTCTTTCTACTGAGCGTCTCTCTTGTAGGGAGAAGTTTACGCTTAAACTTCTGTTCCCCGGTTTTTTCGGTTGCGTTGCTCCAGGAAATGGGGAAAGCTTCTGCGTTGACTTCTTCTGGTCGAGGCATGTCAGCGATTTCGGCCTCTTTGGCAATTGCTTCATTAGCAATGTACTCAGCAGCAGCAATTTTTTCCATTTGAATGAATTTAGCCTTTCTTCCAATGTTGATTCTTTTTCTTGATTTAGCCATAATGAATATTGATATAGATATGTAAATTTATAAAAGTAATTTTAAAAGAATAATTACAAGGTACAAAAATAAACCCAAACTTAGTTTTAAATTCACAATTCTATTTGTCATTTTTAAAGCTCCCGTGAAGTAATACGCTCAAAAACAGTAACCCTTTTGACGCGTTTTTAGTTTTAAAGAACGTTACATCTAATATTACTGAAGTAAACAAAGTTTCCATGTAGTAGACGTTCTTACTTAATGTATATCCGATTTCAAACATCTTTTTTGTGTTTTACACTTCACCATATTTGATCTCAGTTTAAAATTAGCAGGTTATGGCACTGAGTACTTTATCTAATGAATATGACCTTTCAAATACATAAATTAAATTAAACAGCTAGTTGGATCTATTTTCCAAATACTCTAATTTATATCTTTTGAATATGAAGTGTTTTTACTTAGTACATAAAGTTTGTTTTATCCTTTTGGTGCCTTACAGTGTTGATCATATTTGATCTCAGACTCTGATATAACGGGTTGTGGCACTGTGCACTTTATCTAACAAATACGACCCTTCAAATACATAAATTAAATTAAACAGCTAGTTGGATCTATTTTCCAAATACTCTAAATTATATCTTTTGAATATGAAGTGTTTCTACTTAGTACATAAAGTTTGTTTTATCCTTTTGGTGCCTTACAGTATTGATCATATTTGATCTCAGACTCTGATATAACGGGTTGTGGCACTGAGTACTTTATCTAATGAATATGACCTTTCAAATACATAAATTAAATTAAACAGCTAGTTGGATCTATTTTCCAAGTACTCTAAATTATATCTTTTGAATATGAAGTGTTTTTACTTAGTACATAAAGTTTGTTTTATCCTTTTTGTGCCTTACAGTGTTGATCATATTTGATCTCAGACTCTGATATAACGGGTTGTGGCACTGTGTACTTTATCTAACGAATACGACCCTTCAAATACATAAATTAAAATAAACAACTAGTTGGATCTATTTTCGAAATACTCTAAATTATATCTTTTAAATATGAAGCGTTTCTACTTAGTACATAAAGTTTGTTTTATCCTTTTTGTGTCTTACAGGGTTGACAGTAAATGTCCTCAGACTTTGATTTAATAGGCTGCGATACTACGCATGCGGGTACTCAAATTGAGAGTACAGGCAGTAAGCATTTCATGGTCCGAAGGCGGCAAATACTATACGCGGGACAATACTATTGGTCGGAAAAGAAAAATTTAAAATTTTGAACCTGCTTGTGACAATTTTTTCCCCCCACACCTAAAATCCAGTTGTAAAAATCCCGGACACACTTTTTTTTTTAGAATAAAAACTTCATATTCTCATTTTAATCATGATTAAAATAATATATGTCCAAAAATATTGGACTTTAATTATGAGGAAAGTGTGGTGGTCCAGTTTTAACGTTTCTCTCTGCTTAAAATTTTTTTTTTGGCATATTGAAGTCCAGATGCACTCTAGGTATTACAATTCAGAGGTACAGATTTGGCACGAAAATAGATATTTAGTTACTTCTTATGAATAAGAAAATCTTAAACATTTTTTTTTTCAATCTTTGAATCCTCTTCTCCAGAAAAATTACCAATATGTGTGCTTTCTCTATCCTAATTACTATCACTGCTTTGTTCTCTCTATTAAGTTCAGTACAGTACTACAATTGAAAAAAGTTGCTTATCAGAATTCATTACGTAGTCAATACTGTTTCTCATAATAAGTGTGCTGTCAGTAACAATTTCCACGGTGTACTAATGATTTAAGCTCTTCTGAAGCTAGAAATCTGCAGGAGATCTTAGAACTCCTCTTTATTTTACCAGGACGGCTTGTTGTGCTAATACGACCATTGTCTCTGGGTAAGAGGCTACTGCAGTCCTTGGCGTTGTTCCCGATGTTCTTCCCGACATCACCGAATCTTTTGGTGCTCTTATTTTTTTAAAAAGGCTGAATTTTATGCTGTTCCTTTAATGGGTACTGTTGTCAAGGGTTATGTCAAGTTTTTTTCCGATTCTATTGAACGATCGGATAGCTATTTACTTGTTGTCACCCCTGAGCCATTCCATACTAGAGCTCAAGCCTATTTAGATACTATTAACTTTGAGCTTTTCAAAGCTTAAGCTGCTTACAAAACTACTGTACAATGTTTTATTTACATAGTAGAAATAAATACAATACGCAGTGAATTAGATTGACCAATCTCTTTATTATCACTTTTTGTAGGCTTTTCATCTCTATTTTGTACAAAGCGACACCTATCTATTCAAAGCAAAAGTTCAATTACAAATACCAGTTACAAATGCTTCCTTTTTAACAGGATTCCTCGGCCAGCAGACTTATGAATCATGAGCTTTTGATTGAAATTATTAAGACAAATGCAAAATGACATTTCCAAATCCAGGGACAAGGGAAATACAAGTCACAATCATTGGCTTAAGAAAAAAAAAAGGGCTCGATAAAAGGAAAGGGTCCCTCCTCTGCTCTTTTTTTTTCATTTACCTAGCAACCATGGCAAACCGTTTTATTCCCAGAACCTCCTTTCCTTATGACAGAGTGATTAACTGGTTTCCAGGACATATGGCCAAGGGCTTACGGTTAATATCGGAGCGATTAAATTCTGTGGATCTCGTAGTCGAAGTTCGCGATGCACGCATTCCGTTATCCTCAGTGAATCCCAATTTCGAAAAAGTGGTAGGTCGACGACCTCGATTGATTGTGTACAACAAGTACGATTTAGCAGACCAGAGTAGCAAGAAACCGATTACGGAAGCATTTGCTAAACATGCGCCTACCACGCCCGTGGTGTTCACCAGCTGTCAAACGGACGATAATATCAGAGCCATTCTGGATCATGCGGCGAAATTAGCCGACCCTATACCCACCGTGACGCTGATGGTGGTGGGCATGCCCAATGTGGGTAAATCGTCATTAATTAATTCGCTTCGAAGAGTAGGTGTTGGGAAAGGAAAAGCAGCGGCTACAGGTGCCCAACCTGGTATTACACGGACTGTGATTGGTACAGTCAAGGTATTGGAGGATCCTTCTGTATATTTAGTAGATACACCGGGTGTGATGGTACCTCATATTGCGGATCCTGTCAGAAGTTTGAAAGTGGCATTAACAGGTGGTATTCGAGATCATTTATCAGACGAACAAGTGATGGCGGATTATTTATTGTATCGTTTGAACGAGTTTCAGGACTATGAATATGCAAAGTGGTTTAGATTACCGAATAACGAACCTACGAATAATGTGGATGAATTATTACATGGTGTGGCTCGTCGTATTGGTGCTGTGGTGAAAGGTGGAGAATTAGATATGAATATGGCCTCCAAATTTTTCCTTAAACATTATAGAACGGGAAAGTTAGGTCAGCATACGTTGGATGATGTAAGTCCGGAAGCTTTAGAAACTTTCTTTGAAACGCAAAAAATGTATACAGCAAGCAGTGCTACCAATGCCATGAGTCGACGTCAAGAAAAGAAGGTCGCCAAGATTGAGCAACGGAAAACCTCGAGAAAGGTTGCTAAAGCAGAGGAATAATTTCATTTTTTTGTGACTCCCAATAAATCATTGTTACCCCCTCCTGTTATCATTTGCAGAGTCGTAATTCTACTATTGCTAGAAGGTATGGATCGAAAAAGTTTTGGGGAAAACTGGTTTGATCGCATAGATTACATCAATTAGAGTGCATTAGAAGAAAGGAATTTGGGCTTTAAGCAATACCATGACATCAACATAGAACCCCATGGAACTTTGCTTATTTAAAACTTGTATATAAAGACGCAATAATGTATGACATTATTATCCTTTAATGGGAATAGTGTCATATCGTACATTAACCCTGATTCTTACAACAATTAGAATACATGCAATAATTGGATTCCACGAGACTTTTTTTATGTATCCACATCCTTAAAATCTGACACGCAAGGTGTTTTACTGTTGGATTTGTACCACACTGGTCGTAAAGAAACACCCGCGTCCCTGATCGGGCTGAGCTGCTGTTTGACATATGCGGGCCTTCGGAGGGGGGGGGGCTGTAGTTGTAGCATTCTAAGACGCTGCATAATTCCCAACGTTACACTTAAATTCCCGTTTTGGTAGAGCTTTTTTATAGGCGATAAAACTGAACGCGTTTGAGGGGTGATGATGATGGAGTTAAGGGACGGCTACATTTGAAACGAAAAAAAAAAGGTCTGTGGGAACGGATCATTTGATAGAAGTGTTGATTCGTGGTGTGCGCAGTGCATTTTGATGTATACCGTAAAAGGAGAATACGTATTCACAACAACCATGCAGAATTATTACGTCATTCATCACATTTTTATTTTTTATTTTATTAAACTCCTGCGGATGAAAAAGATATCTCTTTCTTCTTTTTGATTTTAGTAAATAAAAATGGCCGAAGAAAATATTAACACCTTGGCAGAAAAGTACCAAGAGCTTCGTAACATCCCTGGTAAAGTAGGAGGTGGAGAATATGATGAAAGAGTGGATTCACCAGAAGGAGAAAAATACACCGTTTTAAAAGTAAGTCCATATATATTGTAAGAATAGACGCGAGTTTGTTTTTACTTATCTGGTACGAAAAAAACATAGGCGTTAGGTGAACAACTTGGTTTACCTGGAACCCCCGCTGCTGATATTTTATCAAGACTTGGTAAGCCTGATGAAATGACTCCCTCTATTGGACAACAATCTGCTACCATCCAAACCATGCCAGGTAAAGATATAAAAGAAATCACGATACTCGCACTTTTTATCTAACGAATAGTTTGCTTTTATAGGTCCTGTTATTCCCGGAGGTTCATCAGGTGAAAGTGCCCAATCATTTTATTTTGTATATAATATTACTCCCAAGAAGGATTATCTTTACTTTAAGGTAAACGTTCTTACTCAGTGATTTTAGATAACACACTCTTATATACTTAACTTTTTTTACTTTATATAGATTGACCCTGTTAAAGAGACTGTCATTACATCAGGTTGGAACAGATCCAACGAGTAAAATACACATACCTTTTTTTTTTGAAATAAAGAATTTTTGGAAATAAAATCATAGGATGTGTTATTGAAGCGTTTTTACCTAAAACAGCTAATGCTAAAAAGAACTTTTGCATAATCACAATGATTTAACAAAAGAGACCTTGTGTAGGAGAGTCCATTTTCAACTAATAGTCTTTTAGCATAAGCATCTACATGTTTTTTGCCACTATCTTATCAAATGCGTTCATGTACAAACAAAGTGACAACGCTTTTTAATCGAAATTATGCAATCGTGACAAGCAGGTGGATTTCAAAGTGAATTTTTCTAGCGCCCAACAAGCTACTGCTTTAAACATAACAAAATGAAAAAAAACGCCCTAATAGAATCTGCATTGCATATAATAGAATAACAAACGATTCATGAAAGCATATTTTTCTCAAAAGTCTAGATCGGTTGGTGATAAACTAGGGTAAGTCCCATTTTACGGTTTACTTCATGCCAAGTTCTTTCTGGGTAGTAGCGACAAGAAAACATTTACCTTGGCAAAAAAAAAGTCCTTAGCCTAAATTGTATACACGGTTTAAAAAAAAAGTAACAACATGTGATGTCTATCTAGTTTACTGTATCTAAAATATTACTTTGATTAGTACAATAGCTCTACTGATATACTTGTCAAATTGGCAGTAGATTTTACTTAAGTCTGATAAGAATAAGTGCCATGTATCATTTGACAGTGTTTATGAGATAAAAGTCTGTACCTTTTTTTACAAAAAAAAAAAAAAAAGGTGCTACGTCTGAGTTTTAAAAAACCGGCGCAAAAAAAAAGGCGTCTTATGGCAGATCCCGAAGAGATGTATATGCCAGCGAATAGAGAGAAAGATGCGCATTGTAGCAAGAAGGTATACGGGGGGAGAAGAGTGTATAGAATTGAGTAGGAGATACAATTCTCAGGTCCTTGGACCTTTTTTTTTCCTTTTATCTTTGGTTTCCCGTTCTGTGTAAGGCAGATTTTCGTTTAAATACCTCATCTGATTTTAATTTTATATCCAAAAAAGAAGGCGTTCGTCACCTCCCCTTTAGTGTATACGCGTAATATATAATATGACATGTGTGTATATGTTCGAGTAGAAAATTTACCGGGATAACCTATATTTTAGAAAAAACAAGCCTTGTAATCCCATACATCATCATTATAAACTTTTTTTTTTCGGGGTTATTTTTCGAATCGGTTGTCATCCCGTGATTTTGTGTGTGTGTGTGTGTGTGTTTGTAAAAATAAGTGAAGCACAGTTGTCTTTGGTTAAGTGAAAAACACAAGGCACACTAGGAGAGAACTATATACGTATGAAAAAAAAAAGAGTGATCATTCGACTGCATATTTAAAGAAGATGAGAGAACAAAAAAGAGGATGAGCGTTGTGTATATGTTTGTGTGGGATTCTATTTCAAGTGCAGCTGTGTGTGATGTAATACATGCCAAGTTTTATAAGAAGAAATAAACTTTTCATAAAAAAAAACTTTTTTCTTTTCTTCTTTCCCCAATAAAACATTCAAAAATAAAAAAAATGTCTGCTGAATACGGTGCTATTAATACTCAAGATGAAGAGACTCCTTTGGTGTCAAGAGAGGTAGAGACCCAAGAGACCTGCAAGCAAAAGTGCCAACGTATCTTCCACAGCCATCGTGTCCATATCATTACCGGTTGGTTCCTTGTCATTGCTCTCACTGCTGCTTTAACTGTTGGTGCTCATTTCGCCTTCTTCAAGGATAACACTCCTGTTGATACCACCCCCGAAGATGTTCAAATGCAATGTGTTTCTGAACGCAGTTGGTTTGTTTCCCTTATGCTCTCTATCTTTCTCGGTCCTTTAGGTATTTATAGCAACAGAAAGATTAAAAGGAAAGAGGGGTGCGGGCAGTGCACTTCCCCCCTTTCCTTTCTCTCATGTATGTGATATATTAACTCTTTCTTATTAGGTGTTGATCGTTTCTATCTCGGTTATATTTTCCTCGGTATCTTGAAGCTCATCACTGCTGGTTTAGGGTAAGTTTTTTATATATACTTGTAGGTGTTATACTATACTGACCTTTATTTTTTATTTATAGTGGTATTTGGTGGACTATTGATGTTGTCTTGATTGCTCTTAATGTTCTTAACGATCACCCCAACGGTTGTCACTTGAGATAAAATTACTATTCCCCCTTTCCCAACCAACATCCCCTATATCCAATAGTATATATAATAAATAATTTTCTTTTTCTCTGTACACACACAGTTTGGTGTTTTACCCTCGGGTTACACAATAGTTTTTTTTTCATGCCTTGGCGGGGCTTGCATTTTAAATGGGTAAAAGGTGTAATACACAAGTGACACGCGAGTATAGTGAACACAACAAGAATGTACATGCAGCAGCAAAAAAGTCAGAGCTTTTGCATGACAACGTAAAAAGTAAAAGAAAAAGTGTGTTTGTGTGTGTGCGTGTGTGTGGGGAATCTAAATGGGTTTATTAACGATTCTTTGTATAAGGGCCCATACGTTCTCTTTCTTTCTTTGCTCTGACATCAACGTTACGTTCTTTCCAGGTACTCTTACGCAATTTGATGGGACGATTTCCAACATATTTGCCTAAACGTATACAAATGTTAGTATCTAAAAACACACACACACACACACATATATATATAAAGAGTTTTTACCGTTCATTTCTCTCCAGGCTTTCACAAAATCATCGGGATCTTTAAAACTGATGAATCCAAACCCTTTGGATTTCATGGTCCTTGTATCTCTTACGACACGCGTCCTTAACAAACTGGGGTACTTTGAAAAGGCCTTGTATAAAATCTCTTCTGTGACCTCGTTACCCAAATCACCCGCAAACAATCGGAAATCATTATCATCCCAATCCTCCAACGAGTGATCTTCCCATACTTCTCCTCCCGCTGCTCTCACTACTTTTTTCGTCTTTTTCTTGGTGGTGGTTGTCACAGACCCGTCTCCTCCTTCACCTGTTGTACCCGATTCGCTCGCTACGGCGGGTGATTGACCTTGATGACTCGTGGAGCCTGTAGGTCCTGCATACCCTGATTTCGTGATGATAATGGGGCCAATGGGATTATTGGCATTGGCAGTGGATGGGTAATAGACTTTAGGTGCTTGTGAAGCGGATGTGTTGTAAGCGGATGTGGGTGTAGGATTATATTTCGCAGCTGCATGGGCAGTAGCAGCAGATTGGATCGCAGTGACGGATTCAGGTAATGGCACACCACTGCCACCCATGGTGTGGTATCCTTGTGAATACGATGGATCATAATAAGCAGGCTGTTGTGCATAATATTGATCGTAATTATAAGAAGCGTTGGTGGTGTCAGCTACAGCATTGGCATCAATGTAAGTACCTGTATTGTAATCGTAATAATATTGATTGGGATCATAGTATTGGGCATTAGGATCAGAGTAATCTTGCGCGCCAGTGGAAGTAGTAGCAGCAGCAGTAGCAGCAGTGTTGTAGTCGGTATATTCAGTCTCGGTATAATAGTCTTGTTGTGGGGGCACTACATAATCGGCGGGTACAGCATAATCATTCACTGCGTATTGTTCTGCCGCGTATTGGGGTTCTTCTGGTTTCTTTTCGTCTGGCATTCGATGAAAAAAGTGTTTTTATTTTATTTATTTGGAACTCCCTTTCAGCGATATAATCATGAAAATATTTTTTTTTACAAATCCGAATAATCATGATTGGCTTAAACCAAAAGGCGTCTCTCTTTTGTATTTTAAGAAACGATATTTGCAAAAAGAGGAAGGATGCAAAAAAATGAGGCGTAACAAGATGATAAGTTGATGCTCCGTATTGAAAGAGAAAGCCACAAAAGTGTGTGGAATGAAATGAACTTTAAAAGGGGGAGGTGGTCCTCCCTTCTACATTACATTTGAGGCTGTCATCTTTTTTTGTGATTTACATCCCATTGTTTCACACTCTGTTTTGTTCACAAACAGTATAGTGGTCCGTTCCTTTTGTGCGTGTGAGATATCAAAAAGTGATTGCAAGAAGAAAAAGGAGGGGGCTGAGGGGCAAAATAAAAGACTATTCTTGGTAAATTTAACTTGTTCTAAACCCAGAATATCCTATTGTTCTCTGTCTCTCCTTGAACGCCGAACACCAAAAAAAAAAGCCTCAAAACTGTGATAAAGTTACACGTTATGTTATTGTTACCTTTGTTTTGCAAAAAAGTTCTATTATTAAATCAGGTTGTACAAAATGACCATCCAAGTGGCGTTTGTTGAACCTCAAAAAAAAAAACAAAAAAAAAAAAATTGGGCTTAGCAACTAATTTTTTTTTTGCGTTTGAAAGTGGTTGCTAGAGGGCTTTGCTAGGCAGCCTACACGTATACAATTTATATTTTGGCTGATGTTTATCTAAAGTTTGTTCGTAGTCATGACAACGGAATTGTGTGGGGGAGAGGTAAGCCCCTAAAAATAAATCCTTCTTTTTGTAGACATTTAAAAATGGGTTGTCGGGGTGGGCTTTTAAAATATGAGGCTTGTTTCGAAAAAGAGAGTAAACAAAAGGGAAAATTATAATGACACTTCAGCCGTGTTGAAGATATAAATACGAACAAAGTTTTTCTTTTTTAATCTCTTCTTTCTTTACACATTCTACATATATAAATACTGGACCACCCCCTTTTAAACAACCAAAAATGACCTTCCATCAAGAACATAATCATAATACAACAAATCACTTTACAAAAGACAATGAATTTTGTCAGCAGCAGACGGAAAAGCAAAGGATTGGATTTATACTAGATGATAAAAGAGATGAAGACATGTATCACAGCAAAAGATTACCAGCGCTAGAACAGAGTTATCAAAAGAGATTATCCAATATGCAATTTATACCCTATGACCCATCAAAACAATCATTACAAAGACTCCCCTCACCCTTTCATGACGAAGAAACACTCATTAAACAAGAACGTATGCCCCCAACAGCCAATGAACTCGAATATATCAAAAGAATACAAGCACTAATGACACTGGTTGCAAGACAAACCAAAGAAATACAATCCCTTCGAGAAATCATCAAATCCCATAATAATAATAATCCTAATAATGATATGCCTATGAACAGAAAAAGAAATAAACAATCTTAATATTTTACAAAGTCCCCTTTTCTATATTTTTTCTTTTCCCAATTTTTTTTCCTTTTCCTCTCTCTTTCTTTTTTCTTTTTTACTTTTTACAGTGTGTGTGTATTATTATGGCTGATCTCGATAGGTAAACCATCTTTTTACACTCTATTTTTTATGTTTGTTTTCCCATTTTTTTAATACGCGTGTGGCTAGACAACTAGACCAACTGAGAAGAGGTGAAATTATTACAGAACAAGAAGTGAAGGAGCTATGCACAAAAGCAAGAGAAATCCTGATTGAAGAAAGCAACGTTCAACGAGTCGATGCACCCGTCACTGTAACTATTCTTAAACTACATTTGAGCTCCCATCTAAAGAAAATCAAAAAAATTTCATAGATTTGTGGAGATATTCATGGTACAGCAACAGAGTTACCCTGGCCTTCCCCCCTCTTTTTTATTCGATTAACTCTCCTAGTGACCATTAACATTTTTATTTTTTTCCCCTCTCCCATCTAGGTCAGTTTCATGATCTGAAAGAGTTATTTCGAGTCGGTGGTGAATGTCCAGAAACCAACTACCTCTTTATGGGTAAGTTCATGTGAATGAAAGCAAGCAAAATAAAATAAAAAAGAAAGTCTAACATCTCCATAGGTGATTTTGTGGATCGTGGTTATTACTCTGTCGAGACGTTTCTCTTGTTATTGGCGTTGAAAGTGAGATACCCTGACCGCATCACTTTGATTCGAGGCAACCATGAGAGTCGACAAATTACCCAAGTGTATGGCTTTTACGATGAATGTACACGTAAATTCGGATCAGCCAATGTCTGGCGATACTGCTGCGAAATTTTCGATTATTTGAGTTTGAGTGCCATCATTGACGACAAAGTGTTTTGTGTTCATGGTGGACTTTCACCCAGCATAAATACATTGGACCAAATCAGAACCATTGACAGAAAACAGGAAGTGCCTCATGATGGTGCCATGTGTGATTTACTCTGGTCCGATCCTGAAGGTATTATTTTAGCTTTTTTTTTTTATTAATAGAGAGAGAAAGAGAGGCTTATTGTTTATGATATTAGAAATTGAGGGTTGGGGGTATAGCCCGAGAGGCGCAGGATATCTGTTCGGTGCAGATATCGTACAAGGAGTAAGTGCATCTTTTCTTGCACAATCATGTTTATTTTTAACCATTGTTCCTGTAGTTTTTACATGCAAACGGGCTTAATTTGATTGCCCGTGCACATCAGTTGGTGATGGAAGGATACAAACCCATGTTCGAGGATACAATTGTGACAGTGTGGTCTGCACCCAATTATTGTTACAGATGTGGCAATGTAGCAGCAATACTGGAATTAGATGATTATTTAAACAAGGAATACAAGTTGTTTGAAGCAGCGCCTCAAGTAAGCCCATCTTTTTTTTTTTTTTTTCGTGTGGATGTCGTTTCTATTGTTGCTCACATTCTTCTTCTTTTTGTAGCAAGACCTTCGAGGCACACCTCAAAAGAAGGCTTTACCAGATTACTTTCTATAAACCCCCCACTGTTTTGAGTGAAAAGCAAAAAAAAAAAAAAGAATGATTCTCTCTTTTTTTTTTTTTTTTTAGGTTTTTTCTTTTTTTTTTTCTTTTTTTTTTTTTTTAATAATATATGTATAGTGGAGACTTTACAAATAGAGGTCTCTCAAAAATAACAAGACTCGGTCAATAATTGACATTTGAGTTGCATTCGTGTATCCCATTCTATCTGAGATGTCGTTTGATAAAACTCTTCAATGCATAAAATCCAATCTGTCACACTTGATTGGTGGTCTTCAAGGAGGATTTGACCCTTTTGAAAAAGCACGACATGAGTTACTGCAATTTCATACATGGCATAAGGTATCCAATTCGACTGAAACGTCAACGTTTTATGGAAGCACATCAAGGCCAGTTCGGTATCGCCTCGATGATCTCTTGCAATCACACCCTGTAACAGAAACAAGAACGGGTCCACCCCTTCATGAAGTTCGATCTCCTCACGTATCGATCGACAAAAATCGCCTACGCCGTTGCATAGATACACTAGTTCCCAAAGCGGATGTATGACCATGGACTGTAATGTCTCTCTTAGCGATCCATTTTTTTCGCTGGACAACCAATGGCGGATCTTGGCCTCTGCAAACTGATCCTGTACGGATAATTTCTTTTGTGAGTCTAAAAGTAGCACAATTTGTCTGATTTCAAGAATAGATTTATCATAGGATTGATTGGCCAACATGCAACAAGTGGCCAAGTAATGATAAAACACGCGAGACCAACTAGTGCTTTCACTAATCAGACAAAAGAAAGTTTCACATGCTTGCACATATTCCCCCGCCAATATATAGGACCAGCCTAATTCATACAGCGTCAACGATCGAAATTGGGATAATTCCGTAATCGATACGGTTCGAAAATCAACGTTCATACTTTGCTTTTCAAATCCGTGGTTAGCATTTTTCACTTGCTCGAATAGTCGGATGCTGCCCTTGCGGTTTAGTTTGCCTTCGAGGAGGATCCAGATGTATCCGCTGGGGTATTGAGATTTCATGCGTTGGAGTAAAGTTGTGGCTTCCTCGTGTGTGAAGAGCGTATTAATGTGTGGGTAGAGGTATGTCGAGATGTCCGTGTAAAATATCAGTAGCACCAGTGCACTGAGAGACGAATACATGGTTTCACTCCCATGAGCCTTTTGTAATAATTGAATCGCTGTTCTTCTGGAAGAATGAAATCCTAAACCGTTCAATATTTTCTTTACTACATGTATACAATTAAATTATTTACAAACAAACAAACAGTCTTCTTTTTGTTGTTCTAACCTTTGATGGGTAATAAGGAAAAAATGACATTAAATAAGCCAATACCAAAGTAGGCGCCATGCTCAACTGTTTCATCCAGCACGTCATCATTGTCGTTATTGTGGTATAAGGATACAGTACGTCTCACTCTGGAAGGTTTATTCTCCCTGTCATATTCCACCAGTGTCATTCCCGTGACAGTTTCAAATAAACGTTCATACATTTTGTAAGCCTTGCGTAATTCATACGCAGCTTTCAGATGATCGATCCAGCTCTCCTTTAAAAACTGAAGTGTGGCGGACATGAGGATGCAATTTGCGTACATTAATTCCAGCTGCAAGTCGGTTGTGGTAGCTGTGGTTGTGGTTGTGGTGGAGGGGGTGGTGGAAGCATAATGATCAAGACTAGGCGCGGAAAAGGAAGGATGTAGAGTGGATTGTTTTCCATGATGTTTCTTTATTCGAACGGTGGAAGATAAAATGCGTTTGAGAAGGAATTGAACGTTTGCGACGGAATCGATGGCTTGATCTATTTTGGAGCGTTCCATAGTGGAGAGCATGGCTTTAGCATAAATGAGTAAAGCATGACCAAAGGCATGGAAAGGAGAAGAAGAAGAAGAAAAGATATCTTCGGCAGACATCATTTGATCATTTAAAAGAGCATCCTATAGGGTGTTAAACAATACATTTTTATTTATTTATTTATTACATGGAGAAACAAGCTTACGAGACCCGCTTGAGTATCTTTTAACCAAGATTCGATTAAATTGGGTGTGATTGGGTCTTGGTGATAATAATGTGAGAATAAAGAGCTTGTATATTTCGAGGTGATTTTAGATAATTGACGAAACATAAAGAAGAGAGAGAGAGAAAGAAAAAAGGGGGGTAGTGGGTATTGTTGTTTTTTGTTTTTTTTTAAAAATGGGGATTTTTTTTTAAGGAGTAATATTATTAAATAGTATACACAAGTCTAAATAAAAGTGGTATTTCGTAAATTGGGTCGTATGGAACGCAATGTTTTTTTCCATCTGGATGTTTTTGGTTTAAAAGGAGGCGTTGAGGCATAAGCAAAAGCCACCGTGGGACGATCACTCACTTCTAACTGGATAATCTCCTCGTGTCTTGTATTCCAGTTATTTCTTTTCGTATCTACAGACGCCGCTTTTCGAACCTTAAAAAAAAATCGAGGAGACATCAATAAATAGAACCCCTCTCTCCTTATAAGAACATCTATCCGCTTACCTGCTCAAACGACGATGACGCTGGTGCGCTGGGTTTATGATGAAGACTGGATATCCTTCGAAGCACTTTACCCACAAACAATTGTCGTCGACTCGCGCTCTTTTCCAACTTCTTCTGTTGCGGCTGTTCCGTCACAGGCGATTCGGAAATACCTCGACTTTGTGACATCTTCCGTAATAACTGGCTGCTTTGTGAAGGTCGCCTTGATATCACTCGTTGTGTTCGATCCAAAGAGCTGGAACATGAGCTGGTATTGGATTGAATATCGTATTTATCCGTGCGTTTAGGGATCAAGGAAAAACTCGAGGCTGAAGATCGAATAAACGAGGTGGATTTGCGTTTAGATAGGCCATCCTGATTTGTAGTAAATTCTACTGTGGGTGATGTACTTGTACTGGTATAATAGGAGAGTGAAGAAGAAGTGGTATTATCTCGCATCTGCCAAGCTCGTGACTCTAAATATTCTTGTGTACATACATCTCGTAATTTATGATCCACAGTCAGTCGCAACGCATTTTGATGATTGCTTTTAAATTGCAGCGACATTTTTCCAATCATGTTTCCCGTGTTGTTTGCAGCCGAAAGTAAATCCAGTGAACTGGGTCTTTTCCGTGCAAGTCCACCCGAAGAAGAAGGGAATAAATCAGGCTTGATGTACATTTCTGAGTTATTTCGAGGTTTTAAAGCTTGTTTTTTTGTACAAGAAGAATAATCTGCTGAGTAGCGTTTCTTTAACGAAACTTCCTGTCGTGTGGCGGATTGGATCAGTTCTTGGAACTGAAGATTGGTGGAAACGGAACGACGCAAGTTATTTGCCTTGGCATCTCCCGAAGCCAAATCTAAAATATTCGTAAAAGATCTGGATAATCGAATGCTTTGAGGAGATCTTTTACCCGTAATCCCCGGAAGTGAAGAGACGATGAAATCTTGTGCAGACAGATTTGGCATGACAACCTCTGATTTTGTAGCAGCAATGGCTTCTCCGATCTGTTTGACCCATAATTGTTTTTCCTGCCAGCAGCTGGCACTGAAGGCAAAGGTATGCTTCTTACAGCGCAAGACAAAGGCATGTTCACGCTGACCTTCAATATCATTCAAGTCTTCAAAATCGGTCATTTTCAATGGGAACCAATGTTTAGGTTCATAACTGGTGATTTTTTTAGGTCGGACCATAATGATGTAAGATCGAAATAGAAAGCAACCCAGGTAACGAGGTTTGGAAACGGATTGTCCTAAAGCGGAATAAGTCACTTCAATACCACCCGCCATGAGAAGACTGTCAAGTTGGGCAACATATTTTTTACTGATGCGCCAATCACCTCCATCCAAGCGTGCAATGAATTTATCCGTGCGTTCCTTTCGGTCTCGAATGAATTTACAATGATCAATTTCGGTCACGATGCCTTGAATTCTGTCCAAGGCTATATTCCACAAGTCGTATTCTGTAGATTGAGGAGGTGTATAACGTAGAATTTCTTTAATCAATAATTGATATCGACATATTCTCTGCACTGGCTATTATTTTATTTTATTTTGGTAAAAAAAAAAAAACGTATGAAATTTTGAATAAAACTAGATGGAATTTTATAAAAAAATAAAAGAGGGGGAACTTACTTTAATAAGATAATCTTGAAAATGTAATTTCTTTTGTTGTTGTTGTTGCATGATGGAATCATTTAATAAATTTAAATTGAGTGGGATTGAAAATGAATTTATTAGTGCACACTCTCGTAAGAAATGATTCCATTCAGGTCGATCTCGATACTCTGTAGTTAGGGCCCATGCTTCTGCGTGCATATCACAGTAATGCTTGTAAAGTGAAAAAGATGACATCTATCATATATACAGGTTTAAATCACGTGTGGCCTTTTTGGATATCAATACTTTTTTTTTTTGGTACCTGATCTATAAACGTCTTTGCAACACAAGACCAATTTTCGGCCAATGCTGCATCAAAGGATACGATGAAATGTTTATGAAATTGCAAGATATCAAATGAATTTCTAGCAATGATGGATTTGTGTTTGGATGATATCCATTGTTGACGAAATAAAACTTCTAAACAAACCTAACAATTTAGAAAAAAAGAAAATGCTTTTTTAGTATATAAGGAGAATAATAATAATAATAGGAGCTTTTTTTTTGTTGTTGTTACTTGAACTAAATGAGTCAGGTCGTGCACGTAATCGCGTTCGGTCTGTAGTAATTCCTCCATGGCATGTACTTTTTTTCGAAGTAACTTTTCCACTGGTTCTTGTGAAGACTTGGGGTCGATAGGTGTGGTATTTCCAGTGGATACTTCCTCTTCTTCTTCTTCCTTTTCCTCAGAATTCGACGATATACTGCCGCTACAGGAACAAATGGATTCCATATTGGGAGAGGTGATTTGATTGGCTGATTTGTAACAACAACAGTAACAACAACAACAACAGCAAGAGTGAATAGGTTCATCATGCAGTATATTATTTGAATTCATATGGTTATAATCTAGGTTTGCGCGTCTAGAATAAACCAATCAACATGTGTACAATTATAAAAAAAAAATTATACTATCTCTCAGTGGCAAAAAAAAAAAAAAAAAAAAAAGAAAAAGGGAAAAACAAATACAAAAAAAAAAAAAATAATAATAATCAAAAGAAAAAAATGAGTTCCTTTTTATCTCCTTCCCCTCTTTTTTATCCTCTCCTCATTCCACCCCCTTATTTCTTATTCTCCCCCCATACACAACAGTTAATATATTTATACATTTATGCATCGCTTTACATGTCAAAATCACCGTGGCTTGGTGTATTACAGAATATAAAAACTCGGATTATTTCATTGGTTTTGGAAATGCATTGTTGAGGGTTTTTATTTCTTCATAATAACTCTTTCCCCTTCCACCACCAAACCTAAGCATAATTAGACAACATTATTCCAGGGTTGCCCGCTACTTAGTAGATAACCATGGTTACCCTCCTTTAAAAAAGAGTAGTTGACAGTTTGGGGTGAGTGATTGAGGGAGAATGACACACACTCAATCCTTTTAGCCTATCTGGGTAGATGATAATAATCACAATTGGTTTGCATCGCAAGGTTATAAAAACCTGCATGATACATGTTTTTTTTCTTTACACTATTCACTAGTGTGTAATAAACTAAAAACCATATGTCCCCTGGGAGAGCTATTTTTACTCTTTGGCCTGTCTACAAGATGATTTATTGTCAACCCGCCCTCTTGGCAAAAAAAAAAAAGATAAATGAGGGAACGGGGGCGGAATGCAGGATTAGAATAAGTAAAAAAGCTTTAACTTTTCCCGCTAAAAAATTGTGGCTCTCGTACGATGCATATTTTGCCTTTTGCACAAATGATACGGTTTTTTTTGAACCGTCTAATTTGATGGAGTTTATAAATAGCTTGAGGGAAAAGTAAATGGCATAAATTGGAGTCATCGTCTGGCACCCAAATCCTTATCTGACGCACACTTCTGACATTCATCGTGACTGCTGTTCAATTTAGGTACAATGAGAAAGTCATGGCATCTCTTCTTTTTTTTTTTGCATAAATAAGGCTGAGTATGGTGATTTCCCAACATACGATAAAAATATCCCGGCCGTCTTCTGATAATGGCGTACGGTAAAGAGAAAGTAAAAAATGTATGATATCCCGGGGTAGCTGCCTTTTCAAGTGTTGTGGCGTGCTTTATTTCTTTATAAAATCATGCAATACATGGGTAAAAGAAGCCAAGTTTCAAAAAAACCAACTTGGAGCTGTTTTTTGTACTGATTGATTCTTTTCCAACAAAATCATGCACTTGTGTGTTTATGTTTACCTCAAAAAAACAAATATTACATTTTAGATTACTGGCGTTAAGTATTAATCACACTCCGGCCATTCTATTGGTTCTTGTCGGGCTGTTACCAAACCGGCATGAATTAGTTTGCCTTTTCGATGAAAAAGTTGGTTTTCTTTACCGCTTTCTTGAGTCCAGATTCTAAATATGAGATTTATCATTACAAGCTTCTCTGAGTGTGTCGATGTGGGAGAAGCTTTCTCTATCTCTCTCTGATAAAATGAATTATGATGATGTCATTTAAGGTGACTTGTGATTTTTTATTACTGATTTCATCGCTTTATGAAGTGACATAAATCATGCATTTGGGGCTTTCAATCGTACTTTATAAAGGATAGAATTCGATGCTGCATAGTTATCATATGGGACGACAAAACAACATATGATGTTCCGCTGCCAAACGTATTTAATCACCTTTATTGATAAACCATCATGTACGTCAGATTCCCATGTATGTACAATGACAATATACCAAGTTGGATCATTGTTTCTCATTATAGAGCTATACCCCAAGATCTCCGATGTAGCGCCTACATTAAATTTCCTCTGTTTTCTCACTGACATGATGATATCAGGGGGTTGGCCATCATATTGTTGTATTGGTTTTAGTGAGACTTCCCACATGTTCAGAAGATTCAATTGTTTATCATGAAAAAAGCTATATGGAACCCTTATTGGTTTATATGATTAAGTAATTGGGCGTAAATTATTGTTTACATAATCCTGACGTAAACCCAGTTTATAAATATCTTTTTCTAACACTTTCTTTCTTTCTTTCTTCTTCTTCTCCCTCTGTTCCTCACCTTTCAGCAACTTATAGGACAAGGGCTTTTCTAATGGGAAGACTAATTTAATGGCTTATATTTCCCTTAAGGAGGAAAACTACAGGCGAAGGAAATGCATTGTTTCTAGTTGGGCTCACTGCAATAAATAGTTTTTTTAAAAAAAGCTGCGCGAAGACTCCTAAGTGCTCCATATTATTGATAGTTAGAGTAAATAAAAGTATTGTTAAACTTCTACTTACGACTATGAAAAGTAGGTAATTTAGCCCACTTATCGGCAACGGCATCTTGGCGCGTTATGACAAAAATTGGGGGAAGACGAGGAATGGGTTGTTAGGAATTGGAATTATTGTCAATTATTTAAGATGATAACAAACAATTAAAAGAGTTGAACGAAATCTAATCCTTCAACTCCCAAGCGTTTGGTTCCCTACCGGCGGCAGCTATGTTTAAACACCGATGATCAGCAATTGAAAAACGAGTGTAGATCTACACCGATTTGCTGATCAACAGCACCACTATCCAACTTAAAGAATTCGATAAGAAATGGATAAAAAGAAAGCATGATTGGGAGTTTCAGAGTCTTTTTTTCCCATCAAGAGCTAGTTTTTACTGATCACTCTGAGTTCGATCTTCTTCAACAGCTATGGCAATTTGTATATAGACAGTTTGGAGATTGCAGCATCCAAAAAGATGCAGACAGTAAAAAGTTCAGCGTTGAGTCTATCATTGAGAGGACCCAAGGAGTATTTTTGGGGATTTCTGAAGAGATAACTAAACGCAATGGTAACCAGGCTGGACATCCTCTTTAAAAGGGGGAACAATTGCGTTGTCACTATCGATAAGCGTGGCGTCTTTGGCTTTTGTTGCGCTTGCCTTTAAATACATTGTTAAAAACGTATTTAATTCATGCAATCTAAAAGTAATCTTTCGCTCTTTTGATAACTACAATGGATGATGGCTTATTAAAAGCCATTTACGAGATAAGTTGTCTTCATCAGTGCAAAAAAAAAAACTAGCTGAAGTAAATGAAACTGAAAACAGTTTGGGGTTTATTATGATAGGTGAGTTAGTTGAAAAAATAGAAGTGAAGGGATAAAGTAACAAAAAAGTTGCATAGTCTTGAAAACGGAATTCTTGAGATTGGATATTCCACTCAGCTTAATATTCCAAGCTTTGTAATGCCGTAAACTATTTCCTTTCTAAGCCACTATAATCCCACAATAGTTGCTAAACCAGCCTATCTCTCTACCTTCTTTTTTACATCCATTCATTGATACAATCTATATGTGCTTGTAATTGTTGCCGTCACCTTTGACTTGAGAAGGCGTGACACCTTGTGGCGAGCAAATATTTTAATATAATCTGATAGGCCAGAATTATAAATTCCGCGCATGGACTCCAGTGTCACTTGATGTAATTAATGTTTTGCTGATCCCTCTGACTAATATTTATAGGTAATCTGTACGAAAGGAGCTGTTTATTAAACAAACATTACGAGATGTTGCATCCTCTCAATTATACTTTCCATGGATTTCCAAGACCAATTGAGCCTCAATATAAATATCCGCAGCTTTTTTTTTCTCATAGAATCAACCTTTGGACCCTTTTTAATTTATACTTTAAATGAAATGGTACACGGGTATAAGTTATTTTTTTATTTTGCTTGGATTTTCATGTTCAAGATGCTTAACTTTAACGATTTGAAAATGTCGCCACCCCTGGAAAATAGAAATCTATGTACGATCTGATGTTTATATAAATATATATTCGGTTGTTTCAAGAAATTCATTTAAAAGGGGTTAGAGGCAAAGGGATATAAACAACGCTCAATTCATTTTTATTTTATTTATACAACTGTCTTGTTGCCCATAAACTTGATTCGATTTAGATAAGGATTCTAAGCCAACAATGAATGTGATAAACCAACCATAATGATTGTTTATTTAGATTTATTTGAAATTATAGATTGTAAAAAAAAAAAATACTTAAGCGGTGATACCGTAAGTGGAGAAAGCTTGGACAAACTTGGCATCAATGGTATCGATATAAGCTTGAGCACTTGCAAGGAGAGCTTCAGGGGTGACAGCAATCAAACAACCATCTAATTTCTTGAGAAGAACAGATAAAGCCTTAACATCGGTCTTGACAATAGCAGTAGCGAAAGCGACAGCAGCAAAGTCAGGCTTCTTGGCAATGATGGCATCAAGAGAACCAGTAATATCGGGAACAATATCAGCAACAAGACCAAAGACAGCAGAGGCCTCTTCGTTAGAGACAGTGGTAGTGGTAGCACAACAAGCAGTGTTGGTGGTCTTGAGGAGAGCCTCAAGAGCTTGTTCAGTGTTGTGGATGGCGGTTGCACCAGCATAACCAGAAGCACTAGTGAAGCTATTGACCTATATATGAAACAAACAAAAAAGCAGTGAGTATTAAACTTTTAGTTATAAATGCGAAAAAATATTTACAGCAGAGGTGAGCTCCAAAAGCTTAGCATTGGAAGTAGTCAAGTTGTTGATACAGCTTTGAACATTGTCACTGATGGCACGCTTGTTTTGAGAAGCAGCGTTGACTATGTAATTAGTTCTGGTAAGTAATTTACTCCATAAAAAAATGTGACGGACTTACCAGAGAGAGCGAAAGCGGTGACAGTAGCTAAGATAGAGAAGGCACGCATATTGATAATTGTTCTTGAGAAGATGATTTGATGAATGAATAAAAAAAGCCAAACCAGTTTTCTTATTTATATAAAATCATCGACTTACTTTACGCGCCAAATCCGTAACCTTATTGTAATGTCTACATATTATTAATGATTACGCTCCCTACAATTGTGCGCCTGGGAAAAAATAAATGTCAGTTATACAAATGGAAAGCATATGTACTTCATGCTCACAATTCATTTATTGTTTCCGAGCACATGTGTAACTTGATGTATTGGCAGACTGAATTACGACCCCGCATTACGTCTGTGCGAGCTAAATGGGTTTATTTTCTTTTGTGATAGGTAGGAATTATACACAAGTACACAAAAGCCTGCATAATTTTTTTAAAAAATATTAACTGTGTGTTGCAATAATCGGTTTTGTATATGTATCCCCTAGTAACACGCGTATTATTGGGTGGAGATATCTATTCTAAAAAATCTAGCCTGCGTTTTAACAATTATAGAATGTTTAAAAAACATAAAGTTTAAAAATAAAGAATTTATAATTAGAATAAATGAAATACTCTTTTTTGGCACACATGTTTCAATTGAAATTGTACTCCTTGTATTTTGAAATGACAATATTGTTGTTTGTCCGTGAGTAAAAGTTACAGCATTTTCAATGATTTACTTTTTCTCCATCGTTGGGAAAAAAAATCCACTCAACCACAATGAAATGTTACAATTCCAATCATAGTCATCAAACCCCGGACGACCAAAAAAAAAAGTGATACGTCGTACAAAATATTCATCTATTTAGGATATGGGCTGCAGAATAAATTCTCTACAAATGGCAAATTATTATAGAATATAGTATCGTATATTTAGTTCAATTTTTAGCCCTTTCTTTCATAATTTTTGACATGGCGCATTTTTGTTTAGTTATTGCGGACAAAACTATTTGGCTCAATATATGAGTTTGCGTGCAAGTCATCTTACTCTTTTTAAAGAAACCCCCACGCAATATACTTTTGTGATAATCGCGTAACTACTTCCGAAAGTTTAAATCATTGAAAGGAAAATACCTCGCCCAATTGCAATGGCCAATCATCTTTGGCCCGAATATGTTACACTTCATGATTTCTGTGTTACTTTGTATCTTACCTTAATGCACAGACAATTCTTTTAGTTTAGACAGAGTATTACCCCATCGTTATTTAAGCTTGCACACCGATCCTGTTGAAAATAGCTAACATTAGCATTTCAATTATCATCCAGTATAGATTTGCCACTTGTGCATATCACATTCTTACTCCCTCTCAGACGTAACAATACGCTTATTCTCGCAATTATAAGTTGATAAATGTGTTTTATATGCTCGTGGTACGTATTAAACCCTTTCGGAGTAACAGCTGAATAGCTTGTGTCTTGACGGATGAAATAATATTATGAGAAAGTGATTTTTATTGGTACCGTACTATTTTTTTTTATTCCTCATATTGTATATGTACAAACCCACTCTTCTTTCGTGAACTGTTTTTTCTGCCATTGATGTAAAGCATTTCCCATCATCATACCGGAGTGTAAATCGGGTCTTTCAAGTCCATTGATGTAATATTGTTTCGCTTCAAGTCTATGAAATTTTGCTATTAAGACCAATTACAAAAAAGTATATATCTTATAACTCCAACCCGTCACGAGAATCCAGCATTTCGACCGTTTATCTGATAAGTTTATGGGCTACAAGAATACAGAAAGATTACATCTAGTGACCAGTATCTTGAACTAAAGAACTTCATATTTTAGCGTTCTCCTTCTGTAAACGGTACGATTGCCATACTTTGCAACGAAATAATATTGTCACAAAACTAAGTTTTATATTAATAGAGTTGGTTTTGTTACAATAAGAAGTCTTTTTTTGTACTAAAGATATTAATGTTTGATTTGCATTTGTGCAATACTTCAATAATAGAAAATTTTAATTTGCCGTTTGTATGAGCTTTTTTCTATCACTTAAATAATAATTAATTTTATGAACTATAAAGGTTGTGGCCAACACATAATAAAATGTTTAAGATTTGTTTGTCAAATATTGAACAATAAAACCCCCAAATCTTTACAATATGATCTAACCAAACCGCAGTTAAAGAGGAAAAATTATGACAAGAGTATTGCTTAAATAATATGATTGTTCTTTAAGAAAGTTAAACTTGAAAAAGTAAATGTATCTGCAGTCATTATAGTCTTTGTTAAGTAGACTTAGATGGGTCGGTATCGTTTGAATGATTGAACAAAGCCAAAAGAGATGTTATTTATTGACCTTTTAAAACAGCATCTTTAATATTTTAAATTTGGCATGCTTGAAAGATTCTGAACGAAGATTTACTTTTTATAGCTAGATACTTATTTGCTACTAATAACCATATTTCGAGATGTCTAAAAACATTTGCATACAAAATGCTTTGGAGCAATAGGATAAATATAAATGGGTAATTATTTCATTGCTACTATAACATACATTGCCCTGTCCGATTTTATATTTATATTTTCAATTACAAACAGTAAGACAGTAATTAATGAGATAAAATAATCAATAAGATTGCTTATTTATATTTATTTGAATTTATAGATTGTAAAAGGAAAAGAAATATTACTTAAGCGGTGATACCGTAAGTGGAGAAAGCTTGGACAAACTTGGCATCAATTGTGTCGATATAAGCTTGAGCACTTGCAAGGAGAGCTTCAGGGGTGACAGCGATCAAACAACCATCTAATTTCTTGAGAAGAACAGATAAAGCCTTAACATCGGTCTTGACAATAGCAGTAGCGAAAGCGACAGCAGCAAAGTCAGGCTTCTTGGCAATGATGGCATCAAGAGAGCCAGTAATATCGGGAACAATATCAGCAACAAGACCAAAGACAGCAGAAGCCTCTTCGTTAGAGACAGTGGTAGTGGTAGCACAACAAGCAGTGTTGGTGGTCTTGAGGAGAGCCTCAAGAGCTTGTTCAGTGTTGTGGATGGCGGTTGCACCAGCATAACCAGAAGCACTAGTGAAGCTATTGACCTATATATGAAACAAAAAAAGCCGTAAGTATTAAACTTTTAGTTATAATTGCGAAAAAAAAATATTTACAGCAGAGGTGAGCTCCAAAAGCTTAGCATTGGAAGTAGTCAAGTTGTTGATACAGCTTTGAACATTGTCACTGATGGCACGCTTGTTTTGAGAAGCAGCGTTGACTATGTAATTAGTTCTGGTAAGTAATTTACTCCATAAAAAAATGTGACGGACTTACCAGATAGAGCGAAAGCGGTGACAGTAGCTAAGATAGAGAAGGCACGCATATTGATAATTGTTCTTGAGAAGATGATTTGATGAATTAATAAAAAAAGCCAAACCAGTTTTCCTATTTATATAAAAATCATCGACTTACTTTACGCGCCAATTCTGTAACCCTATTATAATGCCAACACATTATTAATGCTTATGCTTTCTACAATTGTGTGCCTGGGAAAAAATAAATGTCAGTTATACAAATGGAAAGCGTATGTACTTCATGCTCACAATTCATTCATTGTTTCCGATCACATGTGTAACTTGATGTATCGGCAGACTGAATTAGGATCCCCGCATTACGTCTGTGCGAGCTAAATGGGACTATTTTCTTTTGTGATAGGTAGGAATTATACACAAGTACACAAAAGCCTGCATAAAGTAATCTAAAATAGTTACTGAGTGTGTTGCAATTGTCGGTTTATATTTTATCTCCTAGTAACACGCGTATTATTGGGCGGATTTATATCTTTTAACAAAAAAATTGACCTACTTTTTAATAATTGCAGAATATTTAAGGACATAAGGTTTATGATATAGAAACTATAATTAAAATTAAGCGATATAATCTTTTTGACACACATGTCTCAATTGAAATTGTTATCTTCTTATTTTGAAATGACAATAGTTAAGATTGTTGTTTGTCCGTGAGTAAAAGTCATAAAATTTTTAAAGATTTAGTATTGCTTCCATCGTTGGGAAAAAGTCCACTCAATCACAATGAAATGTTACAATTCCAATCATGGTCATCAAACTCCTGAATGACCAAAAAAAAAATGATACATCGTACAAAATATCCATCCATTAAGGAGTTGGTAGAATGAAATCTCTACAAATGGCAAATTATTATAGAGTATAGTATCGTATATTTAGTTCAATTTTTAACCCTTTCTTTCATGATTTTTGACAGGGTCGTTTCTGTCCATGTATTGCGGACAAAACTACTTTGGCTCAATATTTGATTTCGCGTGCCAGTCACCTTTTTCGTTTTAAATAAACCCCCACGCACTATACGTTTGTGATAATTGCGTAGCTACTTCCAAAAGTACACAAGAAACACTCGGTCAATACAATGCCCAATCTTTAACCCGAACCTGTGATACCTTCTCGTTTCTGTGTTACTTCATACTTTGTTTAGATACACGCGCAAAAATTATTTTAATTCAGACAGCGTATTGTCCCGTCTTCATAAAAGCTTGCACGCTAATTAGATTAGCATGTTAAAGATATCTATCATCAACATTACGATTATCAGCAGCTACTATGTATTTCTGTCAATTGTTTATAATTTGCATTGTATCTCCTTCTCATACGTAGCGATAAGCTTATTCTCACAAGATGTTAAATGTATATTATACGCTCATACATTTTAAGCCCAGTTAGAGGAACGATTGCAGCTCACATCGTGACTGATGATAAAAATACAATGAGAAGGTGGGGTTTATTGGCACTTTTTTTTTTTTACTTTGGTATCGACAGAAAATGTTTCCCTACCATCAACTTAAAGTATAAATTTATAAAATCAAATATTTGAACTTCATTAGGCGTGGTTTATCTTCGCTTAAAAGTAATGGGCTGCTGGTGATTTTATGACTAATTACAAAAAAGTGTAGAATTTCTATCGCCAATCCTAAGCCGAAGAATGCGAAATGTTTGTATTTGATAAATTTATGATTCCTGTACAAATGCCAAAAATGACAACATCTAGTGAAGTAAAGAGTTCTTTCAGCTACTTTAATAAATGGGACTATTTCCATAATCACTACATGAAACACATCTGCTATAAAAACCGGGTTCTTCATATATAGAATGATCTTTAGTACAACAATTAGTAGTTTTTCTATAAAGACTTGAAGGCTTAATTAACATTTGTGATATTCTTGGATTATAAAATTTTATGATTTGCTGCCCGTATGAACATATTTTCTATAATTAATAAGTTACTTGGATTGACAAAAGCTGTCGTAGATAACACAATAAAAAGTTCAAGTTCTACATATCGATTATTAAATTATAGTACAAAAAAATAAGCCAGAGGTCTTTAGGACAAAATTTAACATCCATCATTATATTTATTTAAATATGAATTGTAATAATAAATAAATAAATTAAGACGTGATATTGTAGGCGGCATAAGTAGCTATAAGCTTAGTATCAATGGTATCCATGTAGGATTGAACAGTAGCAAGAAGAGGCTCAGGAGTTACAGCAATCAAACAACCATCCACTTGTCTAAGATAACCTGACAAAGTCTTAATATCGGCCTTGGCAATACTAGTAGCCAAAAAGATAGCATCCAATTCGGGTTTTTTGGAAATGATGATGTCAAAAGAGTTAATAATGTCAGGGACAAAGTCACCAACAAGGCCAAATATAGCAGTAGCTTCTTCATCAGAAACAGTCGAGGTAATAGCGCAACAATCTGTGCTAGTAATATTGAAGGCAGCATCAAGAGCCTGCTCATGAGTATGAAGAGAAAGAGCACCAGTGTATCCATCAGCTCTTTTAAATACTTTAAGCTAGAATGAAGCAGAGTCAGAATGTAAGTTTTCAACAATAATTTTAGAGAAAATTCCTTACAGCCTCTGAAAGCTCCAAAAGTTTGACATTAGAAGAAGTCAATCCATTAACACAACTTTGAACATTGTCGCTTATGGCGCGCTTATTTTGAGGGGCAGCGCTGACTACGTAAATAATGCTGGTAAGCAACTTATCTCATATAGTAACGTGTTTGGCTTACCAGAAAGAGCGACAGCAGTAATAGTAGCTAAGACAGAGAAGGCACGCATATTGACTTTTGGTCTTTAGAGGATCTTTTGATGAATACAAAAGAAAGATCGTCAAAATATTTCTCTCATTTATATGAAGACTCAAACTCTAGCTTACACGCCAAATGGGGGTCCCCATTGTAATGCCTACGTATTTTTAATAATTTTATTCCTTTGCATTTGTGTACCTGAGAATAAAAAAATATCAGTTTTACAGACATAAAGCAGATGCACCTCACGTTCCTTTGTCTGTTTCCAATCACATGCGCTAGTTTAGCATTGGTAACATAGATGCTTTTTTCAAAACTTGGCATTATTGTAACCCGAGCTAATTTATAAAAAATACGCATTTGTGTGGAGTAATAATGGTTTACGTACTTTTGTGGAAGATATATGCAAAGTTTGTATAACATTTACAAATATGACTGTAAATATTTAAACCTTAGTAACACAACTGTTACTGACTATAAATTCCTTTAAGTTCTCAGTACCACATTTTAACAATTGCAGAATGTTTAAAGTGAATAAGGTTCACATTATAAAATTTCCTTTTTTGAAATCAAGTGTAAATTTTTAGCATACATCCAAGTCCTACTTTTTTTATTTGCTTAATGTCAGTAAGTTACTTTTAACCTTACGAGCTATGATAAACTATTAGAACTTACAAAAATATCGCTCTTTCCTTAAAGAAAACGCCCTTAACGATAACAAATGTTACAATTTAATTGTGATTATAGGTCCCAGGCAACCGAAAGTGCTGCGTTGTAAAACAATCGTCTTGAGATGGCAAATTATAGAAGGTGGGTTGTACTATACTTCCATTTTGAATCATTAATTACAAATAAATTAGACCTTTGTTACAACTAGACACTAAAAAACCCAAAAAACTCAGATCAAAACTGCTACCATGTGTTTTCGTACAGAATATGATGACTCTAGTTTGTTCGTGTACTGCAAGTCATATGTTATAAATCAATCAATTCTAGTAAAATTTTGAATTCTCAGTTCATCTGTAACCTCTTCATCATAATCATGTGACTCCAGCTTATTATACAATACAGGAAGTGTATTCTTACATAACGAGTTAGTATGTATAACAAAGAGACTCTGTCTGCAATGTATGTAGGATTTTTAATAGATTAATAGGGAGTAATTCCTTCCGGACCATGTAAGGTACGTTGTCCAACATGGATAAAATGTTTATGTGACGGCTGTAAGTAGACACGCAATTCCATAATTGAGGCTTATAGACTGACAGTATACAACCAAATGTCATTATTGCTGGAATAATAGTATAACAAAACATTGTGAATTATAGCTATGTCTAAAACATACGATCTTTTCGTATATATCGTGTTTCAATCAGATTTATTATGTAAATGCTACGATATAATATATATATATATATGTCTGTATATTTAACCACAATACTCTTGGAGTCTTAAAATATTTTTTGTATCATTTTAGTTAACTTAAAAACAAATATATACCTGAACTAAGTGGCTCTGTTTATACCAGAGTCCAGCTTCACTAACATGTGTGCTTATTTAGAAGACTTCTAACTTTAAACCCCTTGAAAGAGTTCTAAAATCCTTTATAATTTGTTTTATTAGTTAGGCATTAATGTTTGCCTTAATATGGAAAATCTCTGCATACGAAAGTTAAACGTAAAACTTCTTTATGAAATATCGCGATACTAATTTCTTCTGTGGGTTTTAGATGTACGCCCAACATCAATAATTTAAGATTACATTGTATAAATAAATTTGGTTCATGAAGTATGTTGTTAAAATTGATTTTGATTATTACTCTAATAAGAAATCATATATTAGAAAAGTAACAAAAAGTTAATAGAGTCTTATTTGTTTGTTGTTGGTTTTTCATGTACAAATAACCCAGCATAATAGTTTTAACCAGTGATTGAAACATTTGTTAATCCAATATAAAAAAGAGCGAATCATTTTTTAAAGAGAATCCAGGGTATTCATGTGTTGTATCACTTTAAATAATCTACATAAAAGCCAACGTTCCAATGATAAATATTGTGAACGTTGTCAAAAAAAATTATTTGGCAATCCGCCGGACATTGAATGGCGTGGCTAAGCTCGCATTGCATCTTTCACCTTTTTTTTTTGAACTCGTTTCTTAAAGGCTGATAAAGTTGTATCTAGATTCTGTGATAAATACGTAAACGAAATCCACTAAGTAGAATTAAATATTGAGATAATAATTATCGTTAAGTCTTGTGTGAAAAAAAATATCGAAGCATACTTTTATATATCTAGAAAATAAAAAAAATATGTATGTACATGACTCGGTATACCATATTATATATAAATACCCCCCCCTCCTTCCTCCTTCTCGTTTTTATATGGAACAAAATCTTAGAATATCCAAACTAAAATGAAAAATATTTTTTCCGCCACCGTATTTCTGACCTTAACAGGCGTAAATTACATATTCGGACAAGGTATCCCAAGATACGACTCTGGTAAGCTTATTAATCCCCTTTTCTCAAAAATGTTTTTTATTGTAATTTTATTTCGACAGCCTGTGGTCTACTTTCTAATAAAATATATTGCTTCGGTGGTAAGATTACAAAAGATGGAAACTTGGATAATTCGATAAACGTACTCGATATTGTAGCTTACAGCGGTAGTACAGCTGATGAATTGAAGAATAAATGGCAAAATATATCTTCAAATATGAATGGTAACAACATACAATTTACGAGTCATTCCCAGAATGTAGTTCTTCCGGACGGAAAAAGCATGCTTTTATCTGGAGGAGAAGGTTTTATTGACAACTCTTCGGCACCAATAACACGTGTGTACGATTCAGAAAGCAATTCTTGGAGTATTTACCCTGAATACACAGATCCAGATTCTGGCAGAAGACGAATAATGTAAGATAACTAAATTTTATGATCACAAAATAATAATTGTTTCTTTGACAAGACAGATATCGTGCAGCATCAGTGCTTGTCCCATATCAGGGAATAGGGTTTATCGGAGGATACGAAGTGTGAGTATATGAAAATAGAGACATTAGTTTGCTTGTTAAAAAGAGATTTTGTATAATATAGTCTTGTGAATAGCAGTCAAACATTATCGAAAGCAGCGGAAAGCAACAACGTCATGCACATGGGCTACGACAGCCTCACTTTTTTGAATCTAAATAAGTCGGCAGATGTAAGTTTTAGATTTGGTTGATGAATGCTGTTAACAAGATAATCGATACAATATTATTCTGTAGCTCAGTTGGTTTGTTTATGAACCTCAATACCATTTGACAAAAAAAATCAGAGGGGATAAGACTTCGATTTTTGACATTAAAAGTAATCGAATTTTTTTCTTTGGCGGCAAGTATTATAACAAAGGATCAGAAACACAATATACGCTTAGAGATTTTAAGGATATAGAAGTATTTGATATGGCCAATAATAACTGGACCACACAAGTAACATACGGGAATGTTAAACCAAATCCAAGATTAGGGCACACAACTACTATTGGTAAGAATGATAATCTACTTATTGGATGTGTGAATATACATAACTTTATAAGACATACATAGTTGGTCCTGAACAAAGAGATGTTCTGCTATTTGGAGGAGCGTGCGAAACACCAGAGTATGACTGTAAGAATCAACAATCGTATCATGTGCAGTCCTAACATGTTTGGATTTAGCTTGCTCTGATTATGCATTTAATTTTAATCTCGATACTTTCGGTTGGAAACTACACGATCATCTCAGATTAAATCCAATTATGTTCCCAAAAAGATATAGTCATTCAGGTAAATGAAATAATTAAAAAAAAAGATCTCAGTTTATAAGAATTCTAAATCAATCAGAGTAGCTATTGCTGTAAACGACAATACAGTATTTATTGTTTTCGGTTTAACAAGTCCGTATGAAATCACCGACACAATATTAATATTAAACACAACAACTCCATCACAACTTACTTTAATGGAAAACTACACTGACGTAAATAACGTAAATGTATCTTCAAAAAAGCCAAGTACTGTGGCCATCATCGGTATAAGTATAGGCTCAATTGTAGGGGTATGTATTTTATGAACGAAAGTTTAGTTTGCTCCTTTAGCTAAACATAGTGATGTATAGATCTTTATTATATTAGGTATGATTGTCTTATGGTATAGAAAAAAGAAAAAAATCGATGAAAAGAAAAGACAGCTAGAAATCGAAGAACATGAAAGACAGCAGCGAATTGATGATCCTGCGAATGAAGTAGATTGGGATGACCTTGACAAAAGATACTTTGAAATGTCTAGTACGATATATCACAAAAAGTCGTACTCTCCTTTATTAGCTAGCGAAGCAACCACTAGCTTAACGGCGATACTGTCCCAACGCCCGGATGCGGTTGATAAAAACGACATCACTACATCATCCAACTACACAGTGCAAAAACCTGATGGTGGCGCTTAATACTGATTTTCAACAGTAATTTTTACCTGATTAGATTAAAGTTAAAATTTCTTTTAGTGTATGAACTATTGGTTATACATTTATAAAACTTTGACGCTTTAATATATATAATAGATAACCTATGTAGTAATTATGGATAAACGAAATTTCAAATTATGTTCAACAGTAGCTCATAATAAAACTGTTATGTGCAAATTTAACTCTTTACAAGAGATTTTCATTTGCCAATGATTGAGGGTAAATTATTGTATGTCTGTTTTGTCTGTTGTTCTACTAGTTTTTATGTAAAGCTGAAAAACACGTTTTCTTTATCAATCCTCCATGGTACTACAGTAAAAGAGAGCAAAAGTTACTAGTTGAAATCTTATATCTGATTTTCCAATTATAACTGTAAGACAGATGGAGTAATTAATGTGCTAAACCAACCAAAGATTGCTTATTATATTTATTTATATTATAGATTGTCAAAAAGAAAAATTACTTAAGCGGTGATACCGTAAGTGGAGAAAGCTTGGGCAAACTTGGCATCAATGGTATCGATATAAGCTTGAGCACTTGCAAGGAGAGCTTCAGGGGTGACAGCGATCAAACAACCATCTAATTTCTTGAGAAGAACAGATAAAGCCTTAACATCGGTCTTGACAATAGCAGTAGCGAAAGCGACAGCAGCAAAGTCAGGCTTCTTGGCAATGATGGCATCAAGAGAACCAGTAATATCGGGAACAATATCAGCAACAAGACCAAAGACAGCAGAGGCCTCTTCGTTAGAGACAGTGGTAGTGGTAGCACAACAAGCAGTGTTGGTGGTCTTGAGGAGAGCCTCAAGAGCTTGTTCAGTGTTGTGGATGGCGGTTGCACCAGCATAACCAGAAGCACTAGTGAAGCTATTGACCTATATATGAAACAAAAAAAGCCGTAAGTATTAAACTTTTAGTTATAATTGCGAAAAAATTACTTACAGCAGAGGTGAGCTCCAAAAGCTTAGCATTGGAAGTAGTCAAGTTGTTGATACAGCTTTGGACATTGTCACTGATGGCACGCTTGTTTTGAGAAGCAGCGTTGACTATGTAATTAGTTCTGGTAAGTAATTTACTCCATAAAAAAATGTGACGGACTTACCAGAGAGAGCGAAAGCGGTGACAGTAGCTAAGATAGAGAAGGCACGCATATTGATAATTGTTCTTGAGAAGATGATTTGATGAATGAAAAAAAAATCAAACCAATATTCCTATTTATATAAAAATAACAGACCTCATTTTTCACGCCAAATCAGTGGCCCTATTGTAATGTGTTCATATTATTAATGATTATGCTTCTACAACTGTGTACTTGGGAAAAAATTACTGTCAGTTATACAGACGGAAAGCATATGTACTTCATGCTCGCTTCATATATTATTTTCGATCACATGTGTGACTTAATATAATGGCAGTCTGTTTTACAACCTTGTACTACGCCTGTGCGAGGCTTACGGTCGATGCACTTCATAATAGGTAGGGTTTATTCACAAGAGTACAAAACCTGCATAAAATTTGAAAATTCTTAGTACTCGTAACAGTCGGTTGTATGAGTATTTTATCTCCTAGTAACACGTATGTTATTGGGTAGAGACATCAATTCAAAAAAACAGTTACTAGTGTTTTAACAAAAGAATATTTTGGATATTAATTGTTTATAATTTTGTATCAAATAAATAAAATACGCATGTTTCTGTCAAAGTCACACTCTTCGAATTTTTAAATGACAATAATTTAACTTGGCTACGAGTAAAAGTTACAACAGCATTTAAACATCACTACAATGCTTTTTCTCCTTCGTTGGGAAAAAAAAGATCTCAACAATTGATGTTACAATCTACTTGTGTTCATCAAGACCCGAATGACCAAAGCGATATTGTCGTACAAAATATCCATGCATTTGGAAATCGCTGTAGAAATTTTTTTCTCAAAATAACAAGTCTTGAAAATGACATCGTATATATCACTTGGACCCTTAATTCTATTTATATAACACGATGGCTTTTGTTATAGTAAGTTTCATTCCCTATATTTTTTTAATTGTAATCAGGACTATCTCGCCACAATGTGCGAGCGCGCCTTTTTTTTAAAAAATAAATGTGTCTGTGTAATTGCGCAGCCACTTCAAAAAGTAAAAATTAAATATTGAAGAAAATGCCTCGGCCAATGCAATGTCCGATCATCTTTAACCCGAACCAGTTACACCATCGTCTTTTTTCGTTATTTCGTACTCTGCTTAACACTTGGGTAACTGAAGATGGCGTATTGCTTGTCCCTGTGAAAGTTTCACGTAAGTTTATTGGTTCAGAGGATAGAAATATCTATACTGATACAGTGGCCACCACCCAATGTTAATCATTTGAAAAACAACAAGACGAAAATCAAAAAATGATTTATTTTTAATTGTCTAGCCTAGCTCTTTTAGTAATATTCAAGTAGTTATTCTTTCTATGTCTCCTTTTCTTGCCCTTTGTAATGACTGTTTCTGTTCTACTAAAAGATCTATTGTATGCACTTAAGGTATATTCCAAGTAATTAACAAATACTTTGTAACTGGTATTGCTTTGACCGAAGGCTTTTAAAAATGCATTCAATAAAAGATACAGTTTTTCGTCGGGTGTTATCGTCAATGGTGGCATTGCTATTATCAGCTGTCCAATCTTCAAAACAATATCTGCAGCGCAAATTAATAAACAGGATAGGTGTGTTAAATCTGTCGCACATACCAATCAAAAAGCTTTCGTTAATAAACCCAATGATACTTCCGCACAACCTTCTGCTATGTGCTTCAGTTTTTAATGCTGCTATGTATATCAGCTCATACAAGTTGCGTACAATGGCCGGTTTAGAATTCATACTTGAGTCCATTAAAATATCATGGTACTGTCCCTTGATAGCACTATTGTTATGGATAATTAGATATATGCAAGATGTGATATAAATATATATACGTATTACCTGACGCAGCTCCGCAACAGGGCTTTCCCTGGATGTGTACTATACTCTGTCGTTACCATCGATTCTACATCTGAGAAAGAAATTATTATTTAATTGTTAAAAAAGACAGTGATGGCTTACCAGAATTTATAAAACTAGGTAAATTTAGGTGAACATCTAGGCTCTCGGTATTAAACACATATCCCAACCAAGAAAATTCTATAAAAGAGTTAACGGTGGTAGATACTATCATTCTCAAAAGAACTACCTTTGATAGGGTCATCGATGTTTGAAACGCATTTGTCTGTATTGACCCGCAGACCAAACATCCTTATTTCTATAGAAATATCAGTAAATCCATCAATAAAAATTGATTTACTCACCATGAATTAATGCTTGACGAAACCATGTCGCGAATTTTAAACTTCTAGTGATATACAAAAAATCGTCTACATAGGTGAATAGAACCTGTGTTATGGAAGTGTTAAAATAGACTTTAATGTTAGAGCTTATTCATTTGGTCCTTTACCCCGTCTGGATCTTTTGCCAGGAAGGACAATCTATCCTTTTCAAAGCGAGCAAGAAAAAAACTGTATTTTGATGAACAAACATCAGTAAAGGCTTTCATTCTAGATAAATGTATATAGCACTACCTGCAAAGTAAGGTAGATAGGCTTGAACCTTGAGATATTCCTTTTGTGCGACTATAGTATTGTTCCCCAATCTGATAATTGTCAGAAACTAAAACTTAACTACCCATATTAACAAAGATGTTTTAGCTATAGTACCTTGACAGCGCTCTTTGTAATGCTCTCTTCCAGTAAGTTAATAATTTTTTGCACATTAACAGTTCGGAAAGAGTCCTATTCGAACAAACGTAATCAGTCATACTTAAACCCTTGTATTTGTTTGGACATATCATACCTGATCTACAATTATTGATTCAGGGCTTATTTCTAAAAATTCTTGAGAACTCAAATACTTGGTTTCATCTATTAAACAACATTTCGTCAATGTCTATGTTATTAAGGTTTCATTCTACAATATTTACCTTTTCTTGCCGTCAATTTGTACTTTTTACTATAGACAGAATTTCCATGATGGGTCAAGACAATTGTATCTCTTTCGATATACTCTTCATGCTATAAAAATCATGTCAATTTTCTTTGTTTTGTTAAGAAAAATAAACTTTCTTACGAGAATAGACTTCATAATAGACAAAAGCTTTTCTTGGTTGATATTATCAAAGCAGCTGGCAATATCAATCTTGACAAAGTAGAATCTAATTTCGAGGTAGGTGAATCTTCCAATCATTTCATTATAGTAACCCTTACTTTTCACCCGGTATTTTCTGTTTAGCTTTGTATTCTCTGTAGCGGCGATAAAAGGTGTCTTTTCCCATAACTGAGCTTCCCAGTATTTTTGGGTCTCTATTCTGCAAAAGCTATGTTCATTAAAATGTGCTATGAATAATCGTGATTAATTCCGAACCTTTTCCAAGCTCAGGATATTTAAGACGGGAAGGAGAACTTTTTTTGTAACTATAAATTTTTGATCTTTAAATTGATAATTCTATCGCATAACATTTTAGCTTTTTGATTCATTACTACTCAAGTTATATAGCTTACATGTGCCATTGTTTTGCTCATTTTAGTGATAACTCGACATCCATTGTTTTTTGGTATTAGCCGGATTCTTGCAATCCCTAAACTTAGTGAACGAAGCACATCCTAGAAATAGTTTAAATATTGTTTCCAATTGTTAAAATAAGCTTACATACTTCGTTCTGCTCCGCGTAGTCATCTTTTATAATTGTTCGAATTTGGAGGCGAGTTATATCACGCCAGACGTCTTGACGATAAAAGAAAACCTTTTTACCACAAGTTGCATTCTCTGTGACATAGAAGAGCGACTAACATTTAATTGTATTTCAATTAATACTATTGCTCTATCACAACATTAATTACTATACCTTGATTAATGAAATAATGTATCCATCAAAAAGCCAATATAAAGCTTGATTTAAGATGGCTTCCTTTCTTTTTAAGTCAGATGGTGAGCATTTGCTATTCATGTTTGAAGACTTCAACCACATACAGTCGTTGATCTACAAAAATTACTTTAGTGACTGAATGTTGTGTGCTTTCAAATGATTGAACCTTAAACTTGTGCAATATCAAGGTTGTGCTCAAAGTCTCGTTTCGATGGTACTTTAGAAAAGGAATTAAAGCTTCATTAAAAGCGTTAATATGTGCCATTTTTCATTATCGAAATGAATAGTCACCCTTTTTTATCACTTCAGCGTTGTTTGATGAACCAAAAAAATCCAAAGGAAAAGCTTTCTTCAGTTGCCTCCAAATAAAATCACTCACCTATCGCATATAACATATTACATTCTCAAAACTCGTAATTCATGTATATATTCATAATAAGATATCGTACCTGTTGGATTGGGATATGTGCATTTCCAGGATTTGTATCATTGTTCTACAATTTCAGACGGAGTTAATAAACAAGTTTTCCAAGATCTGTTACTGAAATTACCTTCACGGGACAAGTTGAATTGAGTAGATGCGTCAAAGAAGAATTATTATGTCGTCTTTTAATGCTCTGGACCATCTCAGGAACCTTAATGAAGCGCTTCAAAAATTTCTTCTATATTCATCACATTAATTTTTTCAACAAGACATGCTCGTCGACTTACTTTTTTTTTATCATTCTCATATTCAAGTGGGAAAATGACGCTCAAGACATCTATGGTTCGGTCCTTTTTCACTAACGTATTTAAAATGATCATGTACAATTAGTTTCTTTATACGTACAAGTAAAAAAAGCAGGACTAACTTATTTGATTCGATGTCATTATAGCCTTATCAGTCTTGTTGTCTATAATGGCATCTGCATAAAACATTCGATGTCGTCGAATGTTAAAACCCAAATTCTTTGGTTTTTTCGTGTCTTTCCCCTTGACTTTAGGAATTTTCTTTTGCGATTTTAACTCTTCTTTTAACTCTTTTTTTCGAATCCTTTTCTTAGCTCCCCGCGACAATTTGGCCGCCTTTATTGGTTGACTATTATCATCCGTCGCAATCTTTCTTTTCTGAAGGGAAGGGGGGATAATATCCGCATCTTTAGCCAATTGGCTCATTTGACTTAAAAATGTTGATTCCTGATTGTTCACTGGCCGGTCATCCGTACGATCTAACTTTGTAAATTTACTTGCAGAATAATGCCTAGTTGAGATGTAATGACCTAGAATTGAAAAAGTTAAATATGTTCCATGTGCTTTTCCATATTTTACCTGAAAGCTGGTAAAAACTATTGTTTGGCAGCCTCTGTAATACTATAGCATCCAAAATCAATTTACAAAATAACTCTTCCCCGATACTTATGAATCTGTTAGAAGGTACGAAATAAAGCGGTCAGAAACTTTTACCATAGAAGAAGGGTCGCCCATGCCATATCGTCTTTGATCTTGCTGAAAGGCGTATTTTCATAAAATTGGCCGAGCTTTATTTTATTAAAAGGTTGTTTATCCTAATAGTAACGATTCGAATGAGATTAATGCATTAGTTGTAGCGACATTTATGCTTCAATACCAAAAAACACCCTGAAGAAAAAACGTTGCCGATTGCCCAATCAGACTTCATGAATAAAATTAAGCGATCAAAGAGCTATTACGACAATTCAATCTTTAGTACAAAAACAGTAGTATGTTATGGTTTACAGGTACTAGCCTCGGTGGGTTTGGAACCATTAGTGTTGTTATACTTTTGCCAACGTAAGTAGAAACTATTTTTCTGAGCCTGTGTCACAACTAAAACGCTGCTCGACAGTTCTTTGAGCTTCTTCAATTCTGCTTCTGTAATGGCTAATTCATCGAAAGTTATTTGGAGGTGCTGTTCAAGCGTTTCTACTGATTTGAACAAATCATAAAAATAATTTGGTACGTTCATGGAATAACAAATTGCTATAGACAAAGAAAAAAACGAGTTTAATTTCAGACAATCAAAAGGGGTTACGTTCAAATTTGTGTGGTGTTCCAAGCTACATGATGTTTGAAAGCTTTCCATAAAATGAGTTCCATCATTAGTGCACAATTCTTAAAGCAAAACATTGACATACCTGCACCAAGCTCGGTTTATATCTGAATCAATTATTTTCTTTAGCAACGCGAAAATATGTGATCCCTTTCTTAAATGAAAAGGCACGTTTTGATTTTTGTAATACTACGTCTGCGACTTATTATCGTTGTACGGCGAAACTTCAAGATGGGTTTTCAACTTTAAGCTGGAAATACTACTGTGGATCACAGGTTTTTATTATATTTTTGTCACAGTTATTGACCTGTATGTGTTTAAGCATCGTCTAAAAAGTAGCATCGGCGTAAGCTACTTTATAGCGTAAGAATGTTTAGACATTGCTTTAGGGTATCTGAGGGTTTGTTCCTAAAAATACGTAATTTATTTAATAGAGGAAGCTGATCACAAGAAAGATGATGAGTCTCAGAAAATGGACCTGTGAAAGAAGAAGCAGACATTGCTTCCTAATAGCTATACAGAATTTTCTTTGGACAAGTAAATTCATGATGTTTAAAAACAGCGATACATTTCTTATAATTGATATGTAATAGAAAAGTAAGACGTTTAAGTGTTGGATATGTGGAACTTCCAGCAGTTATGAAAGTCTTAAAATAAAAAAAATAAATAAAAAACTTTCAATCGAATATCAACGGCTACTAATATCAGCCATGTAACTCTGACAGAACATGCTTCGGTTCTTACGGAAACCACTAGCAAATCTCGCTGTCTTTGCGGAAATAGGCTTCATAATTTTAAGTGTTCGTCTTCGAGAAAAAAGAAAAAAAAAGACTATTATACGCACTTTAAACATGAACCCAAGTAGATTGTAGGTCCACTATATGGATCTTACAGTAAGTGGGGACTACGATAAGCCAATTGAACTATCAGTACGCGATAGCTTCTGTCCTTACCATATCATTTTCACCGTTACTTTTTTTTGGACCCGCATTAACAACCAACGCACGGTCCTATGCGGGAAATAAGTGACAATAGGCCATTTCCTGATCTAAATTATGGCGTAATTATCGTCGTCTTCTACAGACTGAATGTCAATACCATTTCAATCCAATCATGTGGCCCCGTGTTAGTCGTTTCGAAAAAATGACTTCATCGATCACAATTCAATCACCAGTGTTTCATTTTGAAGCTTGCCTGGAATCAACTGTAAAAAAAGGGTCTGTAAACGATGGCCTGATTTTTCAATGTGGCTAACCATATTAGTCTATTCAATTTGCGCAGGTTATGACAATGACAGACTAAAATAGCGTGGAAAAAGCAAACAAAAACTTTAAAACCTTAGTGTATTAATAAATGAGAAGTCGTGATTTTATTCAATGCTAAGTAATATTACAATTAAGATATGGGGGGATATTTATGTATAGTCGTATTTACAATATTCCTTAAATAGGAAATACTTTTTTTGTCGTGTGGCTGGAAAGAAATTACTGTAAAGTCAAAATGATGGAACCCTTGATTTTAGCCTTGATTGTAATTTCAGCATCCAAATTTAGGTCAAGTCGAAGTCTGAGAGCTTTGTTGCCACCAGCATTTGGATCCTTTGCTAATTCTGGCTTTTCAAAATTTTGGGTGTAGTTTTTTAATGTTTCTGCTTGTTCCTTTGCCATTCTTTGTTGCGCATCTATAGGTGTCTCGACTCTCTTCTTCTTCTTCTTTTTAACCTCTGTCTCGGAATCGCTTTTGATTTTGGAGGATTTCTTCTTTGTTTTCTCAATAGTTGTTTTGGTTGATGTCTTTTCTTTTGTTGGGGATTTTTCCTTGCTTGAAGATTTGTCTTTCTTCGGGCTTATCGACTCACGCTTTGATTTAGACTTTTCTTTTGGTGCCTTTGACTTGGTTGATGATGTCGATTTTTCTTTGATGGGTGATTTTTCTCTCGCTGGTGATTTTTCTCTCGTAGGTGATTTTTCTCTCGTACTTGACTTTTCTTTAATAGGTGATTTTTCTTTAGTTGAAGATCTTGACTTTGTATGAGATTTTTCTTTCGTGGGAGTTTTGTCCCTGGGAGAAGACGTCTTTGTTGATGATTTCTTAGTTTCTTCCATTTTTGATAATGAATAGAATAATAAAAAAAAGGGGGTGGAAAGAAACTTTTGGAATTATGGAAATATGGTTTTTCGAGTTTCAAAATTGCTGAAGTTGGAAATGTCGCACAGCGAAAATGGTGACATAATTTGTGGATCTTTTTTTTTTTTTTTTTTTCGTTAAACCCTGTTTTTTGTGTACCCGCCGCTACGATGGTGCGACGTGCCCAATTAAAAAATTTGGTCTTACCGGAAAGCCAAAATACGTTGGGATTATGATGTTATTTTTCTTTTTGGATAATGGTTCGATTTAGCGTAAACCTATTCAATTACGTCTTCATAGTGTCAGTGTAATTTTATATTTTAGTTCCGACATTAATAAAACGAAGTCCATTCATTGTTCTTTCAAAAAAATTATTTTTTCTACTTTTTTACTTACTGAAAATTTATAATTATGTCCGCTAATACACCCACAAAAGAAACCCCTGAGAAGCCCAAGAACGACGCTAAACCTGAGCAAGACCAGAAGCCCAATGGTGACCCTAAGCCTGAATCCAATGAAGACTCTAAAGCTGAATCTAGCAATGCTTCAAAGACCAAGGAAGATGAACCAGCAAAGAAGGATACCAAAGCCAAAGCACCAAGTAAAAAGCCCAAGAAGGCAGCTCCTCCTCCACCAGAAGAATCAGAATCAGAATCCGAGTCTGATTCCGATGATGATGTTACTAGTGAAGAAGATAGTGATGATGATACAAGCGAAGAAGAAACTGATTCTGACGAGGAGACTTCTGAAGAAGAAACTGATTCTGAAGAAGAGACAGAAAGCGAATCCGAATCTGAAGACGAAATTCCTCAAAAGTTTTTAAAGAAGGGTAAAGGAAAGGATATTGTGAAAGGAGCTACTGATACTGCCAGTCAACTCGCAGGCAATGTTGGTGGTGCTGTTGGAGGTGCTGCTAAAGGAAGAAACGAAAAACCTCTTAGTCTTCGTCTTGATCTTAATTTAGAGGTCGAAATTGAGCTTAAGGCTCGAGTCCATGGTGATGTTACATTGGCTCTCTTACGATAATTTATATACTGTACTATACAACATTCCATATTTTTTACATACTATTTTTGAAATAAATTTTGATATTCTTACTATTACATAACTTATACACTAAAGTTTTCAATTTAAAGCATACTGTTTATTGATATAGTCTTTACACATACCCGAAATATTGCATGAACCTCATTTCAAACATATCCCCAGTCCTTAAGTTGATTTATATTCATGTAAGACATGATGTTTCATGTTGTTTTTTCTTGGAAAAATCGGTTTTTAAGCAACATACCTCAGGAACAGCATTAATATATATGATTTAAGGCCCACCTTTAATTAAGACGTTTTAAATATTTTGTAAAGATTGATTTATTATATATATGTATGTACTATTAAGAAAAAAGAAAGGGGAGGGAAACTTGTTACTTAAGCTAAAAGAGCCAATGTGACATCACCATGAACACGGGCCTTGAGTGTGATTTCTACTTCAAGATTAAGATCAAGACGTAAACTTAAAGGATGATCACCTCCACCGCCACCGCCTGGTTGTTGAGGTTGTTGTGCTTGGCTACCTAGAGTTGAATTGGGATCAATCAAACCGAGACCTTTAGATTTCTTTGATGACTTCTTCTTCTTGGGCTTTTCTTTCTTCTCCTTTTTCTCTTTGGATGACTTCTTTGACTTGCGAGGGGCTACTTCTTCGTCTGATGACTCTTCGTCGATTTGTTGCTTCAATTTCTTTTGGCTTGCGGAGGAGTCAGTCATTTCTTTAGTGGGAGCCATTTTTGTGATATTTTAAAATTTGGATTTTAGAATAAAAAAAAAGGAGTAGAAATGCTAATATGCTTTGGTTTATAAGAGAAGAGCAAATAATGGGCCCTTTATTTAATGACAGCACGATGACGACTAAAGTGGATTCCGGTGGCTGGGTAACGAATGGTATTTCTTTCATCAAAATTCCGCTTTATTTGACGATCTAAACTAAAAATATGGGTCATGGATTTATTACATCACTTCTCGTACGATTACGTAGAAAGTGAAACATGATGGAAAAGTCTGGATCAAATAGTTTAGTGTGTTTGCAGAATTAAATAGAATTGATTTTTCGAAATTTACCTTTTTTTTTCTCTTTATTATTTTACCCCAAGAAATTTTAAAAAAGATGTCAGAAACCTCTACTGTTGCCAAGAAGACAAGAAAACACTCTACCAAAAAGAGATCTCACAAGGATAAAGATGCCTTGTTACAAGAACAGCAAGCTTTGCAACAACAACAACAAGAACAAGAAACACAAAGCAGCTCAGGCAGTAACAGCAAAATGCCCAGTCTTCGATTAGACTTGAACCTGGAAGCTGAAATCTATATCAAAGCCAAGGTCCATGGTGATGTTACTCTAGCATTGTTATCATAGTACTATCTAAATAATCCCTCTACCAAACATATTGTATATATAATTAATAAATAAATACTCCCTCATTTAAAAAAAAAATCCCACTTGCGTAATATTTTTTGTTATTGTTCTATTACCCACTTTTGGGATTGTTGTACAAATTAGGCAAGGTATATTACATTAATGTTTTTGAAACGCAGTTATATTCGTGCAAGATGAGTTTGAAGTATAATGATTTCAAGTAAACGACATGGGTTTTATTATAATAAGGAATAGAGTATGGCAGAAAAAGATACATTAAATACAGAAATATAGTTTTTTTTTTTTTTCAAAAAAATTGACGACTAATTGCGAGGGATATGAATAGAGAATGTGATTCCACCTTTGGTTGCCTCGACCTTTACAACGATATCATCTTTAACTCCATCGCCAATACGGATTTTATCGTCATCATCCTTGACAGTGGATGCTTCATCATCGGTATGCTTCTTCTCATCCTTGTCCTTCTTATCATCCGTTATAGAGGTAGAGAACGCACCATAGCCCTTCATCATATCACCAACAGGGAGTTCAAACACATGAGATTGGTGTGTACCAGTAGATTCTTCTTTCTTATTATACTTGGTATAGACTTCATGCATTGTATCGTGTACAGAGTTTTGAATATCTCCCTTCTTCAAGCCACCACTTCTTGCCTCCAATGCTTCGAGCTTTTGAATGAGTGTCTTGTTGTACTCCATAATAGCGTTCATGGTCGTCAATGCGTCAGCATCGCTCTGTGCGTTATCATCCGAGTCATCACCAGTAACGATTTTCTCGATGTTGCCTTGCAATTGCTCGGTAGCATCATTAGCAATGTCCTTGATATCTCTTTCGTCTTCCTCAGAACCGTCTTCAGAGTCAGAGTGAGCATCAGAGTCGGCACCAGAATCATTGTCAGAATCATCTTCAGAGTTTTCTTGAGTTCTGCTACCTTCAGAGTCAGAGTCTCTAGTGGTTTGACGAGTGATTTTTTGAGTGGTAGTGGTGTTCTCCTCGATGTTGTCGTCATCGTCACTATCGATGTCAGAGACAGGTTCCTTGGGCTTTTTAGACTTCTTTGTTGACTTGTGTTTAGGTTGGTCTTGTAACTTGTGAGAAGATTTCTTGGTGGACTTGACTGGTTCGTCGTCAGAATGTTTAGACGAGGCCTTAGTAGACTTTCTCTTTTTGTCACTAGCGGGATTTGAGGATGGCATGATTTTTGATTTTTTTTCTGAAAAGAACTAAGGTGAAAAGAGAAATATATTTTTTTGTAAGGCGAGAAGAAAAATATTTATTTTCTGTCGAACGAGACCTTTTTTTTTGGAAAATACGTTTGTAAAACGTCATTTTCCACAATTGGACCCGTTTTTAGTTTCTCCTGGGATTTAAATCGAACCTTGAATGGTGTTACATCATTCTCTATTGTAAAAAAAAAAAAAAATGATCTACGCATGAAGTCATATCGTCCTTTTTTCTGTAAAAAAAGAGAAAACAATAAAGTCCGAAACCTCGTATAAAATACCAAACCACAAGACTGTATTTTTCCCTTTTTTTCCAACGATATTAATTACTATTAATACTAAAAATTCTCGAACTATTTTTTATTATCCCATATTTTACTGGTAAAGCAATGGAAAATCAATCAGCAAAGAACCAACAAGCCGCCGCCGCCGCTAAGCAACAACAACAACAACAACAACAAGAACCCGCTGCTGAGGCTCCCAATGAGACCCCTAATGAAGAATCCCCTGAGGTTACACCTGAACAAGACCCTGCACAACCTGAAGAACCCGATAAGGAAGAAGAATCTGAAGCTGAATCCGAATCTGAAGAGGACTCTGAAGTCGATTCCGAAGATGACCTTGAAGAATTATACCAACTTCTTGTCGGAAAGAAGATCAATGATCAAGGCAACGTGGTTGACAAGAAAACTGGCAACATCATTGGTAGATTAGTCGAAGGCAAGGTGCGAAAGGTCACTGGTCGAAAGGTCGGTGAACGTGGTGCCGTGGTCAACAGTAAAGGCAAGATCTTAGGAAGAGTCGAACCTGTTGACGAAGAAAGCTCTAGTGAAGAAGAGAGTGAGTCTGAAGAAGATGATGATGAAGAAGAGGAAGAGGAAGAAGAGGTGCCTGCCTCTGGTGATGAACAAGAAGAAGAAGCTCCTGTCGATGAACCCAAGTCCCGCGGAATCTCTAATACCCCTAAGGATGACGAAAGCGAATCTGAAGATGATAATGATGCTGATGATGTCGCTGAAAAGGTTCAAGATGGCGCTGATAAGGCCTCTAAGAAGATTCAAGAAGGTGCTGATGATGCTTCGGAGAAGATTGATGATGCCACTGAGGATGCTTCAGAAAAGGCTGATGATGCTGCTGAGAAGGCTGGTGATGCTTCAGAGAAGGCAGGTGACGCCACTGAAGATGCTTCGAAGAAGGTTGATGATGCCACTGAGGATGCTTCAGAGAAGGCTGGTGATGCCACTGAAGACGCTGATTCCGATGACATCTCCAAGAAGGTTGGTGATATGACTGACAAGATTCAAGAAGATGCTGAGGATGCTGGTGACAAGGCTGATGATGCTACTAAAGGTGTTCAAGATGGTGTTGATGATGCTGCCAAGGAGACTGGTGATGCTACTGAGGATGCTGGTGATGCTACTGAGGATGCTTCCAAGAAGGTGGATGATGTCGCTGACAAGTCTAGAGACATCGATACTGACAAGGATATTAGTGATCTCCAAGTCGGTGATAAACCTGAAAACCCCTTGGTAGATGATGAGTCTCCTGTGGTCAAGAAGTCTGGCAAAGTACTTGATACGGATGATAACGTCGTTGGTCATGTTGACAAGCGTTTAGCCCCCAAGTTTGCTGGTTTCAAGGTGGATCAAGAAGGCAATGTTTATGACAAGGATGGTGAGATTGTTGGTACTGCTGAAATGATCAAGCCTGCTGAAGAAGAGAAGCCTTTCAATCCTAATGAAATGGTCGATCAAGACTCTCCTGAGGTGCGCAAGTCTGGTAAGGTGGTTGACATGGAAGACAATGTCATTGGCTCTGTTGATAAACTTTTGGCTCCCAAGTTGGCTGGTTTCAAGGTCGATAAGGATGGCAATGTTATCAACAACGATGGTCATATTGTTGCTAAGGCTGATTTGTTTAAGGTGGAAGAATCTGCTGCTGAAGAAGAAGAAGAGGCCCCCGCTGAAGAAGACAAGCCTTTCAACCCTAATGAGGACATCACTGAAGACTCTCCTGAGGTCCGCAAGTCTGGCAAGATTGTTGATATGGAAGACAACATCGTTGGCTCTATTGATAAGCGTGTTGCTACCAAATTTGCTGGTCTTAAGGTCGATAAGGATGGTAATGTCATTAACGGTGAAGGTCATATTGTTGCCAAGGCTGAAATGTTCAAGGAGGAAGAACCTGTTGAAGAAGACAAGCCCTTCAACCCTAATGAAATGATCAATGAAGATTCTCCTGAGGTTAAGAAGTCTGGTAAGGTGCTTGATATGGATGATGAGGTGGTTGGTACTCTTGATAAGCGTATGGCTGCCAAGTATGCTGGTCTCAAGGTCGATCCTGAAGGCAATGTTATTGACGGTGAAGGTCATATTGTCGCTAGGGCTGAGATGATTAAGAAGGATGAGCCTACTGAGGATGAAGATAAGCCTTTCAACCCTAATGAGGCTGTGAATGAAGATTCTCCTGAGGTCCGCAAGTCTGGCAAGATCTTTGATATGGATGATGAATTGGTGGGTACTCTTGATAAGGCTTTGGCTGCCAAGTATGCTGGTCTTAAGGTCGATCCCGAGGGTAATGTCATTGACGGTGAAGGTCATATTGTTGCCAAGGCTGATATGATTAAGAAGGAAGAACCTGTCGAGGAGGACAAGCCTTTCAACCCTAATGAATTGGTCGATGAAGATTCTCCCGAGGTGAAGAAGTCTGGCAAGATTCTTGATATGGATGATGAATTGGTGGGCACTCTTGACAAGAAATTAGCTGCCAAGTATGCTGGTCTCAAGGTCGATCCTGAAGGCAATGTTATCAATGCTGATGGTCATATTGTTGCTAAGGCGGAGATGATCAAGAAGGAAGAACCCGTTGAAGAGAACAAGCCTTTCAATCCTAACGAGATGGTCAATGAAGATTCTCCTGAGGTCAAGAAGTCTGGCAAGGTCGTTGACATGGAGGATAATGTTATTGGTTCTGTCGATAAGCGTATTGCTTCCAAGTATGCTGGTTGTAGAGTTGATCCTGAAGGCAATGTTATTAGCGATGAAGGTCACATTGTCGGTCGTGCTGAAATGATCAAGGAAGAAGAGCCCGTTGAAGAGTCTAAGCCTTTTAATCCCAACCAAATGGTCGATGAAGATTCTCCCGAGGTCAAGAAGTCTGGTAAGGTGCTTGATATGGATGACAACGTCGTTGGTACTGTTGACAAGCGTGTCGCTTCCAAGTATGCCGGCTGCAAGGTCGATCCCGAAGGCAATGTTATCGATGAAGAAGGTGACGTCGTTGGAAAGGCTGAAATGACTCAAGCTCCTGCAGAAGAAGAGAAGCCCTTCAATCCTTATGGTATGGTCGATGAAAACTCTCCCGAGGTCAAGAGATCTGGCAAGGTGGTTGACATGGATGATAACATTGTTGGCTCTGTTGACAAGCTCATTGCTCACAAGCTGGTTGGTTTTAAGGTCGATAACGAAGGTAACATCATCGACAATGAAGGCCACATTGCTGGTAAGGCTGATATGATCAAGGAAGAAGAATCTGAATCTGAGGAAGAAGAAGAAGAGAAGCCTTTCAATCCCAACTCCAATGTTGATGAACACTCTCCTGAAGTCACTCGTACTGGTAACGTCGTTGATGAAAATGATAATGTCGTTGGTACTGTCGATGAAGGTATGGCTGGTAGATGGGCTGGTCTCAAGGTCGATCCCTATGGTAATGTTATTGACAAGGATGGTCAAACCATTGGCAAGGCTGAAATGAAGAAGCGACTTACTGAAGAAGAACGCAAGCAACAAGAAGATGAGGAAGAATACCGTCGTATTGCCAACTTGATGTCTCAGGCCGTTCAACAATCTCTTGACAAGATTAAGCCCGTCTTAAAGGAAATCACCTCTAGTATCGAAGTCGAAGAAGCCAAGAATGAGAAGGATCGTGATGAACAAAAGTTGGTTGAACATGTCAAGCCCTTAATCGAACAAGGTTCTCAAATTCTCGGTGAAGCTTATGGTGCTATTCGTGGTCTCGATCCCTCTGGTAACATTGCTAAGGAAGCTCAAGCCAAGACTAAGCAAAGAAAGGCCTTACCTGAGGAATACCATTTGGCTGATCTCTTGTCCCAATTAACTGGCGAAGTCACTACCACTATTGATAACGCTAAGAAGAAGATCAAGAACATGCCTCATGCCAAGAAGGCCCTCAATCCCTTATGGAACATCCTTCAAAGTCCCTTGTTGCAAATCCTCTCTGCTGTTGGACTTTTGTTAACTGGTGTACTTGGTCTTGTCGGTAACATCTTGAACGGACTTGGTCTTGGTTCTATCATCAACAGCTTATTGGGCGGTATTGGTCTTAACAAGATTCTTGAAGGCTTTGGCCTTGGTGATGCTTTGAAATTAGGCAAAAAATAAATTGTATATATTAATGTAACATATCTTTATCATATATTTTAAAATAAAAAAACTTGTATTATCAAATAATTTCTTTACGTTCTCTTTTTGTCAAAATGTTTTTATTGCCTTTCACTAAACCTAAGGAAAATGCCTTATTTTCATCTTAAACCACGCTTAGGGCTTAATTTCAAGCAGTACTTTTCATTAAGATTCGCATAAACAAAGGCTTTGGATATGATCGTAAAAACTGACATTTGCTCTTTACCGCCATTAATTGATATAGTTTTTATTTCCAGTAATTGTGTCGATCTTTGTGCCTGTGTCCACTTTAGTAGTTTCAGTTGGCTATCCTTTTGATGTCGCCATATTGACAAACTATATCTCTATCTTTTCTACAAACTCTTCGTCAATAATGCAGTAGTCGCTTAGGGAGTATATGGCTGATGTATAGTTCCTAAATGACTTTGGTAAAGTAAATTCTATTTTCAAAATTGTCCTAGATAATAAAAAAAAGGCGCCTAAAATTTATTTGCTAGTCGTACCAAATTGTACCAATTAAGATTTAAATCCTTTATCTTTGATCAGTGCTCAAATGGCCAATGTTATGTAGTTTTTTAAGGTCAGTACAAATCTTGCGCAGAAAGTGACTCATAACTAAATGAACGTGGTAAAACAAGTGGAGTGACACAAATGCAGTCTACAAAGGAAAAGAAAAACAATAATAATAACAACAACAGGTAACATAAGATACGAAGAACAAAAATAAATAAATAAAAGAGGCGCATAGATACAATTTTGAAAACCAAAAAAGCTCGAAAGTGGTATATGAAATCTTTTTAAACCAATAAAAAAAGGTATCATGTCTCATAATGTAACATTCATATTTAAGTCAAAACCCACTCGCACAGTTTTTCCTTTTTTTTTTTTTTCTATCTCTCTCTCTCACTTTTTTGTAACTGTTTCTTTTTATTTCGTCTTCTGTATGACATGGCCAATAAATCCAATGCAAAAAGAAAAGGTCAAAAGACTGACGTTGTATCCCCAGAAAGACAAAGCACAGTGTATGACGATATTGAATCACTTCAAATAACCTTTTACGAAATCGAGTCATGGATTGAAAAAACCACTCCCATGTTATCTCGCATGACAAAGGACCTCGAAAAGGCCTCTGGTCATTTCGACCACAATAAGCGTAAAAAGAAATCAAAAGAACTCATCGATCAAAATATGGAACAACAATTAATACAACTTCAGCAACAACAATTACTTTGGAAGAAGAGTATTCTCTGTAAAGGTGACACCATGACTAATAGTACCAACAACAGCAGTAGCAGTAGTAGCAGTACCAACAATACCGTTTCGTCAGTAGCAGAATCGCTGGATGCCATGCAATGGCGACTTTCTTTTCAGCCTGGTAACCTTCTGCGCTTAGATACCAATATAACGAGTGTAGAACAGTTGATCGAAGCTGTGCAAAGAATTCGTTTGTTGCAGGCGGAAGAACCCGCCGAAGTGAATGGTGAACACACCGAGGAAGAAGAGATGAGTCTTGACCTGTGCAACTCACCTGCCTCTTCTGCCACTTCTCAGCCCGACGTGTCTTATGTTGAATATTGGTTTACAGCGCTTGGACGACGACCCAAGATTTGCCTAGAGAATTACAAGCACTGTCGAATGAACTTGAACGGATTGACCAAGAATATCTCACCACAAGCATTGAACTACATTGGCCAAGTCTCTTGGGACTGCCTGCATCCAAAGTTCTCGCTCGATTGGAGTGCGTTTTGGGATCGAGAGGGAGATGCTAAGCGAAACCAAGTATGTATTGATTCAGGGCTTGCCACCATTTTCCTACACGTGATGCGTCACGACAAGGACATTTGTGATAACGCGGAACAAATTGCTGGCTTTTATTACGACCGTGCTCGAGATGCATTAATGGAATTTTTTGACGATCCACCCGACTGTGCAACCATCGAATCCCTCTTGAACTTGTCCACTTTTTGCATCGTCTGTAAAAGATATTCTCAGGCTCGTATTTATATTGGACTGGCGCTGCACATGATTGTAGATTGCGGTATCCATCGACCCGAGGAGTTGGACGATATCTTGACTCAGAAAAAGTACTATGAATTATTACTTGTCTTGTACGCCAACGATTTCAATCTCGCTGTCTTTATTGGTGAACCCACTTTGGTCGCTGGCACAGAGATCAATGTCAATTTCTACAACCTCGTCACCATCAATGAACAATTACTTGAAATGAACAAGACGGATGAAAAGTACAACTTTGATAATAATAAGGCCATCGTCAAACAACTTTATTCGGTTTATATGGTCGAATTAGGCAAGATCAGTGCCGATATACTCGCCTTAATCACCCGTGGTGCCTCCAAAAAGCAATTGCTGGCTCAAGAAAAGCTTTTAACCCAATGGCGACAACGTTTACCTGACTCGCTCAGACCTGAATCGCATGACTACGAGTTCCATCAACGTATAAAGTCCGAAAAGGAAAAGGCAACCGTGAAAGATATCACGTCGGTCGTGGACGCCGAGACCTTGGAAGCACAAGCATCGCTGATGTTGAATATCCAGTACGAAGCACAATGGATGATTTTACATAAAGCTGTACTCACTAGCATCCGCAGTGCTAGCCCGATACCCACACAATTAGAGGAAGAAACAAGGTCGAGTAACATATGCTCAAATGCAGCAGATACCGTAGTCACGATGGCAGAAATCGTATCCAGATGCTTTGGATGGTGTGTCTGCCAACAGTTCGTCACATGCATCTATCACGCATCCACCGTGTATTGTGGACAAGCCCTTGTCAAAGATAATGTCGAATTAAGAAATAAGGCAAAAGAAATGATCCATCGTATTATGCGTATATTAGACACGGGTGGCGCCAATCATGAAGGATTTCCCGACGATATGACTGAATGTCTTTGTGAATTCTTGACTAACCATGGCATGCATAATGATAATGTCGAGTGTTCATGTAGTGTTATCGATGATATATCAGCCATTTCCACAGGCATCGTACCCACTCTGGGTCCATTAGATGGTGTAGGCATGATCAACAATAGATTGCTTCCTCCAACACATAAACATTTAAAGAAATTGAAGCATCTATCAAGTATGGTCATCCACGATCCATAACAAATGTACATCTCCTCTCCCCTCATTGTAATAACACACACACTTCTTTTTTATAATATATATATATTTTTATAAAAGCTAATTTCAATTGCGTCTACATAATTTATGATTGTCGATCATGGCAATAGAGGCACCAAGACACCAACCCGTCTCTGCATCACGAATCTTTTTGGCTGTACGCACCAGGCGTTCGGGAGCCACATCATAACCAATACGTAAAAGTGCATGCATATATGTCAAATCAAGACAGTAATTCGGGGTATGCTTCAAGGCAGCCAAAGCATTTGGCACGTGTCGGAAGAAATCAGTGTCTTGATTACAAACACGGTTTGCTAACTCACCAAACTCTCTGACAGTGAATTCGGTAGGCATACCCAACGGCTGAGTCAAATCGTAGAAATACGAAAACACGTATAAATCACCCTCACCAAAGGTATCTGTGATGGGTGGTTGATAGACACCATCAAAGGCACAAGGATCTAAAGCACAATCCTTTTCTTTACCAAACACTTTTTCAATTACACCACGGCAGGCTGCGTGTCCAGCACCCGTGCCCACTAACTCGACATTTTTGGTGACGGTTTCGGTGGTCCATTGTATCAACTCTTTATGTCCCTTGGGTAAACAAGGATGGTAGACTCGGTTCGGAGCACCATCCACCCAGTTCTTGATCACTTGTTCTTTAATACGTCTTCTCGCCTCATTTAAACCAAAGCCCAAATACGAGTGTTGATACAAATTATATTTGGTATTGGCATAATCCAATTCATACTGATGATCTCCCGGTAACATCTGCTCTGATAATTCAAATTCTGGTTCAAACACAATCTGGGTAGATGCACCACCTAAATCAAAAGTAGCAGCTGATGTCTTTCCTTTCTTTAAATTACCCAGTAAATAATTCACGGTGATCCAAGCATACACGCCTTCCTCTTTGCCTTCCATAATTTCAATGCCCGCCACAGGAAAAGGATACTTGTCCTCTAAGCGTCGACGCACAGCGTCTAAGATACCCTCACTTTGGGCGGTGGTCAGTAAGCGCAAACCTGCTGTTGCTTTGACGGCAATGGGTGTGCAAGATTGTGATTCAATTGGAACACTTTCCACTGCTAATTGTAATAATTCTTCTAACGAATCGGCTGCCCCCTCTGGATTATCTCGGTACTGGGAAAGCCCAGGCTCGGTCATTTGAAATACTTCGTTTTCGAGCTCGGGTTCTTCTTTACAGTGGTTGAACTTGTAAACGTGAACACGCGAGCCAGATGAGCCAGCATCGATCATGACGGCGTATTGAACAAGTGGTTTTCCTGGGTGAGGTATTGAACAATGGTCTGAAGGTGATTCTTGGGCTATGATGTGCACACAATGGATGAGTTTTTTCTTTCTTTCTTTCTATTTAAATTAAGGAAGTATATGTTACCATTGTTGTAGAAGGTGGGATAGATGTGAGTGGGTATGAAGAACCAAGATAAGAGTAAAATGGCAAAGATGGAAGCGAATCCGATAGACAAGTGTTTCTTGTTAACGGCTCTCATCTTGCTATACCAAGGTTGACGTAATTGCTGCTTTAACTGAAGGGAACTGGTACGCTGATGAAGCGAGCTGGAATGTTCTTGTGGGTTCGTAATTTTTAAGTAGTGATTTAGAGGGAAGGGGTTTTAGGTCAAAAGAGAGACAAACATTTACGTCACAGAAAAACTGGTATTTAAAAAGCAAAACCTGTCTGCTTGCCAATTAAAAAAAAAAAAAAAAAATCAGGCTTTTTTTTTATTTTTATTTTTGAGTGTGTGTGTGTGTGTGCGAGTGAGTGTGTATATCTGCTTAAAATAAGAACGACAACAAAAAAGTGAATGGACCACCAATTAGGAAACAACAGCATACTTCCAGGTATGAAAATAAGACGACCCCTCTTTTTTTTATACAGGTAGAAAACTTAGTCAAATAACTTAGGGTCACCATTACCAACCAGCCATCTGCGACATGTGCGTGTTGCTGCCAAAGACGGTACGACCGGCAAAGACATTCAACTTCACTATACGCACGAGAAAGTCATTGGCAACGGTTCATTTGGTGTTGTCTATCAAGCCAAACTCATGAACACTGGCGAGAATGCAGCCATTAAAAAAGTCTTGCAAGATAAACGATTCAAGGTAAAGAGATAAATAAGGGATACTTGTCTCTCATTAAACTATGGCCCTTTTAGAATCGAGAGTTGGAAATGATGCGCATGATGCAACATCCCAATGTGTGTGCTTTAAAAGCGTATTTCTACAATCAAGGTGAAAAGGTAAAAGAGAGAGAGAGAGAATAAGGTTATCTTGTGTCTTGACTAAGCAACATAAGCAGAGAGACGAAATCTATTTAAATCTAGTCATGGAGTATGTGCCCGAGACAGTCTACCGAGTAGCCCGTCATTATGCCAAAATCCGACAACCTATACCCATTCTTCAGGTCAAAATATACATGTATCAACTGTACCGAGCATTAGCTTACTGTCACAGTATTGGCATCTGTCATCGAGACATTAAACCTCAGAACCTGCTGTTGGAACCAATAACAGGCGTACTCAAGCTCTGTGATTTTGGCAGGTAAAAAAATAAAAATAAAAAAGTAAAACAATCGTGGACAACTGACTATGGGGATTTACGCAGTGCGAAAATACTGAATTCGGGCGACTCAAACGTTTCATACATTTGCTCTCGTTATTACCGTGCCCCTGAACTCATCTTTGGGGCTGCCGAGTACTCAACAAAGATTGATATTTGGTCTGCAGGATGTGTGATGGGTGAGCTTTTGTTGGGCCAACCATTATTTCCAGGAGAAAGTGGAATTGATCAATTAGTGGAAATTATTAAAGTCTTGGGAACTCCCTCACGAGAACAGATTGAGTTGATGAATCCCAACTATAACGATCACAAGTTCCCACTGATCAAACCTCATCCGTTTTCCAAGGTAAACTTGTTTCACATGCAGATTTTTTTATTTTTTTTACTAAAAAAAGAAACACACGATTTAGATTTTCAGACTGAGAACACCACCCGAGGCCATTGATTTAATGTCCTTGATTTTACAATATAATCCGCTAGCAAGACCCTGTGCCAGTCAGGCACTTGTTCACCCATTCTTCGATGAATTACGAAATCCAGATACACGAATGTCTACAGGAAAAGATCTTCCGCCTTTGTTTAATTTTTCTATTGGAGGTATATAAATTACAAAAAAATTGATGTATATTTCAACCGGCTACATATTAATTCCCTTTTTTAGAGTTATCGATCCAGCCAGAATACAATAAGCGCCTTGTACCACCACACTGCTACGATGAATTGTTATCGAGAGATATTAATCTGAATGAATTCGTACCAATCCCCGCAGAAGGTTTACGCATCGTATTGGATTAAATAATAGTTATAAAAAAAAAGGAGAGAGAGAGAAAGAGAGAGAGAGATCAAATTTGTACATATAAAAAGGGGTGGGTGAATTTTCTTTTAAATATTTATTATGTATAATTTTTTTTTCTTATTAAATGTATGATGATTGATGATGATTAGTATGAGGAGAAGGAGCAAACGAACCGTCTGTGCCCATTTCAGTAACATGAGTTGTGTTTCTTAAATCGGCCTCTGAAAAGAAAGGATCTTCGTAAGCAGTAGAGGCTGGTTGCTCAAGGTAATACGATTGGATTGCACGTTGCTCACTTTGTTGTTGTTGTTGATGTGCGATTTGACTCATTTCAATCTTCATGTGGTGATCTGCACTAGGCTCTCTGAAATCTTGTCGAGTGTTCATATCCTTTTCTTCCTGGGTTTCATCTTTACCAATATCGGCCGCCAATTCATTTCCGATACCAGCTCTAGTACCCCAGCCTACCTCATGTAAAGTAAATAACGCATACAATTTCATGATAGCAAAGTAGTAATTAAATAATAACCAGGCAGGTAACACCCATATATCTAACGGTCTTCTGATGAAATGAGGAATTAACTTGATGAAACGTGTCAATAACAACCAGATGATGTAAGAAATCGCGATATTCCAGCCGGGTAAAGGTGGATTTGTAGGACCTGCACGTTGTTCTTGAAGAGAAGCAAAGACACCTACCAAGATGGGACCTGCCAACAAGGTCAATGGATTAAAGATTTTATCAACCATGGTAAAGGCTACAAAGGGATGCCTTGACCAAATATAGCGTTCGGTAAATAACGATCTAAAATCAGAACGCCATGTGTTACGTGTCCATCTCAGTACCTGCTTTACAAATCGCCAGTTATTTTTAAAGGTCGAGTAAAGTTCGGCTTCATTACAGATTTGAGCATAGGTGTTCCAACCGTGCGAGACCATCCAACGTGTCAAAAATTTATCATCGCCCGAGTTGAGAGGGTATTTGCCCAACCAAAGATCGTTGGTGAAACAGTATTGGAAAGCAGGATCTTTTAAAATCAAGGTGCGATAAGCTGCTGTTCGGCCCGAAAGACAACAAATACCTCCGTCAATATGAGTCGATGCAGCAATTTCAATATTACGACTGGTTAGTCGAAAACCAGCCAAAATTTCCCACATTGTTTGGTGTCCATTGGGATCCACAGCGTGTACAGTTTGACTGGTACCAACACCACCCATCTTTAAATCCTCAAAACAAGCAAGAATATATTCCAACATGGTAGGCTTCCAAATTGCATCATCATCAGCAAACACAATAATCTCACTGTTCGTTGCGTTGATCCCTTCTACCATTTGAAGTCGCTTATTGGCTCGGGGTACGGTCAAGACACGAATTTTGGATGGATCCACTTCGTTGGCGAGGTCTTGTAAAGGGCCCCGCATCTTTGTCTCTGTAATAATAATGATCTCTTTGGGTTTGCAGGCTAACCAACTCTTGGCTGCAATCTTAAACTCTTCACCTGCATCAATGGTTGGTACAATAATCGTTACATCTCGTTCTCCTGTATAAGTCGGATTGGCCTTGGGCTGTTTGGGTTGATAAACTAACCATGCTGCTACCTTGATAAAAAACCAAAGGTATCGATAGAAACCAATGATACCAAATGGTAAGAAGAAGGGTAGCAACCCTAAATCGTTTGTCAAATACAACATCCTCTTTTTTTTTTTGGTTTTTTAATAAGAAAAAAAAAAGAAAAGAAGGAAAAATTGATTGATTTTGTATATATTTATAGCTTTTTGGGATCGTACTACAATCTCCTATTTCAATTTTATTTTCTTTGTGCAGTGCTCACGGTTCACAACCACAGATTTTCATTGGCCAATATATACAAAAAAAAGACATTTTAATGTCTAAAAATAAAAATGCAAATGTACATCTGTTACACGAAAACACATCGGCTTCACATTCAAAGTTTTTTTTTTCCAAATTCGCTTTTATGAACATAAATAGGAAGATCGGCATTCCTATTTCTTTTCATAATCCCTTTTAAAGTCATTAAATTGAGAAGCGGTTTTTTTTTTTTTTTTTTTTTACAAAGATAGACAAGGGAGCTATTGAACAATAAAATAGGGCAATGGATTATGTGCAAGATGATCTTTTTAATATAACTGCATCTCGATGCCGCGTTTACCTATATTACTACTGCTGAATTTGACAGGGAGATGGACTAAATTTCTGACAACTTAGCAGCATAATTAGCCTCTGTTAGAAATCACAATGTCCAGTCTACTAAGCAAAATACCATTTTCTATTATTTTAATACCATCAAACTCTAAGGCTGCCATCAATAAAAGTAAAAAGCAGCCTGTTTATTTTTAACTCCGCCAATAGACGTCATCTTTAAAAAAATATTAATCCCATGTGTTAAGTGTTGCATTTTCTCTTTCTAATCTATAAAATTTCATCGAATGGCTCTAAATGCCGTCATTGGTTTGGCTTGTAAGCTTGATCCTGGTAGCTTTTACGTTCTCTCGGGTTCTATGATCACAAGAAATGTAACGGTGTTCCAACAATTATAAAATATATCTACCGTCATCAAATCTTGGTCCAATCCAGCAAGTGTAAGTTACATGAACATAAAATTACTCTTACATATATTGTTAATAACCTAGTCAAATTGCATATTCCTCTATCTGTTCACGTTAATGGTAGTGTTAAGGCTCTGGACACCCTTTTATAAACTTTGGTGTCGTTGGTAGGTAGGATTGACTATTTCTTACCCGCGAGTATATCCTTGGGTGTCACTTTACTCCGTCAGGTACTACGACTACATGAAGTCAGTTGTTGAATATTATCATACTTGATAACCGACTGTAAGGAGTAGTTCAAAGGTTCATTGTAACCAGTTTGGCGGACAGTATCTAGCTTGCTGCTGACATTTCTGTAAGCTATTTGATATACTTTGACTTATACCGGTCATATACTACGCCTATGTGGCTATCAACGGTTGAATACTGCATTTGTGCAGCCTGTTGTACTAGGTTTGCCCGAAGTCAGTTGTCGGGGTGGTCCGCGTGTAAGAATATTTTATGATTGTGTGAGTATATCCTTGGGTGTCACTTTACTCCGTCAGGTACTACGACTACATGAAGTCAGTTGTTGAATATTATCATACTTGATAACCAACTGTAAGGAGTAGTTCAAAGGTTCATTGTAACCAGTTTGGCGGACAGTATCTAGCTTGCTGCTGACATTTCTGTAAGCTATTTGATATACTTTGACTTATACCGGTCATGTACTACGCCTATGTGGCTATCAACGGTTGAATACTGCATTTGTGCAGCCTGTTGTACTAGGTTTGCCCGAAGTCAGCTGTCGGGGTGGTCCGCACAATTGTAAAATACGTCTATTACCTTCATCAAAATACGGTGTGGTGCGGAAAATGTAAGTTGCATGAACATAAAATTACTCTTACATATTGTGTTAATCACTTTAATGGATTACAGCTTATTTTACCTATTCACGTAAATGGAAGTGTTAAAGGCTTTGGATGCCTTTATATAAACTTTGGTGTCATTGGTAGGTTCCATCAACTATTTCTTACCCGCGAGTATATCCTTGGGTGTCACTTTACTCCGTCAGGTACTACGACTACATGAAGTCAGTTGTTGAATATTATCATACTTGATAACCAACTGTAAGGAGTAGTTCAAAGGTTCATTGTAACCAGTTTGGCGGACAGTATCTAGCTTGCTGCTGACATTTCTGTAAGCTATTTGATATACTTTGACTTATACCGGTCATGTACTACGCCTATGTGGCTATCAACGGTTGAATACTGCATTTGTGCAGCCTGTTGTACTAGGTTTGCCCGAAGTCAGTTGTCGGGGTGGTCCGCGTGTAAGAATATTTTATGATTGTGTGAGTATATCCTTGGGTGTCACTTTACTCCGTCAGGTACTACGACTACATGAAGTCAGTTGTTGAATATTATCATACTTGATAACCAACTGTAAGGAGTAGTTCAAAGGTTCATTGTAACCAGTTTGGCGGACAGTATCTAGCTTGCTGCTGACATTTCTGTAAGCTATTTGATATACTTTGACTTATACCGGTCATATACTACGCCTATGTGGCTATCAACGGTTGAATACTGCATTTGTGCAGCCTGTTGTACTAGGTTTGCCCGAGGTCAGCTGTCGGGGTGGTCCACACAATTGTGAAATAACTGGTTTTTGGAAAGCTGCTAATCGCTTAAGTTTATATACTGGTCGTCTGAAGCAAGTATGTGTATGATAATGATGATGATACTCACGCTTGGCTTTCTCTTAGATTTTAATGTGCCAAAGCAATTCAACGTGTCAACCTATTTTTTTTTTTTTTTTGGCAATTCTGGATCGGCGTATGCCAGCAAAGCCTCATTGAACAGTCGGTACGTATCAAAGACAAGAAAATTCTGAGAGGCCTATATGTTAAATGATAGAGATAGAAGGGTACTCAGTTCGCAGATCAAGTTTCGAAGGGCTTTTATAACCAATCTACACTCGGAGGAAACGGATGTTATTTGTTCAGATCGGCCGCCGCCCCCATCTCCTGATCCGATTCCTATTGAGGATGAGGATGAAACTCCCGTTTGCATTTTTTTAAAATACATCCCAACATTAGATATGCCACAACGCATGAAGGATCTAATAAAAACAAATTTGGCCCAATTAACTATTGGGTAGCACTACGCTTGTCTAAAATACTTTTTTTTTTATTAACTTATCTATAGGGTGATTTTCAAAGGGGTTTGCTTGTAAAAGTCTCTTAAAAATCATATAAGATGGAGCGTGCATCAAAGATGCCCGTCAGAGCCACAGGATATCACTTTCTTAAAAGGAAGTTCTGTACTTATGAATAGCTTAATGAAGTCTCTATGTATTAACGATATGTATATTAAAGTGTCACTTGTAACTATAAACCTGCGCTGCAATAATTTTTTGACCTTCTATGGCTTGGTACCTAAATCAGATGATGCTTCTTTTTTTTTTTTTTTTTTTTTTTTTTTTGATAAATCAATAAATCGATTAATTTTGAAGTAAATTACATTAGACGTACGGGTGTTGGAAAGTTATTCTGAATGTTTAAAATGGGAAGCTTTGTACAGATAAATATTTGAGCCTATTACTTACAATGTATTTGAAAAGAAAAAAGTGGGAAAAAATAATACCAGAAGTGGGTTTATTGACTGTCATACATATCAATAGTAAAATCGTTTACCATAGATAAATGAAAACCTATTCAATTAAACAATACGAAACTCCTTCGATCTATGAAGTCTTCTCTTTGGTCTATTGTAATGAAAAATTATATATACTGGAAAAGGGTACTCAATATAAGGAGCCAAGGAAGCGTTTCTGTTGGAAGTTCCAAACAAATGGGAAATTTTATTTTCATCAATGTGTCACACCAATGATATTATAACCTGAAAAAAAAAATCGCTTTTATTTCTTGTTTGTTGGTACAAAACATAAGACAAGTGTTAAACTGCCAATTCTTCATCCTTTTTTTTTTTTTTTTGGTGGGAGGGGTGCTTTGCAAACTTAATTTTTTTCGATTCTAATACCCAAGGAAAAGGATGTGAAAGTAATGAGCAAGGTAGTGCTGTTACAACATTTATATGAGTACATCTTGAGGCTGAAGAATGATAACATGGGGCCGAATCCAAAGGTTTAGATAAGAGTACTGAATTTGTGTACGGAAAGATCAGAAATTTATGAGCTTTGAGCACCGAGAAAGATGAACCTTGATGGGTCTACTAGTAAGATGGAATAAGAAAGGCTTGATGAGAATTGGTTAAAGCAAGTACAACAGGAGTAGCGATGAAGATTTGCATTAAAAAAATACGGATTGAGCTGTTTAAAAAAATTCGGGACGCAAAAAAAAAAGTGGATTCACGTCATTCTTAAGTTTACTCCTTTTTGGGAGAAGAAAAGCTCTTCAAAGACTCAGTCGTTAGCCTTCCTTCTACTGGTGTTGAAGGTCCTGATCCATAAAAATAATCGGTGAACTCACCAATGAGACTTATCAGCAGACTCTGGAATTAAATGAAATTATTTCGTATTGCAATACTTGTGTACTATCGATTATATCATTTAACTTACTTCCAGCCTCAGCAGGGCACCGTAGCAGCTGTCCAATCGTTGCACATCATGGATATCAATTGGGAGATGGAACTGGTCAAGCATAATCACTCTGTACGTCTTGTGATACATAAAATCCATGGCAAACATACGACATAGATCACCTATCATAAACGATATTCATGTTATTCAGTATATGTCTTAACAAGATCTTTCAATTTGGTCCAAATACCTTGAACAAGCAGAGAATAAACAATTCGACTTTTGTTGTCGAGGCCGGCGGTGAAATCAAGCTCATCCTTCATGATATTCATCAGTTTGATGAAGTCGGGGTCAGAATGGCTATTCTCTTGCATGATGTAATTCAAAGACTTAACCTCGCAAAGGAAGAGGGCATGATTCAAACCGTCTATATCTGTACAAAGCGAAAGGTCAGGCATCCTTCCTTCTCTTCCTCTTCTAGCCCTAGACCCAGCAGATTCCTCCGAGCTCCTACCAAAGCATGATTGTTTAGCAAGCAAGGTTATTTATCCGTTATTTATTTTCATTATCAAAACTCACCCCCTCAGCTTGACATCACTGGATTGTGGCAGGAACGGACAAACTAGTGGCTCCACCAACTGGCTGCAAAACAGCGGTTCCCTCAAAATACTGACTTTCTTTTGGGCCAAATTGCCCAATCTAAATATGATTTTTAGTTGATGTTATGTAAACAAATACACATGAATGAAACTTACACTTGGGATAAAGATCGAGCAACTTTTTTTTCGTCATTTTTTGTGGAACTGATAGCCTTAGTCACCCAAACAGAAGCAGAATCGACAGCCTTTTCACAATCGGTCTTCATGATCTATATGCAAATGTTTAGTCAGGGAGGTATCATTATTTGGCTAAGTGTTTACCAAAGAGATTTGCTTGATTTGGTCGGTGATATTGATGGCGTTGGTGGAGGCAGGGTATTGTTCTGATACTTCGTTCTTAGCTGCAATAAAGACTGAGGAGCTAACTTTGTACTGTTTTCGTCCTGGTTCATCAAGCAAGAAGATACCATTCAAAGCTCTGTATTCAAAACGAAGTCAATTATCAAGAATGTATACATGTGATGTGTTCTTACAATTCTTCGTAAATGTTGCTTGGGCTATCATACTGTTCAACATTCAAAATAGCTTTGTCACGAAAGTCATGAAGCTTTTCTGACAAATTAATGCCGTTTACCACCCACTAAATAAGAAAAAGTATAAGCTTTTTCGATTCAATTGCCTTTCTAGCATAAGATGTCTTACATTGTTAGTTGTGTCGTCTATCACGACAGGCCCTTCCCCCTCTGCCAGGTATTCCAGCCTTGGCTTTCTCTAATGTTATGAACTTGTTGTCAATGACCAGTTACGTTTTTAAAATATAAAATCAAAGTACTTACCGTCGGCTTTTTAGTAGCAGGTGAAATGGTGTCACGGCTACGTTTGACTTGAGTGATGGCTATATTAAAGTCAGTTAATCTTGGTGTTATGTACCACTCAACGAGGTATTACCATTTGTGTGGTTGTTAATAATTTGGGTAGTGTTATCCCCAATATTGTTGTAATTGTTGTTGGTGATTGAAAAAGGTTCATGAGGTGTAGATGACTATACAATAAATAAATATTAGCGAAGATTTCTTAAAGCCTGTAATATAAGTAACCTACACCAGCTTCAGTATTATCTTTTTGAAACTTTTTATAGCATTTTTGTCAGTAAATATAAAAGTGCTTAAAGTATTCATATACCTTTATAGTCTTAATAAGTGATTCAGCCTTCTTCTTGGCCAATTTTACGAAATTTTCACCGTCGATTATGGCCTGTAAACCGACTTTTAATTTTCGATTCAGGTCCATTCCACCACATTCCTGACTAAGTTGTTGTCTAGCATCGGTAATATCCCAGTGCGTGTAACTTGTTGTAAGAAAGTATAACATAGCAGTGACAATAAGGAATAAAAGGCAAAGTCAAAAAGATGGTTTATTTTTTATTTTTATGCGTTTTTTTTTGGCGTTTTTTTTTGGCGTTTTTTTTTTGGCGTTTTTTTCATTCGGAATACCGCGTTTTATTTATAGTAGTCACAGTAGAAAGCTAAAATACGGGTAACTCCCTGATTTGGAAAATCTCCCGTTTTGTTTTTTGGTAGCATTCTTACTTTTTTGACTTATATATTGCCTATACTACTCCTGTAGCAGGGAGATGCTATAAAGTTGGTTGACAGCATCTTTATAATAGTCAGATTTCTTTCTCAACTAAAACAGGTTTCTGAAGTTGTAATCGCAATAATAAAATTAGAATTGATTATGTTATAATTTATTTACATCACACAAGTTGAATGACTAGTTTTTTTTTTTTGGCTTCACAAATATGAATTGTTGAAAAGTGCAGAAGAATTACACTGTGCTAATAGCCATAAAATTGATCATAAAAAAATGGCATGCAATTAAATAAATGTTGATTTTAACGTCAGGTTCGCCTCTATTGTCATCATTACTACTAACAATATGGAAAGCTCAAAATCAAAGATTATTATCCAAAATGTCGTCTCTTGATATGTGTGGGAATAGGTTACATAATTATTTGTATTAAATTATTTGTTTCTGCTGATACAAGTGTAAATGCAGAATCAAAAGAGTGCTTATACTTACTCTTAAATCATTATTCCAGATAGTGCTGAGAATGGTTTTTATGTCTTGGATATTACTTTTATAGAGGGCATGAGATAATTTGTGGTCGGGAAATTATGGCTTAAAGACTTCATTTTTAAGCTTATTAAAAAACTTGAAACGGATTTGAAAAGCATGATTTTAAAGTTGGGTTCGGAACATCCGACTAGAATTTTTTTTTAAAAAAAAAGGTGTTTTATCAGAAAAGATATATATATATATACGGTAAAAAAGACTTTGACATTGGTCCATTATACCGAAAATAACATCTATAATACTGCAATAATCAAATTAGAAGCGCGTTTATGGAGGGTAGTTATATGCGTCAGTGACAGTAGTTTTCTGTCTATTGATCTTGTTCTAGAACTGTCTGAAATGTTTATTAATCTTTTTTTCATGCAATGGAATGACCTAGAACTGTTCAAAAATGATTATTAATCTTTTGCACTAAAATGGACTGGAACCATCTATTTTTTTTTAAAAAAAAACACAAACAATGACATATGCATGGCTTGGCATATGCAATCAATTTTTTTTTTTTTTTTTTTTTTGATAGACAACTATAAAAAGAGAAACATTTTTAATTCCTTCTTTCTTTCTTCTCCAACAATTTTTTACTACAACTATATCTTATGTCAAGAAAATGAATGTGTGAGCTACATATGCACCATAGAAGATTTGCGAGCAAATATGCTAAGGGGTTTGACCAGGATTGGGTATTTCGAAAGCCATGTCGTTCTTAAAAAGGCTAAAATAGCATAGCCGAGAGAAAAACGGAGTTATGGAGGAGCCGTTTTTATTCAGTCAACTCATTGCTTTGGCTATTGATCCATTTTAGAACCAGTTTGGGCCGTTTTTATAAGGTAAGTCTTACATATTAATCAATCAGTGATAGCTGATAAATACCCTTGCTTTGGTAGGAGCTCAGAGAAATCTACTGGCTCAAAAGCTAGAAGGTGGAGTGAAGGAAGGATACCCGACCTTCTTCTTTACACAGATTTAGATGGTCTAAGTCTTGCCCTCTTCCTTTGCAAGGTCAAGTCTTTAAGATATATCATGCAAGATAATAGCCGTCCTAACCCCGACTTCATCGAACTGATAAATCTCATGAAGGGTGAGCTTGATACCACTGCCAGTCTGGATGGAAAGCGTTGAATAGTTTATTCTCTTCTGGTACAAGGTATGAAAGACATTACTAAGATGAATAATAAGCAATATTAACTTTGCTTATGATAGGGGATAAGTGCGCTACATAATGCTGCTCAAGGGAGGCTCGCCTAGGTTTATACAACTGGGGATGGCAAATAAGCTGGGAGGTCTGACCAGAATCGGGAATTCTGAATGCTCTCGCTATTAAAAAGTTTGAGGTATAACAGATACTCTATTTTTATTGAAAGCAAAACTGATAAAATATTTAGAAATAGATCCTAAGTCATGGTGTAAGCCTTGGGGTAAGATAATAATACTGCAGCCTGCTATAAAAAAAATTATTGATTCATTTTCCTTAGCCATTTTTAAACTTTTTGGAGGCGATTTCGGAACTTCTTTGAAGGACTTGAAGGACTTGAAGGTACATGACTACTTGAAGCACTTTTATATTTACTGACAAAAATGCTATGAAAAGTTCCAAAAAGATAGTACTGAAGCTGGTGTAGGTTATTCATATCACAGGCTTAAAGAAAACTTCGCTTATTCATTTTGTATAATCGTCTAGACCACATGAACTTTCGTTTTGAATACAGAGCTTTGAATGGTATTTTTTCATGGATGAACCAGGACGAAAGTAGTACAGAGTCAGCTCATCAATCTTTGTTGCTGCCAAGACCGAGGTTTCAAAACAATACACTGCCTCTACCAACATCATCAATATCACCGACCGAATCAAGGAAATTTCTTTGGTAAACACTTTGCTTAATTATGATACCTTCCTAACTAAACAATTGTATATAAGCGATGAAGACTGACCACGAAGCTGCTACTAGTTGGGATAACAATGCAAGCCTATCCAAGAACGATGTAGAAAAGAAAATCTCAATACCATTACTCCAAATGTAAGTCTAGTTCATATGTATGTATTTATGTAACATCAATTAAATAAGATTGCTGTATCATATTTAGATTGGTGTACTTGATTAGTTAAAGAAAAAGTAAGCACCGTGAAGAAACCATTGTTCTGTAGCCGGTTGGTTGAACCCATCCTTACCCCGTTCCTTCAAAAATCAAATGACATTGAGTTAAAAGGGTGAGTTTTTATAATGACAAACAAACAAGCTTTTACTAAATGACCTTGCTTTGATAGGAGCTCAGAGGAATCTACTGGATCTAAGGCTATAAGAGGAAGAGAAGGAGGGATGTCTGACCTTTCTTTTTGTACAGAGTTGAATGGTCTCTTGTCTAATCTTTGGATCCTCATACTTTAAAGAGGTTCCATAAAGTTTAAAAGTAAAATCTGGTAGCTCATTTAGCACTACAATAAAAATAAATTTCTTTGAACTTTTTAATAGTAATCCCATTAAAGACAATGAGCTTTGAAGTCAGAACTTCCTTAAAGAAGTTCGAGGTCTCTCATCTATTCTTTAAAAAAGTGAGCGTGATGGAAACACGGACATGAATATAGATATATGTCTGGAATTTTGTTTTGTTTCGCTAGCAGATTACGTGATAGATGAGTTATTTAAAAATTCGTATGCCAATCTTAATCGGGTCGTTTCAAATAATATTTGTCAACAATGGAACAAAAAATTACATAAACTAGTTCTTGTTTATCAGTTTTATCACAAGTAAACAACAAGAACTATCTATCACACTGCCTTATTCAATATTATCAACTTGATACTTGCTTATCCGTATAAATGTCTGTGCGTGTACCTTGTGTCTTAAAAGCACAATGTCCGTTGTCCTATTGCTTACTGCCTAACAAAAGGCTACTGGGTCTTTATCAGGCGAGGAGGAGTTACACCACGTGAGTGATTTACGCAAATAAAAAATGTTGTTTATTAATTAATCATATAAACAAGGGATGCTTTCGCATTGGCTAAAAATACACTAGCTACAATTGAATATTTGTTGACGCTGCTTACCTTCACACTTATTTAGCAAATAGCTCGGCATAACTTGCTAATACTGAAACGTGGTTTGTAAAACTACTAACACCAGTAAAAGTTTTTTTTTTTTTTTGATATACGAGAATTATCTACTTGATGTATATATGTAAGCCTTTTAAATGGACTTCACTGCTTTATGCTACTATTGCAGCTTCTATTTATATCAAGTGCTTTGAATTTATAAATAAAGTTAATTCAGGTGTGAATTGATATAAATCAAAAGAAACTACGTTTTCAATCTATGCCTTGACGTGACCACTCTTTAGGATAATAGGTAAAAGAATGATGCGTATGCTCGTTCAATTGCTTGAAAACTGACTCATTTACTTAAGTATGATAACCTGGTGAACTATGATCCCAATCCATGAGGTGTAATGAGTGCAGCTCCACGTTGATATTGGATGGTCCTTAATAAAACTGTGGGTTTTTTTTCACTTTGTAGGGATCAATAGCTTCCATGTCGTAGGAAGGAAGAGACTATATCAATGTTGAAGCTGTAAATTCCCATAAAAATAATGCATTTTTGCCATGGAGTGTGTGATACAAGGGAGTCTTAATTAGGAAAGCATAAACCAATCATATCCATCCATCCTCACGTATGTTTATCTGGTATTTTTCACATGAAAGTATTGCTATCCAATTTTTTTTTTTTTTTTTGTTCGTGAATGAGTAGGATTTATTTCAAGCTCCATCTATAAATTAATGCTGTTATCTGCAAAGTCTAAAATAAAAATAAAAAAAGATAAGGAGGGATGTTTGGGAGGGGAAGGGGAGGTGGTGGTGTGGGGGTTGAGGGTTGGAGGTCCAAGAAGTACAGACTAAATTTAAAATAGCCCCCCTTCCACCAATCAAAAAAAACATGCGGATGAAATTATTTGATTTGGATGCTGGAAAAATCATTGAGTAAATTATCGACGGGAGTGAAATCCACTATTTGAGGCGGGTTTTCCCAGTTGTCGGCAAACCTGTAGAATTCCAGTTTATAGATATTTTTTTCATTGTTCTTGGGCAAATTGTGATAAGGATGACGTTTAATGTACCAAGCGATATTCGACTGGAATTGGATGGCTCTTAAATATTCCATGACATGCAATAATTCAGACTCTCCGCTTGAAACAAACGCGGTTGAGTGATGTTCGAATTCTGTAGGGTGAATGGCGTTATAAGGCTGTAAAACCGTCTTTTGGTGTGAATCGTCCAATAGAATGGTATTGGTAGCGTCGTATTTTCCATCAAAATGTTTCCAAACCTTGTTGAGATCCTTGATTGTCAAGCTTTTTCGGTTGAAATCTCGTGTGCTCAGGTCCAGACTGGTACGGTCCCACACGGCAACCAACTTATCTCTACGGTGACGGAAGATACGGCTCATGTATTTGACCGAATGAGGCTGTGCGCTGGACCATAGCATGACAGTGAAATTTTCAAATACATAGTCAAAAAATTCTTGCGCATAAGGTCGAACATACATGGACTTGTTCTTGCGGTTACGAGACACAAGTGTGCCATTCAAATCCAAAATTAACAATTGATCCTTGCGTGCTTCTTTTAAAGTGATTGATTCCTTGTTTACCACATTCAAGTATGCCTTTGTTGGTGCTAACACTTTTTTACTCATTGAAACGTCTAATAAATAAAAAAAAAATTTTTTGAGTGAGGGGTGGAAAAGGGGAGAAATGATGCGTCACTTGAGGAAGATCCCCTTTGTAGTGCAAAAAAATAAGGGCTATCTAGACCTCTTTTTTTTATATAATTATTTTATTTCTCTTTCTCTTTCCTTTCTTTTTTTTTTTTTTTTTTTTTTTTTTTTTTTATATATATATATAAATATTGTAAAGAAAATGTCTACGACTACCACCAGTTTGCGCTATAGTTTCAATATGGGTAAAGAAGTACCTGCTGTTGTTATATTAGATAACAGACCGTATGAAAGCACCAGTTCCAGCAGCACGACAACGACCAACAGCCCAGTCATCTCTTCCCATCACTTGGAATTAAGTCATTGTGGTTGCAACAGAGTCATCACTTCTGAATACAGCTGTAGTGAATGCCACGAGGGATTTCTGCCTATCCTTCAACTGGCCAAAGAAACAGGGGAAGCCAAGCTTTTGCTTAGTCAGTTGCAAACACAAGAAGAATCTTTACGTCATGATGGTCGCATCAAGACTGACACACTAAACACATTAGAAATGACCGTGAGCCAGAGCAAAAGATTAATCGAAACAACCGTACAAGGCATCGATTCTTTGCAGCATGATTTAAAGGTACTCAAGAACAAATGTAAAGAGGAAACATGTCAAGTCCAGCAAATCCAAGAATCCAAAGAGAATATCGAAAAGGAATTAGAAGAGCTTGGAACAAAACTCACAGAAGAAGCAGACAGTATGATTGTCATTGAAAAGGAAGCCCAACGTATCCTCGAACGAGAAAATGGATTGTTAGAGACAGAATTAAAGTCTGCCGAAAGAGAATTAAAAGAGGCTTCAAGTCAATTAAAATTAATTCGAAACACGATGGGGCAACATGATGATATAATGAATCATACATTAGATGAACAACCACAACAACAACAACAACAGCAAGTACAGGTCGAAAGTAACGTGATTGATACCTATACCCGTGCTCAAGTGGAAACCATCTTGATGCATGGGTTGGAATTAGGTCTTCATATGGACACTTTGGAAGACGATGGGGCTTTGATGGATTTCAACGATTTCATCCAATCTTTATACAAGACACCACTCCGAAAGATTCATTCATTAAAATACATGCGTTACTGTATTCGTGACGATATAGAACCCTGTCTAAGATTTGGCCCTAACCCTAGACTAGCCACTCGAAAAATTATGGACTCGATCCTCGTCAAGAGTTGCTTTATTGAAGAATGTCCCGAAGGCTTTGTGACGGAACAAGCCATCCGACAGCTAAAAGAAGAAGCTTCCGCCAGCCTTTGGGAGAGATTCACCACCTCCACCGTCTTCTTGGGTTGCCAAGCGTGTGGTCGAAACATGGATAAACAGTCGAGAGTCGCTCTCTTAAAATATCGTTTCCGAATCTCTTATTTTGATGAATGGGCTTGTATTGATCGTTACTGTCGAGATCGATTACTTGCCGTGATTGAATTCTACTTATTTATTCGCCATCTTCGTGCTGGTGCATACAAGCATCGCTCTGTTCATGAATTATACCAGCAATCCATCCGTCTCAAGCTACAAATGTTCCTTACCAGGTAAAAAAAAAACCACTACTAGTATTATTATTATTATGTGATAGGGTCTAATGCTTATTTTAGAATGGGAGCATTGCCAAGCATGTTACAGAACTGTGGCATCCACAAAGACAAGATTGCTTCTGCCTTTCACGGAGAAGATATGAACCATAGTGTCATGTTACTTTCTGAGTCTGCATTTGAAAGACTTTCAAGTTCGACTGAATCTACCATGACTATTTCAACTGTAGAATCTTCAAGGACGTCTGCATCATCCTAATACAACCCTAAAGAAAAAAACTAAATTATTAATTTACATGTATAACAACAAACACCCCTTATTTATCCCCTTTCTTTTTTTTTTAAAGCACTTAATCCTCTCTTTCTCTCTTTAAAATAATAATAATAATTATAATAATAAAAATAATACCTTTTTGCCCTTGCATCACATTCTAGATACCGTGATTACAACAGCGATACACAATGTGGCTTCTTTTGTTGGGCGTTGACTAATACGAATAGGAGAACTGCATACCATGCAGTCTCATGTAAGATAATAATAATGGGGAAGATTCCTTTCTATCTCTCTTTTTTTTTATTTTTTTTATTGTCTCCCATCCTTTATTTTTTTCATCTTTATTTTTTTCTTCTCTTTGCATCACAAAAAAAAAAAAAGATGGACCCGCCCGTAGTGATTACAATATGCGATCATGAGGCTAAACCCTCCAGTCCTAGTAGTAACAGTAGTAGTCACACAGCATCATCTGTCATCCGAGTATCATTCTATCATCGTTACCGCAAATACATCCAGTAAAAATCTTGTACAATCTGTCGTATATTGTTTTTATTTCTTTATATATATATATCATTGTTTACACCCCTTTTCTTTTTAACACAGTGTTTTGATTTGGTTCGGACTTACGGGGTTTCTATGTGCTGCATATTCGTTGCAAATTCCAAAAGGCTATAATCAAGAGTTACTCGTGCTGGGAATCATTTATGCTTACATCACACTTTACTTGATATTCTGTCATGTCTCAACGGATATCGTTACGCAGCCTTGTTCATCACTATTAAAGACGGTCGGTCGACTCTTGGGACGCTATGTAGGAAAAGGGAAACGTATGATGGTGATATATGCATGCCTCGTGACCGTCATCATGGCAGCCACGGTTTTTTCGTTTCCTGAAAAACCTGATTCTCCCCGTCTAAAACGGCTGATTTCATTCTTTGGCTTATTTATTTTTATTCTCAGTACGTGGGGATCTTCAAAGGTAAACACAAAAAAAAACAATAAATACAAATAAAAAAGCAATTTAGAAGGCGTAACTCAATCTATACATATAATAGCATCGTTACAAGGTTCAATGGAATACAATTACTACCGCCATCTTGCTACAGTTTCTATTGGCTCTGTTTGTTTTTCGCACGGATGTAGGACACGACTTATTTCATTGGATCTCGAGTTTTGTCGAATCATTTTTACATGAAGCCTATTACGGTTCCGAGTTTGTATTTGGAACGGCGGCCGCAAACGCTGGTACGTTTGCTCTAAACGTGTTTCCGGCCGTCATCTTTTTTGCTTCGGTCGTACAAATGTTGTACTATTTAGGAACCATCCAATGGGTACTGAATAAAGTCAGTATTGTCTTTATTCACCTCTTGGCCATCTCGGGTGCCGAGTCCGTGGTAGCCATCGCATCGGTAAACCATCTTTTTAGATTATACACACACACAATAAACATAGCAACCCTCATCCTACTATATATATATATTTTTAGCCTTTCTTGGGAGCCTGTGAAAATGCTTTATTGATTGAACCCTTAATTCCCAACCTCACTAAGTCGGAAATTCACCAAATCATGACTTCGGGATTTGCCACGATTTCAGGGTCTGTGCTTTACGGCTATATTGCCATGGGCGTGTCCGGTCAAGCCTTACTTACCTCCTGTATCATGTCCATTCCTTGTTCCGTTGCTGTATCCAAGTTACGTTACCCCGAGACAGAACTATCGGCCACTCAGAGCAAGGTGGAAATTCATGTAGATGATGACACCACCAATATCCTGCATGCAGCTGGAAAAGGTGCTGAAGTAGGCATCAAAATTGTCTTCTTGATCTTGGCCAATATCATTTCTATCTTGGCTATTTTATATGCCATCAATGGATTCTTGACTTGGCTGGGTAACTTTGTGAATATCGACAATCTCACCTTGGAATTAATCACTGGCTATGTGTTTGTGCCTGTACGCCTTTTTTTTTTTCCTGCCCGATATAACTTTATTTTATTTTATTGACTCACTCCTTTTTGTTCGTTCGGATTTTAGATTGCTTGGCTTATTGGGGCTGATAATAAGGATTTGGTGATTGTAGGAAGACTCATGGCTACCAAGATCTGGTCCAACGAGTTCATTGCCTTCAAACAAATGACAGACCTCTACAAGGGCCAATTATCCGTACGTTCTCAACTGGTTACCACTTATGCACTTTGTGGTTTTGCCAACTTTGGCAGTGTGGGGATGCAAGTGGCTGTACTGGTAGCTTTAGCTCCAGATAGAACGGGAGATATATCTCAATTAGCCGTATCCTCGTTAATTTGTGGGTCTCTAAGTACATGGCTATCTGCTGCTGTTGCAGGAATGCTCATTTGAATTTTTTTTAAAAAAAAACGACAGTCCTTTCCATAACAAATCTTCACAAGCCAAAAACACTGTGGGATTGTAACCCCGGCATCTTTCAGATCCCCCCACCCTCCATATTCTACTTTATTGTTTCTTCCTTTATCTTTCTCTATTTTCTAATTACATAAAAAAAGAAATGACACAAATATTAGAATCTAGAAAACCAGAACCTTACATTAAATCGTCTTGCAAGAAATGTATTACACCCATTGAATTTTTACCGGAAGGACAAAGTGTGGGTCAAAAGGTGTCTGTAAAGTGTTGGGCGTGTGAACAAGTTGAAACGTACCTCGTTACAGAACAACCTTCGAAACCTTCCACCGCTAAACCCAAAACCAACACTCGAAAAAAAGGCACAGGTAATTAAGACATCACCTTTATTTTTTTTCTACTTTTTGAAACTCATGGACGCTTTTTTATCAAGACGACAAGCCCGTTTCGATAGAATATTATGAATTACTTGGCATTTCACATACGGCAACAGGCGATGAAATTAAAAAAGCCTATCGCAAAATGGCCATCAAGTATCACCCTGATAAAAATCAAAACGATCCTACAGCTGAAGACAAGGTTTGTTATAGATTCCCCCCAACAACAATAAGAACATGCGTCACTCATCCCCCATACACACACTAGTTTAAGAAACTCTCTGAAGCTTATCAAGTACTTTCTGATCCCAAATTAAGAAAACGATACAACGAAGTAGGAGAGGAAAACGGTATTAAACCTGACGGAGGTTTCGGTAAGTTCTTGGGGATTCTTTTATTTTTGAGGCAGGTCTCAACGGAAGAAAAAAAGTATTTACAGCTTCTTAAAAATGTAGTTGATCCCGAAGATTTCTTTAAACAATCCTTTGGCGGTGACCGATTCCTGGACATTATAGGTGAAATCTCCATTGGCAAGGACATGCGTGATGCGCTTGAAACTGCCGAAGAAGGCAACGAGGACGACCTGTCCCCCGAGGACAAGGCTGCACGCGAAGTACAAAAGGTCGAATCCGAACAGGAACGCAACCTGGTCCGTTTAAAGCGTGTGGAAATTCTCGCCGACAAACTTGTGACCAAGCTCAACACCTACGATCAACACAACCCACAACGATTTGTGGACGCCGTGAAAAAGGAAGCAGAGGATTTGAAGCTGGAAAATCATGGTGTCGAACTATTACATGCCATTGGCTACGCTTATAACATGAAGGTCAATCAGTACAGTAGTAAGAAATTTGCCTTTGGCTTGGGTGGTATGTTTCATTCGATGAAGGAAAAGGGTTATATCTTTAGTCAGACAGTGGGCACATTACGTACTGCCTATGACTTGCAATCCACATTCGGTGAACTTCAAAAGGCTGAGGAAAATGGTGTGACAGAGGAAGAAAAGGCAAGGCTGGAGGAGGCTGCTGCCATCAAGGGTTTACAAGCCATCTGGCGTGGCTCCAAATTGGAAATCGAAAGTGTCTTACGTGACGTCTGTGATATCGTCTTGGAGGATAAAAAGTGTACAAAAGAAGAGCTCTCAAACCGAATCCATGCATTAGGTATCATTGGCTCCATATACCAAAGCGTCATGCCTGAACCTATTCCTGACGCTGTTTAATTTTTTTATAATAATAATAAAAAAAAAATGTCGGAGGGGGGCTGAAAGGACATGATAAAAAAAGAGTCATCGAATTTTCTATTGGCTCTGAGACACTATATAATACCTTTTTTTGCACTAAGAAAAAAAAAACACCTCTCTTTCTCTTTTCTGTTAATAATAAAACATCATGGTTAAGCCTGTCACACCCCCTTCCGCAACCTTTGATTTCTCTACCATGGGATTTCAATACAGAGATATCAATGGTTACATGAAGTATACATGGACTGAAGAAACTGGCTGGAACGCCGGTTCTTTCGAAACTGACCCTTTATTGAAGGTACACATGTGTGCCACCGGTCTCAACTATGGTCAACAGGTAATTATCATATAAAAAACACATTAGTCTGTGTGTGTGTGTGTCTGATAGAAGAAAGGTATATAGTGCTTTGAAGGTATGAAGGCTTTCCGTGACGCTGAAGGACGTGTGCGTATCTTCCGTCCTTACATCAATGCCGCTAGAATGGCATTAAGTGCTCAAAAGGGCTTCATGCCTGAGGTTCCTCAAGACCTCTTTGTAGAAGGTGTACGCCGTACCGTAGAGGCTAACCTCGAATACGTGCCACCCAAAGAGACAGGTGGTTCCCTCTATATCCGTCCTCTTTTATTCGGCAGTGGTCCCTTCATTGGCATGGGTGCCGCACCTGAATTCACTTTTGTCGTCTTTGCTATGCCTGTGGGTGCTTTCTATGTTGATGGTGTTAAGCCTGTCGATGTGCTTGTCATTGAGGATTGTGACAGAAGTAAGTTTAAAAAAAGAATTCTTCATTTACGCGGGTAAACTGAGTATTAATTTTTTTTTTTTTTTGCATTAAAAAAAAAAGGTGCTCCCAATGGCACAGGTGCTGCTAAATTAGGTGGTAACTATGCTCCTACTTTTGGTCCCATCATGAAGGCCAAGAAACTTGGATACCCCCTTACACTTCATTTGGATGCAAAGACACATACCTGCATTGATGAATTCTCTACTTCTAACTTTGTGGCTCTGACTCATCCCGGTAAAATTCACAACCTTAAAAAAGAAATGTGAGAAAATATGTATTAAACAAATAACAACATAGATGCCGAAGGAAAGCGTACATTTGTTACACCCAATTCAGACACCATCTTAAGATCCGTCACACGTCTCTCTCTTGAAGACGTTGCCGAAAAGTTGGGTTGGAAGGTCGAGGAAAGACAAGTGACATTTGATGAAGTGGTACAAGGTAAATTTGATGAAGTGGCTGCTTGTGGTACCGCTGCCATCATCACACCTGTTCGTAAGATTGTACGTGGTGATCAAGTTATCTTGATCGGTAAGGGTGACCAAACAGATATTGGTCCTGGTTTCGAGCAACTCTATAATGAATACCGTGGTGTTCAATCCGGTGATATTGAAGATACCTTTGGTTGGATGTGGCCTGCCGAAGGTTTGTAGATATAAACAAAGCTTCTTTTTTTTTATTACAGTTAAATAAATAAAAAAAATAAAAAAATGTATTTTAATCCTTTTGTCTTCCTACACCGTCAATAACAATTCTATAATGTCCTTTGCCATTAATCAAATCCTTCACTCCTCCATTGACACCATCCAAAGTATTATCAACAGTCGTGACCCAAGGTCGAACACCTGTCTCACTAGCAAAATCCAACATCTCCTTTAAATCATCCTGGTCACCGACAAAAGTACCACAAATACTCACACTATTGTAAACCACAGCAGAAGATTCAATCACCAAGGGCTTTTCAGGAAGATCAATCAAGACTAACTTTCCCGCTACCTTGACCAACTCGACTAATTTCGTCCAATTCGTATCTTTACCAGATCCACACACTAACAAAACATCGACGCTCTTTTGATATTGAGCGTCGTACGTGCCATCCTTGTTCAAAATCATAAAATCAGTAGCTCCCAACTCCATAGCATCTTGTCGTTTACGGTCTGAAGTCGAAATAGCCAACACTTTTTTGCACTGCTTGGCTCGTGCCCATTGAATCTACTCACCCCCCAGATAATTGTAAGCTTTTCGGGATAAAAGAGATAAATTCAACTAAACTTACAGCGAGATGGCCTAATCCACCAATTCCCAAGATACCCACCGTCGTGTCCTTTCCAATATCATGGTTCTTGAATGGGAGATATCTGCATAATTAAAATGATCAGCCACTTGCACGTCCTTTCTGCAATCTTTTTTATGTGCACTTACGTAGTAATACCTGCGCATAATCTAAAAGTCAACAACATAACGCAGTTTAGAAAAGAATATCATTTATCTCTCTTTTTATACACACACTTACAAAGGAGCATCAATATCTCGAATATTCTCGGGAATGGCAATAGCCCATTTTGCTTGCACTCGAACCTTATTGGCGTACCCCTAAATGAAAAAAAAAAGAGTTAAAATGGACGTTCTATTTAAGCGGTGGATAATAGTTTTTTTTTTTTACACCAAATGTCTTGTGGCCTTTAAAATTGCCATTGTACGTAGTGACTTTGGAAGGACAGAATTGACCGCGCGACTGATGGCATTGTTCACAGTCTCCGCAAGATCGGCATACTGGGCTTACGCCAACACGATCTCCCAATCCATGTTGCTTAACACCCGAACCAACCGCAGTTACTTTACCGATAAATTCGTGACCTGGAATGATTGGAAATGTAGCTCTGTTCCAACCCTATTTTTTTTTCAGTGTCTTTTCCCTTTTCTCTCTCTTTATTTTTATATATTATACTTACGTTGGTCAATTGATGGATATCTGAACCGCAACTTAAAAAATAGACATATTAAAGGTCTGACTTTCTATTAAAGAATGAGGATGGACTTACATGCCACACGCGGATACCTCAATTTCTATTTCATCCGATTCCAAAGGTCTTGGTTCAAACGTCATGGGTTGTAAATGTGTCGAGGCATCGTCTAATACAAAAGGCTGTAAACCAGCATAACCAACAAAAGTTTCAGAGGAACTCATTTATAGAAAAGAAAGCTATGAGACTTCTTTTTCAGAAATCAGAACTACAGAGCTATTTAAAAAAAAAAATCTGTTCACGTGGGGGTTGGGGTGATGCACTATCTATTTGTCGTACCGAGCAGATATACCATGTATATTAAAAAAGAAGATTAAGGGAAAATCCTAAACTATGCACATATCTCGGTTTGCTGCAACTCATATTAGAATCCCACCTATTATAAAAGATGTACTCACCGCATCCATACTTTTAATGTATCCACGATCGAGATTTCCAGCATTCACTTGTTTTCACACGCAGCATAAGTTTAACCGTTTGACAGTTGCGACAAGTCGAAAAGATAAGCAAATGTATACTATCTAAGCAGACTTGTGCCCCCCTCCCCCAGAATTTGTTGCCATGTACGAAAAATAGATCCGTCTGGTAATCAAATAGCCATACCAAAGTGAATTGTGTTTACAATTGTATATCTGTTCTTTCCGATATCACTCATAGTGCAGTCATTGTCATAAGAGATCTCGCAGAAAGAGGAAAAAGATTGACTGTTTATTTTATGTTGGCTATCTCTTAATAACTTATCAGATAACGAAATAAAATCAAGAACAGACTTAGATTGTAGAGAACACTGTAATGTGTTTTTTGGGAAAATACACAAGCCTGTACATACTTTAATCGATCTCTGGTGTATAAAAAATCTTACGGGAGCAAATCCCATTGGGTGTTAGACAAGTATTTCATGTTCGTTTCAACTAAAGCATTGAAACCCTGTTACGCTACTATAATAAATATATTCGCAACATGTAAAATACATCAGTGCGTATAATGACTGCTGATGATGAACTGTTATGATGACACAGACGAAAAAGGTCTTTGGGCGGGGCATTAAAGTCAAAGAATGGGAATAATATCCATTTAAAAAAAAAAGGGCTATATGTTACGTTAGATAAATAAAAAATGGCCTTCCGCTTTAAATCAATAAAGAAAAAAACTGATATTCAGCATAATACGATCTCCCGGCGTTTAACGGAACCCGCCTGGTGGAAATCGTGTGTATAAATGGATCAACCAAGAAGAAATTCAAATAAAGTAGTACAAAGTCATTCTCTCTTCTGGTGATTAACTGATATGTGCAGAAACCTTAAAAGCTTTGCTTCTACGTCATATAGAGTCATCCATAGTAACCAAAAAAAAAAAAAAAAAAAAAAAAAAAACTCACGAATATGAAAATAAAATTAGTTATTTTTTTGTCAGCTAATAAATTAAGGACCTTGTCGTTTGTGGGTATTAATAGTATATTCAATGATGTTATTCTCGTCTTTCTTTGTCATGGTAAAAAAAAAAGTATGATATCATGCGGGATGCATAAGAGAGAGGGAAAAAAATATGCAGGGAGAAAATATATACAGCAGTTGTCTCCAATTTAGAGTGTCAGTGCCACCAAGAGAATAATCAAAATTGATAGACAACACATCATGATCCTCCCCATAATTCGCCCGATACATAAAGAATACCAAAACCCTCTTGCAGTATATAAAAAAGGGTCTGGGAGAACTTATATTTCTACAACTCTTTCTTTTCCTAAGAACCTACACTCATTTACTAGTTCACCCCCCCCCCCCTTCACACATTCCTTTAAACATATCACACCTTTTCTCTCAGCATGAAGAAATCATCATCTGCCTCCTTCTCCGTTTCCGAAAAGCGCACTGTCGCCATCAAGAAGATTCCTCGTCCAATGAACTGTTTCATGACTTTCCGTGTCGAGAAACAGAAAGAAATTTTAGATAAATGTCCTGGTGCCAATCACCGTGATATATCTAAAATTGTTGCAAAGTGGTGGAGAGACTTCCCTGACCACAAGAAAGAGCCTTACCGTGCCAAGGCTGCTCTTGCTAAAGCCAAACATTTAGAAGAGTAAGCATTCCATCTAGTCATACCCATTATAACGAATGCCACCTAAAAAAAAAACCCTCATTTTTTTTTAGATATCCAGACTATAAGTACCGTCCCCAAAAGAAAACTTATACAACTAGACCTTACAAGAAGCGTCCTGAAAATGAATTCACTGCTCGTGACTATCAAAATAAGCATCAACTTTTCTCGTTATACCACGAAGGAAAGCTATCCGACTCCAACTACGATAGTGATTGTCTTTTGGATGACAAGCCAGAAAAGAAAACGAAAAGGACCTCCAAGCAACTTGTGTCAAAGAATCCAGTGGTTAAGACACAGCAAGAACTATATTCTACTTACTCTACAAACGACCATCATACAAAATTTGTTGCTTCTCAGTCCGAAAGTCCTTGCAGTACTGGCCTGTTATACCCTCCCGTCAACGACATGATCTACAACTGTGGGTCTTCTGTTCCCTCCCAGTCAGTGTACTCACCTTCAGCCAGCCCTTATTCTGTAGGTTATTTTACTGATAACGAAGTATCTGTAAATGAGCCTATGATCAATTATCAACTCTATTCGGAGAACTATGGTTTTATTCAACCCATTCTTCCTTCTTACTCCGTGCCATCCCATTTCAATACATTTGATCAATTTTGTGAGTTTGATAACGCATTGATGTACACCAGCTCGTCCAGTTGTCATCCATTGGATATATCCGATACATACCTTGGTTACCGAGTTGATAATAGTGTCCCTGTTCCTTCTCTCTTGACTACCCCATTTTATTATCAGTAACTTCTATTTTTTTTTTAAACTTTATTTTCCACATCTCTACCCCCCCCCCTTTAATTTTTATTTGCAGATAACTACATATTATTAATTATTTTACTAATACAAGCTAACTTTCATTGTTCATCACTGACTTCCTAACCCACATCCCTTTCCCCCCTCAATTATTTTTTAAAATGTCTGTCTACGTATAGACGTGATCAGAGTAAATACAGTACTTCCGACACAGATTGGTCACTTTTTCTTTTATAAAAACCTTTTTCGTCCTCCCTGAGCAAATAAGGAGGTTTGGACATTCGACTTTCTACTTCCACATTTTATTTTGTATTTAGAGGAGAGCCTTGCGGTGAAGCTCCTTAATTATATCCATAAGCACTCTTTACAAGCGAGGAAGTGCAAAGGCAAAGAAGGCTGTGGGTGTAGAACATAAACCTGCACAAGAGGTCAAGTTTCAATTGGGAGATCAGTCATTGATATCGAAAACAAGTGTGTTGAGGGTTCTAGAGACAAAGAGGGGGATATGCCGGAAAGTGAATTGGTAGTAAGCTTTCCAGCAGATTGCCTGTATTGAATGCACGCAAATACTTGGTAAGATGACAGTTCGCGGAGAAAATGGTGTTGTTGAACGTCTCCTAAATTACGAATGGCATTTACTGGAGACACCTTTTCCTGAAAGACTTCAGGAATTTCTCACCAATAAATCACTTTCTGCACTTTATAAATAAGAACTATCAGTGATTTGAAGAGACCTGTATGCGAATGTTATTTTATCATCCGTATGTTTGAGCCTTAACTTAAAAAAAAACATCTGCAAATATCCCCAAGCTTACATACAAGCAACCCGGACATCGGTAATTGTCTATGTACCAATAGTGAAGCAGGATATAGAATGGTAATGTACTTGAACTTTTTCTTTAATTTTTTGTGGTGTAGACATTGTTTACGTGACACATGAACAAAACTTAAAAATGCATATAAAGGGGGAGAAATTGATTTTTAAATAGTTGTTTAACATCATGACAATAACAGACGATGCACAGGAGCCCATGCTGGCACAACAAGTGCAGCACATGGAGCCATTGGCTATTGGTGGTAAATACAGGATTACCGAAATTCTATACAAAGTCTGACCTACTCTTTCTTTACAGACCAGAGATTAGAACGAAAGATTGGCTGGATTCAAGGTGCCATGGTCAATGTAAGCTACATCATCGGTGCAGGTATTTTTGTAGGCCCAGCACTTACATTACAACTTGTTGGATCAGGCGGCATGAACTTGATTATTTGGTTTATCGGTGCATTGGTTGCATTCTCTGGAACTTTTACATTTATGGAACTAGGCACCATGGTAACGACAAAGCAGAAATAAGTTTGCACTGTTACTCAGCCTGACTAACTTTACAATACGAAAAAAACAAAGCTTCCTAGAAGGTAATCACCCTTATTGACAGCAGTGAACCGTTTGGCTTACATTGACATACATAGTGGCGGAGAAGTTGGTTATCTAGAATACTGTTACCGAAAGCCCAAATATCTTTTAGCTTATCTTTTCACATATTGGAGTTTGATGAATCGATCCAGTGGTGTCGCATCACAAGGTAAACTATTTCAATAAACAATATGATTGATTATCATATTCACTTCCCCCTCCCAAAAACAAAACAAAAAAAGGTATTGTGTTTGGAGGCTACATGAATTATGCTCTTTTTGGTCCCACATATAAATCCCATTGGGTGGATAGAGGATGGGCAGGTAAAAATTACAAAACTTCACTCCAAACGTGTCCTAATCAAAAACAATAGTTTTAAGTGCTTCTCTTCTGACCCTTGTAAACATCTTGTCTACAAAGACCACTATGAAAATGATGGGAGTTCTGACCATTGTTAAATTATCTGTGCTTGGATTGATTGCGTTCATCGGATTTTTAGTCTTAGTTAAAGCCATACCCTCCGATGTAGATGCAGGATTAAATTTATCGTTTTATGGTACCTCAACAACAGTTGGCCCTTATGCATCTGCATTGTACTATGTGAGTCGTGATATTTATTACACGCTAACATACTAATACCGTCATAACATAGGTCATGAATAGTTATAGTGGATGGCATAACTTGAATTACATTCTCGATGAGGTCAAGGTAAACTATGCCCTTTTTTAAAAGATAGAGACCCTATCTAAGAATCTACATTCAATAGGATCCCATTAGAAATTTACCAAAAGCTTCTGCCGCCGCAATGCTGACTACAGCCGCGTTATATATTCTCACCAACATGGCTTATTTGATTGTTTTGCCACTTGATACCATGAAGAACTCCGAATTTATTGTGGCCGCTGCATTGTAAGTAGTACAACCGGGAAGCCCGAAATAATTTTTGCTCTGTTACAGAGAGAATGACCCCGTGTATTTTAGTTTCACAAAGTCATTGGGACAAAATTTTGCTTCCAACGTTTTACCAATTTTTATTGGTCTTAGTGCATTTGGCTGTGGTGCTGCTATCAACTTTTCAGCCGGAAGGTAAAATACATTTTTTAAGGAACGAATAGACCTGGTTCCTTTCCCAGTAGTGATTGAAAATTTGAAAAAATAGAGTCATTATGGAAGTGGCAAGACAAGGTTTGTTGCCGTATGGTCATGTGTTTGGAAAGGTGAATCCCAAGATTGGTAGTCCTGTAAATGCCTATCTTTTACAATACGTACTTTCAATCATATTTATTCTTGTACCTCCACCCGGCGCTGTCTATCAATTTATCGTAGCATTTGCTGCTTATCCTGTCTATGTAAATAGAATATACAATCATGCAAACCAACACCACTCAACTAACCTTTATATTTAGGTTTTCTACTTTTTAATGGCATTAGCAGTCTTGATTCTAAGAAAACGGGAGCCTTTCAGCAAACGACCTATTTCGGCTCCATTAGGTAAAAAAAAAAAATCAGCAAAGAAACAAAAACAATTGAAACTGAAGTTATTTGATAGTGTGTGTATACGTGTTCCTTGCTTTCACAGCATATGCGCTGGTGTTTGTATTTATTCCTGTCGAAAATAAATACTATCCTTACTGGCGTAAGTAACACAGAAAAAAAAACTGTTGCAAAAAACTGACTTATTATCTAGTTCCATACGTGTCTGCCATTTTCTCCATGCTGCTTTGTACTTGTTTCTGGGTAAAATAACAAAAAAAAAAATAAGAATTGGTACGATTTAAAAGTGTGTCTAACTGTCCCATAGTATTATCAAGTTGTTTTGAACAACTCACCCGGTAAATCGTACAATGAGTCCATTCGAAACCAAGGCCATGCAGCTATTGAACAAGAGATTTATGGTGAGTATGCCTCAGTTCCTACAGATGATGCATCATAGGTCCCTCATTTTTTTACTTTATTTTTCCTAAACGTGATAATTACCCAACACTTGTTCAATTTAATAAATCTAAACGTGATATTCGTGTAATATTCAAAACATCAAACGCTTTACCCCATCTTTTTTTTTTCTTGCTGTGTTGTCAATAATTATGTCCATTTTGGGACGTCAAAAGCTTGTGATCAACTGTTATAAATGTATCTTTTTTCATCTCGTCATGCTGTCTATCTCTTTTTTCTACTTTACCCAACAACATGGACAGCTTTCGTAACCTGGCAAAATCTTATATACCTCCCGTCGTAATGGTACCCATCATACAGACCATCTTGAGTCTGCCTTACGGAATGTCTCGATATGTGATTGGCAATTTAACAGCGCCCGCAAAATCACAATGGAGTTGGATAACCATGGTCAAACAATCAACATGGAAAGGGGCCTGGATCGGTCCCTCCATGAGCGACTGTACCGACAACGAGGCCGAGCTTTTGCAAAGAATTAAAAGTGCTGATTTAATTATCTACAAAGCCCACGGTAGATTGAATGACCCCCCGAAAATTTATTCCATTTATCTGGTCTAACTCTCTTATATAGGCGGCGCATTTCGTTTGGGTCACTGCTTGATGTACATGGACGTATTTATCACTTGGATAGAGCTTTTGAAAACAAAATACAATATCAACGCATTGATTCTGTCGATAGATTACAGTAAGAACGCTAATACATGCTGCAATTCAGTACTAACATTTCAATAGGTTTAGCGCCTGAATATCAATACCCTGTGCCTGTGATCGAATGTGTCGGAGCATATCATTATTTAATCGATACTTTACAGGTATGACAAGCACATGTAAAAAAAAAAAAAAAAAAAAAAAAAAAAAAAGACCCCCTAATGTGTATGTAGATCCCTGGTTCAAAAATTATTCTTTCTGGGGATTCAGCTGGCGGTGCGCTTTGCTTAGAGACATTGATTCGGGTGTATGCACCTGACATGCTGGAAAACCTGGACGCGCCTCGCACAAATTTCGCAGCCGAGCTTCCGGCCGGCATGCTCTTGGTGTCACCTCTCGTCTCTGCAGATACACACACATGGCTTTGGGAATACAAGGAGGATTTGATTACACAATCATTGGCTACGCAAGTGTTTAAAGAGTATCTGAATATGCCAGATGCTACCAATCATGAGGATCTTCATCTCTTAAAATTAGCGCGTATACGTTCAGGTTATAATCGATTTGCTCCAAAAAATCTTTTGTGCTATGTGGGTAAAAGAGAAGTCATGCGAGATGTTATTTTGACCCTGGCTGAATCTGCCAGAAGTGATGGATCAACCAATGTCCAAGTACGCCAGGAGAACTTCGAGCATAATTGGTATTTTATTAGGGAGTTGGTAGGATACAGAGATAAACATATCTTGGATCATTGTGATGCCGAGTTTGTTGACTTTGCTGCCAGATGTCTGAAAGAAGCTTCCATTGAAGTCTTTGTCGAACCTTCTTCATGTATCACTCCTGATAAGGTCTTAGTAAAAGAAACCGTCATTTCTCCTGTGTAAATAAAGGGTCCTTTTTTAAAATTATAAAATTACATATTAAATTATTTATTATTGTTATTTGGGTTCAAGTGTCAAATCTTCCAATGCAGAAATAGCAGTATCGGATTTTTTGTTAAACGGACAGCCTTCTGTATTTTCTGTATCCAACGTTTTTTGGCCAGATACAGGACATGTACGAGTTTGCTCCTCTTTATTAAATGGGCATTTCGCTTGTGTTGCCTTTTGGCCCGTAACAGGGCATACGGCTTCCAGACTTTGCTCTTGCACCGCTTCATACACCACCGAATCAGAAGTGTCCAATTCTTGTACTTTTTCAAAATAAAAATCCACTGACGCATCATCGGACCAAGTATTTTGCGACCGCAACCATATCTTGTAATCATCTGTTTGGCGCCACTTAGAATTTAAATCCTTTTCCAGCTTTAATATTTCAAACGGGGCCATATCTTTACATTGTTGAACTGCTCGGAAGATGACCTTTAAAAGTGTACTGGGTAATGTCTTCCAGTGATTCAAAATATTTCGGCTCCATTGATTGCCCAGCAATTCTAACCGTTGTTGTAAATCATCAAATGATGTGGCAGCCTATACAATAAATCTTAATAAATCATACTGACATGTGTAATTCTCACTTACCCCAAACACATTTTCGATATGTTCTTCCCACACACTTAGTCGATTGGGACCGGAGTAAGTATGATGTATCGCAAGCGCAAGCTGAATTGATGCAGTGGTATCTGGTGGAGGACAAACTGCCATGTTTTTCGCTGTGGTAAAGGCATCACTTAATTTAGCTTCCGGTACAAATACATCAGCCAGTCCAAGTCGAAGTATTTCAGGACCTCGTAACTTGGCATACTCGGGTGCTGCCAAGGCCAAATAAAGCTCCATGCCAGCAGGTAAAGGTTTAGTTCCTTTGGTACGAGCACGAGCCATGGCCAGCAAAAGTAAGGGAGGAATTGGAGCATGTGAAAGTTCAATAGTGAATATAAGTAGCGTGTGCTCAGTAATAACACGCATGAATCCAAGACAAAGTGTAAGGTAGACAGCATTAAGAGGTATCTGACCGTTGGAGAAGGTGACAGTTAGCTTTTTGTTTTCGATCAAATCATGGGCTACTGTATAATATATGTCTGCCAACTTTTGGAGAGAGGCTTGTCGTAACTCAGAACCTGAGACAAGCTTGGATGTTTGATCATATGCCAAACCACAGCTCAGTATTTTTGTGTCCTTTGTTTCAATGCGTTGGTTGGATTCATCAGGCCCGCTGCTATCTGCTACAGTAGCCGTTATGAACAATGAGGTCACTTGTTGATCATTGACACCGTCTTTTAAAGCGGATTCTAAATCTTGCAATCGACCCACTGAAAAAATGTTCCGACTCTTTGGTGATGACAGTGTAACGATGAGTGGGCCCCTCTTTTCAGTTACGATAAATGAAGGTGCATTGATCTGATCAACGGGCCCAATAGACTTGTTTTGCCAAAGATTTGCAAAGGGACAGGATGGCTTGTTCGTCTCATTTTTTGCTTTCCATGCAAAATACTCGACCAGGTTTACCTTTTCAACACGTCTATTATATGTCAATATATTTTATTCAGCTTTTAATAAAGAGAAAGCACTTACGATACATAATAGAATGCCTTTGCTTTTTCAAACTCTAGCTCCAATCTTTCTTTATCCCACAATCCCGATGACTGTTCCTTCAACCAACCACGAATGATATTAGGCAACCCCGTCTTGTAATCCTCATCCTGATCATAATCATAGTCCTGTAATCGGTGATAGAGCTCTTCTTTTTGTTTGCCGAGTTTCTCATCCAATTTTAATTGCTGATATATTAAATACTCTTCCAAATCAAAGTTTTGTTGGAACCTAATTTGCATAAGAATTTTACTTGTGTTTAGAACGCTGAAGCACACATTTACCTCGAAAAATAAAAGTGTTTGGCCTTCATTAGATTAGCATCGTGGTCATTGTCCTGAGGTAACTGTGCAAGAATAGTCTGTAAGCCGGCTTGAAATACCTGGTCCGATTGCCAAGGATAGTTGTTAAAAGTTTCAAAGGTATTGTTCATGAGTAAAAGAAAAAGAACAGAAACACATTTGTTTAAATTCGTGTGAGCTAAACTCATCGATTTCAATGACCGCCTAGTATTTTACAAAATAAGAAACAAGCGTAGTATGAAAAAAAAATCCATCAACTTTCTGGAGTTGAAGGCGGGAATGAGGAGTGGTATATTCGAATATACTCGAACAAGATTTTAGGTTACTTGAAACCTTAAAAACTAATTCTTATCTTACGGTTATTATTTAAAGCTTAGAACGTAATTTGGGGTTTCCCGCTTCACCACTTTTTTTGGGATTAGACGTTAGCTTCCACCTTCTTGTGGTTGATCATGTTAATTATCACGTCGTTGATGAGAGCTAAGGGAAGATGTAACTTATTTTTATATTTCAATAGAAATAAAGCTTGCCGTATAACCTAGAATTTACAAATGTGATTTAATTCTTTAAAATTTAGCTATATGAACACGTATTTTCTAGTAGACTAGTACATCACATAATGCTGGTAGTAGCTTACAAATAACATTTCTACCAATGGACGGTAGCTGACTCTTGGTCTATTCATGAGTCCTAGCAATAGATTTATTTGACATTTCATTAATCCAAAAATTGTACCCCTTTCCTTTTCCTTTCAACAAATGTAGCACTCATATCCTCTACATGAAAAAATTTACTTGTGTCTTCCACATAAAAGAATTTGGGTGATTCTTTTCTAATATCATCCATGGCGTTGCTTGGATCTTCGATATAAAAGAATCTTGCACTCTCCTCTTCGGTTTCGAGTATGACGGTATGTCTGTCTTCGACACAAAAACTTTTTATGCCTTCTATTATTCTCTGCATAATATCTGATCCGTAAGCATCGTTATGTAAATTAATCTTGAATGACTTCATTACATGAGGATTTATATCTTTGATGTCGTTGTTTACTAAAGTATCACTAGTACGCTGTAGTTGTTTCAATATCCGAATGGCATCTTCGTTGCCCATTTTAGCCGATCTAGTATAGTAAGACAAAGCCAAACTGACATCTTTTTCAACACCTAAACCACTGTAATACAGATCACCAATGTTGCATAGGGCACTGCTATTATTTTCATGCTCAATGGATTTTTGAAACCACATCATGCCTTTCCCATAATTATGTTCCACAAGCTCTCCCTCACAATACATTACGCCTAATTCATTTTGAGCCTCGCTATATCCTTGCGCTGCTGATTTCCGAAGAAATATAAGGGCTGTATTTTCGTTAATAGGAACACCTTCCCCTCCTGTGAAGTAGCAATAGGCTAAATTATACTGAGCAATTGCGTTTTGGTCATTTTTTATGGATTTTCTAAACCAAAGCACAGCCTCGTTTAAATCCTGTGTTGTACCACGGCCGTTACTGTACATTTCACCCAGCATATTTTGGGACATTGAATACCCTTGATTTGCAGACTTTTCAATCCAGTGAAAGGCAATCTCATGATTGATTTCAACGCCCAAGCCGTATCTATACATCCATCCGATATTAAACTGGGCCTGGGCATTATTATTGTTATCTGCAGCCTTTTGGAACCAACTCATGGCTGTTTCGAAATCACAGAATGATGAAGTCTCTTGGAGATGAATACAGCCTAGCTCTACCTGGGATTCTACATGACCTAGACCTGCCAGATCCGTAAGCCACTGAACAGCCAATTTTTCCTGCTTTGGAACGCCTTGTCCTTTAAAGTACATCAAGCTCAACTCGAATTTGCCTAAAAAATGACCATTTTCGGCAGATTTTGCGAACCATTGCAAGGCCAATTCGTAATCAACATAAACACCGTGCCCTCGTAGATAAATTATTCCAATGTAATACTGTGCTACATAACACCCTTTAAGCTGTTTTTTACGTCTATGAGAGTATACATCGGCAGCGTTTTGAAACCAATGCATTGCCTGTTTATAGTCGCACGGAGTAGAAGTCTCGTAATAGAAAATACCTAGGCATAACTGTGCTGATAGATACCCTAGCTCGGCCGATCTTGTCAGCCACTGACAGGCTACATCGTCTTGCTTTCGAACACCTTCTCCGTTGAGGTACATCATGCCTATTTCGTACATGGCAGATTTTTTACCATTCGCTGCAGCTTTCATGAACCATTCCAGAGCCAAAGAATAATCGACAGAGGTGCAGTATCCCTTTTGGTAGATAAGGGCAGTAAAATATTGTACTGATGCACTATATCTGATAGTGCTTTTATCTTCATAAAAGATAAAATTATTGGCTTCCAGAAACCAATGCAATGCTTTTGTGTAATTTCTATCAACCCCTGTTCCGCCATGATAATAAATCAGTCCGATAAGCAGTGTTGCAATTTCTTGGCCGTTTTCCAAAGCTTTCGTAAGCCATGATAATGCTTTGCTATAGTCTTGTACGGCTCCATATCCTTCTTTATACATCATCCCTAACTTATATTGAGACTTCGGATCATCATACAGCATTGCAGCGTCTACAAAAGACTCTAAGGCCGATATGTATTTCTTATTGTTGAAGAAGTATATGCCTTTATTATACAGTTGCGTACCATAGTCTTCATCTAGGATATCAAATTCATCAGAATTACAGAAAAAAAAAAAGAAGTTGATAGTTATATGTCCATATACTGACCAGAAAAATCCATTATTTGATTGATAAAGCGAAAAAAAAAGGGAGGGAAATGAGGATAGAAGAAACAATAGCAGAACGGCTTGATTTTAGGTGGCTTAATATATCACCTGTTGGACCAAACTTTAAACTTTTATAAACAAACAAAATTAGTGCCTCTTAACATGATAATTGTAAAAATTAGTTGTCACTTTCATAAATAATCCAAAGCGGCAAAAGTTTATATCTAAGTAACCGAATACTCTCAGCCGACATAAGAGGTAGGTAAACACAGCATAAAATAAGATTACATGTCCGCAAAGGATCTCAAGCTCTCTACACATTCGACCAAAAGTACGTACCTGACCTAATATTACTTGAACCGAACACCACGTACCTATGATAGACCGTATTACTTTGTCTGTAGCTAGATAAATCATAGGCCATATATATACCCAGGTTGTTGAACGCAAATAATGGGTTACATAAAGCTGAAAGTGGTGCCGAGACAATACGTTTACGACTGTCAATAGAATGATTTATAGGCCACGAAGTGAAACGACACTAATATTCTTTTGACTTATTAAAATTCACAGTGCGACGAAAACATGTTTTGAAATCCAAAATGATTTTATGTATAAAAAATGGGGGGGGGGGAGGGAAGGGGAAGTTTAGCTTGTAGAATTGTGTATGGGGATGTGAATGGGGGATATTTATTCTGTTTTTTTTTGGTCTTTTGGTTTTTTTTATATCTTTGGTGGGGGGTGAGTGTGTGTGTGAAGGGGCAAAAAGGGGAAGAAGAGCTGGCAAGAATAGATGCGCTTAATTATAAAAAAAAAAGGGGGGTAGGTAGAAAAGGTGTGTGTGTGTGTGTGTGTGTGTTATTGTAAAAGTGGTCGTTATGAATACAAAAAAAAAAAAAAAAGTTGGAGTTGAAAGAAAAAGAGGAAATAATAAACAGGCAAAGGTAATTAAAAATGTAATAAAAAACTATATGATTACTGGCATGCACGTTTAATCATCTATGTAAAAGGTTGTCAGTAAAGAAGTATTGGATTAGATGTGGATATTCCTTTTCTTTTACCTCCTTTGTCCAACGTGATGTTTCTTTGGTGCTAGCTCCATAATGGCGACTTGTTCGTGCCTCACGTAACAAGGCAGGGATCCAATCTTGTTGGAAGAAAGTCTTTAATTGTGAATCGAATGTCTTGGCAAGATCACTATTTTCAGAATGTTAGAGCCACGAACGAATCATTATATCCTAAATCTTACCCTAATAAACCAATGATAGATCTTGTGAGTGTATCAGTTCTATTTTGATCAACAGCAATCATATGGATGAACTCAAAGACGTGAGGTAAGAAAGGTAATAACAACTGAGCTTGTGGTGTCTCATTTAATCCCTGGACAATACCCACATATGCTTCAACACAACCTTCGTATAAGGTATTTACATAGTCAATCATTTCATAGTTGTCCTTATCAGCACGCATGCCACCGGCTTGTTGTAAAACCATCATGACAACTTCGAGGTAGGGTCCAAATAACTCACCAATAGCCAAGGCAATATCACCGAAACAAGAAAGAATGGCAGGCTTGACGGTACGATGAAGATGAGCAGACTGAAGGTTGGTAACCAACAGTTGCATTAAGCTGTTACAGTAAGGAGCAGCATCTTTACCGAGAGCACGGCAGATATCACCAATAAGACCTACAGCAATGAAACACAATTGGTATTCAGCGGGGTTTTGTAAAGCAGTGCAAAGAATAGGGAAAAATAATTCGGCATATCTGTTGAAGTTGGCATCGAGAGCGCTAGTCATGGCACCAATAGCCAAGAAGGCATCTTCAGTGGTTGTGGCTTGCTTGGATTGGTTATTTAAGAGTTGGAGTACAACTGTCATGATACGGTCAGCAACTTGACTGATATCGCTTGAAAGACGACGAATACAGTTGGTCAAGACACCCAATAAACTGGATTGTAACTCAGAATGACTAGCTCTATCATCGGCATCAAGAATTTGGTTTTCCATAGCCATCGTCACCTCTAAACGGTCCAAGATGGTTAAAACAATTCTTTGCACAGTGTTAATACAATCGTTAGCAGAATACATGGCAAGTGTGGAAATAGCCTCATAAGCAGAGGTTCTACAGTTGGCTTCGTTGTTGGATCTTTCGGTGAATTGTAAAAGAGCTGTGATGATGCCTTCGAAAAACATAGAAAGAGGAGATGTAGGTGCCTCATCGCCAGGACTAGGACCTAATTGTTCAGCCAAGTTCATTAAAGACCAACAGCAGTTACCGACGATACGGGGACTATCTTGAAGACCATACACAAGAGCAGAAACCAACTCATTCATATGGACCTCAGGCTTGATACAATGAATAAGCAATTCACAAATACGGCCAAGAGTCCAAGCGACTGTATCCTTTACATGTACAACAGAATCTCTCATCATTTGAATCAGGGTAGGTAAAGCCTATTTTTATATATATAATGTCAGAACATGACAACCTAATGAAAATATGCACAATTTTTTTTTTCTTTACCTGATCAACTAAAGGAGTTAAAACAACAGGATCGGGACCATCCAAGATAGAACCGAAGGCCATAACAGCAGCTTCACGGTTTCTCCATTCTTCACTTGTAATGTTAGTTTCGATGAAAGGAACAACAGGAGCAATGACCATGTTGCCTACACATTGGGCCAACAAAGAAAGACATGTAGCAGAGGCCATGGAGACAGTCCATTCATCCTCATCATAATCTTCCTCTTGCTTAGTAAGAATCCATAAAAGAACGGGAAGGATATCGCTAAGGGCTAATTCAGCAAAGTGATAACTTTCACGTTCGGGTTGCTCTCCGGCTTCTTGGGCCTGCAAATTTTAAGAAATGAGTAAGAAATCCCCCGCATACATGCACACACTCCCCCCTCTCCCATAAAAATACTTACATCGAGTAATTCTTCCTTTAAGTCCATTTCCTCGTCACAAACGGTAGACCAGAATTCGATAGCTTGTAAAGCAACACGATCATCCTCATTATTCATACCGGCAACAGTCAACTATAATTTCAATGAGTCATTGTTTTGTCACACGCTTTTTCTTTTTTGTTTTTTTACTTACACCAAATAATGCCTTTTCCATATAAAGACGCATCTTGTCATAATAGGTTTGCATGATACGCACAAGACATTGGAAAGCAGCAACTTGGACATCGGAGGATGTACTTTGAGTAGCTTCGCAAACAACTTGCATAATGAAATTTCTCTCACCCTATTATTGAAAAAAAAAAAAATTACCCCCATCGGATGAGATTAATACAAAACGGGATAAGCTGAATGTTTATGAATCCTTACCTCACGCTCAAAGTTCTCTTTAATAAAGTCAAGAGAATTGATCAAAGCATTAATAGCAGCAAGACGAACTTCCTGGCTGAACACGAGGTGAACGAAAAAAGGAATGTGATTAATTACACAAGTGATCAATAAAAAAAAGCTTAAAAAAAAAAGAGTTGTACTTACTTGGGTTCTTCCTTACGAGCGCCCTGTACAACTGCAGTCAAGATTTCATTGGATTGACTGGCAAGTGCAGAAGGATCCTATAAGAACCAAAAAAGGCAAATTAATATTTTTGATATAATTTCATTTGTTCAAATTGAACTTTACAGTAGCTTCGCAGACATAACCAATAGCTTGCAAAGTAGATTGCTTTAATGTGGCATTATCTGTGGAGATGTTATCAAGCATGATACGAATCAAATCAGGCCAACCACCCAAAGGTAATTCGATTTCGGCAATAGCGGCGACTACTTGACCAGAAATATTTCCAACAGGCTTCTTGGGTGAACTTAATCCTTGAAGAACCTATATATCATTGATATTAAAAACACGAAAATAATAGATATTCTGGCTTATACTTTACACCTTGTTTAATTTGAGCACGAAGTTCCTCAGCTGTTGAAACCCATCTTTGAGCAAGGATTTCTTTACGAGCAAATTCCTAATGAAAAGTAGTCAGTACCTCCCGTTTCATCATTCTTTCTATTTCTATTTTTTCCATCTCTCTCTCCCTTTCTCTCTCTCTCTCTCTCTTTTTTACCTTTGCTGTCAAACTATTCTTTAAAGCAAGACCAGCAGACATTCTAATGGAATCATCGCTATGCTCGCTGGCGAGGATTTGACACAAAGAGACAACATAACTTGACTATATTTACAGTTTATTTTTTTTCAAAGAAACAAAAAAATACGGGTTAGTGAAAAACTTTTTTTTTAAAACACATATAATTCCTTACGTAGTTTTCTTTTTCGAATAATTCTAACTTTTGAGCGGCATCCTCACGTAAAGCACGATCTAAATTTAAACCAAAGGTCAGAAAAACTTTCAATCTAGAATATTTGTTTTATCAATTTTCAGTTTTTTTTATTTTTTACCGTTTGATAATGTGTTGGCAAGAAGAGTAGTTGCGTCCATTTTAAATATTTCTCGATATAGTTTTGGTATTTAAAAATCTACAATGTATAGATTAAAATTAATTGATTCAAAAAATTATAATGTTTGTGTATATATTTACCCAGAAAATAGGACTCTTTGAGAAAAAAAAAATTGGAAAGAGAACAAAAAGTCTTATTGTTTTGATATTGATTTTTTTTTTTTTTTTTTCTGATTGTAAATTTTTTTTTTTTTTTTTTTTTTTTGCTCCAACCGCATATCTTTGGTCAGACGCGACGTAGAAAAAAAAAAGTTAAAAACTACGTCATCTTAAGTGACTGGTTTAAATATTACCCTCTTTCTGTCAATTGCTCGCTTCTTTATATCATATACCCTCTTTAAATTTATATCGCTACGGATAGAATTGTTAAAGTGTATTCCTGAATCAACGTTCCAATTTCACTTGTTGAAATAAAACTTGTATGATGATTGGCATGATGGTATTTTGTAGTTATAAATCTGTTAAGCCAATCAAGAAAGAGTTTTTCATTTGTGGTACGCAAAACACTGTATTGGTTCTCATCCAACACGAAAACGATTTGTGCTGCGGAAACGAGTGTTGGGATTCAAATCTGCATCATTTCCATTTTTACTGCACTACCAAAAATACGATAATATTTCCTGTACTGCCTATACATATTTCGAAATAAGCCTTCTTTTACCTTGTCATTAAAATTCGCCCTCTTTTACTGCTCCATACCAAAGTGAGAAAAAAAAATGACGTAAATAACGCGACCCTCTCTATTTCTAGCTAGTAAACCCAAACACGAATATGACTCACTTGTGCGTAACATAAACAAAAAGTGATATTTATAGCCCTTCTCCCCTTTTCTTTTTTTTTTTTTTATAAATTTCTTCAACATGTCTAACCATAAAATCAGTTATACTGGTGATTCTTATCACAAGTTCCGACCTTCTTATTCACAAGAGATTTATTCTCTTATTTATCAATTTCATTCCCAAACTGGGGGAGAATACACACTAGCAATCGATGCAGGATGTGGAACAGGTCAATCCACTGCAGCATTATCCAAGCAGTTTACCAAAGTGTATGGTATTGACACATTGAAAGACCAATTGGATTGTGCCATCACCAAAGACAATATCACTTACAAATTAGGCCCTGCTGAAGATTTATCTGGCTTTAAAGACGGGACAGTAGATATGGTATCCGTTGCCACAGCCTTTCATTGGTTCCAACAAGACATTTTCTTTAGGCAAGTGAAGCGTGTTTTAAAACCGAATGGCACATTAGCCGTCTTTAGCTATTATTACCCCGTCATAACAGATACTCCAGAAGCAAATGGAGTCATTCAGGATCTGACAGAGGGCGATTTTGATAAATACGCGAATTCTAATATTCATTATATCAAAAACATGTACCGTGAAATCCAGTTTCCATTTGACACACAGAAATGGTATATCTCTCCAGAGACAGCAGATACCACACATATCAGTGAGACCATAAATGCACCCTTGATGGAAGCCTCCATGACCATTGATAGATTTGCTGATTATATGAAGACAAGCTCGGCTTACTTCAACTATCTGGAAGATCCTGAAAATGCAGGAAAAGAGGATCCAGTGGACAAAATGATTTCCAAATTAATGAAACTTTTAGATGTCACTGATACCGGGTACATCATTCATTTAGAATGGCCTACCGTATTGGTGCTGGCAAAAAACAACACGAATTGAATGATTATTACACACCAAACCCATGCGTTGTATATTTTTTTTTTTTTTACTCTGTTACGCTTATAACGTAATAAAAGAAAAAGAAGTTTTGTAAACTAACAAGTTCGGTTCCTGGATCTCCAATATATACTCTTGGATTTACCTATTGTATGATTTAATTAACAAACAGGTCATACCGACGACTATTGCCAATGAGTCCAATAACGTCTGCACATCATTAAACTCGACTTATTAGACATATTAACACGATCTTAATTGGCATATAATGACAGAAAGATGTTTTTTTAAAATTCAGTTTAATTTTAAAAAAGAGTAAAGTCAGTATGGTAAACAAATAATGTTGATGTCTTTTATATTGTACTTGGATTATGTAATCTCTTCGCTTTGACCTGTGTTATTGTATTGACCATAGAACGTATTTGCTACTGGCTTTATTGATCATATAAAACTAGAGCAAATTAAAAAAAGAAAGAAACGAACGATATCAATTTGGACGATGAGAAAGGGAGGGTTTAAATTGGATAATGATAACGGAGGCTTTTCAAATCACAATTCTGGTTTTTTATTAATTTTATCAAGCAATAATAAACAATCAACAGTACGCTTTTTTTCCCCAGTAGTCGATACAGCGGGATGTTATATGATCACACGGGTTACTTTTTTTCTTTGTTTTTCTGTTTACAAAGCTGTAAATTTTTGGCGTTCAAATGTTGGTTAAGTGTGTTTGCAAACACATAATGTTTTATATAATTAGCATTAGTAAAAGGTTCTATAAATAATGTTCCATATGTCAGCCGGGTAAAAACACGATCTCTCAGCATGTAATGTCTAAAATAAATAAATAAAAAAGAGTGGAAAATATGCATGACTTATATACATCGAAAGTGTATAGTACGCCTTAAATACATGTAAAAGATGCATCTATTACATTTAAGGTTGACAGTTTGCGTGCCAAAAAAGAGTGACATGTTAGTACACGATAAAAAAAAAGAGAATCTGCATTTAAGGAGCTTTTTAAGCTGTTGTCTGCGCATGTTTTTAATTTCTTCTTCTTTCTTTGTTTATACACTTTTTTTTAATTATTACTAGAAAAAAGAAATGCAGGCTAAAGTGGACATGGTTATTCAAATAATCCTGTTATTTTTAATACAATGGCTTAGTATTGCAGTTATTGTTTTAAATGCTTTAGCTTTACACTCAGCCAAGGACTTAAATCAAGGTTTAATCATGGCAGCAGAAACAGGTTTACAAGACTTTGTATTGCTGGTGATGGCCGCTGCTTCACTCTTTATCGTCTCTCTTTTTCTATGTGTATATCTACAAATGTTCTTTCGCCATCCGACAGGCCCTTCAATGAAAACCTCTAAAACTATCTTGGTGACAGAAGTTGTTTGTTCGATTTTTATTATAGCCTTGTGGACATCTGCCACATCTGTCCTATTATCCATGTTTCATGGTATGCATATGAATTTTTGTATCCAGTTATGTCATGTCAATTGACCGTTTTTTAAAAAATAGAGTTATCCACTTGTAAACATCAAGGCTCATCTTTAATCAATAATGTGAGTAAGTTGAGTTCTCGAGCGTGCTCTCTGGCAAATGCAATGATGATTGTAGGTAGGTCATATATAGTACATACATGTAGATTTATGTATGACATACATTAATTACTAACCTTCAAATTTTGTGATAGCGTTTGTAGCTGTAAGTATATGGTTTCTGGTACTTTTGGGATGCTTGTATTCATTAGCTAGAGTTTGTGGCTTTTGTTTCAAGGCGCCCGAGTCAATTTCAATTCATCCTACTGGAGACAAGTGGCTTGAATCAGAGCCGATACCAACCGAGGCAATGTACACTGAAGATATGCAGGCAGTGGGTAAAGTAACGAAATCAGTGAGAAATGATCAGAGAACGTTTTCATCAAAGTATGAAATTCCTACAACAAGTAGTAGTACTATTCAAAAAAGCAGCAGTAGTAGCAATGACATGATTGTTGTTGAGTATCCGGATGTTTTACAAACCAAACTCAAGGATTTTAATTTCGATTTCACACCCATGGACTTTCCATGAGTGTCTCCCCCTTCACAAGCCCAATACTCTCTCTCTCCTTATATGTAAATTTTAATTGATAAATCTTGTTTTGCTTAGCAATCCTATTCAACGTCACACGACCGAAAAACAATAAAAAAAACGCCCTTTATTAATATATTTGCCATTACACATTAGTTACTTGATTTTTTTTTTTTTTTTTGCATCAGGATTGGATGAGCATTAAAGGAGAGGAGGCACTTTTTTTTGCGTGATCCAAACACAAACATGTCTCAAAAAGTCACAAGGTAAACAAAAAAAAAAGAATAAAAACGGGACAGTGAGAAAAATAAAATTAAACATCCTCTTTTTCCGCACCAAAATTATTTATTCATGATGACACCACTTACAAGATGGTTTAACCGACCCAGAAAGAATAGTTCACCCACTCGACTAGCTCTATCAGAATTCATGAATATTTCATCCAGTCAACAACAAAAGTTTACATTTCCATCTAATCGACATGAATCCAGTCAAAGTAGTAGTAGTCGTACACCCATGTTGATTACTTCATCATTTTATAATCGAGAATACCCATTTGATACACACGAAAGTATCACGGATGAGGACAATGACGAAGAAAAAGAGGTTATATCCAGACCAATTACACCTGATTTACAACCGCCGCAGTATCAAACTATTTATAATCAACAAACATCATATGCACCTACGCAATTGATGGATATACCACAACAACCATCCTACAACCATACCCAACATTACCATAGTAACAGCATGCCCCCTTTAACTCAGTATCATGTAGATTACATGCAAATGCCACCACCAGAATCAACAGAGTACATTAATATACCATCACAAACAGAGTACATTAATATACCACAACAGACACAGTACCTATCTCATCAGCCATCGATAAGCCGTGAGGATGTTTTTCAATCACATGAGCGACCACGACAGTCACGCTATCGATCTACACAAGAAAGAGTACCAACCCCCTATGTCAACAATCAAAGATATTCCGATGAAGAAGGTATAATTATATATATATCAGCGACAATTTAATCATGATGATTTCATTAAATGTTTTTTCTTTAGACGATCAGCAGGTGAACGGAAAAAGGTTTTCGGCGGACGACATTGCGCGGTTTGAAAAATTAAAGGATGATTTCAAAAAGCTGGAGAAAAAGCATAAACGAAAAGAACAACGTGTACAAGAATTAGAATACTTGTTGTCTAAATCATTGGAATCACAAGTACTAAATCAACATTTATACTATTATCGCCTAGAGGAAAATAGGCTACGAGATTACTATATACAACAACAGAAATGGACACACACAAACGATGTGAGAAAAAACAGGCCATTTTGACATATGAAAGGGGTGCGTTTTATGTTCGGGGCATTTTAAAATAATAAACTTTTAGATAAAAGCCGCGTTTTTTTTTAAAAATATTATTCATCGTCATCGTTCTTTCTCCCCTTTATTTCACTTTTTTAAAAAAAAGATATGGCTACAGTTGCATTAGGTACTCCAAAACCATTGGTTCTTGAAAAGAAGCCCATTTCATATCAAACCCTTTTACTCGGTGCAGGTACCTGGTTTTTTTTTTATATATATATAATGATAACCATTATCAAGTCTACATAAATATTTAAGAGTTAACCCCCGTGTGAAAAAAACTTAGGTTTAAATATGTTTGAGACGTCGACTTTAGGTCAACCTTTTGAAGTAATGAAGACTCAAATGGCAGCCAATCGTGGTCAATCCATGTTATCTGGATTAAAGTCCATTTATAGTAGAGGTGGTATTTTGGGTTTCTATCAGGGCTTAATTCCCTGGGCCTGGATTGAAGCCAGTACAAAGGGTGCTGTACTCCTTTTCACAGCTTCCGAATTAGAATACAGATCTTCTGCCGCTGGCGCTTCCCCATTTTTGGTAACGAGCGGACTTTTCTTTACTCGTAAATGTACACTAAAACTTTTTTTCTTCTGTAGGCAGGAATTATCGGTGGTAAGATTCTTTATATAGAGGTAAAAAAGGGAAAGATGGACTAAAAAAAGCGTGTCGCGATATAGGTATGGGTGGTGGTATTGCACAAGCATATAGTACAATGGGTTTCTGTACATTTATGAAGACAGTCGAAGTCACGAGACAAAAGTCAGGTACCCTTCTAAAATGAAAACTTAGCTGAAAAGAATGTCACTAAATATGTTGTTTAGCTGGTACCGAGTCCACTTTTAAGATTGCTGCAGATATTTATAAGAAGGAAGGATTTGCAGGTATTAACAAGGGAGTCAATGCTGTTGCACTTCGACAATGTACAAATTGGGCTTCTCGATTTGGTATTGCTAGATTTGCCCAGGACGCCATTGTATTGAAGAGACATGGAGAACATGGTGTTGCTGATAATATCGATAAGGCTTCTGCGTCTATTCTTGCTGGTGCTCTTTCATGTTGGAATCAACCTCTTGAAGTCATTCGTGTTGAAATGCAAAGCCAATTGAAGGCACCTGGTAGACCAGAGAAAATGAGCTTAGTGAACGCTACAAAATATATCTATTCTATGAATGGATTAACAGGTTTTTATAGAGGTTTGGTTCCTCGTATTGGATTGGGCATCTGGTAAATATACTATTTATATGAATTTTTTTATAGTTTACTAATTAAACGGAAACTTTAGGCAAACTCTCGTTATGGTTGCACTAGGTAAATAGCATAATAAATTGTGAGAGTACAGAAAATAACAAATTCATTTCTAATAGGTGATTATTTCCGTGCAATGCTTTGAAAATCCGGAACAAATCGGAGTTGCAGCTACTAAATAAAAATAACTATTTTTTTTTTTTTAAACTTTTTATTACTTTTCTTTCTCTTTTCTTTACTGCAAACATGACACACCATTATGATCTTGTTCACTATCCAACATCTGATACAATAAAGATTGTAACGAATTTATTAGAGCGCATCACTAGGACAAATGATAGAATACAACAATCATCAAGACATACGTCTCCTTATGCCTGTTTTTACGCACGAGCCATACCCAATATCAATATTGAAGCTTACCTCGTTCGTATCTTGAAGTATTGTCCTTGTGCCAACGAATGCTTTCTTAGCCTCCTTGTCTATTTTGACCGCATGTCCAGAAACTCATCTGGACTTCGCATCGACTCATTTAATATTCATCGTCTCGTCATTACTGGCATCATGATTGCCAGTAAGTTTTTTTCAGATGTATTTTATACCAACGCTCGATATGCCAAGGTTAGACTGGATAAATACACAACAACAAAAGAGACTAATTTCTTTTTTTAGGTTGGTGGTTTACCTGTATCAGAGTTAAACACGCTGGAACTCCAATTTTTGAAACTAAACAATTTTAGACTAAACGTTCAAGTAGAAGAATTACAACAATACGGTGATCAACTGCTTGGACATTGGATGCGTCGTAATAAGCCTATCCATCACAAGACCTCGGATGAATATTATAAAAATCCAGATTATCAAGCCATCATTAAGTACACAACTGATCACAGGTCGAATAACAATCATATGCTCAGTAATCATTGTTCATCCAACTTGCTATTTACCACTAAAAAAAACGTTTCAGAAAAGTACGACACAATCACTCCATGTTAAAACAAAAAAAGTATAATAACTATTGCATTCATCCTATTGTAAATAACACATACAAACATTACCACTTTATACATGTAAATAAAATAAAAATAAAAAAAAAAGACGTAAAGGGTCTAAAACCAATTTTGGAAATTTAGCATCATTTTTATATTTCCCCCCTGTTTTATAAGTAACTTTTTACACCCGCCTTATAATCTCTCTCTCTCTCTCTCTCTTTTCTCAATCACATGTCGCCATTCTTCGTCTTGTACTACAGAAATCATTTCAGGTACCTGACAACTTTCCTGTCCAGACCCTTAATGGATTTACCAATCACATTTTTGCAGTTGCCATAGGGAGAATAAACACCAGCAGACATTGTGGGACTGCTTTTTGACGGAAAAACAGTGTGTTGAAGGGTCTTATCCATAAATGATTGCTTATTAAACAATGCCTTTGCCTTCAGTGAATTAATAATAACTCAACATGAGTAAAAACTGCCAGATTATTCAGACAAGGGATTTAAAAATTTTAACAGTGTCCCATATAAGCCTTGGTCTTGAATGAAACCCACCTAGTCATCAAAACTGCTGGTTTCAATTTTACAAAAAAGCCAACTATATGATAACGATGTCACATATTGTGGAGACACCGCAAATGTTTTTTGAATCTCGTAAAGAAGCATGCATTTTGTAATATTGGTAATATTGCGTCAAAACTGCCTTTCAACCCGGGCATTGTTGCACGATTTAACCTCCTGTAGTATACGTTCCCCCCTTAGTCCTATTCATTAAACTGATTGTGGGGTGTTAAAAAAGCCACTAATTTAAGGAACAGAACAACGTCTTTTACAAGGACTGGGTAAATATTTCCTTTGGAGTAATCGCAGTAACACAACAGTGGAATTTTCATCCATCATGACTTTTTTGACTTTACCTCCCAACAGATCGTTCCTACAGGTTTACCATTTTCTCTATAAAACTAAACGTTTTTTGAATAAAAGTTTTACCTAAAATGTCAGCAACAAAAGTTTGTTTGAGCTCATCTGATGCTGTTTGACAGCCTGTCTTTTTTTTTTTACGTAGTTTGTGAGTTTGATACCTGTTTATTTTTGGGTTGATCATTTTTTGTTTGTGTGGGGTTAGAAAAAAAAAAAAGTATAAATTTAATATTTTCTTTTCCCTTCATTTTTTTTAACCCTCTTTCTCTTCTTTATTATCTCGTTCACTATGCAACAAGAGTTAAACTACGTGGATATAGATCCGAATTTTGATGTACACGCACCAGCAAAGACTTACTATACTACAGGAAGTAATGCTGCAAACGCCATTCATCGAATGCGAAAACTCTCGGTATGTGGATATGACATGTATAGATGTGTACACATAAATATTAATTTAAAATTAATTTATATAGGGACATCATGAGATAATCAAGACAGCCGATCCATCTAGAAAAAGAAGGGCGTCGCACGGTAATAATTTATATACATATAATATAAAAATCTCTTTCTTTTATATATATATATATATATACTTATCATCTGCAATGATAGATGACAAAAACAAGCCCCGCAAATTCCTTCTTGATGTCAAGGAAACACAAAGAATTTTAGTAGCACAAGAGGATACGGATGGAGATTTTCAAATCACCGTAAATGACTTGGGACCCAAATCACTTTCTGTTGGCAGTGCAGATTCTGGCGGTTATCGCAAAATTGAAATTCGAGGCACATACATGTTGTCAAATCTTTTACAAGAACTTGCTCTCGCTGAGGATTATGGTCGTAAGCATATCGTATTAGATGAAGCACGTCTCTTTGAAAACCCCGTAGACCGATTATCAAGAATGATTCGTCATCAATTTTGGGATGGTTTAACTCGTACTATTGATGCTGATGGTCTCGAGAAGATTTGTACAGACCCTAAAAATAGATTGGCAAACCACTGCCCTCGTATTTATATACCTTACAGTGAGGATGAAGTATTTGACTATTACCAACATGTTGCCAACACAAGACCTCATTTGGCATTGGAAGTCGAAAGACTACCTGAATTTATTACTCCTGAATATGTAGCAAGTATTAACGATAAACCAGGAATTCTCTCTTTGGCCCTTAGAAAAGTCAGAAATATTGATGGTCAGACCACATTCCAAGGTGTCCCTTTTGTTGTACCCGGTGGAAGATTCAATGAAATGTACGGATGGGACTCTTATTTTGAAGCATTAGGCTTACTCATTGATGATCGAGTGGATTTGGCGCAAGGCATGGTTGAAAATTTTGCGTACGAAATTAAGCATTATGGCAAGATCCTGAACGCCAATCGATCTTACTATCTCTCTCGGTCTCAGCCCCCTTTTTTGACCGACATGGCCAAACAAGTATATTTAAAATTAACAGCTACTGAAAAAGAAAACAAGGATTGGCTTCGTACTGTATTACAATCTGCCATGAAGGAATATCACACGGTCTGGATGGCTGAGCCTCGTTTAGATCCCAAGACACAACTGTCAAGATTTAGGCCTGATGGAAAAGGTATTCCACCAGAGACGGAAGCTTCCCATTTTGATCATATCCTCCAACCTTTTGCCTCCCGAGCCGGTTTATCCATTTCAGAACTGATGAAACGTTACAACGACGGAACTCAAATTGAGCCTGAATTGGATGAATACTTTTTGCATGATCGCGCTGTGCGTGAATCAGGACATGATACAACCTATCGTTATGAAGGACGATGTGCTAACCTAGCTACCATTGATTTAAACTCGCTTTTATACAAGTATGAGACGGATATTGCTGACATGATAGAACTTTATTTAGACGGTCATCTTTTGGATGAACGAGGTGTCAAACAAAATCCTGACCAATGGCGTGACCGTGCGCTTGCAAGAAAATCACGTATCGATAAATATTTGTGGAATGATGAGAAAGGCATGTACTTTGATTATGATACAGTCAAAGAAGAACAGATCAGTTATGAAACGGTGACCACATTCTGGGCCATGTGGGCTAATTGCGCTAGCCAGGAACAAGCTGAAAAGATGACACGTCAGTCTCTTTCCAAATTCGAGGTCATGGGTGGTTTAGTGTCCGGAACGGCTGCCTCCAGAGGCATCATTACTTTGGATCGACCAAATCGTCAGTGGGATTTTCCTTTTGGTTGGGCTCCCCATCAAATCCTTTCTTGGCGTGGATTTGAAAACTATGGCATGATTGATGTTCAACAAAGACTTGCCTACCGCTGGTTATATGTGTACAGTACATCAGCATCTACTTTTTACTTTTGCTTGAAACTAACTAATTTATTATCTAGAATAACCAAGTCATTTGTTGATTTTAATGGCGTTGTTCCAGAAAAATATGACGTTGTGGGTTTGACACATAAAGTTCAAGTCGAATATGGTAATGTCGGGGTTGACTTTAAGTACGTGCCTCGTGAGGGTTTTGGTTGGATGAACGCATCTTATCAAATCGGTCTTACTATCTTGTCCAAACAAATGCGTCGTGCTCTAGGTACCTGTACAAGTCCTGATGTATTGTTTGATCGCTTATTACAAATTCAAGTTGCCAAGGCCAAAGAAATTACACTGAACGGAAACTTGGACGCTGCTGTTACGGTTATTGTACCTCCTGAGTCTTCAGTCATAATTGACGGATCTTTTAACAGTATTAATCTGAGTAGACATGATTCATCCTCCACTGAAGAAATTATTGTCACCCCGGAGGATGAACCTATTTCGTTTATCAAATAAAAAGACGTTCATTTCAATTGACTCCTGATGCGTTTTTAGAGGTTTCTTTTTTAAAAAAATACCGTAAAGACAAACGTTTGCGATGTATATTTATTTTTGTAGACAGACACAGGAATCTTAATTTTGCATCATGAAAATAAAATAACAAAAAGTGTTGCGGAGATCCCATGACGATATACCATTGTGTGGGCATCAATCGTCTTTAAAACATACAATGCGGCCTTCTTAAACAGAGTTTTATCGTTATTCCTCCAAAACGATAGTCACAAGCGTTTTCTTAGAGAAACTTTCAACACTATCTACGTTATTATCATTTAAAATGGGCTTCCATTGATATGACATTCACTATGGCGGATTTTTTGTTTAACTTAAATAAATTTGTTCGTAAAACGTACTATAGTTGGTAATTTTGCAACCAAATTTGTCACTGCTAGTGCTCGAACTTTTCGAGCTTGCATCGATCTTGCGCCAGTTCGAACAAAGCTCGAACCGGGTTTTTGTACTCGAGCATGCATCACTTTTTTGGATTCGAGCGAGCTTTGAGCGAGCATCAATCGAAGCTCGCTCGGTTATAAAGTTGATAGTAATCATTTAAATTCAAGGCTGCAAAAAGACGAACAATAACATTTTCTATTAACAATACTCTCAATTTCATTATTCTTATTGCCTTTTAGTTTTTAATTTTAATGGTTTAGACTTACAATTAAATGTAGATTAACAAACGTATCTAAAAAATCCAGTCTTCTCAAATAAATGATACAAAAATTTAAGCTAAACCTGATTAAGCCAAACATTTTCACTGATTGTGCGTGGTAGAAACACTCAATGAGCTTTCTTGGTAATGTAAGAATCTTACTCATTTACGCTGTACTCTATGTATCATAGTGTACGTCGTAGTTTATCATAAACCGTATGCAATGTCTCAATTTTATTCTTATTAACTAATTCGTATTTTACGTTAAATCGTATTTTAATTAATAATATCGTATAATTATAAGTTTCTGTAATTGACAGCACTTTCACGTAATAAAGAACGCGAGCGAGCTCGTTCTTTTGTTTGGGCAAGCGAGCTGAGCTTAAGAGAATACAAGCGAGTTCGATCCTCAAAAAAAGTCATTCGAGCGAGCTTCGACTGGAACACTAGTTTAGGTCCTTGGGATTGTTAATTGGGGTTAGATGCTTTATTATAATTTGATTTTGTGGTACTATTGTTGTTCACACCACTACCAGTTAGGTTATTGTGATTGTTGGATCAAGGTCCATTACATCTCTTGCGGCGTTGTTCAGTTGCATTTTGAGCCGATTGATGAAGCTTGATGTGATCCAGCATTTCTTGAGTACCAATAAGAAATTGATCAGTGGATTGAGTTGAGGGTTATATAGTACTAGGAGGTTTATGAAACATATTTTCGGTGCGTAAAGTGGTGTAAGCAACGCCAGCTCAGCAAGGAGTTCGTGTACTGCGTGCTTGAGGCCCAAAGGCTTGCTCTTTAAGTTGCTCTGGTGTTCATTGCCCATGGTGAAGTTGATACGAAAAACCAGTCCAAAGGACGGGTAATACCTGATAAGCGGTACTGAATATTTGAAAGCTGTGAATCCGTATGCTTATTGTTTGCGATGACTTGAACTTTGTTGAGCTTGGAAGGATCGTAGTTTGGTAAAGTATTTTTAGAACAAGCATATAAAAAGCGTCTACGATCGTTTTCCTCCAAAGGTCGTCGAAAGAAATCCTGCTGCAAAAATGGATGGCGTGTAAGCATGACTTTAGTAGAAGTGAAATTTGAACCAGGTTCTCTAATAACCACATTTGGGCCGTTGTTGCCAAGTGGGGAAGCCCAGATCGGGAGTTGTTGCTCCATATTTATAATGATGCGTTGAAGAAGCGCATTTGCCCAAGCTAGGGGTTGTCCGTCCTCATCCATGTAAATAAGTATGCTATAGCGGTGTAAATCTTAAGAATGTAGTATAAGAATCGAGCAAAAAGAAGGTAAAGATGAAAAAAAATAGTTATTTATTTATTGTTGTCTTGATATCCAAAAGATGGGTATTCCATCTCGTAGTCAGGGAGCCTGAAATTATATCATATCCCGTCAACCGATTAAAATCCCGCCACTTTCATCAAGATAACAGAAAAGCTCACAAATGCATTTCTGTATAGTTGTACTCATATTTTAATTCAATATACTTCAAGTAGAATCTTGGCTAAAGAAGAGAGAAAAAAAACAAAAAAAAAAGCTGGATAATTCTTAATTTGGAAATTATTTTTTTTAAAAAGAAAATGATTGACTTTACTCTTTGTTCTTTCTTCTTCTTTCAGCTTAAGAAAAAAAAAAGATTTTCAGATCAATGTCCAACAAACGTAGCCGAAACTCTTCCCCAGAACCCACCGAGTCAGCACAAAAGCGTGTGTGCGATCAAAGCAATAGCACTGGGTTATTGTCTGAATTATCTCAAGTACTTAACACAATCAAATCAACACCTTCTTCAGGTGAAATCTCTGCTGAGGTAATGGAGACATTTAAGATTCTTTTACTGGAGATCGATCACTTGTCAGCTGATGAATCTAACGTGGAAGCAAAACAAATGAAGCAAGAGAGTGAGGCTTGCTTAGAAAACTGGTTCGATGATTTGCTTGCTCGATGTGAGGCTGACGGTGAATTAAACTTGCAAGATCTGGAAAGTCTATGCGATAGTGAAGACGACGATGGTGATTCTATTGCCTATGCAATGGCGCAAGAAGATGAAGACGATGAAGAAATTATCATTGTCGATGACGAAGGCTCTGAAGTCGGCACTTCTCAAGCCCTTGCCGTTTTATAGTAAGTCAATGATATTGTATGGTATTTTAGCCTTTTTTTTTTAACATCCATTGTTAGATGCTTCGCTATCTGTATTATTATTTTATTATTGTTCATCTTCCTTTTTATATTTCTCTCAATTTCTTTTTTTTCCTTTTTGCAGTAATACCATTCGCGTATTGTTAGGCACCCCAACAATAAACGGAATACGCAGAAAGCACACAATTCTATTATAAATTACTTGCATGTCTCAGCGTTTCTTTCGGATCGGAATTTAGTTGCGTCTCAGGTCTCAGGTCCCGAAAAACCAGAAAAGCATCTATCGTCTTCTAAAGTAGTCGTCGTACAAAGAAAAAAAAAAAAGAAAAAAAAAACGAAGGGGGGTTAGTCAGTTTAAATACGCTAAAGGACAAACGGAGCATTGGATTGTACGTGGCTGTATAAGAGGGGGACAAAGTACCTCAAAGATCTTACGCGGCATTGCCACTTTACAATCACGGATCTTGGAAAAAAAAAACTTGCTAAATTTAGGATCACAATAAAAAAGTTGAAAAAAACCCGGAAATAGAAGCATGATCTGCAGGATCAAAAGTGTTATTGAATTGAATGGGAAATTTTGGCTTTAATTCATGTTGGGTAAAATGCAGGTTTTTTTTTATTATGTGCTTTTAGGTTCAAGATGGCCGACTTTAAATTTATCAAGATAAACTTGGGACAAAACCAAAAGGAGTTTAATTATTTGTCATGAACGACCTGCTTAAATGTTTCATGCTCTAGTGTGTTTAATTTAGCTATAAACACATCTATCATCAAATGAGATTGTTACATCCTTTAATTTAAATAGAATAAGAGTAAAATTTAGCTACCACGTATCCTCTTTTATGCAAGTAGAATGAGCACATTTAATTGTGTTTAATGTTGCACAAGCTATTTGTATTGCCGTCTGAACTCATCACTGGTTTCACATGTATTTCAATCATTTTTCAATGATCTAATAGCAACACAAGACACGTTCAAGATAAATGCGGTCTCCCCACATTATACTTTAATGAGATGAAGAAAAATTATCCTCTTAGCTACGCAACAAATGTAGATGCTAAGATTACTTTCAATCTTGGGCTGTCCTTGAATGGGTTTCGTATCAGGCATTTGCTGTAAGTCTAACCTTGTCGTACATCTTAAACGCAGTTTGTATGGGTTTGACATCTATTATACCCTTGGTACTCCAGAGGATCAAATTTACAAAAAGGTAGTATACACTAATCATTGGAACCGAGATTAAATACCTTAGATTACGATCAGGATTCTATAGCGTCCTATTCATTAATATCATTAACAATTCCAAAAATTTTAATTACGAGACTTCACAAGACACAAAACGCCATTGTATCTTTCTAAAATAGTAAAAAAATCTAGCCTCTTTTGTTAGAGTTTCCCCGGACTCAAATTCACGGTATCTCTTATAGGTATTGTTGATAAATCTGGATCAGAAACACAGTTCTGTGCAATTATTTTAAGTAAACTCATCTATATCGACCATGAATTTAGTAGCATAAATAAATCAGCTCGCAGGAAAACTTTTCCTGGAGTAAATCTTAAGCTGCAATGGCGTAATGCTCATAAATTTAGCACATACAATATCAATCATTTTTCAAATGTTCCAAGAATAAATTACTCTCTAATCGACGGTTGTATTGGTATAACTATGCGGACCAAACGTTTAGCAGTGAATTGAGCAGTTCAGTGTTAACAACCCATAATTACGTAAGTCTACAAATGACAAATTAATTCCGCGTGACTATTAAATCCGTGCCACAGGTATAGAAAAATAATACAATGAGGACTTTAACCTTTATAATTTAGAAAAGACTAATGGTAGGCTACAAAGTTTTTTCTTTCGGCACTAAACGATCTGACTATTTCTTTGCTCTCCCATGTAGTCAGTTTTAATCGAGACATCACTAGGTGATCTTGTCATAGATCTGTATACAGATGAGTGTCCCAGAACGACACTTAATTTTTTAAAGCTTTGCAAAATTAAATACTACAACTTTGCTCCATTCTTTAATGTTCAAAAAGATTTCATGGCTCAAACCGGTGATCCTACTGGTAAGGGAGACCAAGGGGAATCCATATATGGTATTTTGAATGGCCCTTCTAGACGTTATTTCCCTGCTGAAATCAATCCTAAATTAAAACATAAAAGAAAGGGCATGGTCTCCATGGCCGTTGCAGCCGACGCGTCAATAGAAAGTGGAGGTGTTAGTGGAAGTCAATTCTTCATTACTTTAGCTGACGATTTGGATTATTTGGATGGTAAATATACCTTGTTTGGCGAAGTTGCAGAAGGGCTCGAAGTACTGGATAAGATGAACGAAGCTTATTGTGATGATAAAGGCAGACCCTTTCGTGATATTCGTATAAAACATACAGTTGTTTTAGATGATCCATTCCCTGATCCTGAGGGCCTTCAAGTACCTGACGAATCACCTTTGCCTACAAAAGAACAAATGGAGTCGATGCGTATTGCAGACGACGAGGATATTGAAGAAATAGGCGATCCGGAGGAAATAGAAAAGAGAGCAAGAGAAAGAGAAGCAAAGGCACATGCTCTTACTTTAGAAATGATTGGTGATCTACCTTTTGCCGAAGTAAAACCACCAGAGAACGTATTGTTCGTATGTAAATTAAATCCAGTAACAAGAGATGAGGATTTGGAAATGATATTTTCCAGATTCGGTGCTATTCATAGCTGTGAAATCATTCGTGATAGACAAACTGGTGAATCACTAAGCTACGCTTTTGTTGAATTTGAGAATAAAGAGGATGCTGAAGAGGTAAATTTGTGTAACTTTGTTAAAGGGAGGAATTTTTAATTGTTGTTATTCTATTTAAAGGCCTACTTCAAAATGCAATCTGTTTTGATTGATGATCGCCGTATCCATGTCGATTTCTCTCAATCCGTATCGAAACTTCACAAGGATTGGATCTCAAAGCGTACTGGAAGTAAGGAATCCATGGGTGGATTTGATAACCTCCAAAAAAGAACAAGATATAGGGATGGTGAAGGCCGAAGCAAAAGAGATGAGGGTTACGATTTGGTATTCGATACAAACAAAAAAGATCACAAAAAATTAAAAACAGATGAAGATCAATCCCGTCGCGGCGACTCTAGGAAGGACGACGATCGTAGCAGCACCAAAAGAGGCAGTGATCGAAATAGCAGTAGAAGAGATGATAGAAGAGATAATAGAAGAGATGATAGAAGAGATGATAGAAGAGACAGCAAACGAGATTATGAGAGTAACAGAGACGATAGACGGAGAGGTCATAGAGATAATGACAGAAGAGAGGATCGTGACCGGAGGAGAGAGGATGATAGGGGAAGAAGATAAATGGCTGTTTCTTTTCAAGTCGAAATAATAAAGCTCGTGTATGTATGTAAATGCGTTTTATTTATTGTGTAATAGGGTAGTGATAGCTATTTGCCATAACGTGCATTGCAGTATCCGAAGAGGCTCTTCTTTTAAGAGTTTCTACTAAACGTAAAACATAAACGTAGCTAACAGCGACATAAACTCCCTAATTATCAAATGGGTTAGCATCATAACTTTGGATCGAAATACATTTCTTACGCATATGAGAATATCTCGGAATATTACACTTAAAGTAACAATATGATTTAAGCGGCTTTGCATAAGGCAAACCTCAGAAATCAGAACCAAGGAAGTATGTGTACCCGTCAGCTTTTGCTGACAATTTTGAAAAAATGTTTCATTGCTGAACAATAAATCTACAATGAGGATAATTTCATTTCCGCAAGTAAAAGTAAAAAAGAATACCCCTGGGCGCCAATACCAATCTGCTACTGTTATTTTCGACTGCAAAAAAAGAGACATGAGTACTTTCACAAATTTTATGTATTCTGTACCTACAGTTGTTAGTATTATAAGATCCACTATTAAACAAAACATCATCAGACAGCCGATCAATATTTGGAACCCATATTGTAATGGCACGGTTGTTTGTTCGCCTGCTTGCTGATTCGATGCTAAAAATAAAAATCAATCGCTGCTGTCGTCAACCAAAGATGATTCTGATTTATCCCCAAACTACTTTACCAATGTTAGCTCCCGCTTCATACATATCGTCAAACGTTTGTATCTAATGCAGAAAGCGCAATGAGTAACAGGTACATAATTTTATAGCAGTCATGGAGAGATAGTTACCATGTACATCATATTAAGGGTTATTGATAAAACCTTAGACCATATGTAAAAATCAAGAAATTTGTTTTTCCAAGTTTGTGGTGAGTTTGTAGGTTCGCTCGTTAAGGGCATATTGTTTATAGGAAAAGATGCAAAATATATGGATAAAGCAAAATCAAAATCACAAAATTTAATAAACAACAATAATTCCCATTCTGTCTAGGAAAATGATCGAAAGGAATTTGCAATGATAAATTTCCATCAATAGAAAATAAAATTATTATTTTAGCTGACTGCCTAAACTTTTCCTGGTTGAATTCAACAGTGAATATGCTATCAGTAAAACCCGCTACAAAGAAAAAAAAAAAACTACAAAATTGGTTGCGATTTTAGAGTCGTATATGAAACGAGGGGTTGGGATGAAGAGAGCTTAATGCCACGTTGTCAACTCATTCCAGCTTATTGAAAATAAGACGACTTTTATACTCAATAATAAGATATTGTTCTTATAGCGACAATTTCTTATAAACTATCTGTAATAATTTTTATAACGAAATATTAAGAATATGTAAGCAAAGCAAATTTATTATGTGAATTAAGTATGATATGTTATATGATTGAATAGTGTTACAAATGTGAAATTACTGTTTGTAGATAAGAAAGTACAGTATTGAATATCAGATGACGGATTATCTTTTTTGTTTTCTGAAAGTGTATGTTAACAGAACAAAGGCTACAACATTGAACATGGTGAAAATCCAGAGAATTCCAAAGTTTCGCCATCTGTTTGAGAAGGACCAACCAATTCTTGACTCGAAGTAATCATTACCAGTACTATATTGACAATAATCACAATAGTCTGTACTATTAGGGTTTCCAATATAACCAAGACCACCGTCAGAAAAGAACTCGGACATATAATCACCACAGTTTTGACCTGGAGGCGCCTTAATCTTGATAAAATCATCGGCACCACATACTACCGCAACACCGTTTAAAGCATTTGTAATCAGACCTTCTGTAAGATAATGATACGGGTCCAAATAATACATCCAAGAACTCCAGAATTTGGGCATTGAATTAGGAGGCTGGAAGATACCGTTGAACAAAATTAGAATTGTTATGAAGAATGGGTTGAGAACACCAGCCATGGTGGCAGAATCACAAACAGATGCAATAGCAAGACCAAGACTGATGGAATGGAACAAGTAAACCACGAAAAGAATGAAAAAGTAACCGATGCGATCGGACTCATTCTGTAAACCAGTTGTCCAGTAGTAAAAGAACATAAAGACTGCAGAAAGCCCTACAAGGTAAGGGATTTCAACCAGTAGACAGGATATAGCAAAAGGCGACCAACCATAATATTTACTAGCATGCTCACGACGGAACCATAATCGTTCTTGTAGATAGCGCGGCTGGATCAAGATAATCATTGTATTACCCATAAACAATGCTGTTAAAAGACCAAACATACGATTTTGCATATCAGTTGGAGTGCCTCCAACTTTCCAAAAGGTAAAACCAGTAATCAAACCAATAAAGCAAACATTGAAAAATCGGCCCATATTGTAAGAAGGAGAACGCCACCAAGACATATTCATACGCTTATAAACAAGAGCTAATTGTTTCGAGAAAGGCTGAGCGTACATATTTACTTTACGAGTTACGTTGTGATCTATAGACACATGGATGTGTTCAAGCTCTTGTTCCAGAGCAGCAGCTTCGGGTGAATTTGACCAGACCTCAGACCAATCTTGCTTCGATTTTCCAGCAGTACCAGCTCCAACACATTCCAAAATATATTCAGCAGGATTTGCGTCAGGAGAACATGCAGGACCGCCGTTGGATTCAAAGTAATCAATCATTGTGCGGGAGTCTTTACCAATTTCGCCAAAATAAGCAGTTGTGCCACCACGCATAAGCAAAAGGAGATGATCAAAATGTTCAAAAAGAGTTGAAGAAGGTTGGTGAATGGTACATAAAACGGGCCAGCCAGCATCAGCAAGCTTACGGATGAAACGAATGATGTTAAAGGAACTTTGGGCATCAAGACCGGAGGTAGGTTCATCCAAGAAAAGTAATTTGGGCTTGCCAACAAGTTCAATAGCAATAGTAAGACGTTTGCGTTCTTCTACGGAGATTCCAGAACCTTCTTCAAGATCACCAATAAGAGCTTCGGCTATTTTATCCATTTCCATGAGTTCAAGAATGTGCTCAACATAAGAATCCTTCTCCGCCTTGGGAACATCAGCAGGTTGACGAAGATAAGCTGAGAATTGAAGAGCTTCACGGACGGTAGCATTGGGATTATGTACATCCATCTGTTCACAATAACCAGTAAGACGCTCAAAGTCTTCATCCAAGTCTTCACCATTCATGTAGATATGACCATCAATGGTACCAATTGTCTTTCTTCTGGCCAAGACGTCAAGAAGCGTAGTTTTGCCAGCACCAGAAGAACCCATTAAAGCAGTAAGATGACCAGGTTTGACAATACCAGCAACATTATTCAAAAGCTGACGAGTTCCACCTTTAACAGGTACAGTGTAATCAATGTGATGCCATGAGAACGTCGTACCATCAGTTACTGCCTCCATTTCATGATCTTCAACGATATTTGTTTGTTGCAATTTCTTTTCATCGGAAACGATATCAGGAGAGAATCCCTTCTTGTAAACCTTGGTAATGGTTCCTTCTTTCTTGAGAGATGCATATTCCATAGCAAGAGCAGTGAGGCCACTAAAGAATACAAACAAAAGAGAGACAGCCATAAAATTAATCCAGCGCTGTGATGTCTGGTATGAATAATAAGAGCTCAAATAATCGTCTCCAAGAACGTAACTAGCGCCAGGGGCAGCACCGGGAAGAATACATGAACGGTAGTCTTGGTTGGTATAACTTTCACCATAGGGAACACCATTGAGTCCTTCACAACTAAATTTCAATCCCATCATCTCAGAAGACATGACTGCGTTGTAACTGTAGGCCAGTGGGTTGATCCAATAGATCCAGACGAACCAGGGATGCATTTGAGGATGAGGAATTTGATAACCAATGTAGATCAAGAATGCGATAAAGAAGATACTAGAGATCTGTGAAGCAGTGTAAAAATTAGGACTGATGGAACCCCAGAAACGGAAGAAACTATTCATACACATGATGGTCATGACAAATGTAATAAAGAAGAAGAAAAACTAGAAGTTATGTCTTAGTAAAAGAAGAAATTAAAAGTATAAAATAATCATTGTACTTACTTTTCCAGCATCGAGATCGAGGCCAACCATAAAATAAACAGAGATCTCAAAAAGAATAGTTTGAATAATAGCCAAAGGGAAATCAAGAATGACCTGAGCAAAATAGAAAGCAGAAGGACGATACAATGCAAAATGCTTGTGTTTCTCAAGTACGCGACGACCCTCCATAAAACTGGGTAACTCGGATTGTGCAACAAAAGAATTGAAGAATAGAAACAGGATATACGCACCTGCACGAGAGAAAGCACCATTGCCATCAACAGGCATCATATAGTATACAGAAGCAGTAATTAAACCCTTGACAATAACATCACCAAAACGAATAGCAAGAGATGTTTTGTCACCCCAAACAAGCTGGAATTGTCGAATAGTAAGAGCTTTAACTTGTTCGTAATAGCTAACAACAGCAGGAGTATCATGTTCTTGAATAAACGCCTCCTTGAAAGTTAAGCATGGCTGGTCGACATTAATTTGTTTTTCATAAGCTTTGCGTTCATCCATCATTTGAGAATACATAGGAGATTCCTTGTAAAGCTTTTCGAATTGAACAGAATTAACAGGAACTTGACCATTAAAATCAGAACGAATTTCTCGTTCATTTAAATTACAAAGACCGGTAAGGAAATCAGGTGTAGATTTACGAGCAGAACAATGGAACCCCATTTCCGAAAAATATTCTTTGGCACCAGAAGTAGGACCAAAATAAATGCAGCGACCTTCATCTAAAACCATAACCTTATCAAACAAGTCAAAAATACTATCAGATGCTTGATATAATGTTGCGATAGTAGTTTTTTTTGTAATATCAGTCATAATACGAAGAGAGCGAACATAATCAAGAGCAGAAGAAGAATCAAGACCACGAGTAGAGCAATCCCAACAATTAATGGAACTGTGTGTAGTCATTTGTTCAGCAATTGAGAGACGCTTGCGCTCACCACCAGAAAGACCACGAACAAAAGCATTTCCAACCATAGTATTCATTTGTTTTGTCAAACCCAGCATATTTCCAAGCATATAGAGAAGCTTATCAGTAAACTCAGCCTTAGATTCACCGGGAATACGTGTTGAAGGAGTTTTGTTCTTGAGCGCAAATTTTAGAGTCTGTTGTGTAGTCAAAGTGGGATAATGAAGATCTTCTTCTTCGTTATAACAAACTTCACCTTTAAAATGCTTGCCAAATTCTTTAGCGTCGATTCCTCCATAAGTTACATCACCATCAATTTGTGTATATGAAGCACGCATATTAGAAAGAACACGGAGCAAAGTAGAGCAACCAGCACCAGGTCGACCAAGAACTAGCAGCATTTCACCAGATTTGCAGAAACCATCATTCTGATTTAAAATCGTAAAATCTGTACCCTTGTGTTTTCCCCATTTCCAGAATTGGAAGAAAGAAGAGACGACAGACCAGTTTGTTACAATCGATCTTGCATCAGCACCTAAACCTTGCACCTTCAAATCTTTCCAGATCACACCCATATTTTTAGTCTTCAACCCAGCAGCAGTCAATTGGGAATGTTGCTCAGAAAGATATTCTGTCAGATCAAAATCTTGAGTGTTACCACCTTTTTCAAGGTCAGCACCAGGAGAAATGGAGGACATTTTGTACGATTGTCGTGAGAGCTCTCGTCGAACAGATTCATATTCTTCGTGTGCATTGTTGATATCAACAGCATTACCGTCAGCCTCGCCAAATGCACCAACCGTATGTCTCGAATGATGAGTGTTATCTACACCGATCACAGTTTCCGTTTCATCAACACTATAATGATCGCCACCAGTATTGATTTTGTTCGGATAGTTTACTGAAGTGCAGTAAGAATCCATTGAAAATATTTTTTATCGTTCAAATAAGAAAATGTGTTATTCGAGAAAAAAAAAATGAATAAAATCGGACTTTACAAATGATGAATTAGATTGTTATTTATTTTTAATAAAGAAATGAAGAAAGCGAGAAAATAAGAAGTAAAACGGCAACTTATCCGAATACTATTTATACTTTTTTCTGTATTCAAGAAACGTAAACGAAAGTGACAGTTATTTCTTGATCCATTAATAATTAACGGGTGCGTTAATGCGCTCTTCGAAACTTTATTTTCATATTCGGCTGAAATTAGCCCGGTAGTGTTCCTAAACGCATTTTAACTAAACTTCCTTATATGATCGACACCTATGGTTTCCAAGTTTGATCCAGGAGCGCAATACCATAAATGCGCAGGTGCATCTCCAAACGACTTGAAACGTATATGTACGATAATTCTATAAAGCAGAAAATTGTATATGTGACGTTGTTTTATTACTAATACATCATGAAAAGACATCCCTTTATTTACATCTTTGATCCTTATCTTATGTGACTTTTGTATTAGTAATAGTGGCTTGCCAATACAGTGTGATTATCGCAAGCAAAATACATTAATCTCCCAGAAACCGTTTCCTTATTTAGGTAAATATTCACTATTATTATCTTCCCGTCTTTAGAAATAACAGATTTTCGGGTATACCAGGTATACCAAGCAAATCAGAAAATTAACCTTTTGGCGTTGGTACGGAGTTTAAAACCGCTACCGAAGCTGTAGCTCTTAGGTAACTAAAGACAGCTTCAGATACCATGGCGTATTCGCAAACCTATTTTCTAATTTAACAGTAGTATTGCAATTGAAAATTTGAATCTTAAAAAAAAACGTTTGTCACTTTCGAAAAATAACGGTTAAAATAAAAGACCTGATTAGGTCTCAGATCAATTGATCATATTTGGAGCTGTAATACGTAATTAATGGTATGTTTTGGTAATAGGACACTTTTGTTTGGGTTCAACTTGATCGAAACCAAATAAATACAAGCGCATTGTTTACAGGCTTCAAATCTCGCTCCATTTATTATCAAGTTGACATACAACATAATCATATCACGTTGTATTAGTCATCCTCCGAAATAATGGGGTCAGTTACAATTGCTTTAGGGTCAGTCAGTAAAAAACAGTGATAGACTTTGACTATAATACAGCCAATTTTTCTAAAGCTAATTTATTGTGTTCCCCTGTCATGTAACACCATTTTGCAATGGTGCAATTCCTCTTTTTTTCCTTTCCCTTTTTCGAGCAAGTCAAGAAACTTTTGATCCCACTTAACCATCTTTATCACCCGTTTTATGGTATAATGGCTCGATCTATAAACAAATGTAACCCTTTTCAGTTTTTCCGGTTATACAAAACTAGTACGTGTGGGGAGCCCGGTCAGGACTGTTACATTTGAGTTTACAAAAAAAAAAACGTTCCAAATAAACAACATGTTGTACAAAACGGTAAGGACTAACAACCTATTCATATCACCCGACAGATGGCAGCTTTAATTTGTCAGCCATGTGGTACTGCCAATATTTTTCTCTTACAAATCATTCTATCACTTTTTAGAAAACTATGGAATACTATCTTTGGCTCAAAAAACTTTCGAGAAAAATAATTTACCTTGCCCAAGCGCGCATTGCAAAAAAAAAAAAAAAAAAAAAAATTGGGGCTTCCAAAAAGAATCTATTAGTAATCCAAATAAAATATGGAACTGATCTACATAAAACAGAATATTGAAGCGGGGAGCTCGGCGTTAAAATAGACTGACGCATGACTTGTCTCAATATTTGGTTGTAGACAGTATTCGTCTATTCATAAAATCATAAACACGATTTATTTATTTTTCTAGCTATAGAATAAGCATAGCAGTTTTTTGGATCAACTTTCGCGCTACTATGTGCTCAGATTCTCAAAAAGATATGATATAATCTACCCCCAAATATTTATACTTTACATGTGCATATGCATTATAAGGTTTACGTGTTTGTTCGGATCATCTTTTTAATTGCGTTTGGGACAAGCTAAGCTATTCTTTAATTTTATGCCAATACAGCAGCTTGATAAAGACAGGTATACTTTTGACAAGCCAGCTGATCAATAAAGATGGTATCAATAAGTATTGGATTTGTAATCAAATTAACTGTTTGGATAAAAATTGGATTAAAAAAGGATACTTATATGTGCCCAAGCGCATCATTTTAAAAAAATAGGTTTAAAGAGTTGTAACGAAAGATGAATTGTAAATATGTTTTTTTTCCAAAACTCATTAACTGTGCAAATAATATTCATAAATAAGAAAATTTGATCAATTTTTAGGAAATAAAGATCTTGTGAATTCGGAAATGTAAATCATATCTAAGTTTATAAAGTAAAAACTGGGCGGTCTAAAACTCTCTCTCGGATACTAAATACTACCAATTACAACTATGATGTACTGGTTAATATTTTGTAATATTTATAGAGATAATGATAAGCAAAAAAGCGTATGATGACAAAAAGGTGGCCATTAGTGCAATTTTTTGTTACTGCAAAAATAGAACAATAATAACGAGAGTTGATATGGAATGCGCTTAAATGGTCCCGGGTTATGCATATGATGCGCAGCCGAGATAACATAAGCAAACGTGAACCTTATCCCTAAAAAGGCCTCTGTCGGATAACAGCCCCCCGCCACCCTCGCCACATCACATGTAATTTTATTGCAGGACCATAACTTCCGCAAGTTTTAGCATTGTATTTAGTGATATAATTATTGTCATGTTTACTATTCTAACCGCAAATATCAATAAGCTGTTTTGCAGTTTAATAAAATTGAGCCCAGTAGCTCTCATTGATCCCTTGACATCATATTTGCTAATTCAATTAAATAAGTCTGTATACAATAATATATAGCACTATAACCATTGACTATCAAATATTTTTCGATTATACGATATAAAAAACTAGTTACCTAAAAAAAAACGCTGTGTATTAAAAAACCTTGCAGTCGCTTAAAATTTCAGGTTTGATTTCACCCTAAATACCAGAAATTTGACTTTCATTAGTTAGAGTATAAGAGTATGTATGGCAACCAATCTTTTTTAGCTAATAAGTAAGCGAATAAAATGTCATAATCTCTGATGACATACTATATAATACATTAATAGAATAGCTTTGCCTTCTAAAAGATGGATTTCAGGTTCATATTTTCAGGAAAACAATTGTTGATCCCCAATAGTAAGTGATGGATCTATTTTATAAAGTTTTTAACACTTGCATAATTACAACCAAGAAATTTAGCTACAGCATTTTTTATACTACAACTTCCAAGCAGAAAAAAAAGTCTTTATCAATAACGTCTACTTTACACCGTTATTCCTGAGATCACGCAAACTAGGAATAGATACATAGAAGTTCTGAATAGCCTATTCTACAGGTCTCATGTATCTAAACGTATTAGTAAGTATTAACAAAGAACTCCTTTCTCTAATTATTTTTATAAGCCTAGCCGTGGTTATTCAAACGGGATTTACAAATCATGATAGCACTTCAGCGGCCATTCACTAAAGAATTGTAAATTATTCAAGTCACTCGTCTCTTCATTTTGTCTTCTTTCATAAGCGTTTGAAACATAATTTACTTTTATTTTTACTTTATGTAACCAAGAAGTGGATATAAAAAAAAATAACGGTTTTTAGATGCTTGTAAGTGATTAATGCCTGGCAAGGTCACTCAAACGATAATCTTATATCCAATCATATTACGTCCCCGTGATATTCACGTGATTTGGTGACTGCTTAAATATTTTAAAATTGCGGACTATATTAATTTATTTTTTAAAATTGACTGATGCGTGCGCAGTTTGGTAATGATATCGCTTTCGTTCACTTTAAAAGTGGCTTGGTAATATTATTTTGGTTATTCTTCTTTGTTCCTTGGTTCTGGTTCCCTCATTTGTGGAATGGCGCGTTAATCTTGTCTGAGAAATGGAGATCTAGTTGGTACTGAGTTTGGCGGTGAGAAAAGAGTTTCTAAAAATACGTGATAAAGACCCGACAAATAATATTGCGGTGAAACTATTTTTGGTGTTCTAGAAGTTTTTCTGGTATTCTTTCTCCGAAGGTTCAGTTCGCGTCTTTTTGCTGCTTTTCTAAAATTGGCAGGTTGTTAATTATCTTAGTCGGTTACTCGTGAAATTCTCTTCTTTCTCAGTTACAATTATTTTTATTGTTATTTCGTCGCTCTCTCTCGTATCTCACTTATTTTATTATTACCTTCCTGTTTTGTTTAGTTCTTTATTTTTCTTATTATTCATATTATTTCCATCATAGTTTTCCCGTACCCTTATTTGATTTACTCTATTTTTGTATTGTTCTCATCATAGTTTTTCCGTACCCTGTTATTATTTTATTCCATTTTCGTATTAGTTATTTTTGTACCATAGTTGACAGCTGTCAAAACGTCTATATAAGATT